CCTAACCCTAACCCTAACCCTAACCCTAACCCTAACCCTAACCCTAACCCTAACCCTAACCCTAACCCTAACCCTAACCCTAACCCTAACCCTAAAAACCCCCTAAAAAAACCCGGATCGAGGGGTAGTGCATGCCGAGCTTTGGGGTCCAGCGGAGGTCGCAGCTGCGGGTACGAGACAAACCGGAGATATCTCGATGGATCATGAAGCCGAATAGTAACCATGACCAAAGGCACAAAGCATGTGAAGCAAAGTCTAGGAAGCAAAGCCCGAGGACAAGGAGTTGCTGGTTCGAGAGCTGCTGTTCTGTTCATGTTCCAGCAATTGTAGTGTTTCGTTCAAGCTACGGCTTTGTGTCGCAAGCTTCATAGTGTTGACCTTCTTGAATACACGTTCGTTGAGACATGACATTGGGTATAAATGGGTGAAGCTGATTCAAGCAGTCTCATGGGCTCATGGGTCACGCTCCTGAACAGTCGACAAACATGATCAAGACCTGGCTCAGAAGAGGGCGATCGATAGCGACTAATCACTTTCCTCGGGCACATAGGGTGAAGGAAGCGCAAAACATGGTAAGTTGTTGAAGGATGAGTCGAGGACGATCCAGAAATCTCGAGAGATGGCGGTAGACAGCAAACATAATCAAGTCTTAGCAACAGAATTTAAGAATTTCGAGGAGACCATTTTGAAGCACTTGATCGGTTTCCTCGGGCGCATTGTATCGTAGATTGAGATAGTTGTGTCTTTGTGCATTGGTGTTGGGGGCGACATGAAGAGACGCTGAATTCGCCGAAGCCTCAAAACGCTCGTCACGGAGAAAGTCGAGGAACATGATCAGACTCGACCATGAGCTTTGGCGATTTTGAATACACCAATCTCAAGCGCTTGGCCACTTTCGTCGGGCGCATGATGTCGAAACATGGAAATGGTCATGTGCTGATGTTGTAGAGTAGTCGAGTCGTCTGACTCCCTGAAGCCTCGAGGAAGGTGCTCATGTCTTGTTCAGAAAGGGCGCACGTCAGACTCGGACCTCGATGATCGGTTTTGGCGTCTCGGGAGTGAGCATCCTCAGAAGCTCAGCGAAGTCCTTCGGGAATCCAAAGAATAATAGAAGATCGTGCACTCATGAGATGGTGGTGGTGAACTGGGCGACTACTCGAGTATATCTTTGGAGCTTCGTTTAACGCCAGCTTAGTCAGCCAGCTTCCCCAGACTCAGGTGACTGTATAATCTTTGGAAGTGAGGCCCCAATTATTGAGTCCGGGATGATGGCGCGCCCACAAAGAGCATTACCTACTTTATTACTCGCAAAGACAACGAACAAACATCAGGGCAGAACCACCAAAACCATATTCAGTACAAGTCAATGGTATTCAAGCAAAAGTAACACTGAATTAATTCTACATCCTATCACACGTATGGTACGACCAGCCTTCCTCTCCATCATTTATCTTTCCCATTTCAATACCTCCAGATGACTTCTTCTGCCAAGTTTTGACTTTGAAAAGTGTAATCAGGATTGGTGTCGGCAGATTCAGGGACGACAGGAGGCGCTTGATCTCCATCATGCCTAGCCTCATCGTCCAATTCGCGATGAAGATCCGCAACGAGATCATACTGGCGTTGGCTTTCAGCAAAGTAATCCGCACCTGGGAGCGGGTCTCGAAACTAGGCAGGAGGAGGCGGAATTATCGAAGGATTGAAGACAGGTTGAGGTCGCTGGCGTAGAAAATTAGGGTCGTAGCGGCCTGAGAGGTTTTGAGGTCGAGTGGCTAATTAAGAAGGTTAAGATGCACCAGTGAAATCACTCCGAAGATCAGGGCCAAGATCCAGATTAGAAGCAGCGTCCTCTTTCTGTGTCAGATTCGTCGATTCCTTAATATCAACAGATGACCGAGGCTCTTCTGTCTCCGTCACAGGTTCCAAGGTTGATTGACCTATAGTAGTAGCAGTCTGAGAACTATCAGATAGAGTGGAAAGTCCTAACCAGCTACTTCTCTGTGGTTGGAAAGGAAGCACAGCGTTGAAAAAAGAGTTAAAGGGAGGTAATGAGGACAACTGAGGTCCAGATGTTCCGGCCGGAGGTTGGCTTCCACCAAGGTTGGCTGCGTTGCAATCGGACAGTGCATCGTCCCAGAACGAAGGCTCTTGTCCACCGAGACTTTGTGTCTAGCGACTTAGAAAGTTGCTAACACGGCCCTTAGAATCGCTGGCATCAGCGGAAGGTGCACCGCGACCTGCGAACTGCCACCAGAGCGTCCAGGGATCCTTCCGCGAGGGAGGAGTTCTTCTTGGCTGGCTTGACTGCCAGTACGGATGTGGTGGCGCATAAGACTGAAAGGTGGACGGAGATTGCCAGTTGTCTTGGAGCGCACGACTCTGTTGTCTGTGAGGCTGAAGTTACTAAAAGAGCGACTAAGCCGTCAGATCCCGCCAGAGGACTCCCCATGGGCAATAAGTGCTTCGTCCGAAGGGCGCTCTCCACATGAGAGACGTGCCTCAGATAGAGGGGGTGAGATCGGCTGGTTGTGGTCCTCTTGACGTTGGTTTCGAACAGGAGAACCGGAATCATCATGATCAAAGACAGTCGAGTCATCACGGGCAGCATCGGAGCCAAAGCGGTTAGGACTCTCGGATTGAGACTCTGCGTAGCCGGTAGATCTCGTGGTACGCCCGGACCGGGCTCGGACATTGAGACGGCCAGAGCGACGTGAGCTTGACCGCCTCGAAGGAGAACCAAGCCGCGAGATGCCAGCTCCTTGTGCAAAGAGGTTGACGGAAGCGCCATCGTTGAGAGACAGAGTGGGATTACTCTCCAGGGCGTGCTGCTGCGACTGCGACCACAGCGACTACTGGGGGATCTGGTACAACGGTATCATCTGCCATGTCGACTGGATCGTCCTCCAGCGTATCGAGTTCTGCTTCGGGCTCTTCGTCCGCGAGCTCATCTGCGGCTGGCATCACCACTACATCATCATCTGGCTCGGGAACAGCTGCTGGTGCGACATCTTCTCCGACAAGCACTGGTGGTGCTGCCATGATGCCTATGGGTGCCTGGAACGCCTTGGTTGCTGGTGAAGTTGTCCTTGCCGCAGCCGCCTTGTAGAGGTATATTTGCCTCCAAGCTGGTTGATCTGCGATATTTTGAACCTTGTCGAGATGTCCAGCACTAGAAGCATGCAACTCAATTCATTCAGCAGCTGATGCTTTGTTGTTTTTGGCAGCTGACAGCGTATCCTGCTCTTCGCAAAACGCCATGATGTCAAGCGATGTCTGAAATGGTCCCGCGGACTCTTGGTGGAGCTGTCCTGTGGTGTTGAGAGAACACACAGTCTACCATTGTCCGTGTCGGTTTGGCCAATTGTGAGTTTCCTCTGGTATCGCTCTTGTCATGTTGTCAGAGCTGGATGGCCAAGTGTCTTGGAGCGGTGTTGCTTTCGTATTCACTGCATCTGGTCACGAGCAGAATGCAAATAACCCAATGTTGTTTGTTCTTCTCGAGCTGGGAAGCATATTCTTGACGCGCAGAAGTGCCCTACAACTCAGCTAATATTGCGCTACGCAGAACAGAAGCTGTATGCGCAGCGCCCACAAACCGAGTGACCTGATCAGAAAGTCTATGCTGAGTTTTCCTATGATTAGCTGTCCCTGCAGCAATGTCGTCGCTTTGCAGTCGGTATGGTGGTGTTCACTGTACAAAGATACTGTAAATTACCGAATGCTGGACCTGCTGCTCCAGTCCGTCAGGCGACAGCATCTCGCACCAAGTACATATACATGTGTACCTCCCCAGCTGAGAATGGTAAGCGCTATGCTGCCCTTCTGAATCCAGCAGTGGACCTTTGACCAAAAGGAGAACGGTCTCGCCGGCGCCTGCGCACTTTGTTGACTATGCCGTGTCTCACAAAGGTACGAAAAGATGGCTGGCTGGAGGTTCGGAGAAAAAGACGAAGGAGGGTCGGCAAGTGATGATTTATTGGTTTTGGTAATCCTTCGCGTGTATACGTACCCCGGAAAGTCTCCTTGCCTTTTGCGGGCGACTAGGATTGGGTTTGGGGGTACTCTTGGCGGTACTCCGCACCAAGCTCCTTCTGCTCTCGAGTACCGCATCTTCTGACCTCCTGCCGTCCTTCATACGAGACGAGGATGATGCTGACTGGACTAGTACGCCTATTGAGCTGCCTTTGACGACTCGATCCAAAGGCCAGCCATGGCAGGAGCTTTCGACCAGCTTGGATTGCATGCAGTTGCGCTTCGACCTCAACACGTGCTTCAATACTGCCAAGTCAGAGGTGACTTTGAGTGTATGCACGTAATCGATAGAGCACTGCGGAGTCCTTGACCACCACATCGACATCATGTCATAGCTCAGCTCTGATGACAGCTCGAAGGAAGATCAAATATAGCATACAGGTGGAGCTTGGGAAGGTGGGGAAGTGGAGGATTGCTGCTGGCAACTGCATCTCGACCAACAAGAACAACTCTATCGCCAAGACGAGGAGCGAAATAGAAACCTACCACCAATGATTACTGGTTCAGCCCTAACTCTGGCGTCTTGAGAGCATTTCAGCTCGGTCTCGCCATACTGCCATCGCTTCCATACCGAGTACGTCTGTACGGTAGTCGCGAGCAGGTGTTTGGGCACAGGACATCGCATTGGAGACTATCGAATACCACCGCGGCAATATTCAGCTGAGCTCCGACCATGGTATGTGGTCTGAGTATGGAGTCTTCGCTGGAGTCTGGATGACCAAGGAAGAAATATAAAAGATGGCCTCTCTCCCTGTCATGATAGAGCATCCAGCAACAACACCTCCACACCACAATCAGCCAAACCACCTCGAGAATCTTTGATTCGCATCAACATGCACTACTCCGCTCTCATCGCCGGTCTCAGTGTGGATGTTAAATGGCATGGAATAGTTAGAATATTGGAATATTCCACTCAAAACTAGTAGAATATTCTACTCTATTGGCATGGAATAGAATCAGCAATTCGAGTAGAATATTCCAAATTCCAACCGGTCAGGGTAGCTACGACAGCATAAGTTAGTAATCCGATATGCAAAGCTTGTCATTAGCTGATCTCATCTTATCTGATCGATTAGATGAGATAAGATGTCTTGGCGCATGCTTACTAAGCTTGTAAGGACAGGGTCGCTTGCCTTGCAACAATGTTATGAAATCGGAATGATTCCATAAAAAAGTTGGCATAGAATAGAATAATTAGTCAGCTAGGTGGAATGGCATGGAATAGAGGCCAGATTCCAAAGATTCCATGTAACATCCACACTGGCCGGTCTTGTAGCACTCGCTGTAGCCAATCCTACTCCTCAAGTCTTCGATGCCTCTGAGCTGTCTGACATCGAGCCCGCTGCACCAGTTGACGTTCCACTTGGAGCTGGAAGTCAGACTCTTCCTTTGAACATCGATGCCATCGTTGACAGTGCCTATGCCGATGTCCTGGCCGATCCTTCTCCAGACGTTGATGCCAGTTTGCCCGCCGCTATCTCGAAGAGATCCCTTAAGCGTAGCCTCATGGCCCGTGGAACAGACCCTTGTTACGGTCAGGCCTACCAGCCTTAGGGCTACGGTCCTGCGGTCTCCCCCGACACTGCCGACGCCTTCACGAGCTCTGATGCTCTGTCATGGGCTGCTAAATCGGCTTCGACCCCTGGAGGTTATTACCAGGTTTTCCAGGACTACAAGGCATCTGTCAGTACCTCTGGTTACAGAGGCTACAAGACCTACCAATCCTACGACGTTGCCAAAGCGGCCAATGATTGCAGAGCTATCAAGGGATGCAAGAGCTTCAACATCTTCTTCGAACGTGACCCCCTGCAGGTATGTCTAATGTATTTGCTCAATCGATTAAGACATACTAATTACGGAACCCTAGGACCCCAGTGCTACGTGCACTCCTGGCTCTACTAACGTCATTAAGGCCTCCTTCTGGAGTGTGCCTCTGAGCAAGCCCGTCGCAACCAACAAGGGCCAATACCGCAACAAATTCCAAGTCGTCATCGCCGGCTCAAACGCCTATAATCTTATCGATTGTGCTCCGGAGATCCCAGATTGGACCAAGGAGATCTACAATGGTTGCACCATCAACGCTCCAGCCACTTCCTGTGACAAGTCTTACAGTGGAACTCCCAATGACGCCTACCTCACCATGTCGACTTTCTCGGGCGATTTCGTCCCCGAGCGGTGCCAAAGCGCCTGTGATGCCGTGACTGATGGTGACTCCTCGAAGTCGAAGCCTTGCAACTTTGTCACTTCTTGGGCTTATCTGCTGGACGGTGTGTACCAGTATCAAGTCTGCGCTTTCTACGAGCGCTACTTTGCTCCCAGCTACTGGTATGTTCTTGACCCCCTAAAGAGAATTACATCCTGATGGCTAACCTATCATTCAGCACCAACACGGGCGGACAGACTGTGAATGGCAAGAAGGACTCTGTCGGCTACTCGTATTCCTACACCCGCACCAAGGACAACGGTGTCGACTACTGCCCTATCAAAGGAGCCAAGACTCTGTGATATGCTCCGAACACAATGTCTGGCACTCGAAAGAGGTCTGATCTTGATGGTTCCGCGGGGGTTGTCTCTGTTTGTTCTGGTTCGCTTCGCACTTTCTGATAGTCATTGTTGCTTCCTATGATCTTTGCAGATTTGCTTTTCTGTCTCTCGGTGTGTTTCTCAAGTAGCTTGAAATTGGATTGCCTGGTGTTTAAAACATGATTACTCCCTCTTCTCGTGATCTTGACTTACGCAATACAACAAATACAAGCCGCGGTTTACTTCTGCGCCCTCGATTTCGCCGCGTCTTCCTGCAGAATCTCCGTCAACGTGTCCCTAGTAACACAGTTCTCAAATTTGAAACTCTGCGCCAATCCGTCCAACTCTTGCTCACTTTTCCCCTTGAAAAGTTCCGCAAATTCCATACCCAAATACTCACTCAACAAACACTCTCTGATGATTCGTTCGAATTGTCTGTCAAATGACCAATGATCCGGATACTTGATCCCCTGCAAATGCTCCGGAACCATGGCTTTTAAATCCCGCAAAAAGGGGTCATACGTCTCGGAAACACCGGATTTGTCCACCACGCCCCAGAAATCAAGACCGAGGCGTTGTTTCTTGGGTCCTGTTTACTTCGGCTCAAATTCGCTCATGTACAGGTGGATATGAGGCTTGTTTTTTGAACATAAGTTCATGTACCGTAGGCGTTTACTTTAGAGTACAAATCTAGTGTATTTAGGTGTATATCTGCCGTATTTGTACTTTTATTCGAATGTCCCTAGTCGCGTGTACTTCGGTGTTAAAATGCCCTCGGGTATCGTCGGATAGCTGTTAAACATGGCCTCGGCATGCTTTAGAAGCAGTATTTAACCGTATACGTTATGTTTATAGGGGGGGGTGTACTTAAGGGCTATTCTCGGTAGGTGTTCGCCGTCTATCTTAAGTTATCGGTATGCCTATAGATCTAAGGCATGTCGTCGTCGCTACGTACGCTAGTGTATTCTTCTACATCGTTAGTATCGTTATTCTCTCTAAGGCCATAAAGGACTAGCGACCTAGCACCTGCACCCTATACCTAGAAAAATTCGTAGGATTAGCAAGGACGACTAACCTATACGAGTTAAACCCTACGGAGTGCCGGAATTTACTACGTATAGAGCAGCATAACTTCTAAGGTCTTATAGAGCTTCTAAAGGACTACGGACTAAGTGAGAAACGACTAGTGTTAGTAAGGGAACAAGTCGTAATATTTCTATACATCTGCGCGTAGGACTTAACTTACTAAATAGCCGCTAATTACTTCTAATACTCGACTCGAACTACTTTAAAGAGCTTCTACGTAGTGCTCGAGGTATTAGTATTACTACACTCGGAGGTAGTTAAGTTTGTTAATAATAAACTAGAGAAGATTTCTTAGCTAAAGTTTAGAGCATTTCGAGGTGCTATCGGTGCTATAGATAGGTCGTTATTCTATGCCCGCGTGCCCTACTTAAATTAAGAGGTATAGCAAATAAGGAAGTAGACTATCTATTAAAATGTCCTAATCTTAGTAGACTTTAATGGTCGGTTTACCTACGTAATGGCCGGATTTAAAGGGTTAGCGCACGATAGTAAGGTCTTCGAGGAAGCGTATCGACGAGGGTTTAAACCGTCAAAACCTTAGCAGTTCTTACTTAGTAACTCTAGATACGCACTATTATTAGTTGTTCTAATACCTTATCGTAATACTAGGTATTACCTATATAAATAGGGTAGTAATAAACCGCGTACTAAGGAAGAACTGTATAACTTAAGACATTCGAGTCTTCGAGCTATCGTTAAGATAGTACTTAGTCGATTTAAGAGGAAGTAGAAGATTATGCGTAAGGCACCTAAGTACTCTATTAATACGCAGATCATGCTAATCTATGCCTTAACGGCGGTGTCGAACTTCCTAATAGATGCTAAGGACGGTGTCGTCGACTATAAGAGTAGTGATAAGGAATTAGAGGTTAATAGCGACTTAGACGAAGATAATAGAATTGCGCCTATTAAAGTTTAAGAGCAGCTATATAGTAATGCCGCAAAGAGAGAGGTAAAGGCACGTCGAGACTATATTACGTAGGCGTGCTAGGACTAATATATAGAAGAAATAAGAAGGAGAGGTACGATATAAAGTAATAGGTTAGCTAGCCCTTAGAAAGAATTATATTAGCGATTTAACTAGAGGAATTGGCTAAATAATTTCTATTAGGTCTAAAGCTCCCTACCTAATACATTAACTAATCTTCGACTAAATTTTTCGTTAATCTACGTCCTCTCCCTCTAGTTCTTTAAACCTTAGATCTTTAATGCTTAAGAACAGTTCCTCGACATCTATATTATCGTTTTCTATAGGTAGCGAGGGCACATAGCTGCGCGGCGCTTCCTACGCATAAATCTTAGGAACCGGACCATTACCTCGAGGCCCTACTTTACCGGTTTTCGACATAGTACTATTTAGTTCCTCCTTACTTAGATACTCGGCCTCGTATAGCTAATATTTAACCTAGAGATGGCGCATCTTATTACTCTTAAAGTTAATAAAAGTTCTCGCTATTAACTTAACCTCTAACTAACGATAGATGTATAGCTACTATAGCGCATTAGGCGCAGGTATACGGTAGTCATAACTAGACGACATCTACGCCTAGATGGCTTAAGCCTTATCTTAAGGATGCTTAGTTCTACTCGGTAAGGGCGATTTAACTAGTAATCTAATAGCCTCGTTTAGATCTTAGGAAAATCTACCGATTTTCTCGACGGCGGCATTAAGCGCGCTCTTTAGCCTCTTCTTCGAAGGCGCACTAGTAGCAGTTCTATTACAATAACGACGAGTTCCTTACTCTACTTAAGGAGTACGTGCCTCTAGCGGACTACTTTGCTAAGTCGACTAAGTTAGTCCGGCCTTACCGTCTTCGAGCTCCTTAAGTTAAGCATTACGAGCGGCCTTATTAGCCTCGCGAATAGCCCTTCGAGCCTCTCGCCGAGTAGCTCTTCCTATAAGATTATTATCGTCGGTATCGACATCTATATCGTTAACACGATAGGTAAGTCCTTTAACCCTAGAGCTCTAAGTATTGTCTAAATCGCTGTTTCTAACATCGCTAGTTATATCGGTCTCCCCCTCCTCTTACGTCGCTTTATTATCCTCCTCGTCTTCGTTATTAGTAAGCTTCTCGCCTCGGTGTTTCTACTTAAGTCGTTCTCGAAGTTCGATAGTAGTAGTAGTATAGGAGCCTATCGTAATGTTGTTACCCTAGAGCCTCTTACATAAGTCTTTATAAGGCATACTACTACGGCGGAAAAGAGGACTAGACTTAGGGTAAGCTTTCTTATACTCCTTAGTAGCCTCGCGGCCGAGGTTAAAGGCGCTATTAGCTAGTCGCGTAATGCTAGAGTAGCCGATTAGCTTCTTATGCTCCTTAAATAGAGCTCGTAGTACGCCCTTCTTCGAACGACATTGCTAACTATTAACGACGACGTCGTATACCTCCTTAATCCTCTAGATCGCGAAGTTCTATACTAGCGTCTTATGTCCTCTACTTCTGCTATTAGCGTCGACTTTACCCTAGATTAGAGCTTCGAGCAGAGTCTCCTCTTAAGTATAGGTCTAACTATAAGGAGGGGCACGAGGTTAGCGAGGCATAGTATTAATGAATGCGATATACTCAAGGGTGCGAATCTGCCTAGAGTTTTAGCTATACCTACTAACAAAAGTACGGGACTTAGGAGGACACGGAATACACGTCATTTCTAGCATATTAGACTAAATAAGCGACCCTACTGATGTACAAGTAGACTAATTTAAATAAGGACCCCCTCTAAACATGCATTTAAAAGTACGCTAACTTCGAAGTAAACAGGACCTTAGCCACGAACGCCGTAATGAGCTGCATATACGCAGAGTTTCTAGACACATGCACCATACCCTGATACCCGATCTTTATACAACCAAATCGTCCAATGAATTTGCGATTCGGCGTAAATTTTCAACTGCTCTTTGAGCACGCCGAAGCGAGAGATGTTTGTCTTGTCGGCTTCGGGGTCTGCGGAAGGATCGGCGTAGACGGGTCCGAATTCGCCATTCCACAAAGGTACGTTGTGCGTGCGTGAGAACTCCGCTTTGCGGTTGAATTGGCGGCGGAGTTTGGAGTTTTGTTCTAGGGTGTTGGTATAGGGGTCTTGGCCTGGGATGGGGAAGCCGAGGTTTGCGTAGTCGTGGCAGGCGTAGACGGTGTTTGGCATGATTGTTGTGAAGTGGCTGAAATCCATGGCGTAGGTGTTGCCGTCGACCCAGAGGATGTGGTCAGGATCGACTTTTCTGATTGCCTTTTCGATGCGGTCGTACCAGTTGATAAGGCGAGTGTGTTTGGGATCTGCGGGCTCGTTAAGAGGATTGTAGCCGGCGATGACTGGATTTCCGACGTAGTGTTTGGCCAGAGCGACCCAGAGGTCTATCATTTGATCTTGGAAGACTTTGAATTCCCAGAACAAGGCCTTGCCCATACCACTGTCGGAATGCCAGTCCTGGTTCTGCCCACCAGGGACAGCGTGAAGATCAAGAATAACGTAAAGATTGTGCCTGCCACAGATATCCACAATGTTATCCAGCAACTTGAAACCAGAGTCTTTAATAACAGTCGGGTTGTCGTCGTCAATAAAATGGCGATAGTTGAATGGCACTCGGATACAGTTCAGTCCAAGGCTCTGGAAGTATGCGGCATCTGCATCGGTAAAGAAATAATGAATCAGACGGTCGAAGAAGAATTGTGCCTTTTCTTTGCCCAAAACTTCAGCCATTGCAGCTCTGTGTTCGTGTTCATGGCCAGGATATCCAGTAATGAAATTCTCGAAGTTCATATGACCACCAAGACCTGCACCCTTCAAAATGATTCTTGAACCTGAAGCATCAACAATATCTGCACCGTCAACATGCAGCATATTACACGGTGGGTTGGTGAATTGACCAGAAGATGTCTGCTCCGTAGTCTGCGATTGAGGTTCAGCGTGAGGAGCCATCTTGAGATTGTAGATTTGAAAGATCAGTAGAGAATATCATCAAAGGCAGAGGTGCAGGCACATCATATATGCTTCTTGAATAGCATAATTGGCTTTATCAAGATAGCGTGTCTTGGAACCATTGCCCGCTATGACTTTAGCCGCGAGATGGATTAACCCAGCCATGTGCGGGAGTTTGGGCTGCCCCGCACCAGGACATCGGCTCGGCATGGGTATTCAAACATTAGCATCATGGTAACCCGGTTCGGCGTCTGTGGAATATCGTCGATAGACATTTCCAAAAAAAGATCGCTTGTCCGTGTCAAGCCATCCCGGATGAAGAAGTGATCTCGACAACATCGCCTCTGGGAGAGTGGATGGTTTTGAGGTCAATCGTGTTGAAGGTAAAACTTGCCAACGTATCAGGATCGCGATCTCTTGTTGGCCTGGCTGATGGGATAGATTCGGATGGGTAATCAAGCTCAGATTTACCAGAGCATGTTTGCGACTTGATGCCGACGAATAGAGCGATGACAAGCGGCTTGATTGCGGGTGCGCAGCCGGCGAATATGCCAAGCGCAATCTCAATGCAACAGCAAAGAGTTGCCATACCTAGACCCCCTTGTCAAGTGTTAGAAGCTGTAGGTGATTCAGACATCAAACAAAACTCACAAACACGGTCATGATTCGCGTTCCAGTACGGCGTGAAAGGGAGTCGACAAAGTGTAGCAATCGATGCCAGTAGGCCCAAGCTCAGCAACATCCATGCCATAATCTTCTTCTTTCGTTGCATTCGGGTGTTCCAGAAGATCATGGCTGGGATGATGACACAGATCAAGTCGGAGATGAAGATGACCGCGGTCAAAACGTAGACCAAGCTCCGAAGGACTGTACCACTGAAGCAAGACCCTTCCTTCGGGTACTCTGGGAAGTTGTAAAAGTGTCGCCAATTAGTGCGATATGGCCGACAGACTGTCATCAGTCCCACAAGACAAGCTGCAGTCATGAACGTGTTGAACCCGATCATGATGTAGATGGCTTGTCGCATCTGTTTTGCAGTGGCGAATCTGAGCAGCGTCAAGCAAAGGCTGCCTTTTAAAACTCCAAGTGTGAAAATGTAGAGAAGATCGAAAAAGCTGAAGTGCTATAGACAAAAGTCAGCTTCCAGCGCGCAACGGAGCGGAGAGGTGTGTCTACCATTGTCGCTGTGATGATTTGATCCGGGTCCAACCTGTAATCTCTGACACCGAGCCCTTCAGAGACTGACAAGAGAGCAAACGCCGCGCATGGTATGAACAGCAGCTGGCAGGTCGTCAGTAGAGGGTGATGCTTCAGTGCTGTAGTTGACTTGCCTCAGTCAAGACCATCATCCAGTCATCTAGCTGAAAGCAACGCCTCTTCCATCTCCCGACACTTCTGAGGATGACCGCTACCAAAGACAAGATTAAGCAACTCAAGATCGTGCGAAACAGCCAGAGGTTGACTGCTTGACGCATGTTGAGCGTGATGCAGAGACGGGCAAGGACAGTATCAATGCTTTCAGTCGGCCTTCATGACAGACGAAGACCAGGAGGTACCTACCTGGCTGACGTAGCTATGTGTGATCGAGACCGTAGTTCGCTGATACCGTTGACAAAAGCGTTGGAAACGGAATGACCTACAAGAACAGGCCCCTCACAAGGAAACGCTTGTGGGACACGTACGAGGCTTGATACTTGACGAAGACTTCGCCTAACCATGATATATTGTTCTGCCAACCAAAATCGGTTGCGCTCGATATCGGAGACACGCAAAGAGCGACAAAAGCGATGTCAGTGATTTGTGGACACCAGAGAGCATATTGTGCTGAGAAATACCAGGTATTGACAAGATGCGGGGCTTGCCAAGACCTACCGGAGCAGAAACCTTCATCCGAAAGTTTCTCCTCTGGGCGTTTACCAACTTAACGCCATTGGCTACGATGCGCCTTCGATGCTATGTAGAATAGCCAACGACTTTAATAAACGATGACAGTCGTACGGCGACAACGTAACTGTGTAAAGCTCATCGTCCCGCAAAGTCAATCCAGCAGGAACGACTTCTGTCAGGGATACTATAGAGTGCAGAGTGGTACTTTTCTGAATCGACGACACAACGAACTTGCAGTACACACCTCTGTGTGGGCCTTTGGTCAAATTCTGACAGATCATATGCAGCCACAGGTACTTTAAGCAGCGACTGCTTTGACTTCAACGTCCAACATCAACTTGCAACGGATCTAGGTCCCGGACGGTGGGTTCTGTGACCATTTATTCGCCATCACCAGTATGGTATGCACTGCGTGAGCAAGCTCTATCGACCACGTCCGGCGGCCAAAACTTCCTCGCGTCTTCACGACCTCCTGATTGTTGGCTTCAAGACATGAGAAGAACAGATACTTTTGGTCACGCTTGCGATTGAGGCACTGGCCAGCAATCACAAGACAGGATCTAGGAAAGGGCATCTGTCTCATGCTTGCTTGCTTCCACTACTCCCCAAGCAATATGGCTTACAATTCTGTTTGCTTCTCTTAGGCATTACAGGCCACATCCTCGTGCCTCGTGTCACTATTGATTCTCGCAACAAGCAAGCCGAGACCGCGGAGAGCGATGATAGCATGGTAGGTTCCGGTTCTCCATTGCTTGATTGAAGACAGTGTCATACTTGTGCATCGCGATGGGTAGCTTTTCCTCTGTGGCCCAATTGAGTAGGCGGAGCAGCGTGCTCCGTGACCAGTTTGGAGTAGATGTGGAGACCCGACCATCTCCCCACAATTCTTCCGGCGGGGGTCGGCAGACATCACCTCAACCACTGCGATTTTGCCAGCAAGGAGCATGCCGCGGCTCGAGTCCATGCTATATGCTTTCAGGTGCCTGCCTTTGAGAACATGCATTCGTGAAAAATGCAACCTCATGCCATCATGAAGATCGTCCGCCCAGCACATGTTTGCCAGAAAGCCCTAAGATGATGGAGTATAAAGAAGGTGCTACTGTCATGACTGTCTTCCACCTTTCTCGTTTGAGAAATCAACATCAATTGTGATTATGATTACATCGACTTGGACTTCTGCTCTAGTAGCAGCAGCTTTCGTACCATCTATTGTTTCTGCAGTTCCTCATGGTGGACACTCTCCTGGAAAGGGCCATGGCATCGCCGCCGATGACTTCGTTTCCGTTGACGGCTTCAAGCTCAAGGATCGCCAGGGCACCGTCTATCTCACTGGACTCAACTACTGGTCCTGTATGAACCTAGCCGCCGATGACCATGTTGGAGGCAACTACTCGCGCTTCATCACTGAACTAGACCAGATGAAAGCTCATGGGGTCAACCATCTCCGCATCATGGCTGCTTCGGAAGGCGCACCCACCCATCAACCTTTCAGAATGTATCCTGCTTTGATGGAGAGCCCTGGAAACTACAACGAAGCAATCTTTGTCGGCCTGGACCGCTGCCTGAACGAGATGAGCAAGCGAGGCATGCGAGCCACCATGACTCTGGCTAATGAATGGCAATGGAGCGGTGGCTTTGGTCAATACGTCTCTTGGGCTACAAACAACAGTCAGATTCCCTACCCGTCATCTTGGAATTTAACAGCGAATCCTCAGCGCTCTGAGCCAGGCACTGGTTGGGGCAATTACACAGTCGAAGGCGTAGATGCCGAATCTTACGGCAACTTCACCGCTTACGCAAACCGCTTCTACACGATCCCAAAGTGTCAGGAATGGTACCATGCCCATATTTCCAAGATTCTCAATCGCGTGAACACAGTCAATGGCCGCAAATACAAGGAGGACGCTACTGTCATGACATGGCAGCTTGCCAATGAACCTCAACCCGCTGTTGTCCCTACCGAATACCTTGGCCCTTACTCCCTCGAATTACCAGCAGCGCCTGAAGACGTCATCATCCCCTGGGTCAAGAACAGCAGCGCCTACATTAAATCACTTGCACCCAAGCAATTGGTCAATGTCGGCTTCGAAGGCAAGCAAGGAAAATGGTACTTCCAAGCCGTTCATAACTTCAGCACTGTTGACTACGGCACCACTCATTGTTGGGTCCAAAATTGGGGTGTCTACGATATGCTCAACTCTTCTGCTACAAACTTGGAAGCTGCCAAGAGTTTTGCTACAGCGTTTGTTGCCAACTCTAGTGAATGGAGTAGAGAGATTGGAAAGCCTGTCTTTCTTGAGGAGTTTGGTATGGCAAGAAACAACTGGGAAAATAGTGGCAAGGAATATCCTTACCTCAGTTCGGCGGGCACTAGTAATAAGGATGAGTACTTCACTGTAAGTTTATTACTCAGTTCCCTGTGTATCCATCACTAATGCTCAAACAGACCATCATCGGCGCCACCATGAATGACTTCAAGTCCGAAATCGGAACATATGTCGGAAGCTGTCCTTGGGCATATGGCGGATTATATCGTCCGGAGATACAACATGCTAATGCCTTTGGCGAGGTCTGGGCTGGTGACCCGCCGCATGAGGCACCCGGTTGGTACGATCTGTACGATACCGATGAAGCTATGAACATTGTGCATCGTCAGCAGCAACAAATTGCTCAGTATTTGAGCAAGGGACATTGATTGTCTCGTGTTCTCCTGAAGACAGAACAGACTAAATATAAGCACTCTGCATTCAATCGGTAAATCGAATCTTCGTGATGGCCACTCGAGATTCAAGTGAGAAGGCAAGATTCAGAGCGTTGACCATGTCGTGCTCCTGTTAGGCGAGAGGACGAACGCGAATACATCGTGCATTCAATCAGTAAATTCGATCTTCACAGCGGAATGGTCAGGGTGAAGAAACGACAACTATATCGTACTCCCTCAACAGTTCAAGGGAACATAAAAACCTTCTGCATTCAGACAGTCAATAAAACATCTAGCAAGGATCATTGGGAGTTGGAGTGAGAGAGCACTAGCAAAGTCGTGTTTCTGCTGTGACAGAAGCGAAGAAAGATAACACCCTGCATTCAATCAGTCAAATCCGTGTTTATATTGGACCATTGAGAGCACAACAATAATGCTTACATCGCAGCATTCCTTTCTCACCCCAGGAAAGCTTGAAACAAGTCCTGCATCAATTCAGTTGAATGAACGTTCCTTACAAGCTGCCGGGAGCGCGCACAAAGGTCAACAACAACTAGTATACTGACCTTACATCTTAGATTAGCTTGTCGCTTTGTCTTAAATCATCAAAAGAACAACCCTGCATTCTCGGCAGTCTATCACATTTCATCTAGAAATCAACCTCCTAAAATGAGTACGGGTAAAGAGGGCGATAAAGTACTTAGGTCCATGAATCTGCACAAGATTTCACGCTCCAGATCCATCGAAAGACGACGAGCTCACAGTAGGAAAGCAAGATATGGCAGTAAGCTCACAGACCTGATCGCTTTCTCTCCTTGTCCTCTAGCACACTCTTAGACCTCATGACACCTTCGCAAAACTCTAGATTTCAACAAACTCCAGACCTGTCAGGTACTCCCCGGCAACGTTCGGTGCCCAGTGTAACATCGGCATCCGGCCGATGGAAATATAACCTCCCTTCCTCGTCCCAGCATTTATCTCTAAGAATCCAAACCGAACAACATAGCGTCGTACCCCTGACAAAGCAGCACCGACCAGATTGTTTCTGCTCTCGACTCGAGTGCGTGGGGTAGTCGTTTCGAAGAACATGTAGGGGAGAGCAAGATGGAGGACAGAATGGTTCATGTCGTTGGTGTTGGGAAACACTCATGACTCTTCTTCTAAGATTCTGATTTGGAGAGGGACGTACTACGGGTATAGAAGGATTTTATACCCAGATATTACGATGAAAGCTTTCGATAATTGAACAATGGTCAGAAGGAAAACCAAAAAAGGAAAGGAAAGATTGAGTGGGAAAGGTCTCGCCACAGGGAGGTATTGAGTAGCTTCTGACAGACACATGACTGGATGTCAGACTCGGCACGTAATGGGTTCCAGCTTCGCGCACACAACGCCGTATATATCCCTCCTCCTTCCAAGTGCAATCGCATCCTGCATCATTCCGAAGAAGATCCTCGATTCACTGTTGTCGCCGAAGCGATAACGTAAGAGAGGCCGGCTCGGAATGGTATCCAGTAGCATGAGTGCATCAGGTCAGTAATGCTTTCTGTACAATGTAGTTTCTTGTGATCTGATCGCAGATTTCGGTGATTAAGTTATTCGATTGACATATCGCGAGCTCGGAGGGAGGACATGTGGAATGTATATCATGACCCTGGCTGTTCTCGTTTTGCTCCTTCGGAGCCAAACCCTCACACAATGTGTCCGCAGAGAAGTCCTGAGAGTGAGGTGGGTGATTAGGCTATAAGAAACGATGCAGGCGAGTGTATGTCATGTTTATAGTTCGTTGCAGCAATTTTGAGAAGGGAATTGACTTGTTGTTCAAGAGCCTTCGTCTGGAAACAGCAACCCAGGCGCAAAGCGATCAAAAGACATGATTGTCGGGTCGTCAAAAAACTCCAGCCATGGCACATCTTCAGCACCAATGCTTGTACCGAGTCCACTGTCAGTACAGCTGTCACACTGAGTTGATGCTACTGTCATAGTGCAATGCTCCGACTTCAACACTTTTGCAGCGATTTTTTTGATTTTGACTAGAACTGATCCGGCGCAGGCCCAGTTTAAGCTCAGCGATTTCAACAGGCCGACGACTAAGGTGATGCGATCTTTATGTTGATACATGCAGCGGCAGTTGTGAAGTGTACAAGCGGCAAGCTGAACCACGGACGCGATGACAAGAGCGCAAATAAAGAAAGGCGTATGTTTTTGCACCGGACAGCGGAAAGCCGCAAGATTTGACAACTCCTTCGAGGCATCAGTCGCTTTACTCGCATGAGCATGCTTGGTATCAGTGGATGGCATCTGCTTATCACCCTTCGCACAGAATATGTCCGCTGTTGGATGCACCGAGAGAAGTTCGCTGCGAGGCATGTGCAGGAGAATGGTAGCCCAGTGAATGACCATGTGTGCTTGGAATAGCATTTCGTCGACTTCACCTGAGTTAGAGATGAGGTCGCGCTTCTCCGGAGGTACATAATGCGTCCATGCTGCAAGCGAGTTATCGATTGCTTGTACCTCATCAGGATGAGCTTCAGCATTTGCGATTGACAACACCCGCGACAGTATTTGTACAGCCTCAATACGATAGCAAGAGGAAGAGAAGCTCATTTCTTCTTCGGCAAAATGACGGTCAGCGAATTGAGCCAAGGTGGGGCTGTCTGAGAAACAAGCGCCATCTGTGTATGTCGAATCTTCACATGGTAGCAAAACTTCCGAGGCGACCGTGGTGGTCTTCATCGTTGAGCGACGATGAATCGCAGACATGATGCCTTCCACTACAAACAGCTCCCACCACGTGCGACGGAAGCTCTCTTCAAGACACGGTATGGAGCCACCATTCGAGGAGCTGAATGATTTTGTGTTCATACCAAGGCTGATAGCTAGCTCAATTGCATCTTGAAGCATTGCCAGGCCTTCGTTGGGCTCGCCTCGTGCATGTACCGCGATTGCGAAGAGAAGACGAGCTTGAACCATGAAAGCCGTTCTTTCTGGACTATCCTTGAGAGCTCTAGCAGTCTGTATTCTTAGGGGGTCGCCGGATTGAGATGCCGAATAATGACTTCCGATGAATTGAACGACTAGCCGAAGGTACGAGGGATAGTTCTGATCGTACATGTGCCGTGGAAGCAAGATGGGATGAGCTGGATGGAAATTCGAGTAGTATAAATTTACGACATGTTCCGAATCCAAGATCGCTTCCGGGCGACTCTGACATCGCGAATCAGTCAATGTTGACACTGGGAGTTTGTCGGCCAAGATGTATGTCGGCCCAGAGTTGGGAAACGGAGTATCAAGAGCAGCTGCAATCGAGTCTGATGTGATGCCATGTCCGTGTTGACCAAAAGTGGTCATTTCGTTCTGCCAAGGCAAAGATTCTGATGTTGTGTAAGATATTGTTGGCGGCGGTGCTGGTGATGTCTGAAGTGAAGTGTCCTGAGTAGAGGGCGAATTGAGTTTTCTTCGTTTCTTCGGCATGCCTTTACATCCTCGTCGTGAAGGCATATAATTACATGTAATCTCGGATGTGATGCATCGTGAGCAGATTGGTTGTTTCCCGTCGCATTTGAGATGCTTGGATCGACATTCAACACAGGCTAGAGCAGATGGCTTGACAGCAGAGGCTGTGGCATGAGTAGTAGTTCTCGTCGTCATATCTTCGGACCGGCGATCATGTTATGGCAGACAGAGCCTAGCAGAGACTATGTATATCGCGATCCGGTTGGAAGAACAAGAACACCAGATTGAATGAGAGTGTTTACGAAAAGAATGACTATGATGGTGAATGTCGCCGACTCGGGGATGTTCAAGAGACAGCGGGGACTTTTTTTCGGATTCAGCGTCACCTTGTCGATGTTTACTTGGCGAGATACTTGATGCTCGACAACAACGAATGCGCTATGTACCCGGAGTGGTGCCCAGAAGGTTGTATCTTCTGTTAGAAAGAAACGCGCGGTCAATTAGCGAAAGTGTACTGAGTATGAGGGATTGCCTGTCAGGATGGGAATGAGAAGCAAGGAGCCTTCGGATTTAGTGAAGCTGTTTTGTGGTCAAAGCGCACAATTGCGCAATATCGCGTTGGGAGGAAGGTGCGACTGTAATGTGTTTGTTGCTCTCTCGCAGCTTTGCTTTCTGCGATAACTTTGTCTTTCTTTGTTAGAATAAGACGTCGTCCTCGGTCGCTCATTCCTCCTCCAGCATACCTTCCAGATGTGTCGGTTCATGGTATTACAAAGCTCGGAAGAAGAAGGTGCGATAGTTGCTGACCAGATTATTAGGTGTACAAGGGCAAGGAGCCCATCCTTCTTTCCACTTTGATTCTAGACCCAGCGCATTCCATCCTTACACAATCCTACGACTCGCGACTCCGCCTAGACACACGACGACCTCACAATGGCGACGGCTTTGGCGTTGGCTACTACACCCCTCCTTCGTTGCTCGCCCTGCTCGGCCCGGACCCGTGCATCTTCACCTCGACCATCCCTGCTTGGAACTGCACCAACCTGACGCGCTTGGCCAGCAAGACTGTCTCGCCCCTCATCTTCGCCCACGTCCGCGCAAGTACCGAAGGCGCCCTCGCCGAGAGCAACTGCCACCCCTTCAGCCGCGGCTGCTTGATGTTCATGCACAACGGAGGAGTAGGAAGCTGGAACAGTGGTGTCAAGCGCAAGTTGGTCAGCGACGTTGGCGACCGCTGGTTCGGTGGTGTTACTGGCAGCACCGACTCTGAGTGGTGCTTTGCCCTGTTCCTCGACAGCCTTGAAAAATTGGGCTACGATCCGGACAACAACGAGGCTCAGACGAATGGCTTCGGCCACAGCGTTCTGCGCAAGGCCATCCTCAAGACCATCGAGCGCATCAACGGCTACATCAAAGAGCTGCCCGAACACGTCAGAGAAGGCGACACGCGCAGTCTGCTCAACTTTGCCGTCACCGATGGCAAGAGTGTTGTCTGCACGCGCTACGTCAGCAGCAAGACCGACGAGGCTGCCAGCCTGTTCTTCAGTTCAGGCACCAGCTGGAAGAAGCAGAACGGCCCTTCAGCCGAGAAGGCCGACTACACCATGGAACGCCGTGACAGAGGCGCCGACATTGTCCTTGTCGCCAGCGAACCCCTGACCTTCGAACGCGACAACTGGGTCACCGTCCCTACCAACAGTACCGTCACCATCCACAACCAGACCGTCCTCATCCATCCCATCATCGACGACTTCTACAACCCATCTCCTAGCTTCAAGCGCAGCTCCAAATTCGCCGAGACAAAGGGACAGACCACCACTGAGATGGCGAAAGCTTCGATCGATTCTGCCCCTGAGAATCTTGTCCAAGCCGCGGCCTGAACAATGCTGAAGATGCTTTCACACCGTAAATCAACCCTACCTAACCCCGTCATCACTCAGTCGCGAATGCTGCCGTTTAGCACGCTCCTTGCGATGCTCAAATCTGGATACCGGGCCGGATTACCGTTTATGGCAGTCTTTTGTCGTGCTATTCCTCCTTGCCTCTTTGGAACCTTCGAAAACGTGCTTATGGCCGTACGAGCACAGAAGCATAGGAGAAGTTTCCGAAATGGAGCGTCGTCCGAGTGGTCGTAAGACCGACCAAGTGCTGGTGGGACGAGGTTTCCACAGCGCTAGACAAGAGAGTGACCACTCATGGCTTCTCGGAGACTTTGCCAGAATCTTGCTTTGGATCGACAGGGCGCTGAACCTGTGAGAATCTGCTCATCATCGCTCCGATTCGCTCTAAGCATTTTGCAACGTACAAGGTCGGGGCCCGCATCTCACGCGCTTCCAACAAGCAATATGCGCTCAACCGGGGCCACGTTGGACTGGTGCATGACACACTTTTGGATGCGTCTCGCTCTTGAATCTTGTATTCTTAGTGACCATAAAGACGCGTTTCATAGAGCGTTTATCAATATACATCCAATCAGATTCAACCAAAATCCTCGAGGCATGTTCACCCTGAGATCATAACAACAGTCACCGCCTGAGACCATGCGTTTCCAAATTGGAAAACGGCCACTTCTCGAAGACGGACTTCCATCCGATCAGTAATCGCCGTTCTCGCACTCTGCCACAGACAGCTAACACGGCAATTGGCTTCGAGTGCCGCGGTACAGCGTCGATCATTGCCTAATCGGTACGACAGAGCCTCAACACCCTCGACCTCCCATACCAGCTACAGCACGCATACAGAGTCTAGACTTTGACGATGTCGCGTCAAATTGATCAGGAGACCTTAAGTAGAGCGTAGAAACAGTGATGTGACAGGCTGACAAGAAGAGTGAGTAATGTCACTGCAGCAGCGACGCCGCGCCCTTTTCTATTTATCGTGGCTAAACTGCTATGAGGTTATACGGTGTTTGTCAGTGCCACGACAAGTGAAAACGTCAACATCTCGACACTGCGCGCGCCGTCGTGAGCCGTGAAAATTTGCATCCTTCGATCAGCATATATCCTTGATATAACACCACTCCAATATCGAGGGATGTTTGCTGCTGACCCAATACATTGACTTCTAATTGTACGTCGACTAGATAAGCACCACACGCGGATTCGGTCTCAGCCTCCGCGTGGTTCGGAGTCAGATCTGAATCATTCCCTGGTGGCTTGAATATTATCCGTCGAAACCTTCCACCCGTGTAACCTAAGAGGCACAGGCAGGTTCGACTATTTCTGTTTTTAGTGACGTTGATTTCCTCTCCTTTCCACCGCTCCTTTCTCGCAACTTGTATTCTAAAATTCCGAAAACACTGTCGCTGCCAACAACAGACTCCACTCGTTCCGTCCGCAGAACCAAACTTCTTAGTAACCCACCTCTCACATCCTTGTTGATCCACCATGGTTCGTTTCGCACAATCAGATGAGATGACCAGACGGCCGAAGAGGGTAGCAATACCTCCTACACCGCCTAATGAGCTTGAAGATAACAATCACATCTATCAAACCATCGAAATGGTTCCTAAAGAAGAGAGTTTTGCCCAGGACATAAAACAAGAAATTGAACCATCAACATCATCGCCGACAGTTTCGAAAACATCGATAGTGGATGCCATCGATGCAGAGACAGATGAACTGATCAAATTTCTGGATGCCTTCTCCGCTGCCTCGATGGCTCCCATACAAACACCGCATGGCCGAGATGGCTGGGATGGTTTTGCGACCACTGAACCTGTCATCTCAGTCATATCGTCCTACTTGGCTTCGAAGAATGCGAAGAGCGTGACAATAGGCTCACCAACCTTTCCATCTCTCGTCAGCGTTTTCGATGAAGGCGAAGGTCCCTGCCTGGTGTTGAATGGAATCATATCTCCACGCATCTCATCCCCGTCACATCCTTACTCTTTCAACAAGCATATACGACCAGTCACACATCCGCCTCCGGTGCCTGCGGATGCAGCAGGAACAGCAGCGATCGTGGCGGCCTTCGCTTTCCTCCACTCTATCCGACATCGACTCATCGGCACAGTCGTCTTGGAAGCGATTTCTGATACCGAGGAAGGCACACTAGGCACATGCCGACATATGCTACACTCCGACGAGCGAAAGACATTATGGCGAGGCGATTGTATGATCACTGCCGCTTCAACCTCAGCTGCTTCTACATCTATTCCTCCATCACCGTTTTCCGCACCCTTCCAAGACACAACCGCCACAAAAACCACCGACCCGGCCACTTTTGATCTCGAAACCGCAAGGTGGCAACGGACGGTACCGGCGGAGAATTACACACCCTCACGACTATCAACGCCTTGTGCAATCCACCCCGTCGCCACTTCCTTCTCAAACAATGGCAAGAAAGTACTCGGCAGACGACCCAGTATCCCTCATTTCCACGGACGACGGAATGGCTCTCACGCACGCTTCTGGACCGAAGTCGGTGTACCTGCATTCTGTTTCGGCGTCGGTGGTTCTTCACAGCCAACTCAAGATCAACAATCGTCGGAACAGCACTCCGAACAGCAAGATCAAGACGCCGAATGCGATCGCATGGTAGATTCTGGCATCCAAGACGTCGCGGTCAAGGCAGAGGGAGAGATCAGTCAGGATGCGAGGGATATTGATCGCAAGCAGTGGATTCAACTTGTCAAGGTTTTGGTGCTGACGGCTTGGGATCAGGTGGGCTTGGAAGATTGAGAATTTATGCATTGGATGGCGTTTTTGGCAAAAGGATTGGGTGGCATTGGAAATAGGTTCGTTGGCTGGCGTTCTATGGGTATTGGATGAAGCAGCGGATATACATAGCTGCAGGATTTATAATGATTTGAAGAGTCATTCTACTTTTTCATCACGCTTCTTGTAGCGTCCTTTCACTGTTTGCTGATCTATGATGACCACCTCCTGTAACTAGCAAAAAAATAGTCTTCTGCTCAAACCATTCTTGTCGGGTTAGGTATAAATACTCCTCCCACCCGTCTCTTAGGACTCTTTTTGATCAGAGACAACATGACCAAAGAACCAGATGTCTGCATACTTGAGCACCGCAGCTTTTTCCACATATCGCTGTCGACACAACTGCGAGTAGCGTCGTTGAGCAGAGAAGGAAAGTGCACAGGTCAGTGATACTGTATCACTCCTACCTTCTCCACACCCATGACACGTATGCAATACTCTACTTGCTGGATCTCGATAGGGAAGTGGAGGTCTGCAGTGCATCATTGACCTGTGCTTGTCCTTCCTACTCCGTCTCTCCTGTATGCTGCACCTCTCTCCAATCTCATCTTGAAGGAGTGTCTTCTAAGCTTCATCTCCAGATCTCAGATCAGCGTCTGCATTGTGGTTGATGCTGCTTTTGAGTTTCTGTACGGTCCCTCGTGGGAAGATATTACTGATGTTGATGATCTACGCGCGCGCACGGTCTACTCGCGCGCATCACCAACTTCAAAACCAGCTAGATAGCTTAACTTCAACACGGTCGCATATTACGACGAGCGACTCGTTTCGTTTCAAATTTGATTATTTAAATAGATAATCACTTCTTCATCCTTCTACGAAGAGATTGTTTATCGCGCGCCTCTTGTTCTCGTTCCTTAATGATAGACGTCTAATACACCTCCTATTTGCGTAGTACATTAATAGAATCGACTAAACTACGACCCTTAGACTTCTTAACCCGTATACGAGGTTTCTCGTTAATTATGTCGACAATATGGCGGTTTTTTTGTTTAATTTCATCGCTTCGTTAGGCCAGTTTAACTATAGCTAGTTCGTAAGCTTTAGTGGCCTTCTTATAAACTAGTCTTAATAGCTAGTATTTTGCTTCAAAATCTGCCTCTTAGTCTTAATTAATGAACCTTAGATAATCCTTCGTCTCTCTTAGGTAGTTTAGAGTCTTAAATTCGTATGTTTTAGGTAGTAGAGTAACGTTTTAGTCTACTAGTTAGACCTCCTCTTTTACGACCACTATATCTAGATTCTAAGGGATAATACTAGCTTCTTTCTAGCAGTTTCGAATGACCTTATCTCTTATAGTCTCCTTATAGGCCTATTAGTACAGTAGAAGGAAGTCCTTTCTCTTAATTAGACTAGCATCTAAGAACTGTTATAGCTTATATAATTTAGCCTTATATTGAGTTTCAAGAGGTGAAAATGTGGCTAGATCTAAGGGTTATAGAACATCGCTTATATGTAGTAGAAGCGTATAAAGAATAACCTTATTGTCTTCAGCTAGTTGTTTAAATGTATCGTTAATATAGCTCTTATAGCTGTCTAAAATGAGTAGTCTATACTCATTTTTTTTGGCTAGCTTCGTTTAAGGAAGAAACATAGTCTTAAGCTACTAACAACCAATTGTATCGTTAGTCTAACCGTTCTCCTATACTACGAAGTAATAGGGAGGTATATTAGTAGGAAAATTGTTAAGCATAAGGTGTACACCCTTAAAAATAACGAGTAGTTTAATAGCTTTAAAGCTCGCTAAGATACACTTAATTATTATTACTATTCCTAGTCTTAAGAGGCCTTAGTACGCGTTCTCTTTCTCTTTTTACCTATAGATTCATTATAGGCCCTTCCTATAACAACTTGTTTAGTATAGATGCCTAGGCCTTAGCTATGTTTATCTATATTGTACATATTCCCCCTCTTAATTTTATACGTCTTTATTACGTAATCTAGAGTTAAGAACTAGGCCCTAACGTTCTCTTCTATCGCCTAGTTAATCCTATCTACCTCTTAGGATTTTCTAAGAAGTTTTTTAACCCTTAGATGTCGTTAAACGAAGCGATTAACCTATCTCTTTCCTATAGATTAGTATACCCCTTATTTGCGGAGGATAAAACTAACTATTAAACGGATACGGCGCTTCGTAGGTGCGCGGTATAGGTTATCTAGGGCTATAATACGTTTAACGAGGTCTACCTCTTATATATCGGTTAATTTCTTCTCGTTATTATATAATTTGTGTCGTGTTAGCTAGCTATTATATCGATCGCGTATAGTAGAGGGGGGGAGGTCGAATTCGCGCGCGGCGGCCATTAAACTATTATATATACTGTCCTACTATCTAGCGATAGCTACGGCGATGTTATCTTCTTAAATTTAGTCTATTAGTTATATATATACGTTAATAGAAAGAAGAGAAACGAAGAAGCGAGACGCGAGTTAACGTATACGAGTAGACCGTACGCGCGCGTAGATCATTAATATTAGTAGTACCCTAAACCTCCTAGCGTAAGGAAGTATACTTTTTCTATCTCCTATATAGCAATAATGCTTATCTTAAACATAGTCGTATAATAAAAAAGATTAACTTTATACACTAATACTAAGCGTAGACGACTTATAAGGGTATAAAGGTATATAGCAACGTATAGATTACTCTTAGACAATAGGTCTGTCTATAGCTAAAGCTATTCGTTGCCCTACGTAAGGTAGCTATAGAATTCTTCTTATATGCTACGCTAGCGTATCGTATAGGAAACGCCGGCTTAGTAAAAGAGAGAGAGAAGACTAGGGTAACCTATCCCGTTACAATTATCCCCCCCTCTAGGACGCTGTCCTTAGCGGCCTATATCTGCCCTTAAAATCCGTAGTCGTAAGCGACTTCTATAGAGCCTAATAGACTACCTCGCTATCGTAGCGCGCGCGTGCTATATAAGAGCCGGCGACGCCGGCTAAGGTTTAGGCGTCGTAGGCGGCCCGCTTAGCGGCGACGCCTTAGCGTCGCGACGCATGCGGCTAGCGATAATAATAAAGCTAGCCTATTACTTCTTTATCCCTTCCTTTCTTTAGTACGCGTACCTCTTACGTATCGCCTCTTCTTCGTAAACATAACTCTACTATAACGTAACCATACTATACGCTAACATGCCCTTATTTAAGCCTATCGGTGTCCCCGTCGCTATCGACGACGCTATTATCTAGTGTAGCCGCTACGCTAAGGACTAGGGTAGTCCTAATAAGAGAGGTTTATTTTAGCCTACGCTTCCTATACGCGTCTACTACTAACCGCTATATAGACGACTACTCCTTCTATACGGGCCCCCTAATAAAGTGCCCCTACTACGCTACTACTAAGCACGCCTATATACCTCTAGACGACTACTCGGCTAAGGCCTTTAACTGCCTTATTCGCTACCGCCGCGTCCTAGACGCCTTTATCGCCGTTCGCGCTAGCTATAGGGTTAACGCTGCCGCTACGCTTAAGCTCCGCTAGCTTAAGGTACGTATAGCCTACGAGCGCGCCCGCTTCCTTTATTACCTCGATGCCGCTAAGTACGACCCTAACTCCCGCGTCGGTAACGTCTACCTTTATAAGGACGCCGATAAGGTTAAGCGCTCGCCGCTTACCGTCGCCGCCTTCCGTAAGGAGGTACGTAAGCGCGCCGCCCTTAAGCACCTCGCTTAGGTATATTACTTTATCCCTACGTTCCGCTTATATGTCGCGCGACCGTATCTAACCTTATTAATTTGTAGGAGGCTACTAAGTCCCGCCGTGCCGCTACTAAGGCTAATACTATCGCCGCGCGCTCTACTAGCGCCCTCGAGGCGATCGCTATATACTTCGCTAGCTTCTAGCCTATAGTCGCCGCCGCTCCCGACGATAGTAACGATAATAAGGATAGCGAGGATAGCAACTCGTCCNCCTTCGCTTAGGTTACGCCTACGCTTCGTATACGTCTCGTACGTCCGTAGCATTCGCTATGTCGCTCGCTAGTACCTATAAGTTGTACTCTACTAGCTAGCCTATCTATTTAACTAAGAAGGCTTTCTTATTACTAGTCCCTCGATAGTCTACGATTTCCTCTACCTCCTATTCTTCGCCTCCGTCGACTAGTTCTAGATTACTAAACGCCGGGGCTTCGACTCTATCCNNCTAGTAGTATAGTTTAAGGAGGGATACGTAAAACACATCGTATAGTCGACGATAGTTCTCTAGTAGCGCTAGGCGGTACGCCTACGCTCTAATTGCTTCTATAATCTAGAACGGTCCGATATACCTTAGGGATAACTTTCGGCTCGGTTATCGTACTTTTAGGTTTTTTGCTAATAGCATTACTTTGTCGTTAACCTTAAACGTCCTTTCCGTATGCTACTTATTATATCCTTAGGATTAGTATTCGCCTACGGTATATAGGCTTACCGCTAGCGATTCCCTTACAGTTTAAAGCCTCTAAACACGCTCTATTACTACTAGTACCTCCCCTTCGCGAGGGCCGTCTCGGGCCTCTATATAAAGCTTCGGGTTATATCTATATAGCGCATAGAAGGGACTTATGCCTAACGCATAGTTCTCGCTATTATTACTCGCGAACTCCGCTAGCGGTAGCTAGGAAGCCTAGTCGTTCTACTTGTCTAAGTAGAAGTAGCGAAGGTACTACTCTAACGTCTAGTTCTAGCGCTCCGTCTAGCCGTCCGTCTAAGGGTAGAAGGCTATAGAGAGCCTACGTTTCACCTGCGTAACGTAATACATGTCCGACTAAAACTAACTAGTAAAGACGGAACCCCTATCGGAGACGATTCCTTTTAGCACTCCGAAACTATAGATAATAACCTCTAGGAAGAGGTTCGTAAGCGTTACGGCGTCGTAACGCTTAGTAGTCGGAATGTACTTCGTTATCTTTATATACCTATCTACGATAACTAGTATTAAGTTAAAGACCTCGTTATAGTACTTACTTAGAGGAAGGTCTATAATGAAGTCTATAGAGAGTTCTTCCTATAGGCCGGCTAGCGCGGGTAGCGCTACTATAACGCTATAGGGTCGATAGCGTTTTGCCTTCGATCTCTAGTAGATTTCGTAAGTTTCGACATATCGCTTAACGTCGCTCGCTAGCTCTAGCTAGTCGAACGTTCGTCGAATTAAGGTAATAGTCTTTTCTCGTCCGAAGTAAGCTATAAGCGGGTCGTCGTAATATATNCGTATTACCTACGTCCGTAGCGCGTTATCCTAAGGAACGTANANGTAAGTACCCTAGTATAGGAGACCGTCTTTAGTTTCCTAGGGGGCGCCTTTCTACTTACGTATAGGGTACGTCTCGCCTTCGTAGACGACGGGGTCCGCGGCCTATAAGGTAGTAATCGTAGCGAGNGCCCCTTAAGTAGCTTATTCGTAGCGGAGCATTAGCGTTAGTTCTCGATTAGCTAGGTCGGTTACGGTGTTTATAATAAATTCCTTAAACATTAGCTATATGCCGGTTTCGATAGCGCCTACGTTCTATACGCGTATCGCCTTCGCTTCGGCGTCGCCTTTTAGCTAGAGGAGGGCGTAGACGATCTTATCCTTATCTCGGATAAACGAGGCTTTATTATTTAAGAAGGCTAACTTAAGACGATAAAGGAAGAGCTTTACGTCGTAGAGGTCCTTTCTATAGAAAGGCGGGATATCTAGTTATTTCCTTAACTTCGAGCCGCCTAAGTAGCGGGTATAGTACGCCTATTCCTCGCCCTTAGAGGGAGTAATAGTCGAGTACGTTAGGCTCGTTTCTCTTAATCCTAGCATTCTGCTAGGGGTGTTACCTACGTAGAGGTCGTTAACCGTCGGCTACTATACGACGCGATTACGTTCTCGGAGCGCTAAGTACTTAGCTCGTAGTCGTTCCCTCGTAATTATACGTCGGAGGTCGTCCTCGTCGACGCTTACGTCGTTATCTATAGCCTCTAGTATGTCCCTTACGCTTATAGGTTCTTCGAGGCTAGGTGTCGCGTAGTCCGGATCGGTACGTCCGTTAAATAGGTCGCGAGACGCTATCGGTACGCCTATAGGGAGCGATAGAGGATCTATAGGCTACTACCTAGGTAGGAACGAATAGAATTATAAGGGTATGAAGGTATGTAGTAACGTATAGATCACTCTTAGATAATAGGTCTATCTATAGCTAAAGCTATTCGTTGCCCTACGTAGGGTAGCTATAGAATTCTTCTTATGTACTACGCTAGCGTGTCGCATAGGAAACGCCGGCTTAGTAAAAGAGAGAGAGAAGACTAGGGTAACCTATCCTATTACACGACTATCTAAAATCGTTATTCTACTAACATAACTATTATAAGAATATACGAATGATTACTATAATATAAGACCCCTCTTATCTACGGGTAAGACCTTAAGTATCGCTAAAGCAATCTTAGTAATAAGTAGAGCATAAGTTTAATAATAACTTCTACATTAGAGACATATTTAGCGTATTTCGTACTTAGAATATATTAATAGGGTTACGGAGGGAAAACATCGGGTCTATAATACTATATTCTTAATCTCTTAATGTAGATAGAGGGTTACTCGATGCTCGTATACCTCCCTTAAGGTAGATTGCTTATAGCGCGATAAAGATTTAAGCGTAAAGGAAGGATTAGTAACCTAAACCTCTCCCTCCTTTACCTCCCTAATAGTTCTCTAGATCTTAAAGTTTTCTTATAGGTAATGCTAGAAGAAATGGCTCCTAGCTTAATTAGGCGTAGTTAAAGTCTCTATCGTTAATTTGTTTATTATAAGTTAATATAGCTCTATTACTAGCCTATAGACATAGTTAACTACATACTAACTATGTTAATTATCCTAGTCTCTAGTAATATAAATAGTAAATAGCGATAGGCAAATAGTCCCGAATAGACCGTAGTACACTTGCTTAGGACTATAGATATAGCTACATTATTATCGTAACATATGTTCTATAAACTAATTAAACTATTAGTTATAGAACTAATAAGCTCGACGATATAAGATTACGTTCCTCTAGGAGATAGTCTCGTCTATCTATATCTAGACTCCTTATAGTAATTTGCGCGTCTAAAACATTATAATGATAGAGATATATAACTATACTTGCTATTAGTACATTAGACCTAACTCTCCTACTAGCATTATTAGGACGCTATAATGTTAGCTAACGATTTAATCTACTACATGCATTAGTATTAATAATACCTTAAACAAGTTTCGGGATCTTAGGGCCTATAAAGAGGGTAATAGCGTTAGGGATATAGCGTTTTAACTAGTCGTCTCGCGATAGAAAACCCTATCCTAAACCCTTTAACATTAACTTTCTAGACTCTAGTTAGGATAACGGAGTTATTAACCTATGCTACTTCTTCCGCTTCCTATACTCTACCTTACGTCGGCTATAACTATAAACTTATAATTTTTTTAGCTAGTAGAAGCAAAAAGATAAAGAGCGTAATATCTAGATATTTCGTAGTTACTATATAAAAGACTACCGAGAGAAGTAGAGTAGGAGTATATATTACTAGATTATAGAGGTCTATATCCTAGAGTAGTGTTTATAAGCCTCTCTATTAGTTAAAAGCATTTTTGCGGTGTTTAGAAAGTTACTCTTAAAAATTCGTAATGTTAGTTTACTCGATGTTATAGAGACAAGGATTTCTATACGACCGCTAGAAAAATGTGTCTACTAATAAGACAAAAACATTATCGATTTAGAAGCTACTACCTTAAGCTACTTCCTTATATTAAACACATGTCTAAATGCATAAATATCTTTAAAATATCATGTTAGACCGTAGAGAGCCTCTCTTAGTATAGCACTAATTCCTTTTTTATACAAATCTCCATTCCTTAAATATTACTCTTCTCTGTTTCTTTTGCAAGAATATCGTAAAGCTCGTACGATCTTTTGGCCGCTTTAGTAAGAAGAAGGATTATATGTCCCTTACATGTTAGTTAGATCTTCGTTGCTAGATAAAGAGGGGAATCGATAACTAGGTATACGACGAGGATATAAACTAGCCCTTCTTCCTACCTACGGCGATGCTATGCTATCTAGAAAAAAAGTATCTTTATCTCTCTGTGCTAGAGACACATAAATGTGAAATGATTATCGACCCGGTCTACGTCGTTACGTCTCGACGCGAGGATTATATCTCTCTACCTAATTTCTTAGAGCGCGTCCCTTGCATCTCACTATATAAATAATTACAAAGACTAGGCACACGTCGAAATCAAACCATCCCTCCCTCCTATCCTCGACCAGTAAAATGTATGAAGTAAATCACATACGTATTCCTTTATATTATAGGTCTAGAGAGATGCACATTTTCCTCGATATTATCGACCTCGTTCGCGACGTTATGGTCCCGGCGCGACTGTCATGAGTTTCTACTCGGCATAGAAAGGCATACGGGTAGGAAGGATGCGTATATGTAAAACGGACAATATCCTTGTGCTTGCGTTGCTGTTAGAGAAAGAAGTGGTTACAAGAAGCGGAAGTGGGTAGCTATTTTTATACTTAACATTGCCTACGTAGAAGAAATTTATCATGTCTCTTTGTTTACTCCCTTGCTTCCCGCTTTTTGCTTACGCGTTAACCCTCTTGCTGTAATCGTGGTATGCGAAGTGTATACTGTTTTGTTGTAGGATTTATGTAGTCATGGACTTGGGAGCCTACTTGACCGGATCAAAGACAGAGATACAGACGGGTGATCGAGTGGACTCTGGCACGTCGAAATCCCTAGCCATGCCCTCCCCGACTTCTCCTATTTCTTAGCCCCTTCCTTCTTCAACAAAGTCTTGATTTCCTTCTGCGCATCACACAACCCTCCGACCTTACTTCCACCTCTACAGACCGGACACGTCCTTCCATGTGCAATCATCAAGAAGTGCAGATCAAATTTCAGTTCCGTCGGAATCTTCGCATCCAAATGCTGTTGTGTTTTCTCCACCGTCGCATCTTTGGGCGTCCAGTTCCATAGCTTGGCAATACGGTAACAATGCGTGTCCACGATGTACACCGTTCGCTTCAAACACCAAGATAACACCACACCGGCAGATTTAGACCCGATGTATTTGAACTGGAGTAGCTTTTCCATAGCTTGCTCATTGGGTAGATCGATAATGTAGTTGAGATCCCAAGATGCATCGTTGGTTTCCTGCACTTGTTTGAGAATAGTCATTATGATTTTGGCTTTGCGGATGTGTAGGCCGCCGGGGCGGAGGGCTTGCTGTAGTGTTTCGTCTCCTTTTGCTAAGATGGCGTCGTAGGCGAAGAGGTCGCCGTAGGTGCTGCGGAGACCTCCCATTGCGCGTTTTGCATTTGACCAGGAGGTTGCTTGGGAGAGGACGGCGATGATCATCGCATCCAGTACATTGGCTATCGTCTCTGGGGTGTCGGGGTCTGCGAATTCTTTGGCGACGGCTTCATGGTGCATTTTGTGTAGAATGGTATGAGCGGCTTTGCATTCTTGAGCTGTTGGATGAGCGAAAGTTGGGAATGGTGATGCGCTTGAGTGAGCAGACCAAGAAGTCCACTTCTTGTTGGCGAGATTGTCATCATTTGTGACTGGTGTTGATTTGGAGTCGATCGCTGTTGTTGCCACGATTGATTCTTTTGTTTTGTTGTCGAGCTTGGTCTTGTGAGATTTGGTCTCTCGCTTCACGACCTTGTGCTTTGAATTTGCGACAGGGCGGCTGATGGCTTTGCTTGGAGAGGCAGACTTTGAGATGCCATTCTGAACAGCCTTGGTAGCGGCTCTGGTAGACGGACCCATGGTTTGCAGTGTTGTACAATAATGACTCAGGGGGTGATCGGAGATCGCGAAGTGAGGCAGCCGTCAATGTCAAAAAAGTGCTGGATCTGGAAAAGTGGATATCTAGATGCAAGTGGTAGGGGTGACGATATAAGAAGGGTGGAGGATGACGATGGAGTTGACTTGGCAACAGGCCAGACTTCAAATTCCGGAATTCCGGAAGGTTGAACTTCCAGACGCCGGAATTCAAATACAATGTATATCGGTCGTGATGGGCTTGAAAAATGCTTTAGACCGAGATCGAGAGCACAGAAGGAAGGGCAGGAAAGGCTCATCGAGATTGAGAGTTCAACGTGCGTCTTCGAGGGAAATCTGTTTGCAGGGAGGGAGTTGCGAAGGATATCGCACTGGAAATATGGTAAAAGAAAAGAGTGATTTTGACAAGTAGATGGGAGCAAGTAATTATGAGAGAGCTCAAATAGTTCTGAGCATGTTGTAGCACCTACTGGTCTTCTAAAGTGTTACTGGTGGTGAACATTCGGGCTGGAGAAGAGCACAAGAGTGAAGCATAAGGGAAAGAAATGGAGAAAAAATGGACGATAAATCCCAGATGGTGCAAAATAGCAGAGGAGGTCCAAGAAAAAAGCGACGGGGATTCAGAGCAAAAAAGGAAATGCTCATATCTCAGGGCTGACCAGATCTCGGAACGCGGGTCGGCCCTTGGCTGCGCTAACACCCAGCATGAATTAAGTTGTATGAACCTCCCACGACACACCATCATCTTGCTGTTCTCGTCGTTGGATCATCAACCGTGCTGAACCGTGATATCTATCTGAGATACAGTTTGATCGAATCGCCCCGCTCTGTAGGCAGCATACCGCGTCAAGCTTCTTGGCCAGCCTTAAATTTACGTAGGTGGTTACTTCGCGTCGGATGGCTTCACGGTCCGCGATCGTGACTTTGTCAAACAACAAGTCTGGAATGCCCAGTATAAAGCAAAGGTCTGAAGACACGTTTTCTTCTCAGCATCACCATTCTTCTTTCCATTGTTTCAATCACCATCACCAGCAGAATCACAACCATGAGCTCTCAAGACTACCCCCTCCGCAGCTCTGGCATTTACCGCAACTTGCCAACCTTCGATCCTTCCATCAAGGGCTTGAACGCTGTTGTCGTGGGTGCCACTGGAATTTCTGGTTTCAACACTATCCGCTCTCTTCTCGACTCTCCTGGTCGATGGTCCACCATCTATGCCCTTTCTCGTAGCCCCATTCCGGAAGAGATGCTTTCGCTCCTCACCGAAGAGCAGCAATCACACATCAAGCACGTGTCCATTGACCTCACCGCTTCCGGAGACAAGCTCGCCTCTCAACTCAAGGAAGGTGGTGTCAAGGCTGATTACGTCTTCTTCTATGGTTACATTTCACCCAAGAATGTCTCTGCCATGGATCCAAAGGCAGAAGAGGAACTCGTCAAGGCCAACGTTCCCATCTTCAAGAACTTCCTGGAAGCCTTGGAAACCGCAAAGCTGGAACCCAAGCGTATTCTTTTGCAAACCGGAGGCAAAAACTACGGTGGTCAGATCGGCAGAGCAAGATTGCCGTACATTGAAAGCGACCCCCAACCCCGCCACCTGTCCCAAAACTTCTACTACCCCCAAGAAGACATGCTGAAAAAGTACTGTCAAGACCATCCTTCGACGAGTTGGAATGTGATTCGTCCTTTTGGAGTCATCGGCTCGGTGTCAAAGGCAGGCATGAACATGATGCTTCCCTTCGCCATCATAGCATCCGTCCAAGCCAAGTAAAACGCCCCCATCTTCTTCGGCGGCGATATCGAAGAATGGCAATACGAGTACTTGCACTCCTCCGCCCGCCTCACCGGTTTCCTCAGCGAATGGGCTGTCCTAGAAAACAAATGCGCAAACCAAGCTTTCAACGCTCACGACGGCAGTCCCATGTCTTGGGATCTCTTCTACAACGAAATGGCCCGCTGGTACGGTGCCCCCGGTGTCGCAGGCCCCGAACTCGACGATTCCAAATTCAACGATGTGGTGCTCGCAGGAGGCAAAGACAGCCCTCTCGGCTACGGTCCACCCACCCGCATCAGATTATCCCGCAGCGCCGCAGACTGGGCCAAAAACGACACCAACAAAACCACCTACGAACAAATCATACAAGAATCGAATGGAAGCATCAAAACCAACGCCTACGAAGACAACATGGAACAATTCGACATGGTGGATTTCGTCTACTACAAAATCGGTCAACCTTCCTCTGCCAAGTTCCGCAGGTTCGGGTTCAGTGGGTTTGTGGATACGATTGAGAGTGTGTTTGAAATGTACACTGATCTGGCAAAGATGGGTATAATCCCCGCTCCCAAAGTCGAGGCTGCTAAGCCCATGATTTAGACATTTCCTCAAAGATCACAAAAATTCAATATAGACGTTTTGAGTAGAAATAGAAAATTTCGTTTATTTCATGGATAGGAGAAGCAGTTTGCCAGATGAGTGCCATGTGGTGGTATTTGTAAAAGTTCATGCAGAGGGGACATGTGCTTTTTCCTATGCCAATTCTTTGTCTCCATGGCTTTACAACATTATTGTCACGTACACATTTGGATCAATTGCTGGCACTACTCTCTTGGCGAATAGAAGCCTTTCGAGATGCTTTGCATAACTGTAGATAGCAAGTCGCAGGTCATGGTCATGTAGGTCTTTTCGAAGCTGTGGGATTCGGTGCACGCTGTGAACGATACCCGAAGCATGGTCTTAGAGTGACGCGTATGGACTGCGGCAATGTGGTGATACTGGTTTGCAAGGTGGGTGTAATGCAATTTTGAGCAGGCGAAGGAGCGCTTTCGGTGGAAAGATACAAGGAGCACGTCACGTAGTCCCTAGCACACATTTCTCACCAACATACCTAGCGATTATAAGCCTTCTTCACAAAGTCCTCCCACTGATCCATCCACTCGGGCCAATCCATCTGTGTATCCCTTGTGAAAGTACTGACACCGAACTCCACATCAAGACCATCGAACACGCGGTTAAAAGTGCCCCTCTCGAGACCATGAATACCGAATTCCATCATCCCTTCACAACCACGACCGAAGCGCAGCTGATCTGTGCCTATGTCGCGAGCTCGCCAATCAAAGTCGCAAACTCTAGAGTTCTCGAGGGAGAAGTTCTCGACACGCAAGACTCCAGTCTTTGAACCGATGGTGAAGTGACCCCAGAGTTTGTTCGAGTTGACCTCGTGGTGGATAAAAATTCGAGGTGGACCATTGAAGTCAGGGACATTGGCGGGAGAATGAGATCGAAGATGTAGCCAGTAAGTGCCATTGATGTCTCTTCCAGACTCAGACTTGATGCGTGAGCCTCCGAGGTCTTCTTGCTTGACTATCCGAGCGGTCTGCTTCGGGGGTGCAGGATGCTTGATTGTGTCTGTATCTGCTAACTTCTTGGTCTTGGGCTCGGCTTCTGGTTTTGCCGCGGCCGGGGTATCTTTCGATTTGGGTGTTGCCTTTGGTTTGGCTGTCGTTGTGACGTCCTTGGGCTTTGATGCCACCTTCGGCTTGGTCGAGGCCGCTTTCTCCTGTGACTTTGCTGCGGCAGTCTTGCTTACGGGTTTGTCGGCAGCGTTCGAGGACTTTGACTTGGTCGTAGCGGCGCTCTCGACTGGCTTCCTGGCCTTGGGAGCAGGCACATCGTCCTTGGTCTTCCTCGGCTTTGCAGTTGTGGTGTCTGCTGCTGTCTTCGTGGCTTTGATCTTCTTTGCAGCAGAAGGCACGGCTGTAGCAGCAGAGGTGATGGATGCAGCAGTCTGCTGATCAACACTGATGGTGATGCCGCCGACGGTCAAAGTGACTTTTGTGTTGGTCGTGGCCTCCTCGTGTGTCCTCTTTTTGCCCTTGGTTGGAGCATCCGTGGTTTTCTCTGCAGCCTTTGCCTTCTTTGCTGCCGCAACGAACTCTTTTTTCATGTCCTTCTCCAGCTTGTTGACATGGTCGGGAACCGCGAGCGTGCCGGCGTTGATGGCTTGTAGAAGGCGCACTTTGGCAGTGTTCTTGTCTTTCGACGGCGGTAGTCCATAGTGTAGAAGCTGAGCTTGATACCAGTGACCGACTTGATCTTTTGGCGGCGCAGAGCTGCTCTCGGGTCGTAGTAGGTGCGTCAATTCGGGCACTGATGCACGTGTGTGCCGCTTGTTGTCATCAACTTGAGCGAGGAACGCGTCGTTGTAGACAAACTTATCTCGAGTCACGGCCGGCGATGTCATCCTGGACGATGTGCGTAATAATCTATTTGGTCGAGTCTTGAGGAAATATCAAGGTGTTTTCGGTGACAGCGGAATTCCATCCGTCGCATGGTCATAGCTCCCTGCTTATCGATAAGTTTCGGCCCCCTTCCCTGTTTGCATCACCGTACCATTTCCTTCTAATCTGTCGTTCGCAGGTAACATTCTCCTGCAGAGCATTGGAGAGCCCGCGAGGCTTTACAGAATCACGTTCTTGGATAGCGCAAGGTGTCGAGCATCTGATCCACTCTTTCTGTCGGGTCGATCAAGTAGCACCAGCCGATTGAAGTATTAGATTGAGATGTGATTTTGTCTGCAAAGGTTCGGTGGGTCTTGGGGTTGTGGTTTGGGAAACTTACTAGACTAGGAAACTACGGTAGGTCGAGCTCAAAGCATGCGGCAGGGGAGAGCAGTCGCTCCTTCCCTCCACCGAGACAGCGCACAAGGCAATCTTTCCAGCCTCTTTCTCTGTCTTACACCTGCACGAATCTATCTCCATGCCCTCCAGTCCTACTCAGGCGTCAACTGTCCTTCAATATGTCGATTCCGCAGTCATTAAACATTTCTACCGCCCTATGTTTGATTAAATCAAAGCCCAAGCATCTCACTGTTCAAGGTCACAATCGTTCTTGATCTGGAATTTGAATGCTCTCTGACACATGATAGAATATATAAGGGCTCTCCGTCCACATATCCGAACAATCCACAGTAATGGCCAAGTCTATCGCCAAATCGATCATTCAGCATTCTGGCAAGGTCAACACGACGGCTTGAAAGCAAACCTTGAGAAGGAACGAGATGCGACTTTCATCCTCAAGCAGCAGAATGACGCTCTGGTGTCCCAAGTCACTCAACTTCTAGCTCGCTCGAAACCGGGTCGAAAGCGCAAAGTCGAACAGGAAGAACCAGAAAAGGTCAAGAAGCTGAAAGCAGGCACTATTGCAATTACTGAGTTTGGTCTCGCTGCTGATATTGGTCCCGGTAAGTGTTTTTACGATGGGCGAGAGAACAGCGCTAATTTCACACAGTCATCAAAGCTATGCGACACATACATCGGGTGCAAACCCTGTGCAGAGGCCGCATGTGGAGCACAGATTCCAATGAGCTGGCCTACAACCTCATTCAGACTATGCAAGCCATGGAGAATATCATCGATCCTCTCGCAAACAAGAAGCACAGTGCAGATTCTTGCAAGCAGACAATCACCGCGGTCGCAAGGACTTGTATCACTGTATTTCATGGTCTCAAGAGAATGGAATCTTTGAACAGCAATGATGGCTTTCCCAGTCATGTTGTTCATGCCTGTGTGTGCTTCTTCGGTATTCTCTTCACCAGTATTGAGAACGCTGCTCGTCTCCAGGTCGAACCAAAACAACCAGATCGAGGAACGGCTGTATTGCAAGCTCTGTCTACACTTGCGAACAGCCTGATCAATATTCTGCGAGGGTCTTCACCAAATTGCCCTTCTCATGCGGAGATTCTTGAAGGCGCAACCTACGACCTTCTCCATCGACTGGGAGAAACAACGCACGAACTTCTGATGGATGGGCCCCAACACGACGATATCGAACATGAGGTGCAGAAGCTTCCGCTTCCTGATGACAAGCGACTTGATCCTGTCAGACAGACGGCTATGCGAACCATGCTAACAGCTGCTCCGTTCCTCCTTGACTGCTTGAGAAAGGCTCTGATCGGAGCACAGAACCAACCACTCGCTGCGTTTGCACGTCTGAAGCTGCAGCGTACTTTGGTTGATCGCATCTTTGGTCCGGGAACAAGAGGGCCGAATGCAAGCGAAGATGTTCTTGGACTGCCAGAAGTCTTTGGAGAGCCGCCAATGGCCGCGAATCCCATTAAGAAGGAAGACATACAAACAAAGACAGATCAATTCGAGGAAGAGATTTGGGCACTGGTCGGCTGGGACATTCTTGCATGTGAAGACAAATTGTGAATTGATGAGGAGTGATAGTGTTGCAGAGAGAGGACAAAAGCGGGAGGATTTGCTTTACATGTAGACATTGCTTCGACACATATAACAAGCTGTTTGAAATGTCTTGCTCACATGACTTGGCTTTGGATGTATTCTTCATCAACCTAGAAAGTGCTGGAAGTGGTTGTAAGGTTGTAGAGCAGCAGTCACACGACGAAAAGGTGTTGCAAAGAGGGTAACCCTGGTCAGCGGCAGATCATCGGCGTGCAGGGAAGGGTCGGGCTTCGACTCCGGAGGTTGGAGGCGCGTCATGGAAGCTTATCGCCGAGTGGAGCGGAGGTCTAAACACTCTAAGACTTAGTGCCTTGCCGTGAGAACAGCCACTCTTGCACTCCTGCATCGATGCCACCGTCCATATCATCCCTGCCGGCAGGAGACCGTTCACCCTCATCATCACCCCCGCACCCTCCCGCTAGAAAGCGCAAGAGACCTTCAGCAGCAACAACAGCAGCGGCCACTCCATCCGCATCATCTCAGCCACCAGCTTCACTCGGCAGACAGCAATCAATCCAGAACCTCTTCGCCGATCAAGCCTCGGCCGCCGCATCCCCGTCCACTGCCATCGACTCTTCACCAAACCGCAAGAAAGTCAAGAACCAACCTTTCAACATGCAGTCAGACATGTATTCCTTCTCCAGCAAGGTCATCGGTGGCAACCTGCCCGCCGCAACTTCCATCACCCGTCGCACTCCCGGCAGACTCAACAAGGGCTTCACACCCAAGGCTGGCACCACCAAACTCGTCGTCAAGACCCTCAAGCCTCAACCAGCATGGGACGGGAACAAGTACTTTGAAGACATATGGGCGCAGCTGGACAGAGCTCTCAATGTCATCTTCACCCAAGCGCCCGTCGACTTTTCTATGGAAGAGCTATACCGCGGCGTTGAGAACTTGTGTCGACAGAAAAGAGCAGAGGAGATTTACGTCAAACTGAGCAGCAAATGCAAGGCTCATGTGAGGGGACCTATGAAGACATCATTGCTATCCAAGCAGAGGCAGTCGAACGTTCAGGTCTTGGATGATGTTCTTGGTGCGTGGACTGCCTGGAGCAAGCAGATGACTGTCATTCGTTGCATCTTCTACTACATGGACCGTTCATATCTTCTGCAAACATCAAGAGGTTCTCTACAGGATGTCACCATCAAGATCTTCCGCGACAACATCTTCGAGGACCCAAGCCTGAAGCTTGCAATCATTGACGGTGCCTGCGATTTAATCTCTGCCGACAGAGCCGGTCAGGAACTGGAACCTAGTCATCTCAGTCAAGCTATCACCATGTTCCACGACCTCGCTACTTACTCAACCTCGTTCGAACCTCGCATGCTTGCATCTGCTCAACGATATGTTGTGGAATGGGCTAACGAGAAGAGTGCTGAGAAGCCACTTCCTGAATATGTCAACGAGGCTGTCACCTTTATGACCAAGGAAATTGAACGTTGCGAGCTATTCGGTCTGGATCAAAGCACGAGACGGGACCTTCTAGCTCTACTCGAGGAACACATCATCAAGGAGAAGGTCGACTACCTCACAAATCAAGACAGTGTCGCTGATCTCCTGGATGACTATGCTGTCAAGGACCTTGAACAGCTTCATTCGCTGCTACAGAGAAGACGACTTGGCTCAAAAATCAAGCCTGCCTTTGCAAGATGGGTTGAAGATACTGGTTCACAGATTGTGTTTGACGACAAGAATGATACACAGATGGTCGTCCGATTACTATCACTCAAGACTCGACTGGACCACATCTGGCGCACATCCTTCCACCGTAGCGAGGAACTTGGCCATGCTCTTCGTGAATCCTTCGAGACTTTCATCAACAAGACCAAGAAGGCTGCTGCGACACATGGTACCGACAACTCAAGGACTGGTGAGATGATTGCCAAGTATGTTGATCAACTACTACGAGGAGGTGCAAAAGTCATTCCCACAGACCTGACTCTGCATGCCCGCGACAATGCTGGAAAGGAAGAGTTCGATGACAACGAAGCCATGGACGAGGACAGTGAAGTTAATGCTCAACTCGACCAAGTACTCGACCTCTTCCGCTTCGTCCACGGCAAAGCAGTCTTCGAAGCCTTCTACAAGAAGGATCTTGCACGTCGTCTTCTCATGGGCCGTTCAGCAAGTGCAGACGCTGAGCGCAGTATGCTCGCCCGCCTCAAGACTGAATGTGGTGCAGAATTTACACACAACCTAGAGCAGATGTTCAAAGACGTCGAGCTCGCCCGTGAGGAAATGTCTTCTTACAAATCCCGCATGGAAGAGCGTGAGGAGAGGCCAAAGGTCGATCTGAACGTCAACGTACTTTCCGCAGCTGCATGGCCTACCTACCCAGATGTCCCTGTTGTCATTCCCGCCGATATCAAGACGGCCATCGACGAGTACGAACGCCACTACAAATCCAAACACAGCGGCCGCAAGCTGGACTGGAAACATTCACTCGCGCATTGCCAGATGAAAGCAAAATTCGCCAAGGGAACAAAGGAGCTCGTGGTTTCTTCCTTCCAAGCCATTATCTTGCTCCTCTTCAACGGCATCGACGCATCCACACATCTAACGTACGATTTCATAAAATCAGAATCCGGCCTCCCCGAAGCAGAAGTAAACCGCACCCTCCAATCCCTCGCATGCGCCAAACTCCGCCCCCTCGCAAAACACCCCAAAGGTCGCGAAATCTCCCCCACGGACACGTTTACCATAGACCCATCATTCTGGCATGACAAATACCGCGTCAAGATTAACCAAGTGCAGTTGAAAGAAACCAAAGAGGAAAACAAAGAGACGCATGAGAGAGTTGCCGCGGACAGAAATTTCGAATGCCAGGCTGCTGTTGTCAGAGTGATGAAGAGTAGAAAGACTATTGGGCATTCTGAATTGATCGCGGAGGTTATTACTGCGACGAGGAGTAGAGGTGTTCTTGATGTCAAGGATATCAAGAAAAATATCGATAGGTGAGTTGACTTTCTGCATGAACTTGTTGCTTGGGCGACTGCTAACTGAAGTTTACAGGTTGATCGAGAAAGACTATATGGAGAGAGAGGAGGGAAACATGTACAGCTACATTGCGTAGTTGCGTATTGAGGACAGGACGATCCTTCATAGTCATGAAGGATGGAGAAGAGGAAGGCCCTCATACGCACGCAACTCGGATGCAACTCACGAAACACAAGCAGCTCATTCGTCACAGCCATGAAACATGATTCTTTTTTTGTACATATGCTTTAGCAAAGAGAAGGCCTTTGCTCTGATCCTTTGTCTTTTCTGGTGGGTATCATGCAGTCATTCTCAATGGAATACCAATCTTACTTCTTTCCCTTCTTCTTTTTCTTCCCACCCGTGCTTTGCTGTTGTTGTTGTTGTTGTTGTGCTGTTGCTGTTGCAGGTGTGGCCGCTGGTTCCACCACTGGCGTCTCATCCGCATCCGTCATTGTGATATCTGTTTTTGCACTCCTGATTAGCTTGTCTTCTCCAGCATTTTTTCTCCTCCACCGTCCTCGTAGTCTCTCTCTCTTGCCCTCTTCCTTCTCTTCCTCGCATAGATGGATCGATGGATATTATAACTTACCTTGCTTTATCTCCGGCAACGCAGCCATCTCCCGTCCTAGACTTCCCATGGCAGCTACCAATCTTCCAACCTCTGCGGCTTTATCGGTTTTGTATTTTAGAGTCGTGCCGGAGATTGGGTCGTAGGTTTTGAGTTCTAGGTAGGCGATTGGTTGCTGCGCGAGTTTTGATTCTGTTGTTGTGGTGGTGGAAGCGTCGGTGGTGGTGGTGGTGGTGGGTTTGGTGGAGATTGAGGAGGTGGAGGGGATGTGGTATTTGGTTGTTATACGGGTCTGTGAGAGAGGTTAGTGAGGAGGGGAGGGTAGTGAGTGAGATATGAGAGGTAAGGCAGGGTAGAAAGAGGTGAGTGGTAGTGGCAGTGGGAATGATGGTGATCGTGATGGGTGAGGTAGACGGGCAGCGCATACGGTATATGGTCGCGCCTGCAACAACAGCGCAGATTGCTTCTGCCACTCTTCGCTCGATGTAAAGTACGGCATGTTGATGTGTTGATGCTTGATGTATTGCGACGAGTTCAACTGTCGCGTGTACCGCTGTCGCAATTGAGCAGGCGCGGAACACGGACGAGTGAGGTGTTCAGCTTGACTCACGTCCTTCAACACCGCGGGGATGTCATGACTCGACCTCCCTTCCGCTTCTCGAACGTCATGGGCGGTGATTGCTTCTATGACTGTTTTTCCCGCCCAAATACACATTATTCCTCTTACAGCCCACACACGCGAGCGCCTTCCTTCTCCTCTCTAACCACACCAAGGGGAAAGCAGAGGATATCCTTGCCTCACATCATGGCCTCCACACCTCCCACCAATGGCCACGAACGCACCCTCCCCACCGCCGCCGACCTCCTCACCCGCTGCCAGCTTCTCCTCCAAGAACTAGAGACATTCAAAACCTACCTCAAATCCCGCAAACAAGACTCCCAAATCGAAATCGCTCATTTCCGCAACACCGTAAAATCAGAACATCGCACCCTCCAACGCCTCTGCGATCAAAAGGACGCACAAGCTACCCAACATACCGTAAACAGCAGCAACTTGCCATTTTTGGAAACGGTGTGGGGTGTGGTGAAGAGGGAGAGGGGGTTGCAGGCTATGCAGAAGAGGTTTTATTGGAGTGAAAAGGGGCAGAGGAGGGGCCAGAAGAAGCAAAATTCTGCCTTGGTGGATGTCGTTGCTGGGGATGGGTTGAGCTGGATCAAAGTCTCGCTGCTCACGAACAATCGCTTGTTGTTCGACAAAGCGAAGTTGGGATGGGAGGATGGATCTAGCTCTGAGGAAGAAGGAGAGGATGAGGTTGGTGAAGAGCAAGGGAAGAAAGAAGACCAATTGGAGAATGGAGGTGATGAAGATGATGTGCCGTTGGTCAAGATGACAAAGGATCTCGTCAGAGCGGCGAGGGAGGTCAAGATCCGTACACGGAGTCCGAAAATCACGTTGGTTCTGCCGAAGATCAAGGAGGGCGAGGTGGATGCCATTGACAAGATCCTCGACCAATTGCGCAAACTCGGCGTCCAACTCATCACCTCGAGCTCCGCCTTTTCTCCCATCGACTTCGAAAAGGTCATGCCACATCTCTTGACCGACCCTTTCGAAGCATTCACGTCCACACTGAATATCGACTGCACGATCCTCCTCGCCCTCGTCAGTGACTTCAGCCACTGCTCAGTCGAAGCCGAGCCATGGTTCCACCGCGCCCTCAAACGCCAAGTCGAAATCGAAGATGAGGAAAATTTGCTTCCCAATCTACTCTATCCAGCTCTAGCCGACAGGGAGCTAGTCTGTACAGATGAAGCCGCGAAGAGAATGAGAGAAATCGTGGATACTATCGGCACCGAGGGAGAAAAAGAACGCACCAAATGGTTCATGGGCGATATCGACGCTACCTCTGAGGATGTCAGGGGTAAACTGACACAGCTTTCGAGGTTCACTTTACCTGCGAGCTTGCGCCTACCCATCAAAACTCAAACCCCCGACTCAATCTCTGACCCCACAACTACAACCACCCTCCCCCCTTCAGCCTCAAAAGTCTCCTCCCAACTCACCTCAATAAACCAAAGCGTCTTCCTCCACGGCTGGTCCCGGAACATCACAACCATAACCAGCAACCGCACCGTCGTCAAGCAAATCGAAAACATCCTCGCAAAGGAAGCAAAGGATGAAACCGAATGGCCGTTGATCTGGCTATGTCCCACAGCCAGAAGTTTAGTCGGTAAAGAAAAAGGAAGAAGGGAGTGAGGATATAAAAGAGGGAAATAGTTGTGCTCTAAGGACAAGCATAGATGATCGGGTATTTTCATGTTTTCCTTCTGCAACCCGAGTGTCACTTTTGCGGGTCTGGTGAATAGCTATGGAAAGCATGATTGTCATTGTCATAATGTTATCCAACCTCCAGATCCCAAATCACACAGATCTTGAATACTAGGTAGAGATACCGTATACATCCAGAATCAGAATCTGCGAGGGTGGACCGCTTAAGTGTACATTCTTACCGACTTCCATACTACATGGAAGACAACAAACAACAAGCTGTAATAGGCAGACACCCGGCATAACAAACCTCGACACTTGGCACAATCCATTCTCCTCAATGATCTTAGAAGAAGAGTCATAGTCAAGTCCACAGTACAGCGTACCCAGAGAAGTGGAAGCCCCCAGACCAATGACCAAGTCAATGTTTCCCTTGGACCCCAACATCGAAACGGACGCAAACAATCCGGTCGGTGAATCTTTGTTATTCTCAAAAGAACCCCCTTTTAGAACGGGCTGGACAGAACTATGAATACGGGATGAAGGTACGAAACATCTTGAGGGGGAAACATGCTTCATCGACCGGATGCCGACGTTTGCTGTCCTCAGGGACGGAGGATGATGTGTGGAATTTGACTTTTACCGGGCACCTCGGCCATAGTCGGATTCCTTGTTGCATTCGTGCAGGTGATGGTTTTGAAGCTCTGGTGGTTGGAATCACCGAAGAAACCATAGTGTAGGTAGGTCTTTATAACAAGCGATGAATGTAGTCAGTCTTAATCGATATTATAGGGCAAATTCTGGAAATGCAGTCAGAGCTGTCAAAGCAATGTGCGATGGGTATGGGAATGAGTGTTCGAGTCATATCATGGCGCTGACCAGAGGACCAGGCTCAATGTCGTATCAATCAAGACACGCTCGTAGAAGATATGATACTAGATTTCCTACGACCTATCACCGCCGCAGTTCACACCATCCTCCTCGGCGCTGGGTACCTCGACTTGTCCATGACTTTGTGTTTTTGATGACGGTAGGAGATGGGAAGGGGTTGTATAGATGGGTACCCCTTGTACAAGAAACTTCCTTGTTTCCGTCTCGTTCTTTCTTGTCGTTGATGAGCCACTGGAAGGCTTCATGTATCGATTCCATGCCGTGACGCAATGCATGGAGTTTTTCATGACTTGACGCTTGTTCAAGAGATACCGAAATCATGTCCACTTGGACTTGTCAGCTCCTTCAGCATTTTTCGACGCCTGCATACCCTTCAACGCGACAATGAGTCGCACTCCCGCATCTGCTGTACTCATGGTCTCTTTGCGTTCGTTCCAGAATCTCTCCGCTTTCTCAGTCCTGTACTCTTGCCTCGTTTCCACAGACTCCTCAACCTCGTAGATCGGGAACAGCTCTCTCTTCTCCGCCTCAGTCGGTGTGGTGGGAGCAGAGCGCTTGTGTCCAGTATATGTGTGAGCGCGCTGGCGGCGAGAGGTGCCGGCAGCTTCTTCTGAGAATGTCTCGAGATAACGCTTGCGAACCAACCGGCGGGACGCCTCTTCCTTTCTGACGGCTTCAGAACCAATCTTGTCAAACATGAAGCGAACAGTAAGTTTTGTTGCCAAGTAGGCCTGTTCGGCGAGGAAGATGGTGAGCAGGAGTCGGGAGAGGCGGACTTGAGAGAAGTCACCACTATACATGTGGACCAAAGCAGCCGTCGACAAAGTGCCTAGCCAGGTCAGGAACTCGAGTGCGGAGACGGACGGACCGATCGAGTCAGAGCGAATCGGTGGAGGGCGCTGGCATTCGTGAATGAGTTTGAAGAAATCGCCACGGAGCTCGATCCAATTGTTGATCAAGAAGCCGAGCGGCATGAGCGGGTAGACAACTCCGAACATCGCCAGGTAACCAAATTGCACGCACATCTCCATAATATCCTCCTGCACGTCGTAAGGCTCGGCATCTGCCTCTGAACGGAGGCGTGATAATAGACTGTATTCCTGCGGTGCATCAACGAGCAGTATCTTGGTGAATTCGGAGTGCATGCGTTGATGAAGCGATGTGGCTTCTTTGCTCTCTTGATAAGCACGGTGGAGTGCCGAGAGACGGCGCTTCAAGTATGGAAGAATGAACTCTTCGCCGAAGTTCATGAACTGGCCGGCCATTGATAAAGAGATGACCTCTTCCTGCAAGCGATGTGTGTCGATGCGGAAGTCACTGACGGAGATATGAGACTGCCATGAATTGGGCATCAATTTCGGGAGCAGCTTTGACCCATAAGGGACATAGATGTAAGCTGTCAATATGAGAGGTAGGAACGAGGTGACAAAGTTCAGTATGAAAGCTTTTTGGACTTGCGCCAGCTCATACTCATCATTTGTGCGATGGTTCTCGTGCTCGGATAATCGTTTTGCAACTAACGTAAGAGCATCTGTAATGTATGGTAAAGAGATCGCTAGGATGATGGTGGGCAGATATTGCACCGCCTGTTGATGTGTCAGCAGCATTCTTGTTCCGGTATCCGAGCATCTTACCCAGTATTCTTCGAGCTGACTTCCATACACATCCGAGATGATGGCTTCGATGAAGAATGTCACCACCAACATACCGCCAAGAGCCAGTCCAGCCAGAGCAGCGAAAGGCAAGAACAATAGCTGTCTCATCAAGCGCTTGTGAGCTGGGAATATCTTTTTCACTTCAGCGGTGACTGGGTCGATTTCCTCTCTTTCCCAATCGTACTGAACACGATTGACTTTGAGTGCCCCAACCCCTTTGACATTCCAGCGGATGCTGAGATCAGTCTCTCGTCTTTTCCACCACTCGACGAATACGATGCCCCAGATGCACGTCAATACGCCGAATGAGACCGAATACGGTGTTGAAAAAAGCCAAAATAGGCTTCCACATGTCGCAGGCGCAATCAAGAATAGTGAGTAGGCTTGAATAAAGGCATAGTAGAATGCGACCTGGAGAACAGTTAGACAATGTCTTGACGCGAGACTTAAGACAGGTTTTGACCTTCTCGCCGAAGAGCGCTTTGATCTGATCCAAATCATCCATTCCAAGGACGGTTTTTGCAGCAAGCTGTTTGAGCAACCTTTTATTTGCAGACCATGCATGTGGTGCAAATGATGCTGTGATGTGCTCCCATTGTCCGAAACTGGCAGTCACGCCTGCGCCGCCTTGCTCTTTCGTCCATGTAACCAGGTGGAAGATCGATCTTATCTCTTCGGAAGGTGTCTCGGCATCGACAACCGTAGAGCTGTCACCGAGGGGCCGGACGTGGACGATGCCGAACAGCCAGTCTTTGACCCTCGAACGGTAGACTTCGTTCCCAAGCTTGTTTCGAGGTATGCGGACGAGTACGAGGACGGCAGTGCCATACCCGTGACGAACTTCAGTTTCTAAGCCGAATGCTTCGATGTCGCGAATCAAGGTGTGGTATTCGTCGATTGCATGATGAAGCTCTGCTAAGCGCTCAGCCAGGTGAGTCTCTTATTGACTTCGTATCAAGGCTTACCGATGTCCTTGAAATCATAGAGTAGAACCCAGTCCACCTCAAAATCTTCGTCCTTCTCAGTGTCTGCTTGACTGCTTGTCGGTCGACTTGATATGATCTGCATCCTCGTAAGATCTCGCCCGCACAACGGAGGGCCATGTTGACGGCGAAATGTTTTCTACTTATACTGTGGCACGTGTACCTGGAGTACGCGTAACACTTTGCTTGCTGCCAAGGAACAGCTCCGGTATTTCCGCAATAGCTCTTTCTTCCTAGTCCATACGGCTGTGGAGATACGAGCATCGCGTCTCGTCCATCTCTCCTGGTTTCGAAAACTCCGAGTGATTGCAACTCTTGCGTGTTGGTCTTGGCGCCGCTTGGCGTGGCCAAGTGTGCCGGCAGCCGTCTTCAACTAGACCGCCGACAGGATGTGCAAGCGGTACATGGCGACGGTATGGCCAAGTGAGACATCTTTGTGACGCATGTCCAGGTAAAGCAAGATCCAGGTAAAGCAAGATCCAGGTAAAGCAAAAGAGAGTAGATGTGAGACGTGTAGTTGCTACCTACCGCTGGGTTTGCTGACAACACGCCAGGGATGCAACATTCCGTCGAGCCTCACTTACCTTGCGAGATCATGCCAGCCTGTTGTATGTGCGGACTTGATTGTCGACAGTCGCTGTCGCAGGGAGCTTTCTTTGGCAAACGGCTCAATGGCACTTTGGGAACTCTTGAAGGATGCTCGAAGTGGCAACAAGCTTGACGACAGACAGACGTCAGAAGCACTGTGTTGGTCAGTTAACCCTTGACCAACAAAACAATGCCGATGGCTTCAAACATGTCGATACTGAGCATGTCGTAGGCAGAGCTGTAATGAGGAAGATGGAGCTTGACTCTTGAGCACGGATTCAATACTAGAGAGAGAGGTAAGGAACTCTGTCTGGTACATCGTGCCTGCTCTTCTTGGGCTGGCATCAATTCTGGTATCATGCCACAAACCACCACAGCTCGACTGAGGTGGCAGTCGCATTCTTTATGTACTGAATCTTAACGTCCGTGCGCCAAAAGTCGAAATACACAGCCACCCCCATCTTCCTGGGCAACCTTTTGAAGTCTCCCCTCGAGCCGAGGGCGATGTCCTTCAAGCGAGTTGTTTCACCTCAACACCTTTAGATTTCGTACAGGAATGCCGTATCGTAGGCTTGCAGCTCTTGAAAGCCACGAGCGTGCTTCTCTGGTTCTCCGCACCCCGATTTGCAAACGGACTAAAAGTAACACGCACGATGTCATCGACGTAAACCACCTGCCTTTATCGGACTCGTCGTTGAAACACAGACCCTTCCTTGACAACCAAGCATTATCAAGCTCTACACAAGCTTTAGCCTTCTCCGCTTTCCTTATCAGATATGGACACGAACGAAGACCACGCGGCCTGCTTTCTACTGGTGGATTGACTTCGTGGTGCCGTCCAGCAATTTCACGATGAAGATAAGTAGCTGAAGGTGAGAGTGTTTGAATGCAACCACCCGGCACGACGGCAGATGCATATCATGCATGTTGATGCTTCCGTGTGGCTTCTACCACGCGTGCGGAATAAATAAGTACCTCACATTACTACTATAACTAGCATCAGATCGTCCCACCCATCTCGTCCTCCACTGTTGATTCGCATTCGACAAACCCCACGCAATGTCGACACCACAGCAGAGACCTGGCTTTTCCAGAGTCGATACTGACATGGCGTCTGGCATTGAGCTCCAGAGTACCAGAGAACACAACTCTAAGGCACCACTGTCTTCAGGTCTGGAGGTTTCAACGCCCGACACTAAGAGTGGCGCCACGGGCGGAGACGTCAAAGAAGTCCATCCATACCAAGGCAGTGACGACTACAGTGTCCATGAAGGCATCACCACTGGTGAGTATATCGCAGAAGAGCACAAGATTGTTGAGACTGCAGAGGATATTGTCAATCAAGTCCTCAGTGTTGAAGATGATCCCTCGCTCAATCCATGGACATTCAGAATGATGTTCTTGTGAGTCAATCTTGCCTATTACCCTCGATTACCGCTGACAGATGTCAAGGGGATTTGGACTTTCCATCTTCGCATCTGTGCTCCAGGAAATCTTCTACTTCAAGCCGCAGACCATTTACGTCTCGAGTGTTTTCCTTTGTGTCATCGCTTATGTCCTCGGCGAATCTATGGCAAAGGTTCTACCTAGCAAGGGCGTGCTTGGAAAATACTTGAACCCTCATCCGTTCAACATGAAGGAGCATGCGTATGTCGACTTCTTTATCTTCTTGCCATTCTCGAACTAACCATTAATAGTGCCATCACGCTCATGGCATCTGCGGCCGGCCAATCTGCCCTGTCAACAGAAGTTCTCGCTGCGCAAGAGCTTTGGTATGGAGGATACCCCAGCAAAGTGCTTGGTGTGTTCATCACATTGTCGAGTCAGCTCATCGGTTACGGTATCGCTGGTCTTCTCCGAGAAGTGCTTGTCTACCCAACCAAAATGCTGTGGCCCATCAACCTACCCGTCACAACCCTGCTGGAAAGTTTGCACAAAGACAAGGTTGCGGCGAAACAAAGAATCAAGCTCTTCTACATCGTCTTCATCGTTGTCTTTGTCTGGGAAGTCTTTCCCCGAATACTTGTTCCCTGTTCTGGAGGGTGTCTCAATCTTCTGCTTGGCAGATCAGAAGAACCTGGTCTTCACCAACCTCTTCGGCGGAGCCAGTGGTAATGAAGGTCTTGGTATTCTCAGCTTCTGCTTTGACTGGCAGTATGTCGCCTCTCTTGGTAGTCCTCTCTGGTTACCTTTGGAGACTATGACCAACAATCTCATTGGTTATATCGGTTGCGTCATCTTGTTCATGGGTCTTTACTATGGCAATCTCTGGCGCGCACAGGAGTGAGTGGTGATTGACTGTAGTCTGTACTCCGATGCTAACGCGACTACAGCTTCCCTTTTCTGGCTCAAGTTCTGTTCACCGGCGAGAGTAACGGCACGTACTATGCAGAGTACAACCAGACTCTCATCCTCAACTCGAAGATGGAGATCGATCAAACTCTGCTGGACACTGTTGGACCGCCATACCTTACTGCGACATATATCGGATACTTGATCACTTCCAACATGGGCTTTACTGCTACCTTTGTCCATATGCTCCTGTGGAACTACGAAGAGATCAAGGCTGGCTGGGCTTGGGCTAAGCCAAGTAATCTTCGAAAGCTGTTCCGTCTTCAGACCTACAAGTTCTGGCAGAACCAAGAGACGCCCGAGGAAAGACTGGCCAGGAAAGAGTCAGATCCAAATCTCGACCCCCATTATAAGCTTATGCTTCGAAACTTGTATCCCGAGGTACCAACTTGGTGGTGGGGTATCGTGGTAGTGGCCTCTTGGGCTCTTGGTTTGGGCTGTCTTTACGGCATGGATTCGACTCTTCCTTGTAAGTCAACGTGAGATCGGTAGTTAGGTCATACTCATGCTGACACACCTCAGGGTGGGGCTTCCTGATGTCAACCGTTCTCACCTTCATGTGCGTACTGTTCTTTGGCGCTCAGATGGGTATCACTGGTTTCCAGTTCAATATCCAGCCGATATGTCAGATGCTCGCAGGCTATATGTTCCAGAGCCGTCCGCTGGCCAACATGTAAGTCCAACCTGTCTTCCAGCTCATGACCACTGCTGCCGCTGACATGTTCAATAGGTATTTTACATGCTACAGCTACAACGCATTGCAGATGGCGGAAGTGTTGGCCAAAGACTTGAAACTGGGCCAGTTCATGCATCTAGCACCTCGTAAGTGTCGATACATACAGCGTGAAGTAAGAGGAAGAAAAAAGAAGAATACAGAAAAGATCACGAAATTAAAAAGAAAAAGTGATGTTCAAAAGGTTGACAATGACTGACGCGTACCACAGGTGCTACGTTCTTCTGTCAAGTCACAGGGTGTCTGGTCGGAGCACTGTTCAACTACATCATGTAAGCTCTCATTTCAACTACCAAGGAAGTTGCTCATGGAGAAAACACAGGATGATCTCAATCGTCGATAATCAAGGCACTATCCTGAAGTCGATTCAGGGTAGCAACATCTGGAGCGGTCAGAATATCCAGCAGTGCGTACAATCCCATCTTTTGGTGCTCTTGCCCCTCTGACGCGTTCACAGGTTCAATACGCTCGCCATCGCATGGTCCATGCCCGCAGAGCTCTTCTCAGTCGGCGGCAGATACCAATGGGTCACCATCGCTTACCTCCTCGGCTTCATCGTGCCTGTCCCCTTCTGGCTGGCCTATCGCTACACCAAGATCCGATTCTTCAAATACATGAACCTGTCCATGATCCTCTGGTACATGGGTTGGCTATTTGTCGGCATCAACGCCAGCATAACCATGTACTTCATCATCGGCTTCTTTTCTCAGTGGTTCTTGCGTCGTCGCTACCCCGAGTTGTTCGTCAAGTACAACTACATCGTTAGTGCTGCGCTGGATGGTGGTACTCAGGTGTTGGTGTTCATCTTGACATTTGCCGTTTTCGGTGGCAGTGGCAAGAGCAGACCTTTCCCTACTTGGGCGGGCAACCCAGATACCGATCTGCACAATTTGGATTACTGTATGGTTAACCCTGGTACTTCGGGATGATTGTCTCGCAGAGTGGAGTACTTATGTGTAATTTTTTTGCTGTTGATGATTTGTGTCGAAAGCAATGGGCAAAATCTGCTGCCTTCTACCCCAGTAGATCTAAGATATAAATGTGGGGACGGTTTCACTTGTCTACTTTTAAAAAATCATGGTACCGAACCTGGTAGACACACCTGAGCATAGTGCAGTGTTTTTCAACAAACCTCAAGGGCGTGAAGCGCGGGAGAGTGAGAAGTCAGAAGATCAGGTCTATGAATCTCGAGATGTTTACTCCATCTCTCGCTCATGCCTAGATACAGAAGACATTTACTCTTGCCAATTGCTTCTTAAGGCGCTTCTTGCGACGTCTTTGCATCACTGACCTGGTTTGTAGCATCCATATACTTCGATCTCAATCTTTGCACTGCAAGCATCCATCTCATTCTCCAATCAGCTGTCCATATCTCACAAAACCAAGAACAATCTGCCCGAAACGTTCAATGTCATGCCACGAACCCAAACTATTAATAGCTTACGATCACGATAATTTACAAGCATGAGTTGAACTTGGTGGATCGGAATTGTTCAGCGCTGAGACAATCAGTGGTGAGCGATGCACCGATACACTAAAATCAAGGTGCAGAAGTTGTATCTGAGGAGATGGAACCAAGCAATAACTCTACTTCTTTGACAGTAAGGTTACGTGATTCTGGGTTCTGATTATTTGATCTCTGCTTTGTTGGAATGCTATCGCTAATTTGCTGTGCATGGAAAGAATATCTGTCTGCTTCGGCGGCCGTCCTTCGCTTGCTCTTCGCTTGCTTCTTCATCCCATGAAGAACCATGGCTCTTCCTCCTTGTACTCAGTGCCTGGGTATTCGAATGGCACACCAGCGTCGGAACCAGAATTGAAGACGTCCATGCTGGGGATACTCGTCTTTTCCACGGCTTTCTTATCGCCTTCATCCTCACCATCCGTCTCCGCATCTCCACTATCCTTCTCGGCATCCTCTTCATCATCGCTCAAAACCACAACTTCAGATCTACCCAGCTTCCGACCTAGCTTCTCCCCTTCCATGACAGGAACGATGACACCGCATTCCCAATTCCTGCAGCCGATCTTCCATTCTTTCTGCTTGCGATCCCAACTCAACTTTCCCCAAGCACTTTCGCTCAAGTTAGCACTGCCGACGTACTGCCAAGCCACCTTCTTTCCTTCCGCATTGACGCCTCGGGCATACAAGATTTTGTTGTGTGATAGCATGCCGTTACGTTTGGAACGATAGTCCCGAAAACAGGAGCGAGGGAACTTATCGCCTGTCCACCATTTCTTCTGCAGACAGATGGTGCCGCCGTTGTCTGTGCCGCCTGTGCTGTATTCGACGGTGTTGTGGGTGGGAAAGTAGATACGGATTGAGTCGCGGATGTTCGATGTAGGGCTTGTTCTTTGGAATGGTTTCGGAGCGGTGCGTGAGATTGATATAGGTGTGGCAGTAGCGTCTTCGCCTCTTGCGGCGTTGTGAAGGATTGTTAGGAACTCGTCATGGATTGAGCCTATCGAGGAGGCTGCGTAGTCGATCTGCAGATTCGATGTGGAGCGGAGGGATGACTTTGAATCTGGGTTGAGCTCGCGGATGGCTTTGCTAAGACCGACGTAGCCTGTCCTTTCCATGTCTGAACCGTATTGACCGCCGCCGATAGAGTGGACGAAGGCGAGATGGCCGGTGTTGGAAAAGTTGAATCTTGCAACACCTTGGCGGACATCTTCATCCACATCCATCTTCTCCAGGAAAAATAACAACTCTTGGCCGAATCGAGGCATGGTAGTCGTGTCGGATGATGGCGTCTCCAGTCGAGGCAAATCGATGATGAAGACAGAGTTCTCCATAATGCCAGTCTCGCCCCAGTCATAGCTGGTAAGATTCGCCGAAGGTATCACAACTCTCAGCTTGTGCGGATGGAACAGCAGCATCAATTTTGAATGCATGCAGTTGACGTTGCCTTCCATTGATGGAAAGCAGAGGCGTAGGATTTTCCCCAGATAGGCCGTCTCTTGGTGGTACTGCTGCTTGATGGCCTCAGTCTCCGCTTGCATGACCATGATGACTTTGGTGTGTTGCAAGTCGAGCTTTCCCATGATCCAATTGGTATCCCACATGAAAGCCGATAGTAACGCTGTCTTCAGTGTAGACTTCTCCAGAACCTCCTCAATCTTGATGTCGTTGTCCGTGCGAGCATGACCGCATGCCCATGTTTGTTTGATGGTGCCACGAGGATATCGAATCCGGGTTTCCAAGGGCCGTTGAGATTGTTGAATCCCGGTTGCTTTTGGAGAGGACCACTTGAGCCTCTTGATCTCTCTCGACACAGCAGATGGCGACACCGACCTTTGCCTCTTCGAGGATCCGGCTCCCTTCAGAATCCGAAACGCGGGCTCAGAGTCCTGCGGTGGCTGTCTTGCCATTTGTCTAGCCAACCGCTCGGCTTCCATTGCGCGGCGGTCCAGTCCTGGGATCCCTGCCATTATGCTTTGTGACAATAGTAGCTTGATTTTAGGAAAGTGAATGAGTCCAGTCGAAGTTGAATAGTGCGTAGTCGACTTGGTTAGAAGATCTGATGATCGTATGCGGTGTAATTTGCGATGTCGATGGAATGTTGTTGATGGTTTGATGTGAAGGTTGGTGGCTTTGTTTGTGCAACCGGAAGCGGAATTGTTGTTGCTTCGGCTGCGCTTGCCGTGTTTGTGATGAAGCTTGCGAGTGGGGCAACCCTGCATACTTGAATTCCTTTTCGTGACTTAGTCTATTCCACCAATGGCCACGAGTAAAGGGCAGATGAAGGCTTTCAAGTGGCCGATCGATATCTTGCCTTCGATGCTGAGGTTTGAGTAAAGTGCGCCAGAATGAAGGTTGGTGACTAATAATCGTCAAGACGTGCGTGCTAAGTGTGATCCTCAAAGCAAGTGAAAAGCAGTCGAAGAACTGAGTTGGATGTCTGACCAATTCGTGAAATGATGAGATGCGTTTGTGCTCATAGTGGTATCTATAACTAATAGTACAAAGAAAAAGACAACCCCAACCTTTGCCAACATCAATACATTCGACCTTCTTCCCCTTCATCACTCAGGGTCATATTCCTAAAACAGACCCCAGCCTCTCTTTCTCCTGTCGCTTGTTTCATCTCCAGCACGATCGAGCTCGCTAAGCCTGCGGTTGGGCTCTCTGCTTCCCCTGCCTGCTCTCTTTTCTCTGGCTTCAAGTGCTTTGAGGGCTTCCATCTCCTTGAGTACATGTTCGAGGAGTTCCTTTCTGTGCACGACGTCCAAATGACGGCGAATTTTGGGGTCTTCGCGGGCGAATTGATCAAGTTGTTGGGGTGTGAGGGAGCGGAACCGTGAGTCCAGTGCGCGAGGGAACTGTGTGTGATTAGTATGTGGCATGTGGAGTGAGATGATGGAATGTCTCACTTGGTAGTAAAATTTGCTGAGCAATTCAGCATCGATGAACAGATCAGCGGTAGTGGTCAGCTTATCGGCCACTGCGTCGAGAAAGACTTCTGGGCAAATGTATTTGTTGTTCTTGTTTGCGCAGACTTTGCTCTTGACGGCGAGCAGTCGCATGCGAAGGATATCCGCACGATCACGGAGGAAGACAGCTTCTCTGCCCTTTGCGAGGAGAGCGGCTGAGAAGCCACCGGCGCCTCCACTGCTGTTACCTTCGAGATTGATGTCACCCTTCCTGACTTTGTCGATAAAGGTCACAACATCCTTGAAGCGCTTCTTGCCACCCATTTCGTTCTCAACTGTTCTTACAGCATCTTCGCAATCTCTTAATTCATCCTTGAGCACTTTCTGAACATTCTCACGTCCGCGCGCCCACTCGGAGTCTTCAAGGTCGATGCGATGCTTGTAAGGCTTGACACAAATCTCTAGCTCATCGCTGGTATCGTAGGCTAGGTCGTGCAATATTCCTTGAGCAGCTTGTGTGATGTTTGTCTGAGCGAAAGGGTGTGCGTTGAAGGTGGAGGATGAGATGAGCCGCTCTACATGTGCTTGCAGACATTCAGCAGCGACAGTGGTAGCGAGACGTCCGATACCAAGCTTTGTGAGGGATGCAGAGCTGGCATCAAGTTTGAGGCGCCAGAGCTGGTCGTTGGGGTCTGCTTTGGGGAGAGCGGAAAGACTCTCGACAAAGCCTTCACCTTCTTGAGCTGAAAGATCTTCGAGGGGTCTGTTCCAGTAGCGCGAAGCAAGAAGGTTGAGAACTTGTTGATCGAGTTCGTGCTTGAGGATATCGCGGAGTTGATGGCGGCCGAAGGAGTCGGAGAAGCCTTTGAAAGAGTGCTTGAAGGCATCCAGACTTTCAGCCAAATATGACTCGGCTGAAAGAGGGCGCTCATTGTATTGCACTTTGAACTCGTAGGTGGCTTCAGTCAACTCATGGTGGATGGCCTCAGCTGTAGTTGCAAGGGACGCCGACATGGTGGCTTCCAGGACGTGCATGAGCTTCTTGCGAAGGTTCGTAGTACCAACAGTGACCTCGCTCGAAGGACCAAAGCTGTCAGGGTGGGAGGAGAAGTATGCTCTCTCATTGCGGGTGATAGCCGAAGTGATGTTGGCATTGCCACGGGAGAAGAGAGAGTTTGACTGCTGAGGTACGCGGCAAACGACACCGACGTAACCAAGTCTCAAGGGGTAGTTCTTATCGGTAAGCATGGAGTGGCCTCTTTGGGCGTCTACAAGATCCATCTTCGTGATGACACCAATGGTGCGCTCGCCACGGGGGTCAACGCGACGACTGGCGCGAAGAGCGGTAGAGTTGGCCAGATCGACATCTGCAGCAGAAATGGCGAGAATGACATTTGGTGCTTGAATGTACTTGTCGCACAAGGCAGCAATCTTCTCCTTAAGTTGGGTCGGTTGGTCGAAACCAGTGACCTGGATGTAGCCGGGCAAGTCGATCAGGGAAAGGTCGGGGACGTTTGGCGAATAGATGCGCAGCTGGATGGGGTCATCAGACACGCACTCAGTCTCGGGGACAGCCAGATTGAGGTCGGTGAGGGTCCTTTGAATCTGAGCAAAGTCCGTGACCTTACCCAAGCCGAGAGCAGGGAACTCGCCGTATTCTGCATGTGCACCAGGGGTGTTGACCAGTGTCAATTCGATAGGACGACGAGTGACCATGTTGGAGCCCTTGGGCAAGAACTCGTGACCGACAATAGCCTCAAGCACCGAACTCTTTCCCGAAGACTGAGAGCCAACGACAACGATGGATGGTAGTGTGAGTGTCTCGGACTGGCCGACTGTCTGGAGCAAACTTCTGATCTCGATCATCTTGCGGGTGAGAAGCATCATCTGGTCGTCGCGAGCTGCTGCTTCCTCAGATCTGTCGTCTTGTTCACCATCATCCAGAGCAAAGGCGGCGGCTGTGGTTCCAGCTGCAGCAGCTCCACCAACTCGCGCCTCTTTCTGGTTGGAGCCATTCCCTCCGGGACCACCATCTCCTCCTGGCCCAGATGATTCTTGTTGTGGAAACAGCTCTTGCAAGTCCTTTTTCGTCTTTTCCCAGCCGGCTTTTGTTTGGGCGAAGATGCCGCCTGCGCCTTCGAAGATGGATCGTGCTCCGGTCGTGGTAGCGTCGGAAGCTCTGCCAAATACGTCTATGGCCCAGTTACCAGCCTCTGTAAGAAGATCAGTATTTTCTTCCGGCACAAGAGATGGTCATGACTGACGAGCTGCTTGGTATTGAATATATGCTAGACTCCCTACTGCTGTCGCGCCGAGGAGAGCAGGCAAGCGAATAAGCTTGAAGGCGAGTTTCGGTATTGCGCGGGCGAACGAGGCATGTCGGACTACTGCTGTACTGCTTCCAGAGGATATTGGTCGACTCCGAGCGATGCTATTCCGTGTGAGGAGGCCTCCAGCACGTTGGTGGGCGGTGTGATATGGCGACCTCAAGGTCAAGGGGGAGGAATGTCGGGCAAAGGTCGCAAAGCGCGACGACAGCAACCTCCCGCTCATGCTCGTTGCATCTATCGTAGGGATTCTGAGGAAGCTACTTGCAGGTGTGGAATTGTTGTTACAAGGCTGCAGCACGCTTTGGTCAGGGTTGATTGATTGTCGCTCGCCCGCTTCAGCCTCGGTGACGTTGTTTCAGACGGACGCCTCACCGCCTTCGGCTTCGCTCTTTCCTCAGCCACATTTCGGCATCAGCCACACCTCCTGTCTCAGTCGGGGATTGTTGCTTTTCAACCTTTCCTCGCCATTTCTTCCGTCATACATACATGTTGATATTATGATTCTCGGCGACCGCGCATTCTGTTATGCGCTTCGATTTTGGGAATACCCGCTCTGATTACTGCGTGATACTTCCTCTATACCATGACTGGCGCCGGTGCCAGCCAGAATCGTCGACCTCCGCGATTGAACCATAAAAAGAGCCGCGCAGGTTGCCAAAGATGCAAAGCCCGCAGAGTCAAGGTCAGTCTTGTCGTATCGTTTGCAATGTGTTCAGAAATATCATTTCCACTCTCTCGGAACCTGATTATATGTCGCCTTCATGATGAACTCTCCTGACCAAAGGAACAGTGTGATGAAGCCAAACCAGCCTGTGGAGGATGCAATCGCCACAATGTGCCTTGTGTTTATGTGGTCAACGAATCACCCAGGACAGGAAGCAACGAAGCCTCTCTATCGCCGCACACGACCTTGCCGATAGATCAGCTCCAACCAAGTTTCAAAGTCGCCGTCAATCAAGTGCCCACTCCGCCTACGATCAACGACCCTGTTGCGACTGACGACTTGTTGGATCTCCCGGAAACACGCCAACGTCGCCTACTGGAACTACGCCTCTGGCATAACTATGTGACAGTGATATCCGTTCCTTTCCAGCCTTCATCGTCGACGGCAATTCTGCCTCAAATTTGGAATAACCACATGCCGCAGATAGCTATGCGACACGACAATCTGCTGTATATCATTTATGCCCTTTCTGCTACGAGTTTGTTACGTAACGCTCCGGAAGACGCAGAATTACTCACAGCGCAGAGAGTCTATCTCAGCCTGGCCCTCCGCGATCAGCAAAAAGCTCTTGCCCAGTTCCACACCCAGGCCGAAGAAGCAGACGCTCTGTGTTTTACATCTATACTGATGACTATGAACGCTTTCGGCTCGCTTCAGGAACGAGTTAGACACCCTTACCACCCACCGACAGATATGCTGCGCTTAGGCATAGGGGCATGTGCGGTCTACGAAGAAGCTCTCAAGAGTGCTCGCAAATTTCCATCGTCGAAGATTGTGACATTTATCGAGAATCAGCCTTTTTTCTGCAGCATACCAAGGATGTTTGATGAAGAACACCGTGGTCCTTTCGTTGGCATCCTAGGACCGAAGAACGCCCACGGCGTCTACGAGGATTCCGAACTCTGGAATACCGATGTCAGGCAAGCTTACGAATACACTCTGAGCTACATTGGCACCATGTACACAGCCGTCCTCAACGAGGAGAATTTGCATCAAATATGCACGCGTATTGCCGCTTTCGCATTATTCGTACCCAAGAAGTTCGTGGATATGGTTGAAGAGTTGCGTCCAAGAGCTTTGGTTGTCCTCGCACATTTCTTCGCTCTGGCTACAAAAGGGAGCGCGCATTGGTGGGTCGGCCAAACACCCATGAGAGAAGTCCAGGGGTTGAGAAGGATTGTGCCACTCGAGTGGCAGCGACATATGCGATGGCCACTTGTAATGTCTGGACTGGAGCCTGTCTGATGCCGAGTCATGTGGAAATCTACCATCGCTTCAACTTTTCGAGCACGACAGAACACGGCCAACGATATTGCTTCATCATAAGCATTCGGTCGAGCTTCCACCGCCAGACAATCCAAGGAGAAGAGACTTGCTATGTCGTCGAGAAGGCTCGAAACGTCATAAACTGCCGACGAGTCGCGACTCCCGGTCGCACCTATGCGCGCTCATCTAAGCGATCCGGTTTCCGTCTGTGACCTGTCAAGGAAGTCGGTGGAAGCGTGGAAGCGAGGAAAAGGCTATTTGGTTTACACTCGTCGTATCCAACTTGTTCAATTCGGGAACATCCAAACCACCATCTTAAGAGACAAAGAAGTGTATCAGGTGGAAGAAGCAGGCAACAATCTGCTGCTTTACCGACCCATGCGCGAATCTTCGGCATCAGCTCTTCGGAGGCTTCAATCCTGCTCAGCGGTTCTGCTCATGCTTAACTGCTTATTTTGTTTCCTTCGACAAGTTTTCAACGACAGATCAATGTCCGAGGAAAGCTTTCATGTGATGGACCAGCTCACAAGTACTCGAAACACGCGGACAGAAATCGCCAGCTTCACATGGACGAAAATGGTTAATCTGTCCAGCGAAAACAAACGAAGGTCACGCTTTACGCCTTTTGACAAATCCACTCTATGTTGAACAAGAGCAAGGAATGTACCGAGCGAGACCTGATAATTTTATGCAAGGGCCGCCCCCTTCGACATATAAAACGCTATCCTCCCCCGCACTCTTCTGCTTCCTTTCCAAATTATCGATTGCTTTCTCGCCTTAGAGAGCAAAGCCTTACTTACCTTACATGTGTGCTACTGCTTGCAGCTGCCAATCTTTTTGGCCTCGGCTGTGCAGATAGGAGAGGCGAGGAAGGTGATCACGTCGGTGATGCCCCGGTCTTGAAGTGTTATCCCATAAGCGGAGAGGGCAGGAGGGGAGATGTTGTGATGTTGCGCAACGGTACATGGATAGGGTGGCGGGTTGCAGAGATTACGAGAGCCTGTCTTTCTCATTCCCTGTCTAGCCCCTTATTCGAATCTATGCCTTATGTCGATCGATATAGTCGCTTGTAGTTGCGGATACGAGAGAGAGGAAGGGGAAGTGCTAGCTTATGTACCTAATCGCTATATGCTCTCGCCGTCCTACGCTCTGCTACGCGCACTAACTAGGGGTAGCTATCTACAAGCTCGTTTAGGATTTGCGGCATATTATCGTTAAATGCCTGCTCCGCACCGGGTAAGAAAATTAGCAAATGTAATATAAATGATCGATCCAAGGCGACTTGCAGCTCCTCCCAGTCTGATGCGATCAGGAGGGCATGAATACCCGGACCAAATGCATCGCCGAGGTAGGAGAGCGCGAGGGGCGGTGTTGAGCAGCTTCTCCATCTTGGTGAAATGGCTCTTGGCTAAATGCTTGTCCTCGGACAGCCTAGGACGATGGCCCTCTCCGTGCTCGCCAAACACGCCACGGACCCGCCTGAGTCAAAATGTACTGGCGGTGGTAGGCACCCATGTGGAGTTTGCCAAACTCTTTCTTATGGCCCTCCACAGCCGCCTTGTACTTCTGATACTCCGACGACTTCTTGTCCTGGAGCTCGTTCTCGAACTCGCTGTAGGCGTGTGCGATGTTGACGTAGCGCACGAGGAGCCAAACCTCGGAGAACACATTCTCGAATTTCTGCTTGGTAAGGCACACAAGCGAATTGGCGAGAGAGGAGTAGTGGTGGGCTCCGCCACGGCCCTCTGTGGCGACGATGTCCTTGTAGAGCCCAATAATGCCAGCGCTCTCGCGGACGAAGGCGGCCGAGGAGCCCTTGCGCCGATAACCGAGAAGGCGAAGGCGAGCAGCTTCTGTAGGCCCACCATCCATCTGCTTCCAACGTCTGTGTTGATGAGGCGAAGATGTGCGACAAAACCCTGGGTCCACTGGCCATCGGGATTGGTGGCAGTTAGGGGCAAGAGCTTTGCCTTCTCCAACACCGACTTGATGATTCGCGGGCTGCGGGCAACGATGCCGGCTTGGTCTGCGTTGTCCTCGCTGGAATCCTCCTCTTTGTCCGCCTTTGCGGCTCTTTCTGCGCTCAGCCTTCACTCTCTGTGCTGCAGTCCGTCTGGTGTCTTCGTCGTCTAGAGGCGGCTGTTCGATAGTGGCGACGCGAGTACCATTCAGGATTGCCTGGAGCTCCAGGATGGGCTGACTGTCGAAGTGGCCCTCGGCAGATAGCTGCACTCCCATGTCTAGTGCCGTGCGCAGGTATTCGACATATCTCTCGGCAACGCCTTTATCGATGCTTGCTCCGGCTTCGATCCATTGGTAAGAGTTTAGGAGTTCCTGTCATAATTAGATACTCGGTGTTCGACCGGATGCGTGTGTTGGAGGCTTACTTCTGCGGGCGACTCTGTGGCGCTGTCAGTGATGATGATTTGTTTGTTAGACTCTGCCATTGTTGTGCTGAATTGTGTCACGCGCATGCTGTAGGAATGCAGAATGTTTTTGAGATCAGCGCAGTCTTCCACTGAGAAGCGCTGACTTTCACCCTCTCAGTGGAGGGCTGCACTGATGTTAAAAACATTGTGAATTCCTTCAAGCCGGATGGCCGTAGTCACGATCGCGAGAGGTGGCTAAGGGTGACAAATTTAGCACACGGGGAGGTTCTTAGCTGGTAGTATCTGGTGAGATGCCGCTCGAGCGTTTGCAGGGTTTTAAACCCCTTGCCGGCTTGTGACCTGCCGCATTGGTCGTACGTGCAAAGGTATGCGTCGTTTCCAACCTTGAAGTGGAACACCATATGTTATTGTAGGGCCAACGGCGTTGCCAGACCGCGGCCTGAGATGGCTCTGTCGCACCCTGTCATCTTACAAAGGTAGCGGTCCTCGGCGATGGCAATGTCGCGGTTATGCCATGCATGGTGACCTTCAAGAGCTTGGATGGACCCGAAGCCACGCCCTCTCTGCTCCCTCTCGCATCCGGTGTATGTGCAGAAGTACATGATTCCCTCGACGGCGGCACGCTGTTGCTTTCGGACCCTCGTGGTCTCGACGACTCTTGCAGCCGCCCCCCACTCAGCAATCTCATCTTCGGTACGCATGGTAGGGCGTTTGGCCCAGAGATCTCTAATAGAGCAGTGGTGATCTGCTCCCTTCCAGGGCTCGGGGGTATCTGCCGGATCGAACGGCCACCATTGCGTGCCACGGAATTTGTAGTCGTCGCTCTTCTCGTTGAGGGATCCAAGTGCGCTTGCGAGCATCGCTTCTGATTGGTAGTACCTAGCAGCAAGGTACTCGTCTGCTTGTGTTTCCCGGATATATGGCATGCCAACTGCAAGTGTTAACCACTTGAGCTCGAGGTCTTCCTGGTCAGGGTCGGTGGTCTGGATACAGATGTGGAAGGGACTGTTCTGCGAGGCCCTGGATGGTAAATCAGCTTCAGACTTCGATCGAACCTTGTGCATCAACTCACTCCTTCTTCGACTTTTCGTCGTTTAGGTGCGTACACTGTCTGGCCTTCAACCCCCGGGCCCCTTCGAATGACCAGGCACAGCCGACTTTTATGCGGACCGCAATGATCCTTCCTGATTTGTCTTTCTTGATGGCAAGACATGCGTATACTCCGGGAGCTCTCGTATCCAGCCAACGGAAGGCTTCGAATGAGTCGATGGTAGGCCGTCCGCCAGAGTCGAGTAACTCTTTCGTCCACGGTAGTAGGCAGTCCATTGCGAACGCTGTATCTCGCTCAAAATCCCAATCGTCTCGTCGGTTGACATTGCTGCAGCGAATTTCGTGCTCATCGAGCCTGAGTGGGCGGAGCGTGTGGCCTCCTCTTCTACCACACTCACTATGCGAACGAGCACGCATTGAACCACTACAAGGTCGAAAACGCAGCAACAATTCATGTCCCCAAGGACATGAAGGCGACAAGTCCTGAGGCGCGTTGTGGCCAGGAGTGAGAGAACACCGAGAAGGGTAAGGTTAGACGTGATGCCCACGTAAGCAGCCAGCATTCAAAGGGTCTCGGCTCTTGTAGCTTCTGTGGCATGCAGTGGCGCGGCACGTACAAGCACAAGGCAATGTGCACCGGCGAGGACGAGTACTGTGTTGGCTCCACACGTAAGCCAAAGGTCAGCAAGAACAAGCTAGCTTGATGGGTTAGGGAGAGGACGACCTAAATTGTGCTTCGGACGAGATTGCTCCTCGGAGAGAACATTTGCTTTGCTTGAGAGGATTCGCTAGAGCGAAGAAGAACAACACGCACGGAGCACCAGGTCCGTGATTCCGAAGGACCTCCCTAAGTCTCCAAGAAGATGAATACAGGAGCAGTTGTAGTCACATCTGCATCACTGACCCGGTCACCGGGGCAAACTTCGTGCTCATCCAGCATGAGTGTAGTCGTTCCAATGTGGACTTCCACCTCTGGGTCAACTCGTCGCTTATAGCATTGCTCAAGTTTCTGCGCAATGCTAATCAGTCAAGCACACAGCATAAGGTACCATAGACTTACGCATCGACGAACGTGCCGAGATCTTCGGACTCCGAGGTGATTGATTTTCTCTTTCTCTTGCCGTTCTTGTTCTTCCTCCTTTTGGGAGGTGATTTGACTGATGCCTCAATCCGAAAGGACGATGATGTTTTGGGTTCTGTGCCAGTCGGGGGTTCGTTGCTATTGTAGGCTTTGTTGTAGCTGACAGCGATATAACGGTCGGCGCGCAGTGGTGGTTTGGAAAGGAGCGCTCAACTGACCGCCTCACGAGAGGAAGGAACATGCAGGTGGTCGCTCCTCCCTTAATTGTCCGCCGGGAACTTTGCACTTCACTGTGAAGACGCCTCAAGGCCAAGTGAAGTGATGATTCAGCAAGCCGCTCGTCTGTTGAGTTCTCACGTGGAAAGTGGAAGAGACAGAGGGTGAAAAAAATGCAGAAAAAAGAAGAACAAATAAAAAATTACATATTATGCTACCAACCAACACCTTGCCTTTCATGCTTGATATATTCAAAGGACCTAAGTCTCCTTACCCCAAGCAGGGAACTGAGCTCCAAGAGCAGAGTTGCAGGGGAACTCAACGATATCCACGCTAGAAACTCCCGAGTTCTGTCCGGCATTACTCGAGAGCACCGATGTACCATCAGGAGCATAGATATTGAATCTAAGATCACCTTGGCCACCACCGTTTGCGAAGAGGGTTCTGACTTTGCGCTTGTTAGCTGTGATACAGAGGTCATTGATTCAGGGGTAACTTACTGGGAAGATATGTGCCGACAGTCAGGTAGTAGGCCAATGTCTGAGGAGTCTGGGTGGCGATCTGAGAGCTCCAGAATTGAGTGATATCGGCATTGGCACGGGTCCAGCCAGTGACTGCCTTGCTGCCGACCCAGACGAATTGGATGTCATCCGTGTAAGGGACGTTGAGACTGTAGTAACCGGTTTGGGAGGCGAAAAGGTAGAAAGTGTGATCAAGGACAAGAGTGCTAGCGTCAAGAGGGCCGTAACCATAAACGTTGATCTTGGTGCCAGAACCGTCGTTGGACTCGGCAATGTAGGTGGTGTCGTCGGAGAACCAAGGGGAAACCTTCTTGTAAGCCTCGGGGCTGAATGAGGGGTACCCATAGGTTGCTTGACCGCCAGAGTACTTGTTTGTGTAAGCAGCAAAGTTGATACCTTGGTTGCCGCAAGTAGTAACAGGGGTGGGATACACGACCGTGACAGTAGTTGTTGCACCAGCGACCTTAGGTGTTGCGGTGATGTAGCCGACGGATCCAGCGGTACCAGAGTGAGTGGTTACTGTAGTGTATGAAGCCTTTGCAGTGGAAGAAGTGCTAATGACATCACCCTTCTTAGCAGGAGTTTGCACGTAGACGGTGGCAGCCAGGCCAGAAACTGCAGTAGTAGTTGTTGTAAATGTACCGGTCCAAGCGGTAGTGACGGTAGTGAACGAAACGGTGGCTTGAGCAGCGACCGATGAAGTAGTAGGTGCGACAGAAGATGATGTCGAGGAAGTGGTGGGTGCTACCGAAGAAGAGGATGAGGAAGATGACGAGGATGTGGTCGATGCAACCGAAGATGCCGAGACTGAAGCCGAGGTGGACGAGACGTAGTAGAGAGGTACCCATGCGCAGGTGGAGGGAATGGTAGGAGCGAAGTACAGCAGGCCATCGTTGCCGCATGTCATGGCTTGCTGAGCCACTCCGTTGGCCTTGCACTCCAACCAGGTCTGAGCAGTGTTCTGAGAGCATGTGATGTAGCTGTAGCCCAAGCCAATGGTGCTGAAGTAGGTGATCTCAGGCTTAGCGCTGGTACCGCGGTTGGCGGCGTAGGGAGCACCGGTCTCGTAGAGGTAGCCAGTCTTGCTATCGATGTAGAAGGAGGTAGCAGAGTTCTGGCTGGTAACGTAGTTGGCTACACCGTCTTGTCCAGAAGGAACGTTGACAAGTTTGTTGTTGGCGTCCTTGATGTAGAAGTTGGTGACAGCAGCGGCCGAAGAGGAGGTGGCAGGAGCAACAGAAGATGATGATGAGGACGATGAGCTCAAGGTAGCCGAGGAAGTGGTGGCAACACTGGACGAGGAGACAGTGCTCGACGAAGAGACAATGCTGGACGAAGAGGGAGCAACGCTCGAGGATGAAGAAACCACGCTGGATGACGAGGCTTTGACGCTCGAGGAAGATGACGAAACTACGCTGGAGGAGCTCGACGAGACGACGGTGGAAGAGGGAGCGACGCTCGAAGATGATGAGCTGACAGCAGGGCAACTACTGGGGTTGAGGTTGATGTTGTCTGCAACAGTAGTGCGGTTGAAGTAGCCGTCGATACTGCGGATCTTCAGCACACTGTCGGAAAGAGGCGGTCCTTGAGCCCAAGCATTTCCGTTCGACCAGTTGTTCCAAATCTTTTCCTGGTCAGCGAACAAATTCTGTGCAATGAGAACAGGAGTCACTTACCCAGCTTCCAGGAGTACTCGGTGCGTTATCGGTAATTGTCTGCACCAAAACACCATCAATATAGAACTTGCTGACTCCAGAGAGCCAATCAAGTCTGTACTCATGGTAAGCAGAGCTAGCATCTCCAGGAGCAGCAACGCTGTAAGTAGAGTAAGGAGAGGTATAAGTAACTTGCTCATTGGTGAGCCAAGCCTTGGAAGTATCGGAAGTCAAGAACGCAAAATCGACTTCTTGGGTGTCATTGGCGTAGAAGATGAAGCCGTGGGTGGTGCCGGGAACGTTGGAGATCTTGGCTACGGTGCGGACAGAGCCGTAGAGGATGTCGCTGTAGCTAGTTGCGAGTTGAGCGACAGAGATGGGGCCTTTTATTGGTTGTTAGAAAGTCTCTGAGAATCAGGTGATGTTGACATACCATTCGACTGGCCACCAGGAACAGTGAGTGTCAGGGCTTTCTCAACACCGTCAAAACCAATGTTGGCAATGTCGAAACGACGGGCAAGAGGATTGACACCCTGGTTGACAGTGTAGGTGCTGGGAATCAAGTTCTCCACAGTACCATACAGATCAATACTGAAGTCGTGGCCAAAACGAGTGTTGAATTGTCCAGCATCAGTGTTCCAGTAGCAACCACTCTTGGTACCAGCGGGGGAGCTGGCAGCAGCGTAAGCTGTAGAGGCAAGAGCCAAAAGATTGGTGGCTGCTTGCTTCATGATTATGGAATAAGATTAAAGAATGTAGATGTTGTAAAAGAAAGACGCAGATAGGAAGAAAAGAAACTCCACCAGGTATGCGAAGGCTCTTCTATATAGTCCTTGCAGAAAAGCCCTGCTTCTCCAGATGCCGTACGAAAACGATACCATCGTTGGAGAACAAGGCTGACAAGGCCATTCCCAATATTGGGGTAGAGCGGTTGTCCAGACTGAACAGTATAGAAAAGGGCCTCGACCTGACAAATGTCTCGTTTATCGATAGATCGTTTATGCTTAGCGGGTGAACAAGAGGAGAGAGCCACTGGGGGAATGACAGAAGTGCCGGTGGAAAGGGCTGTCAGCCGTTGGATACTTGACCGTTATTCCGTGAAGATGACAACCCGTCGTCCGCATGCATACATCTTTATTCCATGTTAGCATTGCAAAGGCGTATATACACTTCAAGCCTTGTGATAAAGGCGATGGATTGTCTTTCCCTATCGTCCTGTTCACGGTATACGGTTGGGTAGAGGCGCAAAAGGCGTTCTTGACGAGTATTGGACATCATAGTGAGATCTTGATATGGATCACACACAAGGCATCTCGACAGAATCATACGTGATGTTTCCACGTTCAGGCTCGTTATTTCTATGCCACATGGCGATATGGACCAAGTCAGAGGAGAGAAGGGGTGAAGATCAGGAGATGGTGAATTGACGGGCCCGAAGTTCGTCAAGGAGCTCGTCAAGACCGGACGTGGCCCAAGCGTTTTCGCCGGTGAGATTCCCGCGTGCCGGCAGCTGCTTCGAGCTTGTCTTGCGACAAGGCAGCCTTGAGAACAATCGGGTATGCATCATGGCGGAGATATCTTCTGCTATGGGTCTGAAAGTAGCCTTGTCAAGCCAGCGATTGTTATCGATAGGTGGCATCGCCCCTACTTGGCCTCTTCATCACACCTCTTGCAAGCACAGTCGAACTTCCAGTGCTCCTTGAGCTTCGTTCTCCTTTCCTGCCTCGTCATATCCCTCTCATCACCACCTAGATAACTGATGCACAGTGCCTCTCCCTCCTGGACGTCCCTCTCTGCCCAGAACATCCATGTCCGACCGTTCCTCCTCTTTCGTATATTCGGCCCACAGCTGTGGTTCCAATAGCTCGCTGCCGTCCACAAGCCATATCCTAGACACTCGCTACCACCACTTCCTCCATCGTCCAGATCTTGCGACCAGATGTTGAACACATTATGCGAAGACTTCGCTGCCAGCGTGCGGATGTTGTCTGCGGTGATGTGGTCGAGGAGAGGAAGCGGCGCGCACGCTAAGAGATGGTGATAACTGGTGATTTGGAACTTGAGGTCGGCTGGCGAAATGTACGGTATGGCTTCGGATTCGAGGATAAGTACGTCAGACCACAATGATGGCGAGTTTGCAATGGTCAGAAGGGCGGGTAGTTGGTAGGTTATCACGTCGCGTATGGGCGGTGTGGCGAGGATTTGTGACAATAGACGGCGCTCTGGCTTGGATGGTTTGGCGGACGATCGTGCATTGCGGATCTTTGTCGCCGTCTCTTCTGCTTCTGCCCATGCTGCGTCAATCTCTTGTGTTGTCGGTCGAGGTAGACTGTGTGCTGGGTCTTCATCTGTGTCCGAAGAGCCTTGTTTCGCTGTCTTCCCTAGTCCTTCAATTGCAATCGATGCTGCTTCATCGTTCACAGTATCATTCTTCCATATCGTCTGGCATTCCTCACTGCAGAAGGCATGTCCAGCTGTTTGGTCGCGAATCTTCCAATTTCGGCCCCTATCATACTTGAAGCATTGTGCGCAGACTTCCTTCCAGTATTCGCGATACACCACACTCGCCGCGATCTCCGCAGTCTCGAATAAAAGCGTGCCCTTCGGAATGAATTGTGTGGCGTAAACACCTCGTCCAGATTCCGCTGTTTCGCGGACGGCGAATATTGAAGAAGCGTGTAGTGATGCTGGTGCTGACATGACTTTCGAGGGCGTGAGATGGTCTTTGTTCGGCAAGGCAGTTTTTCTACAAAGACAGTTGAGGCTAAAATCTAGACCCTTTGATGATGACGAAAGAAAGCGCACAAAAAAAGAAAAATTACTCGTTGCCCTGTCGATCTGCCGAGGAAACAATCACTGCCCCAGATTTTGATGCTTCCAAAATCCTTCGCGAGATCTTCTTGAGATCTTGCTTGGCGAGTCTCGTAAGACAATGTATTTAGGGAGAAGAAGGAAACGTGAAGGAGGAATTGGTCAAGAGGACGAATGCATTAACTCATACTAGCAGATCGCTGGATCCGCCATCATTATTACTACTTAAGCTTAATCCTTGCCAGCTCCAGGGGTGTCGGCAACCTTGAAGACGTACTTGACAGCACTGGCCTTGCCAGACTTCAAGTTAGCGAGACCCTCCTCAACACCATTGAGACCGCCAGCAATCTCCTCCTGAGGCTGAGCCTTGAACCATCCCTCCTCGACACCCTTAGCGATGTAGCGGAAGAAGACAGAGCCAAAGTCCTTGTGGTCGTTGTGGACATCTCCGACCATAGTGATGGACTGCTTGACGTGCTTAGGGCAGTCAGAAAAGTCCTTGCCGGGAAGGACAAGAGTAATGTGGCCGTTATCGGGCATAACAGCAGCAACGTTCTGGTATGATCCCTTCTCTGAGACACCGTCGAAGCAGTGGTAGAGCTCAGCACCCTTGAGTGCGTCCTTGATGCCCTTTTGGACAGCCTCGTTACCATCGCGGTAGTCGACAATGGTATCACCCTTGCTGGGGTCAAGAAGCTTCTCAACGTGTGATCTGGCGCGACCAGCGACACCAATAATAGGGTGAATGTTCGAGCGAACTGCGAACTGAGTGGCGTAGTAGCCAATGGACGAGGAAGCTCCGTAGATAACAAGGGGAATGGGCTTCTCGTCATCCTTACGGGGCAACCAGGGCTGAGGTAGTCTCAGGCGAGAGTATAGGCCAAGGGCCGATGTAAGAGATGCAAGAGGCAGAGCAGCACCCTCCTGGAAAGAGGCATTCTCGGGGAGGAAAGCGGTGGTATGGGCCCAAGCAACAGCGTATTCGGCATATGAGCCACCAGGGGCAAGCATTTGGTGGAAAGCAAAGACGCGGTCTCCCTTCTTGAACTCAGAGACACCCTCACCAACCTCGTGGATGGTTCCGGAGATGTCGTCGCCCTGGTTCAACTCGCCCTTCTTGGTCATGTCGGGATACTTCCTGTACAGATGTCAGGAATGCCTCTCGAAGCCTTCTCAATCTCAATCGTACCAGTCCTTGGGGTTGCTACCAGAGTAGACAACCTTGATGACAACTTGACCCTTCTCGGCCTTGGGAACGGGCGAGTCGACAATCTCGACCTTGGGGCCGGCGCGAATGATTGCTTCCTTCATATTGGTTCGGGTTGTAGATGTAAACGGTCTAAGTTGAAAAGGAGTGTACTTGATTCTTGCAAGTGACCTATACTGAGCTCGGAAGATTGAGGAGAACATACAGAATGCTTTAAGGCGGCGAAGGTGAAATGAAAGCTCCACCTCTGACTTACAAATCCACAAGACCCCGTTACGTCACAATGTTCTCGAAGTTCCATGAGGGGCATTGAGAGAGAGCCGTCGGCAGTTGTTCTGCAAAGAGATACCCTGCTGTTCAATATTGGACGGAAGGTAAAGACCTACCATCGACTGTTGTACCCTTGGACAGTCCTTCTACAGATCATCTCAGGAAACTTCTCGCAGCCCTGTTGTCGAGTAGCTTGACAACTTTCGGCTTTAACAGAGCCCCTCACGGTCGTATCGGCAGCAGCACTACCCGGGTGCACGGTCCAGTCATCTCGCGAGTGGCATGACCCTGCTCATGAATATCATACTCTTTTCCACGGCCAATCTGAGACTTCAATGATGGTTTAGTAGAAGTCTGCGGCCTTATAGGACAATAGAGGCTTCTACGCTCCCAGCATCGGCTATCAAGTTGCTGCCAGACGACGGAACCATTAGAGATGGACCACCGGATTTTATCAAGCTGAATCTCAATCTTCGCCGCACACTTCCAAGCGCACCTGAATGCAAACTTCTTCTTCACCCCAGCTTATTTGCATTCGCTTGTTCGCTTGAGCATTGTAGGTGTAAACATGGCGAATACACATCATCCGATGTTTGTGGCAGTAGCACACATGTCAAAGATCGTGATAAGACTGGAATGATAGGCGTGGTGCAAAACCAGGAAACTAGTCCACATGGCAACCCACCGGCCTGCAAGAAGAGCTGCACTTCGAATTTGCACTGAAGCAAAACACGCCATACCATTCATCAGTTTGAACCTTTCCTGAGTCCAAACCAAAGCTTATTGTGTGAGAGCTGTAGTCTTGTAAAGCATGCCTTCACGTTTCTAGGTCTGACACCTCACTCAATAGCTTTGTTATACTCGGGTACCATGCTCTGTAACAACTGAGCTACGAACGTCCGCTCACAGGCGTCTCATATACGAAGTAACGAAAGGGCAGGACAGTTGACCCTTTGCCTGCTGCGAGAGAATCGCGCGACCTCAATATCGTAGGGGTAGAGGTTCTCGACAAGAGAGAAGTCCCGAAGTCCAAGAGGAGCAAGCTCCGTCAAGAACTCTCAAGCCTGTCAAGCAACATTTCTAAGCAAGAACAAGAGGTCGGCCAGGTTCGGCATTTGCTGTGGATCCTCTCCAGATGGATGAATGAACTACACGATCGCGTCATTCGTATTGAGAAATCCTTCGAAGACGTGCTCTCATCAGTTTTTCCTTTGGATGTGCTGCAACAAAACCGATCCTGCCATGGCATTCGCGAGAAGACATCCCTTTGTATGCCGTTCGGCATCTCCGTAATCTCTCCTGATAAGAGAAAGCTGTGTATGAATCAACCCACTGGCCTATCTGCGGTCAAATCGATTCACCTATGGTGGAACAATTCTCGAAGGAGGAGAAAACAGACGAGACCCACTGTGTTCAGACGCGTTGGTGTAAGATCGGCATACCACGGTAGCATCCGACGTGAAAATTACAAGCTTTCCTTGGCCGGCTAAGCTCTTCCGGGTAATCTCAGCCAATCTTTATGCTTGTTCAAGCTTTTCGCCAACACATCTCAACGCGAACACGAGCAAAACTTGCCTATATGTCAATCTCGCCGCACAGGCTGCGATCAAGTAAGAAGATGCATACTTTGATCGACTAGCCCTCGCACGCCATATCTGCCCTATCAGACGTGCTGTTGGAGGGCAAAGTTGAACGGTTTGCTTGCGTGGAAGCAGTGAACAAGATGATGTTCATATATAACGTGTAGCCAAGGTAGGTGAGCTTTGTTTCCAAGCATTCATCCTTGCAATTCTCTATCATGGCAGGCTCTCTTTTCAAGCGCGTTGTGTCGCGTGTGAAAGGTGAGAACGGAAGTGCTACTATAACCCCGGATGGCTTTGCGGAGTCGACAACATTGGACGAAAAGACCGCAGCTGGACTCACTGGTACTGGAAAGATCGAACCAACATCCAAGACCTTCGGACTTGAAGTCGGAGATGAGGAGGTCAAGGCTGGCAGGTCGAGCGAAACAGACAGCGATGATTTCGCCGATGATGATGAAGCTATTCGCGACATTCCTCTTGCTGTACGACGCATTGTTTCTATGACGGATAACCCGGAGGAGCTCACTCTGACCTTCCGTTACTTTGTTCTGGCTATCCTTTTCATTGTTCCTGGCGCTTTCCTCTCCCAGATGTCATACTTCAGAACCACGTCGGCAGCCTATTCGGTTTTCTTTGTCCAGATTGCATCAAACTACGTTGGTATGTGGATGGCCAAGGTCCTACCAAACAAGAAGATCCTCGGCATCAACCTCAACCCCGGTCCTTGGAGTACCAAAGAGCATGTGCTGGTAACTCTGTCGGCAGCATCTGGAGCGACCTACAATCTTGCGTACGCACCAGTATCTATCGCAGAGCTGTACTTCAATGAGCCAATGAACCCGGCCGTTGCAATCTTCTTCATGTGGGCTGTTGTCGTGACTGGATATTCGTTCGCTGCCATCTCGCGTCAATTCCTGCTGTACGATCCTCAATACCCCTGGTTCCAGGCCCTCTGTCAAACAGCTCTCTTCGAGTCCCAGAAGAAGGAAAGAAGCCACCCAACGCCGACATCGAAGAGACAGATGAGAATATTCTTTGCTGTCTTCTTCGCCGTCGCGGCATGGCAATTCCTTCCCGAATTTGTTTTCCCCATGGCCGGCAGTCTCGCTTTCCTCTGCTGGGTTGCTCCCAGGAATGCTACAGCCAACTTCATCGGTTCTGGTTTCGGAGGCATGGGTTTCCTCAACCTCAGTCTTGACTGGTCCAACCTCAGTACAAACGGTAACCTCTTCTTGTTGCCTTGGTGGACTCAGGTCATCATGTTCCTGGCATTCGCATTCAACTGTTGGGTCCTGCTTCCTGCTGCGAAGTGGGGAAATCTCTCTGAATACAAGCATGGTCTCATGTCGACCAGCGTTCTTCAGGGTAATGGCACTAAGTATCCCCTGACGAGTCTTGTCACTGCTCAAGGTACTTTCAACCAAACCGCTTATGACGAGCATGGGCCTCTCTACCTTGGCTCTCAGATGCTGTGGGGTATCTTCTTCTCCTATGCGGCTTTCTTGTCTGCCTGGGTATGGGCTGCTCTGTTTGGTTGGTCTTCGTTCAAACAAGCATTCTCCAAATTCAAGAAGAGAAACAGCGAGAGTGACAAAGGCATCAACCACCAATACAACGATCAGATCAACATCCTCATGCGTTCTTACAAAGAAGTCCCACTCTGGTGGTACGGAGCTCTGTTTCTCTGCTCGTTTGTCGCCATCGTCTCTATGGCCGCAGCTGGCAAGATTTACATTCCTGTTTGGACCTACTTCGTCGCTTTGATCACAGGCGCCGTGATAGTCACACCACTTGGCTGGCTCTATGCCGTCTCCAACTACCAACTTCCCGTGGGCACATTTAATGAATTAATGTATGGCGTCATGGTCAACTCTATTAGCGGCCACAAGAACCCCACGGGTGCCACAATTTACTCTTCTATCGCTGGAGATGCTGTAAGTGAACAAAAATCACATCTACCGTTCTATAACAGTATACTAACGAACGTTTTTAGTGGTATAGAGCGCAATATATGCTTCAGGATCAAAAAATCGGCCAATACATGAAGATTCCGCCTAAGGCTACGTTCTTTAGCCAGATATTCGGCTGTACTATCGGTGTACCAATCAACTACGGTGTCGTCAAATGGGTACTCTCATCAAAACGCGACATTCTGCTCGGCCTAGAGAAAGATCCCACACACCAATGGACGGCCCAACACCTTTCCTCCTCCCTCTCCACCTCCGTCGAATACGTCCTCATCGGCCCAACCAAAATGTTCCAACAAAGCAGTTTCAAACCCCTACCCTATGGCTTCATCGTCGGCGCCTTCGCCCCAATCCTCATGTTCGCACTCCACAAATTCTTCCCCAAATCGCCATTGAAGTTTAGATTGTGGAACACGACCATCTTCTTCTCGTGTGTGGCCAACTTTTACGGAAACGTCAGTACTGGATATACCAGTGCGTTTATCGGTGGCTTTGTGGTAATGTTTTGGGCTTTCAGGTATAGGAATGATTTGTGGGCGAGGTATAATTATCTCATGGGTGCGGCGTTTGATGCTGGGTATAACCTTAACTTGCTGTTGGTTTTCCTGTTCTTTGGAAGTGGCAAGATTATCAGTATGCCGTATTGGTGGGGGAATAATGAGCAGAGTAGTGAGAGATGCTTTGCTTTGGATTAGAGGAGGGGCAGGAGGAAGCGATGTATATATGACGATGACGATGTTTGGATGATAATTGAATTCGCTGAAGCCTTTCACTTTTGGTTGATGCTTTTTATCCTTCGGACTTCTTTCTTTACTTCCCACTCGCATGGTGGCTTGAATTGTTTGTCTTGATTTGATGCTGACCAAGACAATGTTATTCGGTGTCTCTCATCGGACAAGCACTCTACCTTCCGCCCCAGATGACCTAATCCTCCATTACCACCTCTGCTGAATCATCTACGCACCATATTCTTCACATCAACTGTCCTGTTCGCGTTACTGTGCCACCAACGTAGTAAAAGCAATTAACCATTCCTTTCAATACAAAATAACCTTCCTCTCACACCCTCTCCTATCCTCCCCCTCCGATCATATTCCCACCTAATTATGCACCACCGCCTTCAACCCCGGCAAAATCTCCAAATCCTTCTCCTTGTAAAAATACTTGCCCTCTTTGATCTCCGGCGTCTCCGTCTTTCTCTGCTGCTGCGTCTGACGAACCTTGACCCACTCTTGCATGGTAAGATTTTGACCGATCTTGGTAAAAGCGTTTTCCGTGAGTCCTAGTTTGGAGAGGACAGGACTTTTGACTGGGGTTAGGGAGACGTGGTTGTTGGGTCTGTTTGGGAGGGGGGTTAGTGTGGGAGATAACGGGGGGCATGGGGGAGGACATACCTGGCGAAATACAACACTCCCAATCTATCCACATGTGCTTGGTCCTTTGGGGGTGCGCGGACACGATGCACACTACTCTTCACATACCCCGCCGTCAATGCGGTCAATGCATCACAGGTATTAATCGTGATGGTCGCATCCTGAGGCTTAACCCACTTCCACTGTCCCTCATTGTTCAAAATCTGCAATGCCGCAACAGGTTGTCTGAAAAGCAAAGTCACAGAGCCTAAATCAGTGTGGCCTGGTGTATACAATTCACCCACTTTAGCGTTCTCGGATGCAGAGCGAGCGGCATAATGCATATAGCGCAAATGATCCTCGCCAAAATCGTCATAAGCGTGATCCTTGACGAAGAAATCCTCGGGGACTTCGAGGAGGAGGGCGAAAAGGCGGAGAAGCTTTACCACGACTTCAGAGTGGCATTTGCGACTGAAGGTTTCGATTTCGTCAATGTGGTCTTGAAGGACGGCGGGGTGTTGACGGTGGTGGTGACCGTCGAATTTGGGAATGTTGTAGACTTGGATGTTGTCGACGATGCCGGGAGCCAGGGAGCGAAGGCCGGCGGGGCGGTAGCCGTTGTATTCGCCGGCTTCGAGGTCTTTGAGATTGTGGTGTTTGAGTTTCTCTTCGAGAGGGAGGTCGTAGAATTCGCGGCCGAGAGCAAATTGGCGGTCTACTTCCTCTTGGCTGATGTTGAAGTTCTTGACGTAGAAGAAGCCTGACTGGTTTTAATAGGTATCTATGGTTGGGCGGGAGACAAGATGACTTACCGACATGGCGGACTGCGTGCTCGAGTTGCTGGACAAGAGCTTCCTTGCCGCCTGGCTTCTCGAATTGGCTCAAGTCGAGAGTGACGAGTTCGGCCCAGTCCACTGTCGTGAAGTTAGTCTGGGCGAAAGAATTTATGGAGTGTAGCTACGCACAATCCTCCTTAGTCACAGGGACCTGTTCATATGGTGTAAGAGTCTTTCCAGGCATAGTGAATATCAATGTTGCTCAACAAATTAGAGAGATGATGATCCATCTTGCCGTCATGAGCTGGCAGCAAACAACTTTTATGGTCAGACTTGAGCGACTTCGGACAATCCCTTATCTCGACGAATACACATCGAGTCATGTATTGCTGAGTAGCAAGCCCCGCACATGTCGTTGTATCATCAGACTATTTAGATGGTAGTTGGAGGTTGAGTAGAGGGGCAGTGGATGTTGACCAATGAAATGAAGTGGTTAGTCGTGGAAGGAGTAGGGGTCTAGCACGCAAAGCGGGGATCAAGTTGCGCGACTCCAGCTTGCATATCAGATCCAAAAACAGACCAACCATGAAATTACCAGACAATACTCAGGAGCTACACTGCAAGCCTTTCGATGCTTTCCAATGACAAGAAAACTTGCGGGAAGTTTCAATTGGTTATCATAACTTACTTCCGTGCGGAAGTGTGGCTTGAAATTCTTGCCAGAGAGCACATGCTTTGATAGCTCTAGCTTTCCCTGCTATGTGAATCGATCGTCTGCGTTCCTTAGTGTATTCGTGATAACCAAGAAGATCCACTGTGCCGTTCTTCCTGCTTGATCTGTCGAAGGATTGAAGCACGCATGTGTTTGGGAGATTTGAAGCATTACCAAGCACTCCGATAGCGCAAGATATCATGATTGTTCAGCCACGATATATGTATCTTGAGATCGCAATTCTTGCAGGGTATGGTGTGCCGTGAAGCGGGTCCGGTGAGTGCTTTGCCGACACAAGCCTGAGAATCTCAACAATGTCAGCCCTCGAATCCAGCAAACATATATCATTGATGTAGTCCGCTCTGTTCTGACTGGACAATCCGGCACATTGCAATGGCAGACCTACACACTGCCGGATCGCGGCACAACACTCGCGCAGACGAGTCACAAAAGAAGAATGTCTCATCAATCGATGTTGCCAGCGACAGAAGCCATCAGACGAGCACCAACGACCCGGAAAACCAATACAAATCGACACAAAAATTCTTCCGCTCTGTACAGAGATACGTTTGGGACGACCCAGACAAGCCCAAACATGAGAAGAAGTTTCTGCTGAAGCTGGACTTCTTCCTTCTTACCTATGCATGTCTTGGATACTTCTGCAAGAACCTGGACCAGCAAAACATCATTAATGCCTACGTTTCAGGCATGAAAGAGGCACTGAACATGAACGGCAATGAGCTCACATACATGAGCAATGTTTTCACTGCTGGGTATGTCATTAGCCAACTTCCGGCTGTCATTCTGGTCACGAAGTTGAGGCCTTCGCACGTCATTCCGACACTTGAATGCCTCTGGGCAATCTTTACCTTCTGCTCTGCTGCTGTCACCTCTGTGCCTCAACTGTATGGCTTGAGATTTCTGATCGGATTCTGCGAGGGTGCATTCTTCCCTTGTATCATCTACCTCATTGGCTCTTGGTACACAAAGCATGAAAGAGCTAAGCGAACAACGCTCTTCTACTGCACTGCTTCCCTGGCACATATGTTTTCAGGGTACCTTCAAGCAGCGGCATACGACAACCTGGATGGCAAGCTCGGACACGCCGGTTGGCAATGGCTCTTCATCATCTGCGGCATCATCAGTCTGCCCGTCGGAGTCATCGGTTACTTCTTCAACCCTGACTTCCCAGAAAACACCAAAGCGTTTTATCTGAGTAAAGAGGAGGCCGCGTATGCTAGAGAGCGGCTGATACTGGACGGCTATACGCCGCTGGGATCTTCATCATCCAAGTGGGACAAGAAAAAACTCTTCCGCATCGTCACGACTTGGCAGTTTTGGGTGTTGTCGTTCGGCTACTTCTTCGTACAATCCAGTCACCCATCTCAACAGCCGTTTTACTCGCTGTGGCTCAAGGCTGAAGGGCACAGCGTGTATCAGATCAACGTATGGCCGACAGGTCAATCTGCTGTTGGAGCTGTGACACAAATCGTGGCTGGTATGCTGTCGGACTCGCCTCTGCTTGGAGGCAAGCGATGGCAGACAATAGCAGTATTGCAAGGAGCATCTTTTTTCGGTACCTTGATTCTGGCCATCTGGAATGTGCCCATCGGACTCAAGTTTTTCGCGATGTACATTTCTTTCTGCTCGGCAGGAGTGCCGGGACTGTTTTATTCCTGGTTTCCGGATCTCATGCCGCACGACCATGAGATGCGCGGCTTCTTGACGGCCTTCTCAAACATGTTCTCGTACATCAACCAGATCTGGTTCCAAGATGCGGTTTGGAGGACGGAGGAGGCGCCGCAATTCAAACCAGGATTCATTGCGGCGGCGTCGTTCAGTATCGCGCTCATATTGACAGCGATCCTGATGCGCGTGCTGGAAAAGCGGGATGCGAAGAAGGAGAACCGACCGAGCTATACGCAGGAAGCCGAGAATCGGGACAGGGTCGAGGATGGAGTTGTGCCAGAGGTGCAGGCTGATCCGGTGCATGTGGGTTGAGGAATCGAGCGTTCGTCGCACCAGCCCCTGTATCAATCCGATAGGTGTATTGCATCATCCAGTATCTCATGTCCCAAGCTCTTTCTGGTCCCATCGTGTTGTCGCTTATGCTTCAAGGGTAGCCTGGAGCTACCTGTTCGTACCATACATTGTTGCAGAATCTGGTTGCGGTCGCGGTCGCGGTCGTGCTTGGACGAGATAACATGACGAGCGGTCGAGCATCCGCGGGAGTTGTTGACTCCGAAGTCAAATGGGGTTGCATTCGAGCCATAAAATGATGTACAATCACTGTTGGACATGACCTGTTGATGCTTAGTGTCGTCGCCAAACAACAAGTCGTGCTTGAAAAAGGGCGGAAGCAGCTGCGGGCGGGGTGAGACAGATCTGCGCTCACACTTCAACGTCAACTCTCGATTTGACACCACCGGTTCATCTACCGGTGCTACCGTCATCAGAAGCATTAGAATATTCTGTTGCTCAATCAAATCCAAGTATCATTCATGGTCTGCTTTGATCTAGTGATATTACCATACCGATAGCGACACCTCTGAATCATCGTATCGCACTGCACGATGCTTTCAGCTCCCGGTTACAAAACGAAAGAGTTCGTACTCAGAGCTAAGCTTAGCTCAATCGCGGCATCTCAACGTTCTAGCTAGACTCTTGTGGGACGTCTACCCAGGTATCCTCGGAAGATAACAACCCGGTCTTTTGTAGGTTTCAGTACGTTCTGACCGCGACATTCGTGCGCTGCAACTAAAGTGCGCTGCCCTTCCTACTCATCTGACTTGTTTCTTTTCTCGTATTCAACAACACGCGCATATTCCGAATGCCTAGTGTTTCTTCAGACTGGAAAGTTGAACGTCCACCACGTCGATCCGGACAACGATCAGCCAATGGCTGTTTGCAATGTCGCAAAAGAAAAGTCAAATGCGATGAACAGAAACCGACTTGCAGTTATTGTGAGAGGCGAAAGTTGTCATGCTCCTGGTTCCAGCGACCTTGGAAATTTGTGGACGTCAGCGACAAAGTCAGCGAGGAATACGATGTACTGTCCGGTCCGTCGGAGCATCAATCGCAGCAACAGAGAAACCCAATCGAATTGAATCCCATTGAATATGTTCCCAAAAGGCAGCACCGCACCCGAGAACGCCCCCAGGAGACAGAAGGTCTGGAAACACCAAGTTCAAGGTATGCATCTGAGCGACGCAGCAAAACGACGACGCTCTAAACATGCTAGTACAAGCTCATCCGGCTCTAACTCGAGTCCGCAAGATTTGACATCAACTAAGCCGCGGCACTATGGAGTCAACTCATCACAAAAAACTCGAATACCTCCTTCTGTGGATGCTGGTCCCACGACTCGCTCTCAGATGTTAATCGTCGCTCTTTACCACTACCTCCCTACCAACGAACCCAAGGAGCACCGAGGAGAACATGAACATCCTAGACTAACATTTCTCAACCTATTCAATGGTGCTATATTCCGCCCTCGTGCGCCTTTTCTCGCAGCCGCTATAGATTCTTTTACCTTGGTTCAAGCATCTCTCGCTTTGGGCGACGTTCGACTCGGGTTCGCCGCCATCCGCCGTTACAGCGCTTGCTTGTCCAAGTTCAATGCAGCATTAGCTGAGTCAAATCTCTACAGTCACGACGATATATTGCTGTGTATGCTAGTGCTCTCTATCCTCGAGGTGAGTGGTAATCCTATCAGCTTCATCAATGCCCCGCTAACACTCAGTGCCAAAGTCAATCCGTCCGATCTCTCAATTCGGTGGTTGGGCATCTCACGTTCGTGGTGCAATCAAGTATCTTGAGGATCGTGGACCGCGACTTCTCAAGACTCGATACCAGACTGTGCTATTTCATCACGCAAAACAGGCTTCAGTTCTCTGGGGAATCTTCCATCAAGAACCAATACCCTTCAGTGGTAAAGACTGGTTACGAATATCTGAGTCGGCTCCTTTTATCAACCACGAGACACGACTTATCGACATCGGTATCCGGATACCAGGGTTATTGTCTCCTTCAAGCTATCTTTCTAGCCCTACTGATATGTCAGGATATCAGACATACTTCCAGGACCTCTTGGCGACTTCTTATGACATACAGAAATGGCTCGCGGGTTTCCATCGGCAAAGGGATGTTCTTTTGCATGCTTGTGACGAAACCAATTTCCCTACCTATTTCCGCTTGGTGAAGCGTAATGTGCTGAGCACCGCATCTTCATTCCGGGACTTCAACGACGCATGGTATCTTTCGACAGCATGGACATACCTCTACCTACTTCAAACTACATGTTTATCTATCATGCACTCTGGACTACCACTTCACTTCGACGTCGATGCGGCGTCCTTGGTCGCTTCAGTGGAGTCCACCGTCGATAACCTCACCAAGACAGTGCCCCAAGCGCTAAGTGCGCAATCTGGATTCTCGGGTCGCTTGAGTGTCAACTTGTTTTTGCGGATGATAACTTTACATTACGAAGCACAAGGTCGAGATGAGATGGTCGGATGGTGTGGAGATATCGAAAGTGCTCTGTATACGCCTGACCAAGGCCATGCAGGGGCGTGGATGGCGAATTGGGAGAGAGTGATCAAATTACCTCGGATCAGTCAGTTTGGAGAGCGGGAACAAACGGTCAGTATCCGATGAGGGTCATCATTCATCACCGACGCATATACCAATGAGCTCCTGGTACAAAATATCGAGACATTGTCGCATCTTCTGGAACCTCAACCAAGACACTTCGTCAATGTGATGATATCCTGCCATCGTGTTAGCTCTGCATTCATTGTCATCTCATTAACAGGACTCACCGGGGTACCATCAGGTTCAAACGCCTCCAAACATTCCGTATCATACTCTAACTCCGGTCTCCCAACCACACTCTCCTCCTCAGCTTCCACACCCCTCTCTCCTTCCCTCAAATACCAATTTCTAGCATTCGGATTTGCTTCCCTCTGCCCCCACTGAACTTTCCTTCTCTTTTCTTCCACAGAGCACAGAACATATGCCTTATACTCCGGCGCCCCAGGATGTCCCACATTATCCGCCACGACCCAAGTCCCCTCCCTCACCAACCCTATTTCCTCCGCCAACATCAAGTCATGCAAATAAGCAGGTTTATAATGATCAACAAACAAAAAATCCAAACCCCCGCCAGAAGCAAAAGAGGCAGACGCAGCCAATTCACGAAGAAGAAAATCACTCCTCCCCACCTGCACCTCCACAAACCCATCCAATCCAGCCATGCTCACCATTTCCCTCGCAATGGAAGCGAATACCTCATTGCTCTCGATGGAAATGTATTTTTCGCCGCCGGCAGCTTTGACGGCTGCACCAAGAACGACTGCGGAATAACCGATATATCCACCCAACTCGAGCATGATTTTCGGTTTTCGGGAAGTTATTAGGGAGATGAGGAGGGTGGCTTTTCGAGGGCCGATGGTCATGAGGTATTGGTTGGAGAAGGCGAAGGAGTCGATTGCAGTGGCTACGGAGGAGGGGGTGGTGGGGGAGAGGTTGCGGACGTGGGTTAGGAGGGATTGTTCGCGGCCGTCGCCGAGCTGGTGCGTGTTAGTGGAAGGAGTAATGGAGTGAGGGAGATGTAGTACGCGGCCTTGGGGTGTACTGCCCGTGTAGGCTTTATACCAGGGGATATTGGGGGATGGGTCCGTCATGATTGGATGTTGCTGTGTACAATAATTGCGAGGTGGGAGAGGTGGAAGAAGATGTGAGATGATGCTTAGAGGGATGGAAGACGATGTAAGAGAGAACAGAAATCACGAGAGTTGCCCGAACATGCGCGGATGATCATTGAGTCAGGTAAAGATTGATGGTGGAGAAGCCGGCTTGCGTGTTGTAGATCATTCATCTATATGCATATTGCTTCGGTAAATGCTATTTAGATGATTAGATCCTCTAGCTCTCACGCACGTTCGAGCCACATATACAAAACACAAGGATTATAACGGCACGTGTATAGGCAATCAAGCATGGACCGACTAATCGAGTCGGAAGTTAGGAAGACAGCGGTCACGGAGAAACTTGAATCTCGGGGGTCACAGGACCATGATCTGGGAGCCATGTGCAACGTATTTCAAATTGGACAAAAGCCGCACCATCGAGATGTATAGTCTTGCGGTCTGTCTAGAGCACATATACAAATGCTTTATTGACACCATCAGTCTGACCGGCGTAGGCTTTCTCGTCCGCAATCTCCACACTGTCGCTGGTCTCACCAACAGCATACTGAGCCTTCGCTCTGCGAATGTTTTTGAGAGAGTAGAACACCATCAAAAGCAAACAGACGACGACCACGGCTGATTGAGTAGCAACCATGGATACTTTAGCAGTGTGATATTCAGGAGCATCCTTAGCTCTGAAGGTTTTCGGCCCAATAATGTTGCCGGCCGCAAAGCCCATATTGATCAACACAGAAGCAAAGGTGCGTTTTGTATGACCCGCAACATTGGCTGTGAGCCATTGATAGATGATGGGCGTGCTGCCGACGAAAGTGTTGACAAGATAGACACCTGCCAATGCGCCTGATTGTTGAGAGTGCGGTAGCCATGCCATCAGTGCTGCGCCTATAAGAGACGGAATGGTCATCAGGATGATAAAGAACCAGCGATGGCCAAGGACACGAACTCCATAGCCACAGATCAAGGTAGAAGTCATGGTGACTGCTCCAGATCCCATGTTTAGGAGCGCAGTTCTGCGACTGGTGTATCCGTAGGACTTGATAATTGTTGCGCTGAACGTAGTGATGACACCTCCACCAGTACCTTGCAGGAAGATGATGGCAAAAAGTCCAAGGACCTGAGGGTCGAGAAGAGCCTCAAGAATCTGTGCCCATGAAAAGTGAGTGTTCTCAATACCGGTCTGGTTCTCCTTGACATGCTCTAGTAGAGCAACTTTCTCATTGGGAGTGAGGAAACGTGCAGCCATTGGGGTGTCCGGGACCATCGAAAAGATAGTGATTGCAACTACCAAGGTGATCAATCCGATGACTATGAACATAAGTCTCCAGCTTTCGATAGAGGCGTTCGGTGAAACGTGTTGGAAGGCCCAGGAGATCAGACCACCGAGCACTTGACCAAGACCAATGCCGAGGTACCAGAGTGCGAAACGCGATGACTGCTCCCGGCGAGTGTACCATTGACTGCTCATGAGCATGAGTGAAGGCGGAATACCGGACTCGAATGTACCACAAAAGACTCGTGCTGCAATTAATGAATTGTATCCTTTGGCAGCAGCGACACATGCTGTTGCGATACCCCAAGCAAACAGGGTGAAGCTGAGGAATTTTGCAGCCGGGATTCGCTGCAGCAGGAAGACTGAATTTTGTCAGTATTTGCTTTCAGTCCTTCTACTGGAAAGCAACCAACCATTGGGTATGGAGAAACAAAGAACGGCGAAGAAGAAAGTAGATCCAGCGTCTGCAAAGTTGTTGCCTTTGAGATGCAAAGACTTGGCAAGACCCATGACATTGCCATACTATTGAGGAGGTCAGTTGCTAACCCACAGAGTCAACGAGTCAGGCTCACGTTGAGCAGAATCTTGTCCAAAAAGTTCATGACATAGCAGAACATCAAGAACAGGATGACTCGCAAGTCAATCTTCCTCTTCAGCGTCCTCATGAAGGCTTCATCGCGATGTAAAAACTGGTTGTCCTCCGTCTTGTGCTCCTGTAGATACAAGAGGGCAGCATCTCTGGTCACAGCAGACGGTAATTTTGCTGACAAGTCTGAATGAGCGATGCCGGCGCTCTGCTTCGTGTCGTCCATAGTAGCTCTGCGGTGTAGTATGTCAAATATTTGGAAGAGGAGGTTGAGCGACAAGAGCCGCCTTTAACGCATCGTCAAGTAAAACCCAGCGTACTACTGAAGCCGAGCGTGAAAACCCATGCCCCCTACTCTTGCCCTGAACTGCCTCCATGCGCCGTGTGTCAATGGGCAGTAGATCCGATAACCAAGCGAGGTCGAGACTCTCTGTAGTAGCCGTCGGCAGTTACATCGAGTTTACACAGCAAGTCGACACGAAATTCATGCGTGAGATAGACAGCAAAGTCCCACCTTTCCAATTTCCATATAAGGTGACCTTGTATATTCCTACAGCGCAAGCGGACATGCAGGACAGCTTAATCACGCGAGGTCGATGTTGATAGGTTCATTGAGAACTAACACGGGACATCATCGAGAGGGAGTTGATCGCGGGACGGATGATTGATTGAACATAAAGCACGCAACAACGATATTTTTCGAGGTTGAGGGAAGAACGGAGTGGCTAGGAAAAGAAAGTGATGAGTGGCAGGAAGCAGCAACAAGCTTGCAGTGATCGACATGAGTCTTGGCACAGAGTCGCAAGCTTCGGCACCTCTCTTGTCCTCTCTCCCTTGACTTTGTCCCTCCATCTCACACAGAAACTTTCGTCGAGTCTTGTACAGCATTGTTTCACTCATTCATGGACTTTTTGTATAGTAGAATAATTTCTTTCGGGCGATCGACTCAACTCGATCAGCGCCCGACAAATTATCGTTCATTATTCCTTTGCCGACAGTGTGCCTCCTAAACATACCACGCCAGCAAGCGTACCCTCCCATCGGATTCGCAATATGAGCCGTGCCGTAATGTCGAGAATTTTGCATGCACTCACGGCCTTGATCAAGATCAAACCAAGACGACCATCACGACTCCTGGCAGGTACCAGCCTGAGGCGTTGTTTACCTGCTGCTCACAAGGAATCCTGGTACGGCTGAGAAACGTGGAGTGAGGTCTTCAGGACCTAGTTGTGATTGGACCTTATAAGGTGGTGCAATGCATGAGAACGTTCATGCGCAGCTGACACTGACAGTGGTCTCAAATGGGATATATCGTACACCACCTGAGCCACAAGAGTCATGGTAGAACTGATCATGTGGAAATCAAGAACAGTGTATGTCGCCAAGGACCAAAGCTGACATCTTGAGACTCGAAATCAAGGCTGACGATTGCGATAAGCTCATTCATGATGCTTGGTGAACTGTTTTAATAGTGCTTGATTACCTTGTTTTGACTTCGACTCTGACTCTGCTGCTCCTAGATTCGTCAAGTCATGAAGAGGTAGTCTTCGCAGGAGATCTCCGCATTGAGCAAGAGTTACTAAGGCGTTACCTTTGTGCGTGCTCTGCCTCTGCGTTCTGTATTCTGTGAATTGCCTCCACACAAGAACGTACCTTGCTTCACCTCCACATCCGAGCTCGCTGCTGTCTCTTCAGGACGGCTTGTCAAGATGCAAGCCACAGTAAGCCTGAACCCTTTACATTTTCGCTCTAGAATATCATTACAGCTGCGCTCGTGATCAACGCTAGTGTGCTGACAAGCGCTTCCATACATCGTGGCGCTGAGTATTCTCTAACTTTTGCGGGGTTCAATGACTCTGCCGTCTCAACTTACACCTCAATGTCAGCGCAGAAATCAAGGCAACTTCATAGCAAGTACATTGGACCAATGAACGTCCGTGACGAACCACTACATAAGGAATGGAGAGGTTCAGCTGCGAATCATCTACAATGACGTCTGTATTTCAGGAACTCCGGAGACGCCACATTCCCCCGCTCAACTCGTGCGTTCTCAACTTCATCTTCAGCAACATTGATTTGACCTTAAGAGCGTTCTTCAATGTACAACATCACATCTATCAAACCTTTTCCAACAAGACCAGACTCAATGGCGACATTCAGCTGACCAATACCGCAAGCGGCACGGTGCAAGTCACTATAAGCCTCACGCAAAAGCCTTTGTATTCTCATCAATAAGAGAGGTAAGAGACTCCATGTATGCCAAGATGAATTGCGGCAGAGGAAACCCAAGATCGCAAACCATAGTAACATCTGGAAATTCATCTAGAGATGGCGTACTTACTGCCTAACATACATGCAGGCATGGCACCGAGACTTTGCAGCATGGCAGCGCCGCTCCGACTACAAGCAGGCCACGAGACTGCGGCAGACTCGGAGAACCAAAAGGCTTATGGCTGCAAGCATTGCAAAGAGTCTGGAAAACTTGGCCAATCCCGGCACGATGTTTAGAGCTGAAACGAGGCCCATGCTTTGGATATTACCGGACTTCTATAATTGTACACGCTCTGGACCACAGCTCAGAGCTGGAGAACCCGAGACGGCCCGCCGAGGTAAAGGCAATAAGTGTTCGGCCAGATCCTCAAAAGATAACTATCTGGTTCTTCCCGAATACCATGATTGCGTCTGGACTAGGTTGAGAGTGACACTTGTTCTATCAAGGCTGGAACATCAATGACATGCTGCTCGCTTCGTGAAATAATGCAAAATCAATAAAGTCAAAAGCTCTGGACAACAGATATATACATCTACTTCGAGTGCAAGTCTCAAATGTCTACCTTTGACATGAACGGGCTTACATCAGCGCTTGCACAGCTGAACAAGTCTGGACTTTTTTGACGACTCAATCATGGGTCTGGGTTTATTTTTCCAATTCATCGATGGCATCAAGACTATCCAAGTCTTCAAATATATAGAACAGACCACGCACCTTTGATTGTTTAGACACTACCTACAATTCCTCAACCACAAAGCACAAATCCAATCATGCATCTCTTCGTATGTCCCGTCAAATCCTCTATTTGCCAAAACTGGAGCTGACTTTAATCCAGAAAACTTCAATCGTTTTCGTGTCTCTCTTCCTGTTCGGGGCAACTTCCGCAATCGCTGTAGCAGTACCAATACCGAACCTCGAAGAAAGAGCCGGTAAGCCTACTGGAGGGCCAGCGAGGGCCAATGTTATCGTATACGCCGGACCATACACTTGCTCTGATCCAAACACAGTATGCCGGATCTCATGATATCTTGAGAAATCCCTCTTACTAATAGTCATATAGCCTCCGCCTACTGACGGCAGTGCTGGAACTGGCAAGACCTATCTCGGCGTGACGGAGAACGTATGCACAATCCTCAACCCATTTCTCAGCATCACTGGCGCCGTCACTGCAAATCTGGTTCAACCTCCGAAGACTGGCACGGCTGGTTGTTGTACGTGTGACCTTTATCTCCATCGGCAATCCGATAGCTGACATGTCTAGATATCGAAATGTACAAGGAGGCTGGGTGCGGCTTGACACTTACCAATCAATTTCACGGATGGCCATTTAATGGTATAGATACTGCTAGCACGATGGGATGTGCAAATGCCGTTGGTGGATTTGGTTATGGAGCAATGACTCTGTTGTGTGTCTAGAACTACATGGCACTGGAGAGCATAAACCATTACTACGAGTCAAGTACAAGTTTACATTGGAAAGATGTCAGTTTCAATTGGTAAAATTTGATTGTATTGTATACGACAATTGTCAATTTGCATATTTGACGTTATGAACGAGAGCGATTTCCGAACTGTCTTAAAGTGCAAGAGAGATGAAAGCAGGACCAGCTGTTCACCTATTCAACCTTTTCCTCTCCACCCAGTTTATCCACTTACCCATATCTCTGACACTCTCTACAAACAAATTTCTTCACATCCGAGCACCACTCATACGTACACTTCTTACAGACAGTGTCGTTCGGTGCCATCTCAACGATATCGTGCATAAGAACATCAGTATAACTGTCATCATCTCTAGTCATGACAATATGCAAATTATTCGTGTCTATAAACGTATACGAGACAGCTATAGTCGTGTGGGTGGTAACCGTGACAGTAAAGATATTTGTCGTTGTAACTCTGATGGTAGTAAAGTCAATAGTCATAGGCTTGGAACTGTGCGTGCCAATGTTTGAGTCGTTTAGAAAGCTGTTGGTGTTGAAAGAATCGAGTTTGGGACCGAGGTTGCCGAAAGACATTTTGCTAATGAGTGTAAAATAGACTGCGTAGGGTAATAGGTGAGTCGGTTGTGTTGGAAAGGGGTGATCGGTCGCGTTCTATCGCTAGAATGCTGTATTCATCGATGCGAAGGGCGAGATGATTACGCACGAGGTTAACGCATCTTCCTTTGTTCGAGCACAAAGGCATTGTTCAAATGTCTTTCTCGAATGGACGAACTTGTTTGTGAATCTCTTTATCGCTTTCGTAGCTTAAGCGACACTCAAAGCCCACAAGAACATCTGCCAAATGCAATCCTTTGACCCCTTTTAACATTTCTTTCAAGGCTAAAGGGATGCCAACGACGCCATTGTCCTCCCCCCCATCAATGCGTTCTCTCGAATCACTCCTGGAGTGAATATAACCCCCTAACAGTTCCATCACCAATTCACCCGCCTTACCACACCACCAATCCTCCCACCGCACCACCGCACCACCAATGCCCAACCCCTCCATAACACTCACCCCCACAATCTCCCAAACCCTCGTCCCGCAACTCACAACCACAATCAGTTTAACCCTTGAAGTCAAGATCGTTCACGATGACGACGATCTGAAGCTTGCTATAGCTCAAGCAGTCATCTTGCGATGCATTGTGGCGCTTGTGGGTGAGATGTTGGCATTTTGGAGACTTGATGAGGAAGTTGATTGAGATGGGTAGAGGGGAAGGGGGTGGATAGAATTGAAATTAGGTGAAGTGTGGGAATTGGGAGACTGGAGATGGGCAGAGTGTTTGAGATAGTCTGAAAGGAAGATGTCGGCAGGGTCGTGGTATCTTTCTTCCCATCTGTTTGGGTTCAGTCTCGGGCTCTGCTTAGTCCTTTTGCTATCTGTTGTTTCTGCATCAAAATCCATTATTCATTCTTTTTGCAACGAAATCCTGTGCGTGTTGAACTGAAGCCTTTTTCTGCCACGTGGTGTGACGCTATGTTTTTTCTCGTGTGATTACCATCTGTGTTATTTCTATCCAGCATCGTGAATTGCCAGTTCTCGAGTTAAGAAGCTTCAATACTCTGTTTGTTCACGTAGCAAATATGGATTCAATATCTATGGAAGGAAAGTCGCTTGCCATCCCTGCTAGTGGCTGCAGCCACAAAACAGCCGGATTCAATATCTTATTTCGAAAGATGGCAATGCACGATCTTTCGACTTCCCCTTCCTACCTGTTTCGCCTGACTCTTTAGTATGTCTTCTAACCCAGGCCGTGTGGACAGGTTCGACGTGTACAGAGGCCGGAGAGCTAACGTCAGGTCCCAAACTTGACATGTAAATCCTCAACTCCAGCCCCGAAACGAGACTGTCTAGCGACGAACGGCATCTCAAAATGTCAACCACACTAGCGTCAAAAGAGTGTTCGTCAGAAGCGACCGGGAAACTATGATACGCAAGCGATCTCGCCAGTGGTTGGAGTTTGTCAGTCGATCTGGTTCTGAGGCCTGAGCTTTCCTCTTCACTCTCATTTTCGCTGTACCATGTGTCTTTGGTCTCCGCTCCGAGTCTGTGGCAGTAGTCAAGAGCGTTGTGTGCATGCTCCCAATTTGATGAATGATTAGCTACAGATCGTCAGCACGGTAACTACATCTTGAAATGCTCCTTACTGACGTCCGTATAGGTGGAATTCGGCTTGCTCCAGATGAGCACACAATTGAATCAGAGTGAGCGTCATCCCAATCTTGAATGGATCCGGCTTGTCTTGAGTAATACCAGGAAGCTTTGCGGTACCAGCCTTGCTCAGTAGCTCGTGCCACTGTTTGAACCCTTCCTGTAGTACGCCCATCGTGATCAATGTCTCCATGTTGACGGTGTTTCGCTTCTTTGCGCGTCGGCCTCGCAACTCTCCGAACATGTCCCGCAAGGAGTCAGAGATAAGGTAGGCAAGCATGCCCGGATACATGTCGAACATTTCTTCTGTACTTCTTTGTACGTTGTCCTCTGAGCCAAGCTCGGAGCTCCGGCTAGTAGATGAATCCGAAGACTTTCTGAACTGGTAACCAAAGGCTTCGCTAGTCACAGAGCCTTCAGGACGGTCGGGTGAGCGTCTTCCATATTCAGCATTATGAGGCGACGGGGACCTCGAATACTTTGCTGATTCGTTAGACGGTTCTTGAGTTTCTGATTCTCGACGGACTGTTGTCTCACATGATGGTCAACGGACGTGCTGCGTGATGGTGATGGACTTTTCCGACTGGGAGCCCGCCCCCGTGACTTAAGATTGCTTCTAAACATTGTTGCGTAGATTTCGATCAGAATGGAATCAAGGATGGGATATATAGAAAGCTCACTAGAAATACCTCGGAACACCAGCGGGGCGGTCGAGGTAGCTATCTGCGAGGAGAGTACCGCACGTCCCTGGCTCGTTCCACCTTTCGGTGGTTTCTGACATGCGACGCTTGGCCCCGCCTTTTCGAACAGTCCGATGCTGACAGGACGTCGCAGCTTACACCACTAGGATGTGTACTCGTCGTGGAATGTTTCCCCTTTCAATATGTAGTGATCGTCACCTCGTGGGCTTGATAGGCCGCTTCTTGCATCAAGATTGACGTGGCGGGAGCTACTGAAGGAGCCTGGAAGCTGACGATAACTGGTGTCAGCTCAGTACAAGCATCCTGAAGGATTTCGGGGGCGATCCATAGGTCAATTGTGAGGTACCGTGCTGCTATATCTCTCAGTGGAGCCACAAGTCTGAGGTCGAGCTTGTCCTCCTTCCTCGACTTTTTGCACGATGGATATCGTTTCTCCAATCGCCGCAGCAATCGCTATCGCTGCAAATGCAGCGACAGCAGGCTTTGCACTTAAGAAATTGTGCAGAGGCTGTGCAACGGCAGAGAGGTAATCCGTGTCGAACGAATTGAAAGCGTGCTAGTCCTACTAACTGTATCTTCAAGGGAGATCGGTGACGCATCGCAAAGGCTCTCTGGCCACAAACTTGAGTTTAAGCAGTGGGACGACTCATGGCGATGGCAACTGGAACAATGTCAGCAAAAAAGAGACGCCAAACTAGGCTACCTAGACATTTGGGGAAAGGATGCGTTAAATGCCGTGAAAGGCAACAGTCTGGCCATACTAGGTTACCTTGAGGATGTTCAACACCGCATGGAGTCTTGTATTAGTCCTGATAAGACAAGAAAGACGAAGCCACGATCGAAGCGTAGGATCAAGCGCAAGGTGTCCGTCTTCAAGAAACTGATCTTCTATGTCTATGGTATCCAAATCAGCAAGAGAAGCTCGACTCCTAAGTTGCCATCCGACCGGTCCGATGCAAGAATAGGATGGTTACGGAAGATCAAATGGTGCACATCCATAAGCCAGGAAGTCGACGACTTCTTGGCCAAAATCGACTCTGCACAAAGGCTTATCCAGAGGATTGCGAGTAGAGCATTCGACTCGTATCGTCGGAACCGCTCTCATCCTGGCCCGCGAGTTTCGATGGTAACATTAACGGTATCGAAAGCCTTCCGTCAGTTTAGACGGGAGATACGATCCGATCAGAGATTGTCTATCATAGGGCATGCTTTGGTCCGGGATCGCGAAGGTTTGGAGAAAATAAGGGATGACAGAAGATCCTCGTCCGAAGCACCAATCAAGCTTGTATTTCTCGCCCTGCCTGAAGACTTCGTTCGACAAGATAGGCCAACGGTGATGCTTGCAAACGTCTACTTGGACATCAACACAAGAAACACTGGCGACGAAGAGGTTTATATCAGGATCAGCTCTCTAGGTAGATACCAAACAGAGCCAGCAGAAAAGCAATCGCTTGTGGAGACGATTACAAAGGATCATAATATCGACGCTCACGAGTCATTGCTCAAAAAGGTTCAGATGGCCCGCACAATCTGCACCAATGTCTTCGATCTTTATGAGTCGGGATGCCTTCCAGTCAATCTGAGCATTGCAGACATCTACACTTACCAGCATGCGCTACTGTTATCGTCCGAGCGTTCAAAAGTTGGATATCGAGACCAGATGTACGTTCGGGCAAGTCACAGTGGACTTGGCAGTCCAAGTCCCACACCCTTCGATCACATGCACGAGCGATATCCTTTCGCCCGGGATATCCTTCTTCATCGACTCGGGATAGTGCTTTTCGAGATCGGCCACGAGTCGGAGTACCAAGATGTTCTTCCCCTGCCTGAGTCTCCAGTCGGTTCCCCCGAAGATCAACTCCGTAAACATGTCGACACAATCAATCGCAGTATCCAAGAGATTGGAGTTGATCCTAGGTACAGAGCCCTCGTTCGAAGCTGCCTGAGCGGTTCGTTGGGGCAAGATGTGGTAGATGCGGCGGAATCGAGCTTTGCTCGGGAGGTGATCGCTAAACTGGAGACGATTGAGGTTGGGATAGCAAAGGCCATTGAACGAAGGAATCAGTAATAAGGATGAAGTCCAACCAAGTTTGATTGACCATGCAGAGTACATCGGGCGACTCAAGAATTTCGAAACGTTCGCCGGCATAGAAGCGGTAAGTCTGGTTGCCGCTTCCGGAAAGGAGTGATAAGCTGACGTATATTAAACAGCCCATTTGGGAAATCAGAAGGTCGGGGACGACGATGGGCTTGCTGGATACATATTCGCAGGAGTTCATTGATGCGTGAGATCGAACACACAATGGAATTCAGACTACGTGTCAACTTCAGATGTTTGCTTGAATTACTTCTTCATGCTACAACTACTTTCTTACTCCTTATACAGCCAAATCAACATACTCTGATAATCCCTAACCATCCACGGCAAATTGACACCCCCATTCATCAACGTATTCCCACTCAACGTACCATTAAACGCATTACTCGAATACCTCGCCTTGCCATCCAACCCCTGCATCTTCAACGACGGCGCAGCTGGCTTGATCTTTGCAAATTGCTGAAACGCAAAAACCACCGCTGTGTTTTCATCTTTGGACACGAATTGTACAGCAGGCCAGTTGGTATCGCTGGGCCAGGCGATGCGGTAGAAGGAGCCAGAGATGACGATGGGATTGATTTGTTCCCAGGTGGATATGATAGAGGGGATTGCGTCGCGTTCGTCGGCGGAGAGTTCAGAGGGGTTGAGTTCGAAGCCGAAGGAGCCGCACATGAGGGCGACGTGGGCGCGGTATTCGATGGAGATGTTTCTTCCGGTGAGACCGTTGGGGACAGCGGAGACGTGGCAGGCCATGGACGAAAGTGGATAAGCCAGGGAAGTGCCGAGTTGAATGGTCAATCGATCCGCGGCGTCGGTGTTGTCGGACGTCCAGGACTGGGGGTAGTAGTGCAGGATACCTGGATCGAAGCGACCGCCACCAGAGGCACAGCCTTCCCAAAGGATCTCTGGGTAAGAGCCAGTGAGATTGTCCATGACGCGGTACATGCCCAGAGTATAAGCGTAATCGGCAGCAGGTGAGGACATTTCGTGAATGGCTCTGTTGTTGTCCCACTTGATATATGAGATGTTTGCAGACTTGATGACATTGGAGATGGCGTTGATGAGGTAGTCTTGAACCTCTGGGAGTGCCAGGTTCAGCACCAATTGATTGCGGGTCAAGGTTCTGACATGGTTGCCGGCATACATGACCCAATCAGGGTGCTCGTGGTACAAGGTAGAGTTGGGATTCACCATCTCAGGCTCGACCCAGATACCGAATGCAAGGTCACTGCTAGAGTTTGCGACTGCATAACTATCGACAGTCTCGGTGTAAGGAGCCAAGCCGTTGGGGAAGTGGTCAGGATTGGGTGTCCAGTCGCCAAGTCCAGCGGTATCGTTGATGCGAGCATAAGGTGTTTGGCCAAACCAGCCATCATCATTTACGAAAAGTTTGATGCCAAGTCCGGCCGTCTCATTTGCAAGGTTCTCAAGCGACGTTTCGTTGATTTCGAAGCCTAGACCTTCCCACGAGTTGAGAAGAATAGGTCTGGTCTCAAAAGTGTGGTTGGATCTGGAAAGGTGGTTACGGTACAAGTCGTGGAAAGATCTGGACATGCCTCCAAGGCCTGTGGAAGAGTAAATAGCGACAGCCTCAGGTGATTGGAAAGTCTGGCCAGGCCCAACAGGAATACTAGCATGGAGAGGGTTTAGACCAAGCAAAACGCGGACAAATCCATGAGAGAAGCGCTCGGCGGTCGCAGCAAAACTGCCAGTATAGACGAGATTAAATCCCCAGGCTTCACCAGTGGTCTCGGTTGTGGTTGGGTCATGTAGGACAAAGAATGGGTTGTGGACGTGAGATGAGTATCCTTCGGTACTTCTGAATCCAGTCTCGCCAAAGTCGACATTTCTGATAACTCTGTTGGCCTCATGAGACCAGTCACCCTGAAGCTCGAGCATCTTGAGATCGAGGTTGGGCAGATCAGTACTGAAACTGGCTGCTCTCTCAATCGAAATGTTGTTGGTGCCATTGTTGGTGATCTGGAAGCTTCTAGCAATGGCATTGTATTCGGGGAAGATTGAGTACGACAATGCAGCAGAGACGTTCGAGTAGTTGTCATAGAGTGTCACCACCAGCGTTGTCACATCTCCGTCATTTCCAAAAGTCGCAGGAAGACCAGGAAGCGCAGGCTTGCCTTGCACGATCTCGTGACTCTGGTATGTGAAAGCGGAGACGGTGTCACCATCGGCATGACTAATGTGAATAGCAGGAAGTCTGAAATCACTGCGACCGACATCCGGAAATTCGCGACGAATGTTGGTCAGACCCGGTGTCCCAACATTGTCAAGACCTGTTGACCATCCGCTATTGGAGATTGTAGCAGGATCGGTGAAATCGTCGACAGGTCCACCGAAATGGTCTGAGATGAGATCTCCAGAGCGAGGGTCAACGTGGAAACGGTATGAGACATCAGCACCGCTCAAGGAGAAGTTGGTGCCAGAGGCAGTAATGTCTTGATAATTGCATCAGCATGGGTGAAGAAATGGCAGTATTGCAATCGCCTACTAACCTCCATTGACAGAAGCCACCAAGCCAGCAATAAATGATAGACCGAAGAAGCGATTCGTAGAAAACATGACTTGTGTTCCTCGTCAAAACCAAGGATGAGAGAGGAAACACAGAATACACGAGGTGATGAGGTTCTTTATGTATGTCATGACAACCGGCAGAATGCCAGCCGAAGCGGCGCGCAGTGATGCGTAGCGATGCGAAGCGATGCGAAGGTTCATACTTCCTGTCTTGGCTAATGTTGATCAACTCTGCACGCTCTGCATTAAACCTGGAGATCGACATGCGATGTGGGGTAAGTTCAGTAGAGATCACGGAAGGACAAGGCACCAAGTGGTGGATAAACACGACCCTTGCCGTCAACTTCTGCTGCGCGCATGGCATGATTGAAGCGTAGAAGCATCTCGGATACGACCTTAGCAGAAATCGGTCCGAGTAATACCTCGAGCTTGCATTATTACTCTCTTGCCGGAGATCTGTTTATTCTGTTGCTAAATCTACTCCGTCCCGCAGTTTAATTTGCGCGATCTGTTGAAGACATAATTAGGTCTTAGAGATACATTATACCCGAGTTGCAAAGAAAACATTGCGTCTAAGACTTCTGTTATGGTACAGGCAACACGAACTCATGCATACCACTACATACAACAATCAAAAGAAGGCAGGTAAGACAAAAGTGTTGTGCAGAAAACACACTCTACCAACCACCTCCATGTGGAGAAGAAACCTCGAAAGCGGGGTTTGGCGGAGCGAAGAACAAGCGGAGTGGAATTGAGCGGAGTAGGTGGAAAAGTGTGGAAAACTTGCGGAACTGGGAGAACAAAAGTGGAGTTTTCCGCAGACGAGGGGGGGATCGTAAGAGATCTGGATGTTTTCGGCCGAGCTCATGTGATGCATAAAAGATGGTTGTTGCATAAAAGGCAAACTGTATGATGACATATCAGGGTGATGCCCTCGACGTCCTTTTTATTACAATTTGATTATTCGTGTTTAAGAGAAATGGTACATAACATGCAAAAGTGAAGAAAAAATCTACACATAGATACAGAACGTGAAGCATCTCCTAAGGCTACGACGAGATGGGAAGGGATGGGATATGATCAAAAAAAAAACTCGATGAGTATTTATTGAATGGTTGGGTTCATCTGTCCTATGTGACATCTACTCATTCAACCTCAACACCCTAACCGCATTCCCGCCCATGACATCCTCCGCCTCCTTCACCCCAAACACACTCTTCACAGCCTCCGCATTCGTCCTAACAGACAACCACTCCTTTTCCCCTTCCTCCAACGGTGGAAAAAACGGATGATCGGTTCCAAACATCAATCTATCACTCCCGGACGCCTCCACCGCAGCTTTCAACCCAGCATCCCCATAAACCACCGCGTCAAGATAAATATTCGACTTCAAAATATCCCAAACGCTTTTTCTACCCTCGATTTTGCCCGCCGATTTCAAATGTCCGTCGTGTTTGATGCAAGATTCGATTCTGCCGGCGAGAAAGGGCAAGGTACCGCCTGAATGTGCGAGGAGGATTTGCAAAGAGGAAAAGGTGTCGAAGACGCCGGAGAGGATGGCGCGGGTGATGGAGATTGTGGTTTCGAGGGGGAAGCCTAGGGCTAGGGGTAATACGTGTCCGTAATCTGCCGCTCTGTCGCCATAGACCGAAGTGGGGAGACCGTAATGAGGATGTAAAAAGACGAGTTGTTTTGTTTCTTGCAGGGCTTGCCAGATGGGGTGGAGAGCTGGGTCGTCGAGACCGGCGCCTAGACCGGATGTGCCGATGATTACACCACGCATGTGCTTCAAGCTCTGCAGACGTTTGATTTCTTCGACGACGGCAGGGGCGCCTGCGGAAAGGGGAAGTGTGCCAAAGGCGTACAGACGGCCTGGATGTCTGACACAGACTGCTTCGACATCATCGTTGATTTGTTTCGCAGCTTCGGGGGCATCTGCAGGCTCGCACCAATCCAACCATGGGTTTGCGAGCGAAATGACACTGATGTCGATGTTGTGTTGATCCATGAACTTGATCTTCTCTTCTTCCTCGTAGTATTCTGGACCGATGGGTCTGCCTCGTGCAGTAGAAGTTGCGGCATCTTCGCTGGGGAGGATCACGAGACGCTCGCCGGCTTCTGGGTTGTCTGGGAAGGTGCGCATATAAGGTACCGCTGACCTTGAGCGGAGCAGCGAGACATAGGCTGGAGGGTAGATGTGTGTATGGACATCGACAACTGGTGACATGATTGCCATTGAAGTTGCTGCTGGTTTAGAGAAAGGTGTAAAGGTTGGAAAGAAAGATCAAGACAAGAAGAGAGAAACTCGCGAATTGTTATCTTTGATCTGTCAACATTTCTGTACCTGTCACGCCATATCAACGTTCAATTGACCAGCTGTTGTTTTCAAGTGCCTGATCAACAATGCATACAATAACCGCGATAGGAAAATAAGATAAGAAGACATAAACAGAAGGTGTGGTGACCCCGCAATCGTCCAACCCCACCATGAGCGGAACTTGGAGATATGCTTTCGCCTATCATGCATGACACTGATAAGGATACAGCGGAGCTGAGCGTGAGTGTAGCGATAAGCAAAGCTCAAGAGGAGGGAGAAAGAAAGGTACAAATACCGTAGAAGCTCTTTTGGAGTTGCTGTTAGTCAGTTTCCCTATACGACTTACCTGAAGGATATACCAAAACATGAGCACCCCTACAGTCACCACGGCGGTCGGCGCCGACAACTTGACCATTCCTGTGAGTTGATCGTGTGATGTAGCTTAGCTTAGTTCGAGCGGAACTGACATGACTAGCTCATCGACTTCTCAGCCTTCCAGACAACTGATCCTACCATTCGTGAAGCTACTGCCAAAGCCATCTTGTCGGGCTTCCAGACTGCAGGATTCATCTACATTCGCAATCACGGCATTGACAAAGCTGCAGTGGAAGAGGCTTTCAAGTACAGTGCCGACTTCTTCAAGCGACCGGTCAGTCAAAAAGAGCAGCTGGCATGGACGACACCAGAAGCCAATCGTGGCTATGTCCGTCAAGGTCGTGAAAAGACGACAGATCTTGTAGATCCCAGCGAGATTGAGAAACAAAGAGCTTTGGAAGGAGCTGACCTGAAGGAGTCTCTCGAGATTGGCCGTGAAGGTGTGGCAGGACTTGAGAACCAATGGCCAGACAGATTTGATGAAGATGGCAAAGTGTTCCGAGAGAAGATGTTGAGCTTCTTTGAGGTTTGCAAGGATCTCCATGTGCAGGTCATGCAAGCCATTGCTGTCGGACTTGGGATTGACGAGCACTGGTTTGACAAGTTCTGCAATGCTGGCGACAATACATTGAGACTGCTACACTACCCGACGGTGAGCAGCAAAGTGTTTGCCGAGAACAAGAACAGTGTGCGAGCAGGAGCGCATACAGACTATGGTGAGTAATAACAACACAGATCTACTTTGAGTCGAGCATTGACAGGGACAGGCTCCATCACACTGCTCTTCCAAGACGCTCGCGGTGGGTTGCAAGTGCTGTCACCGATGGGTACCTATGTCAATGCAACACCCATCGCAGACACGATTGTGGTCAACGCAGGCGATCTTCTCGCAAGGTGGAGCAACGACACGATCAAGAGTACCAAGCATCGTGTGGTCGAACCACCTGTCAAAGAAGATGCGGATTTCCACCCAGCCAGATACAGCATGGCGTACTTCTGCAACCCCAACTTCGACAGGTTCATTGATGCGATCCCGGGAACATTTGACGAGGCCAAGCAGAAGAAGTACCAGGGAGTAAACAGTGGAGATTATCTCGTGCAGAGACTGACGGCGACGTATTGAGTTGACAAGTAGACAGGGTTGACCACAGACATGAAGATGTGAAGACTGATGAATTCAAATCGATTGTTTCCAGAATAGAGTGTTGCAATGATGGTGTTGTCCAAGTAGGTGAAGGCGGGCGAAAAGATGCGACGGTCGGGCCAAGTGCAGCCGAAATGGACGAAGCTCCAAGAAATGCCAGTCCATCGTCACCGTCTTGAAAGCGCAACTCAATCACCGCTTTCTCCCTACTACAATCAACCTGACCATCCACAATGCGCACCCACATGTCATCCCCAATGCAAGCGCTCTATCGTGTCTTTGTACAGCCGGCCATCACGACACGCACACGACCAACCACAATACTCTCCATCAGCAAACCTCTCACCTCCACCCGCACCTTCACCTCGTCCCCACCAAGACTAGCAGCAAAAGGTCCCCCAGCAAAGCGCAAACAACTCTGGGACGAAGAGATTCCCGCCCGCCGCATTCAACTCGTCGATCCCACCACAGAAAAACTCCAAGAACCCCAACGCCTCCGTGACGTGCTCTCCACAATCGACAGGAAAGCCTACCGTATAATCTGCGTAACGCCTCCCCCGGCAGGAGATTGGTCTCAAGAATGGATACCCACGTGTAAACTGCAAGATAAAAAGGCAGCTTACGAGGCGGAAAAGGCAAAGAAGAAGACTGCGCAGGTTAAACAGGCGGCAGAGGGGACAAAGACGTTGGAGTTGAATTGGGCCATTGATACGAATGATTTGGGGCATAGGATGAAGAGGATGCAGGACTTTTTGGCCCAGGGCAAGAAGGTCGAGATTATATTGGCGAGGAAGAAGGGTGGGAGAAAGGCGACAGCGGAAGAGTGTGAGGAATTGTTGCAGAAGATTGGTCTGGCGGCTGAGGAAGTCAAGGGCACCAAGGAGCTCAAGAAGTTTGAAGGCAAGTTGGCTGGAATGGGCAATCTGACGTATGAGGGTCCCAAGCCGTAGATGGTGTTGATGTTAGAAGATTGTATAGATACAGGTGTGGTATAGAAGTTGTACATGTAAGATAGACAGAGTCAAGCTCAAGATGAAGATGAGGCTCAAGCAACAATCTTGACTCTTGACGAAAGATCGCTCGAGTGCTGCTGGAACATCTTGTCGAGAGCCTTCTTCTCAATAACGACGCGACCACCTTCGAGCAAGTCCTTGACGTCGACCTTGTCCACGGTCAAAGCGCGAGCCTCCTTGTCCATGCCAGGTTGTTGGAGTGCAGTGAACAGCTTCTCCCTCTTCTCCGCCGTGACAATCAGGGTACCACCATTCGTGTTGCCCCACTTGTTCCACCTTAACAACTCTTTCAACCATCGTGCAGCTCCAGGCCCTTCAACCTCAATCTCGGCAGCAGTATCCAGCAGAATCAACTCTCCCTTCTTATAGCGGTAACTCAAGGCAGTCCTCCATGCCAGATCGTAAATCTTGCTGGGCAAATCGGTGCTAAAGTCTCTGGGCTTGGGACCGAAAGCCACACCACCACCTCTCAGCATAGGCGACTTCTTGTCACCCAGACGGGCGCGACCGGTACCCTTTTGTGGACGGACTTTGCGGTTGGAGCCGTGCACTTCGGAACGGTATTTTGTGTTTGCTGTTCCCTGGCGTGTTGCGTCACCCTCAAAGACAATTGCCCGGTGGAGAATGTCGCGGCGGAGTGGTAGAAGAAGATGTGTGCTGGGGTATGTGGTGAAGGTCTTGGGTTCGACCGAGGGAAAGTCGTGGAGGGTGCATGTCGCAGTCGAGAGGAATGGGTTGGCTGGTCGTTCCGAGAGGCGGCTAATGGCTGAAGCCGGTGTAGGTGGCGGCGGTGTGAATTGATCGTTCAAGACAGGAGCGGTCGCAGTCGAGGAAAGAGTGGCATCATTGTATGACTGCGCAATCGTGGCAGCAGGTGCTTCGGGTGTCGATGCAGGGAGGGATTCAGTGGCCAGTCCGCGCGCAAACACCTGGTATTGTTAGTGACTGCCTTGAGACGATTATTAAGCAGACATACGGAAGGAGCAGATCTCCAGCGGGCGCAGTTGATTACGGCTCTTCGTGTAGCCATGGTGATTTGTGGATAGAGGAATAAATGCGGAAGTCGCGATGCGATGGTGCTTGCGGAGGGTGGATTGGGTGCACGAAAAAGTCGGTCTTGGCACTGGCTTTGGACATTCGCGCCTTCCACAATTCAAGTCGGATCAAATCAAGAGGCAACCACGACACAATGGCTTCATCTTCACGCGCCCTACGAGGCCTCTCAGTCCGCGCCTTCTCAACATCGGCCCCAATCGCCGAAGAAGTCGCCGCCACAACAGCCGCCGCTGCATCGACACAAGCTCCGCCGCCATCGTCCCTCGATCGCGATAATGTCTTTACTCCCAGAGCAGAGCGCAAGCTTCTCCGTACCCGTGGTCTCACTCCTGTCGGATCCCGCAGACGTCGTGCTGCCATCCTCTCTGGCTCGCGCATTCCTTTCGAACAACTGCCCTTCCAATGTTTCCAAGAAGCCCGCAAGGTCTTGATTCAACACCGCCAGGAAAAGGTGGAAGATATCGACGCTGAACGTCAGAAGATTGCAAGACTAAAGGCTGCATCTGTGGAACCTCAAAATGAGCAACGGCACCAACACCGCATCAACAGCATGGAGCGCTACCTGGAACAACTCAAGATCCACGCAGACATCAACGACCCCATGGTCAAGAGGAGATTCGAGGACGGCAAGGGTGAGTCCATCTTCTTGCATGGCTGAAGGAGAGAGAATTAGTACTGACAAACCTCAGGCGACATGGACAAGCCCATCTACCGCTACCTCGCCGACAAGAAGTGGCGCCAATACGACCGTATGATCATCATGCAGCGCATCACCCAGATGAATGTTGTACCAGATGTCTTGCCCGCCATCGACCCTACCCTCAATGTCGACATCTCATTCGGTCCCCGCGACGTCCAACCTGGTGAATTTGTCGACAGCAGAGTCTCCGAAGTGCCTGCCCACCTCAACATTCAACCCTACAACAAGGGCGAACGCTATGTCAGCATCGCAATTGTCAACCCCGATGTTCCCAACGTAGAGGCTGACGGCTTCGACTACCGCTGCCACTTCCTCGCCTCCAACGTCAAGATCTCCCCCACTCAGACTTCCGTCTCCCTCGCCAAGCTGAACGACGACCAAGTCATTCTTCCCTGGTTGCCCGCCTACACTCAAAAGGGTCTGGCATACAGCCGCATGTCCGTTTTCGTCCTTGAGCAAAAGGATGGTCAAATCTTGGACGCAAAGGCCCTATCACAGAGATACGAGCATGACGACTTCATCCTGAGGAGTTTCGTCGACAGACACGTCTTGAAGCCTGTCGGTGTAAACTTGTTCAGAAGCAGACACGATGAGGGTACTGCTGGTGTCATGCAAAGAGCTGGTATTCCCGGTGGTGATGTCGAGTTCAAGAGAAAGAAGATTGAACCTCTGCCTTACAAGAAGTTGCCTGGCTCAAGATACAGGTAGTTTTGTCCAGGACTTGTACTTTTATATCCCTTGTTCTTACCATCTTATGTATCATACCAAAATCATGTACCTACTTTCAGTATCTGTCTTCCAAGGTGTGCATTGTTCTTGTTTTGGCGTTGAGGGATGGGATCTTTCAGAAATCGATTCCAATGTGACTGGATTGTTTTACTTCTCAATGCGATAACAACTCAACGGTGATCACCGCTCGAATACGTGGTTTTGTAGATTCAAAATGAACGGCTCACAGTTGCGGCATTCAATCACGAAAAGATGGTCATCGGCTCTTCATCGGCGAGTCGAATCCATGAACTTCGCAGCATCATGGAGAACATGCCCTCTGCCATCATCAACCATCACCACTTTTGTACGCGGGTGTTGTTTCGTGATGACTAGCGACAGGTAGGTGAATGAAGTGTACGAATCGATTGGGTTCATCTTTGTATGCATTTCTCCACGGAGGTGTCCGCAGAAAGATGGTCAATATGGTCAACATTAAGTATGGGTTCAGGCAATCTTCTTCCGAGAAAAGTGGACCCAGCAAGACTCAACAGAGCCCTGACAACGACACTGCTTTATCATTCAAGTATAAGACAAATAGCCCAACATCTGCTTGTCCAAGACTGATGTCCCTTCCTTTGCATCCGACACTCCATCATGACTGAACCCAACTCCACCACTATACCTCCGCAAACTCATGAAATGACCACCAATCCTATCAACAAGACTGGAGAGCAGCGCCAACACCAACAATCCAAACATCCCGATGCCGAAATCACCACTACTTCCTGGGACAACTCCGACACCGAATCCGAGTTATCCAAGAATCCAAAGAGTACTTCTTGGTGTGTGATTTTTGCCAGCGCGCTCGCAAACTTTTCGGATGGTTATCAGAATAATTTGGTGTGCCCCTCTTGATTAAATCATCTTCATCATGAGAGAGTACTGATGGGAGCGAATAACAGTCTTCAAATACCAATGTAGTATTCAAACACACGTTGGGTAAATCCTACACTTCTGCAATTCAAACGCGTATTTCAAATGCACTGCTCGTGGGAGCGGTGATAGGGATTGTAGGGTTGGGATATATCTGCGACATCTGGTCAAGGAGGGGAGGACTGTGGGTGACTAGTTCATTGGTGGTGATTGGGAGTTTGCTGGCGACTCTGGTGTTTCAGGTTCAAGGGCAAGGGGTGCATGATATGATGTGGTATATGACCATCGCAAGGGGAATCACTGGTGTGGGTGTGGGAGGTGAGTATCCACCTTCCGCTGCTGCCGCGTTGGAGGGGAGTAATGAGGTAAGTGTTTCTTCCCCCCTCCCTATCCAAGTTATGGATTTTGATATTGATGTGAGCAATTCTAGCATTACGATCACCTACGCGGCCCCATCCAAGTCCTCGTCTCCACCCTCATGGCAACCTCCGCAGCTCCCATCTGCACGGCAATCTACCTAATCACCCTCTGCGCCACGTCCGACAATCTCAAAACAGCTTTCCACGCCATTTACGCCATTTCAATCTTCCTCCCTCTGTTCGTGGCTCTCCTCCGCTTCAACATGCGCGACGGCATCCTCTTCCGCCGCAACAATTTCCGCAACCAATTCACCCCTCCTTATTTACTCGTGTTGAAACGCTATGGCTGGCGCTTGCTAGGAACCAGTTCTGCATTTTTCGTTTACGACTTCATCAATTTCCCGAATTCCATCATGAGTTCGGCGATTATCAATGAAGTCGTTCCGGGCAAGGATGTACGACAAACGGCGATATGGCAATTCATCCTCGCTTTACTAGCTGTTCCTGGCCCCATACTTGGCTCATACCTCTGCAACAAGATTGGCAGAAAGTGGACAGGAATTGCAGGATGGATTGGCTACATCATCCTCGGCTTTGTCATCGGAGCATGCTATAATACCTTGACCTCCCACATCGCCGCTTTTGTGGTGCTCTACGGGTTGATGCAATCACTCGGCCACATGGGCCCAGGCGCAACCATAGGTTTGATGTCTGTAGAACTCTACCCCACCGCCATCAGAGGAATGAGTTATGGCATCAGTGCGGCGTTCGGAAAAGCGGGAGCGGCGATAGGGACGCAGGTTTTCACGCCTATCCGCGATGCCGCCGGTCCTGCTAGTACCTTTTACTTGCTGGGTGGGTTGAGTGTGCTCGGAGCAGGGATTTACTGGTTGCTTCCGGAGGGAAGGGATATTGATTTGGGGGTTGAAGATGAGAGTTTTGGAATTTATTTGAAGGGGGAAGGGTGGGAGGGGAAGATGTAGATGTGTGAGCAGGGAAGTGGAAATCATGATATCGCGTTTTTCCAACTCTCTTGTTCTGGTGTTCAAGGTCTGAATCTGTTGTTGCATCAAATGGGATCTGTCTTTGGTCTTTTGATCAGCTAAATATTATTAGCGTATGAGCGTCCTAAGAGATCGAGCATCTGAGAAGACTTCAAGCGAATACAAGGCGGAAGGACGTTTTATCTCGTTGTCCTGGTTTGCCAAACAACACATCAACACAGTAGAGGTGTCTATACGGGTCTTACATCCCATCTCGGAAGTCTTAAATGTGAGCAAACTTGGATAACCTTCGATAATTGGTGCATTGCTTGACATCTTTGGACGTGATAAGGAGAAAGAAATAAAGCATTTCTTTTGGAGCGTTGACGCGGTTTTACTTGTTCCGTGCTGCAGCGGCGCTTGCTCTGAAAGACATGTTTGTCCAGTCTTCTTGTACCGTGCCGCATGGGCGCTTGCTCTGAAGGATCGAACTGGTACTTCATCGCCGTGCTATCTTTGAACGAGCGTCAATTCTGAAACGCTTATTCATGGGCATTGGGGCTTGATAGACCTATCAAAGACGGCGTCCCTCGTCCATTGTTTGCAAGCGCTTAATCGTGACCTTGTGATGGTTCAAAAAGGATCGCAATGCCATCTCACTCTTCATTGCGATACAAAATAACAGCATTCCGATACCAATGGCCTCGGCGAAAGAGAAATACTCTGCGGCAGAGTTTAAGAAAGGTTCATCATATCTATCCAAATGCAGTCGTGCAGGCTGACGGTGTAGCAAGCTCTAGAAGTCCTCGATGCAGAAATGGGCAAATCCAAAAACCTACGGAAAATGTCACCACTACGCATGATCAGTGCCGGAGGATTCGTAGCCGTCAGTGTCTTTGGCAATCGTTCTTCCACCGAAGACATCGACTACATTCTAGATCCAGAACTCAAAGATCTTCCAAAGGCGGAGAAAAAGCTGAGCATCGCCATTGAAGAGGCCGCAGACCAGTTGCGTATAGGAAAGAATTGGATCAATGACAGCATGGCGGTGTTCACGGTTGGAGAGAACAGAAAGACACTCTTCCGTCAGTCGATCCAGCAGAATGAGATTCTATTCCAGGGCAAGCATATAATCATTTATGCTGTCAAGTGGCAATGGGCTCTGACGAGAAAGCTCATTCGGCTTGGGTCCAATGTGAAGGGAGACAGAGATCCGGATATCGATCTCAGTGATTCTGTCGCGTTGGCGAGGAGAATCGTCCAACAGAATGGCGCTCCACTCAAGCGAGACGTCATCAAAGGGTGGACAGAAAACATCTACACTCCAATTGAGGATGAGGTACTGGACCAAGTCGCAGCTGAATATGTCAGAAAGTACGGAACGCAGGGTATCATATGAAGATGGTGAAGAAGAACGGTGGTAATCTTGGGGAGGTTCTTGATTTTCAATCCGTAGCAAGTTGGTCGGGTCTGTCATGCACTACAACTTCACTGCTCACAACTCGTGCAAAATTATATTCCATGGTACCAAGTCACACCGTTGTAATGACAGCAATTCGAAGTGAGAATTGATCAAACGAACCCAAGTTCTTCCAACAGCGGGGCGGAGTCGGGTTGCACAAATTCCCACGATTTATGCAAACGTTTTGCTACTCGAGTAGTCAAAGGCGGATAAATACAAAGGAGCACCTTACTTCCCCTCCTATCATACAAACTCATCGCAACGAGTTACTTGCCACCTTCTCATGCCGCATCAGCCATGGTATTTCGTTTTGCGAAACGATGTATAGATGGCAGTCGTCACACACCTTTGAAAGTCAGGAATACCGTCAGCCGCCTTCGCGAATGCTCTCAAGGGGCTAGACATATCCGCCGCCTACTGTGGCCTTTTCCATGGCATTTTCGACCCCAGCAACCTCCCGCCGATATTGTAAATGTTGGATCAAACGACAAGATCGTACACGTACTTCACCCAGATATCCGGCAATTGCAATGTATGCCTCTCTTTCGCGCCAGGGACACGCCTTTGTGCTCACTCTACCGCATGTTCGAAGACCTCTGCACACGACAAGACGTCTGGATGGGCTACGAATGCCAATATTTCTTCTACCACAATGAGCCCCGTTGGCGTCTGTCTCAGATCCCTGATCCGCGAGAAAAGGATCCAGCCATCGCTGCAGGGCTAGCTAGTCTCGTCGACGCCATGGTCACCGCATTCAACTGGAAGCTCGAACTCGGTATACGACGAACAGGCAAGAACGACTCCACTGACGACAGAGTGAGGAACTTTGAGCCTGAAATCGCTCCTGCATGGGTGGCCGAGGTGCCGGCGCTGGAGAAGTTGTTGGACTTGCATACTAATCCGCATCGCAAAGAAGGCGAGCCACATCCAGCCTTTTTGGAAAGGAATGTCAAGGCATGTGTGGGTCGAATATATGATGTTTGAATATATGGACGATGGGTCTTGAGCATCATTCCTCAAGCTCAAGGATCACTCGGGAAAGTCACGACAAGGACGGCTTCTTTTGGCGGGGACTATTCCACACTCAGACGCTATTTTGCTTCAGCATCATTACAGCTTGCGCTGATGGTGCAGCACCAATGGCGTTTTCAGTCACACTATCTACAGCGGCCGAATTATTGCCCAATGTTCGCACGCTAAACAACATACTTTATTACTTACCGCAGCCGGGATGATGCATCTCCGCACGATATGAGCACGACAATACACGACTTAGACAATGATGACTTCTGGAACTTTGGAGCTCCGAGAACATTTTCTCGGCCTCTTAACTCGTCTCCTTGCAGCGATACGCATGCTCTTGACCATGCAAGATAATCACATCCCGCCACGCCACGAAAACAGCAGCAATCTGCTCCAAATGCTCCTCCACACACGCCTTGTTCCCATCTTCCACCGATCTCCTCGAATCTCGAGGCAGCTCGTGCAATTCACCCACACTACCCCTCGTCTTCGCACAGGCAAACTTCAAAGATTATCTCTCTTCCGTCTCCTTGTTCAGACCTGGCTGTGCATACGCTATATCGGATCTAGCCGTCACTCCATGGCTTGCGGAAGAGAGATACACCTTTTGAAATCATCGGATGGTCTGGCAAGTTTACTGTTGAGGTTGGCTGGAATTAGTTCATCGGCGGTGTTGGTGTTAGAGAGCTGGTCCTACTTGCGTTTTGTCGTTGCGGAGGATGTAATGCTGCGGTAGTGGAGTTTGGAGGAGGGTGAGTGGTACTTACATCTCTGCTCATACGGGCTCCTAAGTCGTACGTCATAGTATGGTGGCAAGTCGGTGTCGTTGTGTGGTGTTAGTGCTGTAATCAACATCCTGTACCGAGAAGACATTTAAGGAGTGGTATGGATATCGAAAGACTAAAGTTCGTTCACAAAGACACTGGAAGCGAGTGACTTATTAATCCTACAAGACAACAGTCTTAACGCACGTAACGAACAGGCGCCAGGTTTAGATGCCCGGGAGTTTCCGCGCTACTTCGTGAACAACAATCCCTATTGTTTGAAGCTCGTGATTTGCCCTCCTGGATCATAAGGGACTAGAGCGTCTAGGCCCCTTCCAGACGCCGAAGCCATAGCCATAACAAGTTGTGGTGGACATTGTGTCTAGCGCACTTCGTGTAAATCATAATAGGCTAGGAAGCAGTTAGGATGACTAGCATTGCGTCAAATGTAGCCGACAGCAATATGGAGATTGTCTAGATTCGGCACCAGCGTCTTAATTTGCATCCAAGACGACACCTCCCTCCGCTAATGGTCCGCCTAATCGTTATTGGCAGTGAATCCTGGCGCACCAGTGTGTGTTAGCCTTTAGCCGAAGTGTTTGGTCCTGAGGATTTGGGAGCTCGTTATACGAATACGGAATTCGTCCGTCAGCTAAGGGACTACCTCGGCAGCACTTGCTGTAACGTTCCGAAGAGATGCCACGGGCTCTAAAACGACCTCGTCTCCAACCAATTTTCGCAGAGCTGTTTTCTCTTTCCTCTCTCTCTCTCTTTCTCATCTCCATCACCGAGGCAGAGTCCCATGTCAGATTACGGAAAGACTCTCGGTATAGTCGGGAATACGATCATATTTGCCCTTGGTGGTGTACTTGCATTCTCGCTCGCTTATCACTATGACCCAGAGAATGACACGACCAGAGATCAACGGCCCACTGCTTCCCTGAACACATGCTGCCACAGGACAAACAGTCTGCTTTTCGAGCTACGTTCTGGTCATTTTACCACCCGACATGAAGATGAATGGACTTGTGGTTGCCGCGAGGCAGTGACTTGCGCCTGTCGTTGTGGAAGACGCTAGTGGTTCGCAATCTTGTATCAGGCTACTTGTTGTACGTCAATCCAGTTTCAATAGATTCATATCCCATCTCACGCCTGTATTAGGTTCAATAGATCTTCACATAGGAAGATTTTAGCCTTCGCAAGCACACAGTACAACTTTTTGGAGCAGCTTCATATCTGTTCTATAACTTGCGGGCTGTGTAACAGCGCCAACAACCGCCCGGAACTTGAAAACAAACCACATTGACCTCTTTTCACACCCTTCCACCCACGCTTTCATCAACATCCGGTCGCCAGATCATAGGGAAACCCTTCGTAGCCATCACCAAACCCACCCGCCTCCGCGATGATCGTTCCATACAAGTAGTTGGCGTTGTGGTTTGCCGGATTGTACATCTCAAATGCATACTTGTCTGAATATGAGGTTGTGTACATCCAGTTTGCCAAATCCCACATGACTCTGTAGAAGTCCTGACCCTCGACAGAGTCAAAGTACAAGTTGTTGTTTGCGCAAGGTTTGTTGTAGGATAGTTTGATACCAGCGACATTCGTCGGGAAGGAGAAATGGTCCCGCTTCGATGGGGAAGTCTGGTTTGAGGATCGTGCTACGATCATGTGGCCGTGGGTCTCGTTGAATGTATGAGTAGAGATCGCACTCGTATAGTCCGCATAGAGAGTAATGGCGTTTTCGATATGCTCTGAAGACAAAGAATAGCCGGTAACATTGTAACCGTTGATTTCCGAGAGAGATGCCAGCACTTCGTTGTGAGACAAGCTGGTACCATTTTCGCCCCGCTTGGCTTGCCCAAAGTACTCGTTCATGACCCTTGCAGACTCCTGATAGGTGTTCAGAGAGTTGAGTCCTGCTCTGAACAAGATATGGAGGACCGAATAGATGCAATCGAGATTGGTAGAGACTACCTGCCAGTTCCATGTGTACTCGAGACAGTTGGTGATCGCGGAATGCCACACGGTTTGACCGACTACGACTGCACCTGCAAGAAGACCAACAGTAGCTTGATACCATCCTCCTTGATTCCAAGTTGGCCATTCCCATCTTCGTGCCAGATCTTGATCATGAATAAACGAGGGGTGCATTGAGAGCGGGACCGGAGGTTGAGGATCGTGATAGGTCGCTGCGATCGCAAGCTCCCTTGCCAGAGTGTCATTTGTGAGGAAGCCAGGCGCTGCTGTGGCCAAAGTCGAGGTGCTCAAAAGGAGCGTCAACGCCGAGAAGCACTTCATGGTCAAGTGACACCGTATCTGATAGACAACGAGGAGCCGAGGCAAGAATGTGGATATTGAGGAGCAGGATCAATAGCGAGGCAATACACTGGCTTTATACCTTACCTGAGTCCTAGCTAGACCATCACTCCGTCCCTTGATACCACGCAAACCTTGATTCAGGCATAGGACCGGTATGGGATCACGATAAGTGGAGCAACTCGTATAAGCGGCCCTCTAAAATGTCAACATTCCCGAAGGATTGAGGCGAAGAGCAATGGATGGCTCCAAGAAGATTGGCGTCTGTTCAACGTAGACACTTTAGGTAGACCCATATCGAAAAGCTGAGTGCTTGTACGGATGGGGGTAATAGTGTACCAAGTCAAACGTGAGCAGAATAGCAGCTAAGATGAATCTTTTGGAAGATCTAGCAGACGGAGTGTTGTGGTCGGGTCCTAAACGGCCAAAACGTTGCGCGACACTAGTCAGTAGCATGGAAGCAGGTTTCAGTATCCTCAGGTATCGCGTGATAGTACAGGAGGTTTGTGTAGAATACGACTCTACGGCCGTAACGGCGCTTTCCACCATGCCAAGGCATTCACCCCTCCACAGTAACATAGAAAGGGTAAGGCTAGCGAGCGCGATTACGGGCGAAGCGGGCCCAAATGGGAAATTTGTGAAAGACAACATATGTTGACTTCTGCATTGCTTTGTCTAGTAACATAACTATTGCTCGTCAAGTAAACAAGTACAAGAACATTGATTGTTCACTTCCGCACCAAGGTCCTGATCATATGCAATGCTACTCTCATATGCGCGGTTAGAAGATTTTGACGCTCTTTCCACTGGGAGTCAGCCATCTGATCTTCTCCTCTACACCCTCCTGCTTGAATATTTTGATCAAATCTTCCTCGCCTTCAGTGAAGTGACCCCAGGATTGATAGTGCATAGGGATCAACACATCAGCATCCAGTTCCTTGACCAATCTTGCACCATCTTCGCCTCCCATGGTGATTTGCAACTTGTCCTCTGGCTTCGAAGGATCAGTTGGAACGTGTGCGTTGCCGAGATTGAGGACGGCAGCAACAATGTGCCATTTTTCGTTCATCTTCAGGAGATCAGAATGGTAGATCGTGTCACCGGAGAAGTAGATGGCGTTTGGTAGACCATTGGCAGCGTGACCGAAAGACTCAGTGGAGATGATGAACCCAGTGCATTCGCCACCGGGTAGATGGATAGCAGGAACACCGATGATTTTGAACTTCTTACCGCCAGCAATGAGATCAAGTGTTTCCCAAGGTTGGACAGCGCGGACGTCAGGACGAGGCGATAAGTTCTTCGCGCCGTCGGGGGTGGTAATGACTTTGCGTCCATCAAGCAGACGGCGACCGAACTCGTCAAGATTGTCTTCATGGTCTTCGTGACTCAAAAGAACAGCATCGATAGCGGGAAGAGTATTAAGAGGGATTGCTGGGTCATCGGAGAGGCGGAGGGTGGTGGTAGGGTAAGGATATTCGGTGCCGGCGGGTGCGAAGACGGGGTCGGTGATGAACTTTACACCGTCGATGTCAATTATGGCAGTTGCAGTGGTGATATGAGTGATCTCGAGAGAGCTCTTGAAGCCGTGAGGGGTAGACATGTCGGACTTTTGTCGTGAAAGAATTGAATTGATGGATCAAATGATTGCTTTGGATGAGATGTGAGTGGTCCTCTGGAGTTGGCGACATCGTTATTTATGAAGGGACGCCAGATCCCGCTGGCTTCGATGCGTTCAACCTCGTCAACAATGCTTCGGAACACTTCCAGAAGGATTGGTGGTCATTCTTTGAAATCTTACGATGTTGTCATCGGTCTAGAGATATTCTGGGGTGAGTCCGAAAGTGCAATGGCCTGGCCGCACAAGAATCTCGGGAATCCCCCATGCGGAATCTTTCCGCAACGCTCAAAGTTGTGCTCTTCAATTTTCGATCAAAATTGCTTTCTCGGCTGTGAACATCAGATCTTAGAAGCTACGATTGATGATTGTTCAGCATTCTTGCTTGTGTGGGATCAATTACTGATCCATAGAGTTCCTAGGTCGGTTGGTCTTGAGGTCGTCCAGGAGCTTACTGCATGAATCAATACACACTTTTGTAAGCACGGAATCTGGCCTGCCCAACTTCAGCTGGATCGCAAGCCAGTAGTCATGAGAAACCTCCAAGTTGCCAGTCTCAATCCGGTCGGAAACGTCTCGATTTTCCCACTTGTCTTTCCATACTTGGTACCACATTTTGACACCGTTGGATAAAGACTCGGGAAGGACAACTGGCTGCGTAGTATTAACCCGCTCAAGGTATATGACAATCTGGGAATTGAGTACTGTAAATTTCAGTATGGTATACCACGAATTTGAGGGATATGGAAAACCACTCACCACTGCTGAGTAACATCATGTCGAGGCTTCTCAATCTCGGGTCGGTCATCGTTCCAGGATTTTTCATAAGAGTTTGAGAGGCGCAAAGCACTGTACCGTTGCTTTCAAACCGGAAATTTTTGGTGCGATATGGATGCTCCGCATCAAACATCGCCTCAGGGCAGGGGGTATCGAAACCAAGTTCTGAAGTGCTCAAGCGGCAGGGCAAGTTGTGGAAGAAGTGAAAATCGCGGTCCATCAACGTGATATATCCCATAGTTCTGTCGACACAGCATGTCAGTCTTCGAAGATCATGCTTCTTGAAAGAACATCAATCACCTTATACGAGCTTCTTTTCGCAGCCATCGTTGTTCGGTCTCTCTATCTTCGAGTCTCTGGCGACTTTCGGGAAGACCGAGTTTTCGACAAATCTGCACGTGTCAGTATGAACTGATAACCATATACAAGAACACTCACTCTTATGAGCTCTCCAAATCTAGTTTCCATGGCTCGAGCTTTCGCTGTATGATTTCCGAAGCAATGTTGAGCTATCACAACTAGACAACCTGCCTGAAGGTCTTCAAAAGCGATTTGATCATCCTGGCAGTCGGAACTACTGTTCGCTTCGAGGCCCGGGAGTGTCTTGAATGTCCTGGAAGAAAAGACCATGCACTCAAGTAGATCCAGTCCATCCACGATGACACCCCTCTCACTAATGTCTTCCGAATACATACCACCGACGTATGCAACTGCTGTAAGAAGAGCTACTGATACCTCATTCGGGTCAAATGATGCGGGGTGTATGATACCGACACTGCGGTGGAAACGCCCAAAGTAAGTCCTGGCAAGCCTTTGAATACGAGCAGTGACCATCAAGAAGATCTTGCTGAACATCTGCTTTTGGACGTCGACTTCTTGACTCATCTGTGGTAAGCACAACGTCAGTGCCTTGATGAGAGCACTGGCATAAGGTTGTTCGGGTTCGCCAGGTGCTGATTGTATTGATGGTGAAAGTGCCAGATCATCTCCCGGAAGCTCATCAGAAGCGATCGTAGACGTGAAACCGAAGCATGTGAGGTTCGGCGTCATGAAGGAGCTGTCTGCATTATGATCTTGGGCTGGTGCGAACCACACATCGGAAGCGAGATCCTGTACTGGTGGTACCGGAGAGGAAATTCTTACATGTCCGGCACCCGCGGAACCTGTCCCTGCCTGGAATTCCGATGGCCCAACGTCGAGTGCGTATGAGCATATCTCGCCCTTCTTCGTACATGTACCGCAAGGAGTTATCCGATCGCATTTGAGCTTCTTAGCAGAACACTATGGCAAGAGTAAGTGACTGTTCAATCGAGAATGATAAAATTAGCCCACTCTTTCGCATGCCTGTGGGTAACCTCACAGTCAGCCAAGAACAGAATCAGAGATGGTCCGGATGTTACCTGTCGCCGCTGATCACAAGCAGCTACTGCAGGAATATCTCGGCCGGCTCGCTCGACACAACCAACATAATGATTGCGCAACACATCAGAGCGTGCAAATCCGGAGCTGCAGAACAAGCATTTATACGGATGCCGTCCGGTGTCTGAGGATTATCAACATGAGCAAGCGTTGAGCGGGAGTGCTTTCACGTACGTCGCACGTAGTGCCGCTTCAGATGGTCATTGCGACTGAACCGCTGCTGGCAGATATCACAAGCGAAGGCCTTGGTAGCATTGTTCATCACCGTGGACAATGATTATTGACATTCCTCGCGACTTGGTCTGGGCAGTGGGAAAGGAAGTGACGCACGTCATGGAGGTCGCGGTTTTCCCCCGCTGTTGCCAACAACTTCTGAACTTTCCCGACGTCGACGTGTTCTGTTTCTAGCGTTCGATCCAGTCAACTTGGCCATCTACATTGAGGATCCTTGTGCTTTTATCTAACGAAGTATGTCTTTTTTACTCAGTGGAAGCTGGACTTTTGAATATGAGCGCTGGTTTGCAGAGTCAACCTGCAGAGCTGAAGCCAACGACACTGAACAGCGAGCGGATTGGGTAGACTCTACGTTTGACAGACAGAGACCGGTCAATTGAAGCTACCAGGAAGGTTGCATCTGTACTGAGGGTCGACAGAAGAAATTTCCATCTCGCTTCCTGGCGATTCCGTCACTCTTATCGGGGAGCACAGAGCAGTCGGGCCTGCCCCAGGGGGAGCCCGACATCCTAATTGTGGTAGAATTATTCGAACAGGCGTGACAGACTGCCTGAGACAACGAACCATTATTTATTCAAGACGACCTAATCTCAGGACGGGAGAACAAAATGTCTGATCTTGGAGGGTTGCCAACATCCACGCCAGATTTCTCATGAGAAGCTTACAAAACCTGAGGGGGGCACTCCGAGCGCTTTCAACGCCTCGTAAAGCGGTTGATTCGTAAGGAAATCTGTAGTAAGCTTTCATCTGGTGGTCAACCAAGAGAATCTAATCACTTTAGCTTGTATATACAGGCTTTTGCACTCAGCTGCTTCTCTGATTGCTATAAGCACTTGGTCCCCAACTACCTACAGGCCGAACTTACTCCTTCAGACCACTCGCACCGAATCACCTTCTGTTTGAACGTCTCGTTGTACCCCCTCTGATTCGAGATGGCGTCGACTATCCCTATCACCTTGGTCGACACACATAAAACGATGCAGTCAAACTACGACGATGGTGGCATCCGTACAGACCCCACGAAAGACGAAAGAGACACACAATACCTGGTTACTTGGGAGGAGAATGATCCTGGCAACCCAAAGAACTCACCTCTCTGGTACAAGGCCTGGACTGTATTCGTCATGAGCTTTGGCGCTACAGTCGTGAGCCTTTACAGCACATCATACACACCATCTCTACCGGATATCGAAGCAGAATTTGGAGTGTCGAAAATGGTCGGCTTGCTCGGCGTCACCACATATCTCCTTGGTATGGCTGTAGGCAGTCTGGTTGTGGCTCCCTTGAGTGAGATCTACGGTCGTCGGCCCGTCTACATTGTCACCATGGGCCTGTTCACTCTTCTCATCATTCCCTGTGGTCTTGCACGAAACATGGAAGCCATTCTGATCAGTAGATTCTTTGGCGCCTTTTTCGGAAGTGCCATGATGACGAATGCTGCAGGCACGGTCAGCGACATCATCTCACCAGAATACATACCTCTGGCCTACAGTTTCTGGGGTATCGGCCCCATAAATGGTCCAGTCATTGGTCCAATCATCGGTGGCTTTGTCTTCGAATATTTGGGATGGCGGTGAAACAGTTGGCTTGTCATGATCATGAGTTTCGCAGCATTCATTGCGTTGATCGTCGCCAAAGAGACATATGGACCCAGGATTCTACGTCAACGTGCCGCTGCCAAACGCAAGGAGACTGGTAATGACAAGTGGTGGAGCCAACATGATGATTCGTCTAGCTTTGCTCAAGTACTAAAGACCAACATCACCAGACCAATTGTCATGCTCGTCACAGAGCCTATATGGTATGTCATTTCTGACATGACTGGGCCTCTCAATACCAACTGACAATCTTCCAGCATTTTCTGGGACGTCTATGTCGCACTAGTCTACGGCGTACTATACCTCTGCTTCGTCGCCTACCCACTAGCCTTCCAACAAGAAAGAGGTTGGAGCAGCGGCATGACCGGCCTCGCATACTGCGGCATCGGCGTCGGAGCCATGATAATCATCCTCGCGGAACCCCTACTCCGTCGATTCATCAACAGCCACCCCAAAGACCCAAAGACTGGCCAAGTAACCCCTGAAGCCGCTGTCAGTATCGTCTGTATCGGCGGCGTCCTTCTCGCAGTCGGTCAACTCTGGTTCGCATGGACGTGTACAAAAGATATCCACTGGATTGTTCCTATCTTAGCTGGTGTGCCTTTTGGTGCTGGCAATGCATGTGTGTTTATCTATGCCATCAGTTATTTGGTGAGGTCTTATGATGTCTATGCTGCTTCTGCTGCTTCGGGGAATGCGGTGTTGAGGAGTATCATGGGTGGATGTTTGCCCTTGGCTGGTCCATCTTTGTACGCTTCTTTAGGGTTGCGCTGGGGAGGCACGCTTTTGGGACTTTTGGAAGCGGCGTGTATCCCTATACCCGTCGTGTTCTACTTCTATGGTCACAAAATCAGGGCGAGGAGTAGGATGGTACAGATGATAGCGAAGAGTAGAGAAGAGAACATACGGGATGTCTAGCTATATTGATTTATGTATTTAGGGTTGCTACACAGCAACACAAGATAGCAAGCTATATACCACCAAGCGTCAATTCCATGAGAGCTCAAAGACACAGTCAAAATGAGCCATCAAGACACCATTGCGCTTCGCAGAAGATATATCAGTAGAACAGGCCCTTCTGCCAAAAGTCACACCTCTCATTCGCAACAGAAGCTCTAGCGCCAACAATACCCGTCGTATTAACAACAATCACAGAATTATCACCTCCATAGATTCCAAACTCCGCAATGCCATCTTTGTTCGGGTTTCCAGTAGCCACGAATCTGGTAACATAACTTTGCATGGCATAAGCAATCTGTGCATCATCAAGTGGAGATTTCCAGTCGATATTGCTGGTCGAGTTTCCACGGAGAACATTCGTCGGGGTAAAGATCGAGGCAGAAGATGCCACATGCAAAGATGGCGGCACTGCAAATTCATAACCATAAGACGAATTTGCAAAAGCCTTGTTCAGGTAGTAATTGCTGCATGTAAGCGAGACCTCGGAATTGAACGCGGAAGCACGCAGAAGCTGGGTGGTATAATTCTGAGCTTGCGAGCCATCGAAGATTGGAGGATAGAGAGTGTTGACGATATAGTCGACTTCATCGGGGTAGGCAGCCAGAGAAGGGAAGTTACCGATCACTGACTTTCTGAATGCGGTGTCGTTTTGGGTCGTGGGGTCGGTGAATCCGAGTGCTTCGTTCAAAGCATGTCCAGTCATAATGTTCTTGATGGACTTGTCGTAGAAGCCGTTCGCCAACAGCTGACCTGGTAGCGCAGGGACGAAATCTCCATCCACGGCAATGCTGTATCCGAAGCTACCAAATGGTGCGAGAGCGATGGAAAGAGAGTTAGCCGCAAGTAAGGCTTGCGAAGGGAGCTGACGCGCATCGGTCAGACTAGTGACGTTGAGGTACGACATGTATTGATCAAAGGTCTTCTGCTGCTGAATTGCAGATGGCAATGGGGCGAAACCAGGCGACTCCAAAATGGCTTGTGCGAAAGGTGAAGGGCTTTTCTTTCCTCCGTATGCCTGTCTCGCTTGTCAGTTGGGGATTGTGACGGTGGGAGATGGAGGTACCGACCGTGATCTGATGCAAGACGCTACTGGCTCCCGCAGAAGAACCCATGATTGTCACTCTGTTCGGATCACCACCAAAGAGGTGGATGTTCTTCTGAACCCATTCTAGTGCAAGCCTTTGGTCATGAAGACCTGCATTCGCTATACCGCCACTGGCTTGAAATTCGGGTCCACTGAGCCAACCAAAAGCACCTAACCTATAGTTTATGGTTACAAACACAATATTTTCACCATCGATCTTGGCTTGATCGAGTAAGCTTGTTGACTTCGTGTCGGCTTTCGAACCGGACGCGAAACTAGGGGTAAATTAGCGGATTGCTTGATCGGGAGTTTCAGCATACGTACCCTCCTCCGTGAATATAGACCATGACGGGACTTCCGTATCCCTTGCCGACTAGATCGAAGGCGTCCTTTGGGGCAAATACATCGAGAAACAGGCAATCTTCTGACACACGAGGGTCTTGGTTGGCGAGAAGGGCGGAAGAGTTTGCTGCTACTTGAGCTGAAGTTTGAGCTCTCAGATCTTGCAGGGCCTTGGTGGCTTCCGATACATTGATCGATGCAGAATTACCGCTAAGTAAGTCTGGAACAACCGACAGTTCGGCTGTAAACCAGTCTGGGCTACCTTGTGCACATATGCGACCAACATCACCTCTTTGCAAGACGGATCGGTTGACAGCAGGGACCTTGATGATTCGAATGTTGTTAGAACGATGGTTGAAAGTTCGGGGCGTGAAAGAGTCGCTCACCTGGGGCGCGGCAAATCGTAAGTCACCAACGGGAGGTGCGGCATAACGAACGTTCGAGAACTGACGACTCTGTCAGATTCCTATCAAGAATATCTTTTTCATTGAAACCTTACGTTATACAGATTGGTAACACTCTGCACAGAACTCATGGTAAGCAGATACTCGTCGAAGCTGAGAGGGGATACAAACGTCAAAGTGCGCCGCCTGATGTAATTCATATCCGAGGTCAACGATTGGCAAGGTAGCATTCTGGGCGGACGCTGCTGCAGAAAGGCATGACGCAAGGAATAGTGCGCGACACTGGTTGACGACGACCATGTTCGAGGATCGACGAATTGGATGGAAGCTGGAAGTCATCAGCCTGGGCCCTCAGCGGACTCTTATACCTTTTGCTGTTGGTAATTGCAGGTCTGAACGCAAGGACACGATTGATTGACGTAGAAGGGATCAGGGCAACGTTGTGCTCGGTCCATGTTGGCTGTGTCTTGACCATTCGTCATGGAACAGCATGTGTTCTCTTCGTGAACGAACTTCCCTTCTCGATAGTCCAAGGCTTGCGTGTACCCCAGAATATCTGTGCATATGACTTCAAGGCATGTACAGGCTCGTTGATTTGGTCATCTCTTGCCTGTTTAGGGCTCTTCGTATGCCCCACAAAGTCTAATTCGAGAGGATTGAGAAACCCACGCACTGACCAGACGTATACCCCAGAATGTCACGGCGTGAGGACGACGTAGAGTTCGTGTTGAATATCAAAACGTCGGAACCAATTTTGGCCGAGAGGATCGATTTGGCGAAGGGAGTTCGCAGAACCGAAGAGTGACGGGTACAAAGCCTTGAGTGTGCCCTGTTTCTGAATGCTTTCAACCACTCTTCAAGCTCTTTCCTGCATCATATCCGAACATCTTCATTCACTCCTTCCGTTATTACCAAATCGCCATGGCTGAATAGGAATGGTCCCACAATCTTTGCTCGATGGATAGTTGTAGCTCTTGCTGCGGAACCATATGGTGCTCTCCATGCATCTACGGTCGCACTGCCTGGCGACTCGAGCAATACCCCCAAGATCCATCTTCGTCGTCCGGCTTTGAGTGGTGCAACGCACCTTGCCTGGGAATGTTCGCCGGGTGGCTTCTGCTCATACCTTGTGTCTCGGTGTGGATGCAACGCAACGTTGTACGCAAACGCTTCAATCTCCCAGGCAATGGCTGTACCGACTGCCTCGTCAGTGTCTTTTGTGGTTGCTGCGCTCAAGTCCAGCACGAGAACGAACTCAAAGAACGTGCCGAGAAAGAGATGTTGATGATTGATCACCCACCAACGAGTCGCGATCGCATGGTCTATGCTGAGCCCGCCGATGTCCGGCAACCGGCTACGAATCAGCACATCCCGCCCCCAAGATACGAGAGCGCAGATCGAATCGCTACCATGCAAACAAGAGAAGGAGTCGAGGGTCAGTCGGAGAAAATCAAGAAGGAAGCGTTCTGAAGGATGGTCTCCAAGAAAGCTTTCGTGTCGCGACATACCAAGATGGAAAAGGACATGTGCTGTCTGAGTCGAAGGTCGCCTAAGCTCTTCATCCCGTGGTGCAGACTCTCACCTTCGGCCATTGAATGAACACTTTGAACTGGGGAGCGATAACTCTTTCGACTTGTTCCATGATGAGCATCGGCCACTGGTGCATTGGCCAGACGTCTGATCTCAGCTTCATCAATGCGGCGTAGTAGCTCAACAGTACGAGACCGACAGATTGGCGTGCCGATATGATCTCTACAACGCGCTCGTGAACATCTATAGGCCACTGATGTACAAGCTGAAAGTTTGGATGCAACAAGGGGTACTGTTCCAACATTGCCATGTACAGAAACAACCTTTGAGTAGCTTCCAGACAGTGGCTGAGATCTTCTGGCTTGCAGTGATGGTGTAGAAAGGTCCGTAGGGAGAGGAAGATTGGGTAATCGCTGTCTAAAGAAAGCTTCATGCGTTCCTCTTCTTCCGAGGGGAGCCCTTGAGATGGAGTAGATGCGCTCAAATCCAGCAGTTGTAGATTCTCGAAAATCAAAGTTCTGATACCCCTTCCTAAACGAAAGGCATTGCACAGATCATCCAGTATATCCAGTGAGGCAGACTTATCTCGTGGTTGATAGAGTGGTTGGGCATGCGCCGCGAGCGCCGTCACAGAGGCGAATGTGAGAACGGGCATGATGTTACTCTTGGAAGGGTTCATGGCTTGAGGGCGACCAATAACAATGGCAGAATGCTAGTGAATTGCAGCTCGGTGTAGGAGTTCCTTCCTGTAAGGTTGCTTGGAGAAAAGATGCAGTGCTGACAGGGCGAGAGCACTATGCAGGACAAAAGGATGTGCGAAACCCATCTTGATGGTGTCCATTTCTTGGGGCAAAACCACGGGTCCAGACTCATACATCCCGACAGCACAATGATGGAGGAGCTCTAAGGTAGGCATTGGCAATGACGAATGGGCACCTGGGGTGAGAGCATTGGTCGGGCCTGCCAATGCCTTTGTCGCTGCGAAATCATTGGACGTAGCAAGACTGCAGTCCTTGTTGAACTTCGTACAATTGCCGCATCTTGGAAAAGCTTCATCGCACTGCAAACGATGAGTCCAACACCATCAAGCCTTTCGAAGCACTAATGCACCGACCTTGATATGTCGCTTTTTGCAAAAGACGCACCCGAAACGGGACTTTTTATGCGCCTTGCGTTGACGATCACCAGTGGTTTGACATTGCATCCTGTGACAATATCATGCCTTTCTTCAGGGGACTCGTCTTGCGACAAAAGGAGTGTGGAAGATTGGCTCAGAAATTGTCAGAATATTGTCATGGAATTCGCTAAAGGGCAACGCTCAAGAGGGAAAGTCGCCAAGCTTGATCAGTTCGCTTGTTCCTTACGTAAGCAAGCGACCATGTCCAACCTCGAGCACGTGAGGAACACTAATCTTATTCGTCTTCAAAATTTCAGGAGAGATGTTAGCAGATATGTTTCTCAGAGGACGACGAAAGAGTTTCAAATGCATCCAGAATTTTCATATGGTGATCAGAAACATTCTTGTGCCAGTGCAGCCATTCTTTCCGCCTAAGCCCCACCCACTTTTGCCTGTATCCACCTAAATGCTGTGTATTCGTCGGTTCGAAGATCTCTTGCTTTTTCTTTTCCAGAAGGTATACCGCAGTCCGGCGGTTATACTTGACTCTCCGCAGGAAGATAGGTAGTCCGATAGCGATGTGTCCCCTTATTGGACTTTTTTGGTATGTATAGCAGAGTTGGATGAACATTTTGTCTTCTGGAATGGGCTCGATGATCTCGGTACTTGGTTGAATGATCTATTCCAAAAGATAGTGAACAGTCTGGGCTCGAGAGGTTGGACATCCAGGCGAGTACATGGTTGGCAGATGTGGACCGTGAATCTCAAGCTCAAGACCGAAAGGCGCGAGTTTAGTTGTGACACCATAGTCAAAGACTTGGGGTCTTGACAACAGTCAACACCTCGTCATGACAAGCGGCAACTCGGTTATGCCAATCTTGCCATCTATTCCTCCTGTGCCTCTTTCTCATTGCACACGTTGAGGCATTCGTGTAGTAGGCAGCGATGATAAATGAACGCTTGAATGGACTTTCGTAGATGGTTTACTGTCGCAATGCGGTGTCAATAAGAATGCATCTGATATGACAGTCCGAAGCAGCGTTCCTGAGACAAACTCACCTTTCTGGACGCGCTACTCTAACATCAACACAGTGGCGTTTTGCAAGGAAGCAACCAACGAGGGGAAGAAACGACACTTCCGAATCGCAAGTCTTGAAATAGTGGAAAGATGGACATATGTACATAGACAGCGTACTAAAAACTAAGTATGAACAAAAACCAGATCCAACAGCAAAAAAAAAAAAAAACCGGATGCTTTTCCCTCCGTACATCAAAAGGAGAAATCGCTGGATGATAAAGAAAAGAAAAGAGAGAAAGAAAAAGAGGGGGTATCTGAGAGAAGTAATCTAGCAAGTCCCAAACAAAATCAAAAACGTGAATCAAAAAAAGATAAAAATAAAGATGCCATCCTTTTCCTGGAATGCTTGGACCTCGGAAGGTCTTCTCTAATCCGTAACGCCGTGTAAACTCCTCATAATTGCCGTGAAGACCAAGATATTCTATGTTGGTCGTGGCGTTCTACGCTCATCATCGTTGCCTGCTGCTGGTCCCGGTGTTGAAGAACTCGTTGACCGACTCGCATCTTGCAATGTAGCATGTCCTGGTCGAGGCGTCTCGTTGTCATCTGTCCGGCTACTGACAGCCTCGTTGATGATATTTTCACCCTGACTGCCAGCTGTAGTCGAGCTGGCCCATGTAACATGTTGCGAGCTATTCGAGTCTCGCACAGTATTGTGCTGCGAATCGGAAGGTGTAACGTCGCTACTAAGATCGCTCTTAGTATGCTTCATTGCGTGCGGACTCCAGGCCGCCGCTCCACGGGTTGGTGCTGGGATGACAGTATAGGGTAGGTCAATATTGTTTGACTTTTCTTGCTTCCTTTCTCGGAACTTCTCGCCCTGCTCAGCTGCGATTGCACCAATACGGCCTTTGATGTCCCACTTCGAATATGAATGGGACGGCAAACCGGGTGTATCGCTATCATGCCTTGCTGCTCTGACTTCTGCCGGCGGACTCATTCGTTTCCGCTTGAAGGGGTTCTGAACTACGTTTCGAAGCGCATTGCTCGTTTGTCGCAGTCGTGATGAGCCGCCTGGCATGGTTGCATCGGCATACCGGATCTCGTCCCGTAGTGCAGTTGACGTTTGAGCTTCCAGGTCATCTGGTGGCGGATGTTCAGGTATGTCTTCGGTACGGCGCCGCACGGGTTCAGGTTCTTGCGACTCGCCATAGTTGATGACATATACAGTCGAGGCGGCACTTGTTGTATTTGTTCTATCGGGAGGTGACAGTCGGGGAGGTGGTGGTGTCTGGTTGGTAATGGGGGTTAGAGCAGTCTCGGGTCGAGGTAGAGATCCAAAAGTGATTGTTCGATTCTCAGAATGTGCTCTACCAAGCGGCAGATGAGTGCTCCGACGAGGTGTCGCTTTTCGCCTTCGTGAAGGGAAACGGTTTACCCCGTCTTGTTGTGAGCCAGTCTTTTGGGTGGTGCCACCAGAACGATCGTGATCGTGGTCGGCTGGCCGGTAGTTGTCACGAGGTTTCCTTGTATAAGTCATGTTGTCTCCAGGGGTCAAGTCGATCATCTCGTCGCCATCAAAGACCTCACGTCCAAGAATGCCATCTTTCTTTTCATCTCGTTCCAGGGCTTCTATCCGTTCGACCCATTCCCAGACGACGACACTAGATGCAGCAGCACCAACCCATCGGAAGTAGTCACCCCATGCAGCGACATCCGGTTGGGCGACATCGGTGATAAAGAAGGCGACAGGCGTTAGTATGGCTATGTGTGATAAGAGAGCAACTATGAAAATGCTTTTCATTTTCCGATGAAAGTAGGCGTAGCGGCGTTTGGTAAGACCGTAGAATATGACCCAGGCGGCGTAGAGCAGTCCAACGGCAAGCTCGAATAGATAACTCAAAGCTGGAATGGCGTCGACGAAGTGCCGGGGGCGGTTGAAACTGTCGACCAGGAAACTGTTGAGGCAGGAGAAGATTGTGTCCAGAATGATGAGGGCGAAACCGACCCATTTGATAACAACCTTCTCCTTATGACGCGGAAACAGACGGATAAGAGTTTGTACTTGGGCGAGCCAGAGGAAAACATCAGATATAACACGGGTGACACGGACTTCCATGCTGCCTTCGACTCTACTGTGCATGGCATCTCCGTCCATGTAACCAATTTCGTATTGTTCTTGAGCAACTTTGAATGTGTCGGCAGTAGCGATGGTCAAGGCGATTGCAGTGAGAAGAGCGGCGACTTTCTGGAGCCATGGTCGGGAGCCGACACCAGGAGCAGCAGTACCACCAGTAGCGCCACCAATCAATCCTCGTCCAGAAGCAAAGTTTGTGAGACCGAAACCAGGAGTAAAGGATCGCGAGTTGATCATGAGCATCACAACCAGGACCCATGCGAGGGATGTAGCACATGCGACTACAAATGTCTGAGGGATGGTCGATGCATAGAAGGGGTTCTCGAGGTCGGCCACGCTGGAAGGGTCTTTGCTGGATCCGGGTGTTTGATAGCCTTCAGTACAGGCTGGTGAGAAGACTACATTGGCGGTAAGGGTGACGATATTGTCTTCGGCGAAACTAAGGATGCCGTTCGAAGGGAGTGTGTATGGAGTGCACGACTGTGGCCATCAAAGTCAGCCGGCGCGTGTCTGGCAGCGACGATATACATACGGCAGTGACCTCCGACGATGTGGTGGTCGGCAACCCCCATAACTGTCGAGCAACATGCTGCGACATGCCCGAGGGCTAAGTGTCGCGTCCAGGGCAACAAACTACAACGTGGGGCGGGCGTGGATGCGATTCGACGAGGCCGGGGCCGGGAGTGTTTCTGCGACGCGCGACGAGAGCGGCCGGATGGATGGGTGACGGGTGTGAGTTCTCTACGATGGCCGGGAATGCGTCCTCTCTCCTCTGTAAAACATGTCGCGCGGAAGGGGCGTTCGTCAAGATGGCAGGAGCGTGTTTTGCGAACAGGGAAACAGCTGACAAGAGACGGGGAAAGCGACGGTCTCGACTGACTGGGCAGTGGGATAGCGAGTCGCTCCTTCTGTCTGCTGAGCCTCGCTGTCTTTCGGGCCACCTCTTGGCGAAATCTTAAGTAGTTTCCATCCTCTGCACGTGCCATCACGCCAAACTCTTTACTCCTCTGTCGAACCGCGGCGATCCCGGGGGGCTTCGATGTGAGCAAGTTGCCCTCGTTTCGAACAACTTTATCCGAGGTTGACCTCATTCTTATTTTTGACCTTTGAACCGCTGCTTGAACCAAACATCTTGTCCTCTTGTTTCCCCAAGCGTCGTAATCATTTGCATTCATCATAAACATGTCGGCCGAAATCAGAAATCTGGAGAGCCTCTCCGCTCTCGCTGTTGAACGCCATGTCTCCACAACGCCCTCAGGCTCCACCGTGATAAGCTACGCTAAGGACCTGGGGGAGGGTCCTGTCTTGTGGCTCGTCCATGGATATCCTCAGTCTGCCTACATGTATGCTTGACATGCTTGATCATCATGTCGCAAGTCGCTGACCCCTTCTCAGCTGGCGACATGTACGCTATAACGCGTCGCACCATTTGGCGTGATACTAACATGCTCATCAGCTTATCCCACAACTTCAGGACAAAATCTCCCTGTTTGTCCCAGAGGTACGGTCGCTTTTCTCCTCCATCCTCCGCATTTACCCGACCACTACTGATCCTGCGTCCGAAAAAGCTGCCGGGTTACGGTGTCAGTAGTCGTCCGAAGAAGGACGGTTTCGCCGCCGTCGGCCAGGCTTTGCTTGAAGCCAGCCATGAATTGTTTCCTAACCGACCCATCATCCTAGGAGGACATGATCGTGGTGCCCGTATCTGCCATCGTCTTGCCGTGACTCACGCCCATCCTCCTCAAGATGAAACTGCCAACTTGCATTCTTACAAACTTCTGGGTACCATCATGCTGGACATCGTGCCTACTCTGGTGCAGTGGCAAGCCTTTGCTCGTCCTACAGCTGCTGCTTCTTATTTCCATTGGCCCTTTCTTGCCTCGCCAATCGCACCCGACATGATCGAAGCCTACGGGGGCGACAGATGGACACATGATGCCTTGAACCGCATCTCCACTGACGACTCGGAAGGTCTCAAAGCTATGCAATCAGATGACGCATGGAAAGTTTACGAAACTTTACACGCCAAACGTGAGACCATCGAAGGTTCCTGCGCCGATTATGCAGCTGGTTGTTATGTCGAACCACCACTGCAGGAAGAGGATCAGCGCGAAGGTCGCAAGCTGGAATGTCCTGCCCTCATCATGTGGAGCATGCGTAACCTGGGCAAGACACATGGAGACGTTGAAGCCATCTGGAAGCAGTGGTTCAAAGATGAGTCGTTGCTGACAGCTCAGGGTGTTGGCGATGATGCCGGACATTACCTTCCAGAGGAAGCTAACAAGTCTGTGGGCAAAGCGATGAATGATTTTCTGAACGAGGTGATGAAGTGAGTGTATGTATGTCATTATGAATGGTCACGGTATGGACTTCTATCCTGCTCTATCTTGGCCAATTTCTTTCATCCCTCCCTTTGATGACAGAAATTTCACGGAAATTTGCTAGTGTACAGTGTATCCCTCGTGTTTAGGGGAACCAGTTGCTTGGTGCCTCTCCACACTTTCACTCTGCCTGGTCTGCCTGGTCCGTCTGATCTGCCTGGTCTGCCTGATCTGCCTGGTCTGCTGCTTTCTTTCCAGCAAGACGCTTTGAGCGACGCAGAGGACGATTCTTTGCCTCTTGCTTCTCGCGCGCACGTTTCTGTTTCAGCGCCTCTCGTTTAGCTTCCCATTGCTCCCTTCTCTCTCTTGCGGCCTCGAGCTCCCTTTGCAGTCTTGCGGCTTGTAACTGTGCCAAGGCATCTTCGTCTTCAGAATCCTCTCGCTCGTCTATCAGACGTTGAGCCTCTTGTTCTTCAGCTTCCTGCCGCTCAGCTTCTTGGCGTTCGAACTCTTGCTCTTCGATGAAGCTCTCCAGACCCACTCGGATCTCCTCCATGCCTGAAAGTTCGCAAGGGGAGAAGTACCACTTCTTGTACACCTCTCTACCCAAAGTAGGCTCCCCAGTCATTCGATATGCCCCCTTGAGAGTCAAGTGCTGGACAGACAACCTTCTAGCGATGTGGCGCAGGACCTGGTCCCAGCTGCCTGAAATGACGATATCCTGGAGATCCAACCTGCTCAGAGTGGTTTCGGAGGCGTCTAAAAGTCGGCAAAAGCCTCGCTGTTTCAGCATGACGCCGGCAAAGCAAATTCTCTCAAGCGCGTTGACCTGCACATTTGCGAAGCATTCATGAGCGAGACATTCTCCCAGGTACCACAATCGTGTGGTGACATCGGCGTCTGAGCGCACCACAAGGACTTTGAGATTCTCCGGCACACATCGAAGGAGCAACCCAAGGTGACTCGCCGCAGCATGGTTGAACCCGTACCCGTAACCCGATTCACCCCATACGAAGGTGAAACAAAGCTCATCCAAATCCGCTAGAAATGGTCTGCTGAGGCTCGGCCCGGTCGGAACCAAGGCGTTCTGCTGAAACCCAGGGACAAAATTCGAATTGGCCAAGTTATCGACGCCAACTTCGAGCTTTGTGGACGTGCAGTCGCCTGCTTTTGCAGCATCAAGCATGAATTGAACTGTCGACAGAACTTCAGGTACCGCCATCGGGGGCGTGTGCTCAGAGTCAAACTCGTCGGGCATCTTATTCCAGCCGATGGGTCGGAATGGCAGATCGAGCTGTTGTGAGGCGAGTGTAATGGGATTTCCCATTGCTCCTAGAACCTTGAAAGCCTCTGTGAGAGTGTCGAGGGCCTGGTTAGATCCTAAAAAGCCATACTGGTCGTCGATGAGTGCCGTGAACTTCTCCAGTTGGCTTTTGGCCTGCGTCATCTCTTCTAGTCTCCTCCAACAGCTTGCATATGCCATCTTGTCCGCAAACACTTGTAAGCGATGTGGATTGTGAAGACGATTGAGTAGCTGGACCTTGCGAACATGAGGTCCGAAGACAGGATGTTTGCAGATGTCGACAAGCGCCTGCAGACTCTCTCTGGTCATCATGACGAATGGGTCCTGGAAATATCTCTTTGCGAAGTCCTTCTCAACGATGGCACGAAGCTCTTTACAAGTAAGACGAATGGCGCACATATCCTTGGCGGAGATTTCATCGTCGGTGCAGATCATAGTGATGACTTCATTGGGCAGCGAAAGCAGACGGAGGTTGGTGATTGCGATATCCCTGTTGGAGAACATAACGTCAACACTGGATGGACAGAGAGGCATGGAGAGAAGAAGCTTACATGATTGCGGAGAGCTGTTGCAAAAGGCAGCAACGAGTTGAAGTTGAGGGTATCGCCGGCACTGGTGTCCAAGAAGAGAGATGGGCCAGGTGTGATGGAGTTTTGATGAAGCTCGACGTAGTGGTAGGCGATTGTAGACAAAGCAGCAGTACCACGAGCCTGACAGACTGGAAGAAGGTTCCAGCTGCAGGTCGTCGAGAAGTTGGCGGCTGGAGCGAAGATGGGCAAACAAGAGACCGAGATGACGATGATGATGATGGATGGCGATGGAAGCAAGCCCAAGTACAACGAGCAACGATATTGATGAAAGAAAGAGAAAGCAAGCAGAGATACCCACGGTACAAATAGACCAAACACGTCGTCTTTGGGAAAGAACGTGTTACTTCCTTGTTTCACAGCCCTAAAGGGTAAGTGCTGTCGAGAGATAATGTTGCCGCAACACTGATGACGCTTCCAGGATATGCGGCCTTGCCTTTCAGCTAAGACGTCTCAAAGAACATTGTGGAGAACGTAATGGTTTCATGCGCTCTTATGGCATGTTTGCTCGAAACCCTCCAGAGATCTCGTGTCTCGCGAGTCGTCTATTTGATGCTGTCAGAATGCGCAATGATTTCCAGAGTGGATGTTACATCTCACTCTTATCAAGAGTCCTGAAATAAGTCAGCAAAGTCTCGAGACCTGGACATGTTTGTCTCAAGTAGGTGGATTTGTCTTATGATGAAAAATGAAAAACTTGGTTCATTGAATGAAGTAACATTGATTGATGCATAAATGGCCTACTGCTCAGATATTTTGATAAGCTAATTCACAAGTGCAGATATTTATCCTCCGAAGGCTCTCTTATGAGTCGAGAGTCCTTTGATTGCAACCATGCTAAGGCATGAGCATTTTGCATCGCATTTTGATGTCCTCTGAATGCCTGCTGGTTTCAGGATGTTGACTCAGCCTTTCATTGATATCCTGGCTTGAATTGTTGTTTTGCCTGCTGATACTTCCTTTGGAGGACGTAGCTCCTGCCCTGAGCCCCCTTTCACTCTCCTGTGTTGCTTTCAACATCTCGTGTCATCTTCCGGGCCATCTCCCACTGAAATGACCGTTTTGGCATCTTCCTCCCTATTTCTCAAACTTGTGCTTGAGCAGTTGTTCAAGCCCAACGCGAGTGTCCTCTTCGCCAACAAGATTAGTGGGCTCGACCAGACAATCAGCTGGAATGAAACGGCTGTTGTTGGTCTTCCTAGCATGGCTGATGTCGGAAGCATTTTCGATGCAGAAGTTCTCCAGGTGAAGGTTCTCCATCATCCATGAGATACATTTTGTCCACGAGCCAAGCAGGGTCACACCCGAGAGCTTGACCTCCTTCAACGTCTTCTTGTGTCTTTCCATGACACCCAGAAGACTTTCTGATGTGCACACCACCTCTTCGAGGGCCATCACTCGTAAGCTAAATGCGCTTGGAGTGTCGAGCCATCTTGTCATGTTCGTCACAAAAAGCTTTGCGATTGTGGTACCTCTCACCCAGTCTGTGACAAAGGTGAGCTTCTGTAGGTCTGGCACAACCTCGAACAAGTCTTTCAAGCCCGCGATAGATCTTTTGTCTCGCAGAGCATAGCAGCTCATCTCCAGGTGGAGTGATTTCAAGCACCTGTAAATTCCTTGGGACATGTGAAGGCCGCCCAGGCAATCATCTTGATGTGATATAAGAGTGTCTTTTCTGATCTGTATCTTCAGGCCCTCAAAGTGCTTTCGATCTCCAAGTTCCATTTGGTATATGGCGTTCGGGACCAGTCTAAGGAGGTGTTTCATTCTAGATCTGACTTCAGAGTAGCCATCTTCTCTGGAGTAATCGTCAGGCGGGGATTCCTGAATGTATGAGGAGTTGTAGTATTGATCAGAAGGGACTTTAGAAACTCCGATTGGGTTGATCGAGGTGATGTCGTTTGTCACAGTGACAGTAATAGGGCGAGCAAGCGCTGAAATTGCGCTGGCAAGCAGTTTCTCAGCCTCTCCAGAGCATTCCAGATGCACTTGCTCTTTACAAAATTCGGTAAAAGCATTGAGGGTTTGGAGCTCTTGAGTAGTGGATTCCTGATTTCCATCCAGAATAGCTTTCTGAAGTCGGGAGGCACGTTTTAATATACCAAGTGGGCAAAGAGTGCTGGTCAAGAAGCCAATCGACTGGACGTGAGGACTGAATGTGTCATCTTTGCAGATTTGAACCAGAGCCTCGAGACTATATCTCGATAAGATGACAAAGGGATCTGTGAAGTAGCGCTGGGCGAACACTCTGGTTGCAAGGGGTCGTAGTTGTGTGCACACGAGTCTGAGAGCCTTGATATCATTCTTGCTCAAGCCTGGGTTGCTGAATATATTTGCGAGCACTTCGTTCGGACATTTCAGTAGCCCAGGAGTTGGCTGATTGGTTGTGGCCATTGGGACGAACACGGTGATTGGGCCGACTGCAGTGATTGGGCCGACTGCAGTGATTGAAGGGGTGATGGTGGGCTGCGTCACTAGCCCAGCGGTCTCAGCCCTGTGAACAAGGAGTGTCAGCTACTGTGTAAAGCCTCAGTGGTAGTATTGGTTTACGTGATTCTGTTGTCTGTGAACAATCTCCCAAAGAAGGAAGACTTGAGGCTGTCCATATTGAACAGTTGAATCTTGGGTAATTGATCTGGTGTGGATGCTGTGGACGGCGTGGACGGTGTGGAGGTTGAAGAAACTTGACCACTCTATCGTAGCGAAGTTGTTATAGTGGTTGAGTGATGTGAAAAGGAGCAAATTCCTTATGAGCCTGCCTTCCTTGAGGCTTGGGTTGTGATCGAGCTTCGGTAGGAGGAGAAAGAGGTAGCTTCAGTATTGAAGTGAGAGTAATATAAGAGGTGTAGGGAGAGGTGGAAGAAGAGGTGTAGGGGTGGAAGAAGAGGTGTAGAGGTGGAGGAAGAGGTGTAGAGGTTGAAGAAGGAAGTCGACAAGGCTATTGCATCGCAAGGTATACGTTGTGTGTGAAGTGATTTTAACGATTGATTGATGTGAAAGGAAGTAAAGTCCTTGTGAGTCTTTCTTAGGCCGTGATCCAGCTTCGTTGGAGGAATAACAGTAGCTTCGATGTTGAAGTGATGGCAATATAACCAGTGTAGGGGTGAGGGAAGAAAACGAATCACGAGATATACGTTGTGTAAGAGGTTGAGAGCGAGGTAGCTAGATGCAAGAAGTCAAGGCTTTCCGGTCCTCTTGAGGTTGTGAAAACGTTCTTGAGAATGAGTGATATATATTACTATGGTTGAAGGCTCAGTAAGAGAAGTCATAGATCATACAGTGATATAATAGTTGGAAGTAAAGGCAAACGGCTCCTGAGTCGCCAAACTTCAAAGCGAAGTGACGCTTCGGAGCAGTGAATTCCATTCCCAAATGAGAGAAAGAAACGGTTTGTCCCATGATGAGTCCAGTCGAGCTTGAGTTACAAGTCCAGCGGTCGCCGAAAAGAGGTATATAGACTTGAAGGGAAGAATGAGGAATTGCAGACCTGAGCTGGAGGGTGTTGACAAAAAAGCCATGATCTGTCGGATTCGATCTGGCAGTCCAGCTCGAATTTGGCTGAGAATAGCACCAGGGAGCTGTTACTGCCGTTCAACAATGGCAGCTCCTGTGAACATCAATTACAATTGTACTTGATCGTATAGACGCAAACTCTTTTCCCAGATCAAAGCATTCGTGCAATACTGCAAGCTGTCATAGACCAAGATATATGACGGACATGGAGAGACGAAAAAGAGGTGGTGAGAATATGGTCAATCAGGAAGGCAATGCCTCCTTCCCGGCTGATCAACGAGACAAAATTTTCCAGAGAAAGTTTGGAAAAGTGCTGCTCTCTCTGGCTGCAACCCTGCTATTCAATGGCATCTTGCCTTTCGTCGGCTAATTGAGAGGTAAATCCAGATGCTGGTATAACGTCTTGTCTTCTCTGAATCATCTCTATTTATAGGCAATCTCCATCTCTTATATACTTATACCGCTACCCTACCTGTCGAAAAGGCGAGAACTTGGTAGTGAATGACTAGAAAGAATGTACGGTCTTTTAGAAATTCTGCTTTTAGAACTATCTTTTTGTCGACAAGGAAATCGATGCCGCTACGCAAACTTCCTCATTCCTTTCCGATCTTATGTCACTCCGAGCGGAAAGCTTTGTTGATATGGCTTGAAAGCTAGACATTGGTCGCTCTTTCTGGTTGCAGACATCCTTCTCCTGACGGCGGAGCTACCTGGCCTAATATCGTCCGGGTGCCAGTCAAACTTCTTTGCGAGAGACAAACAGCGCAAATCTGAATCACGTCTTTGTCAAAAGTAGATCTCCATCGCGATCGCTGACTTGGAAACTCCGAGATTACTCTGTTTTGAAGGAGCACCACTAGCTCCATCGCACCTTCCACCAAATAAATGCTGATCAATTTGCAGAGAGACAATCACCAAATCCAAATTGTTATACAGACTTCCCCTTAGAGCGAGAGAACAAAAGAGAAGAGATGTTTCGATTGTGTAATGTTACAAAAAAAAAGAGTAGCGAGAAGCAATTATCCATCGTTCATCGTCCCTGAAGAATGCCCCATTGCCCGGCTTAGTCCTTCTACTGTCATTCCCGTTGCGCGTGTAAGGTCATCACTAATTTGCTCTCGCGTTCTCCCAGTCTATTCGATGACTCTTGGTTGTCCGTAATCCAGTTCGTACTCTGCCAGCCCATGGTCTTCGTCTCCAGTCAACTGCTTCCTCTTCTGTGCCAGGAACTTGTCTAAAGCAGGTCGCATAGCTGTAGGACCCCTGATATCGAATCCGCCACGGAACCATAGGGTCGGCTTCCCGTATCCACGCTCATCCAGGTCATGCTCATCAAATTCCGAGACGCAAAGGAAGACTAGCTTGTCAAGAGACAAATTATCTCGGATCCATGATAACAGCTGGACCCATGAGCCCGCTAACGGAAGATCTTGGAAAGTCACCTGCTTCAGAGTCTTCTTGTGCAGGCCCAGAAATTTGAGGAGATCTGCCTCGCGAAAAGTCGTGATGTTCAGCTCTAACTGGACAAGTTCGTCGGAACCGATCGATTCAAGAATACGTGCGACCGATGCAAGCATTGACAAGGATGATCTACTTAACCCACTTTCTGCATCCTGGCCAAATTCCAGGTAAACTTTCTGCAGTCTGTTGGCGAAAGGAAGTGTTGCCTCGAGAATCCTGTCCAGACCATCTTGCAATGGGCCCGGGTCGAGATGCAGGTGGATTTCGGTCAACGCAGTCAGGACTTTGGAAGCAATGCGCACGTTGGATAGATCTGCGCATGTGTCGTAGTGATGAAAGTCCCATGCCCCGATGTCCAAACTTGAGATCTCGCATTCACTTGCATCGGAGGCTTCTAGCATCAGCAGAAGGGTGGAAGAGACGTCTTTTGCAGCCATGAAATTACTCAAGCCATTCCCATTAGAACAGATAAACTGGGTGAGAGCTTTATGATAGCCCATTGGATAAGGGCCGTTATGATCGATGCCTACTGTTGTAAGGGCCATCTTGACAGCGTTTCTATATTGCCGAAGTAGGCTACACGCTTCTCTGACGAGTTTCGAAGCTTCGCCGGTCTGTTGTAGACTTTGCTCCTGCTCATACAATTCCAGGAAGAAAGTCATCTGTTTCCTTGCCTGAGTCATAGCCACCAGGTCTTTGTCGGTGAGCGAGGTCCTTAGCCTGTAGTGGATGTCGTCGAAAAGCCTAAGGCTGAGTCTAGAAGACTCGAAAGCGATACCGCGCACATGAGGACCAAACAGTGGATGTTTGCAGATCTCGACAAGTGCTTCGAGGCTGTATCGATTCATCATGACATGAGGCTCGCTGAGGAACTTTTGGGCGAGTTCTTTGGTGGCTGGAGCATAGAAATGTTTGCAGGTCAGGCGAAGGTTGGAGATAGGCTTTGCGTGATCGTGGACAGCGACGTAATTGCATATCCTTGCGATGATCTCGTTAGGCATAGAGAGTAAATCCGGTGACACTCTCGTCGTGTTTGACATGCTTTATCAACAGACCGTGTCAGTACACTTTTCCGTGGGGCGCGTGGTAGAAGCTCTTACATGTTCGACTTCGCAGATGCGGAGGCGCCGTTCCAAGAGTAGATTGACGATGTTGTCAAGGACATTGCCCAAAGAGAATTTCAGCGACGAGGGTATGCGTCGGATGAGCGAAGAGAAGTAAGATGCGGCGCTGAGTGATGATGATGAGTGATGATGAGTGATCAGTCGATGGTTCCAGTGTAGAAGGAAGGTTGTTGATGTTGTCAGCTTTGTGACTGTCACGATGTGGATGCGCGTTGAACGAGCAAAGCAAAGTGACGTGGGAATTGTTGTGCAAACTAAAGAAGGAAGTTGCGTTGTGCGCACGCCGCAGACCAAGTGGAGCGGCGCTGAAAATCGGTGACCGGCCAATTGGGAGGAGAGCGGAGTGCCGATAAATCTGGTAGGGGTGAGATTAAACAGGGTAGGAAGATGTGAGGAAGATTGTGTTTGATTGTGTAGAATGCAAAAGAGCAGAGAGGCGATTAGATATTTGACCTTTCCATCCTTGGGGTCTTTCTAACCTTTTGTTCATGCTTCGCCAATTTCTTGTGGCCATCTAGGCTGGGATCTCGTCCTCTACCTCCTGAATCTCCTCAATCTCCTCGGATTCTTCTCTCTCTCCTTCCTCCTCGTCGTGAAGACGCTTGTCGTCGGCTGATCTCTTCTTCTCAAGAATCTCCATCAAGCCCAAGCGGACTTGTTCTTCTCCTTGCAGTACCTCAGGGCAAGCCCATTTGACCGGGAAGTCCCCGCCGTTCTCATCGTTGGAAGCATTCTCATCTATGGTGCCTAGGGCCTTTAGCTCGAGCTTTTCGAGATGGAGATTGGCACCAATCCATTCGAGAAGTTCATCCCAAGAACCAGCCATTACAAGGTTTGAGAAACTCAGCACCTTGATTGTGGAGTTGTGACGGTCTAGGAATATGCGGAGGTCATCTTGTTCACAGATAAACCCTTCGAGTTTAACTCGACGCAAAGTATCCGAATTGACCGAATCGAGTATGTTGGCAATCTCTTGTAGAGAATCACCGGCATGGAGTATCCTCTTGTCGTTCACCAAGGATGTGGCACTAAGCTCAAGTGCAGAGATAGACTTTGCCAGGGGAAGAATCTTGGCCAGATCTTCCGAGTATCGCTGAGCACCAGCGCTTCTAAGGTGAATTCCAAACGACTCCAATCCAGCAAAGACGTCGCTGGCTGTAGAAATCGCACGCTCGATGTGCGACTTAAGCTCAATGAAATTCTCATAGCTAGGGACATCAAATTCAAACTGGTTGATTCGACAGCCACTGCGCTTTGCAGCATCAACGAGCATGCGTAGTGCTGACATTGGTTTCAGATGAGAGGCCTCGTTCTGCCATACTGTTTTTCGGTCGTTTGGGAGTTTGCCAAGGCCTTTGCCGTCGCCAATTGTCGAGTACTGCGAAGTCACAGCAAGGTATGCCACCTCTCCGCGTCGTGTTTTGATGCATTCGAGTGCCTTGGCGAGAAGATTGACAGCGAGGCCCCCGTCATCTAGGATCTCGTCTTCCTCGAGTGCCTCCAGCAGCCCCTGCAGCTCGTTTCCGTGCTTCTTCATGCTCTTGATGTCTCCATCGGTGATGCTGGCCTCGAGTTTGCCCTGGATCCTTCTGTAGGTATCTGGGCCCAACCGGAAAGCATCGAGAGTAACTCCGTCAACGTAGGGGCCGATGATAGGATGAGCGCATATGTCGACGAGTGCTTGGAGACTGTAGGTGTTGACCATGACATTTGGTATGGTGAAGAATTTCTTTGCGAACTCCTTTGTAGCTGGCACATAGAGATGTTTGCATGTAAGGCGGAGGAATTTCAGCGGATGTCTGAATATTTCAGGCCATTCCCTGCCTTCAGTTTGAGCGCAGATCGTAGCAAGAACCTCATTGGGCAGCGAGAGCAAGTTGGGCGGGTGATCCATGTTCGGAGGCATGCTGTCAAGATGAAATGTCAGTACAGTTCTGCACAAGACTCTCTTGGATGACTTACATTGTCAGGCGCGCGGGAGCGAAGTATAGTATGGGGGTCAAAACGAGGTCGCGAGCAGGTTGATGTGTCGTCCAGGTCGAGTTGCGCGAAGTAGAGCGTAGCAACAGAGATGCGCGTTGGATGAGCGAAGGAAAGTTGGGATGGCGATTGCGTGTGAACAGGATATTGAGTTGCGCGTAGACAAGTGACGCGGTATCGGAAGTGAAGGTCGTTGGAGTGGAAGGCAATAGTGACCCAAGGAGATAAGGGAAGAAGTGAGACTGGACCGCGGAAGAAGTCTCTCTTCGCACACGACTGCATTAATTCGAAAAGCATCTTGAATCGCTCCAACTTCAATGCCTCCAGATTTGTTCACGGGAGGAGGCCAATCTCTGACTTTGCTCTTCAATCTACATTGCCATCGCCGAAACGCCCAAGACCATCAGCGCACCAGTTGTCTATAAAATCTTGCTCCGGAAGCCCTGACATGGCTGCAAATGTGGGAATCTCTGTGTCTGTCGAATACGGATTTCCCTCGAGCATAAACAGCTTCTTCAACCTCTTGCCCTCGTCGCATAGATCGGTCAATCCTGATTGAATTTCACTCTCGCCCTCCAATTCAAGATTGCCTACATGCCACGGTACCCTCGAATTCCAAGACCTCAATCGTTGTTCCTTCAAAACTGCGTAGATCCCTCCGATGAGAACGCGCTTCAAAGTGAGCTCGTCTCTGACCCAAGCGAACAATTCTCTCAAAGGACCATCTTTGGCCCAGTCATCGAAGATCATGATGTTCGTGATATCGATTTCTCTGAGTGTGCCTTTATGCCTTGCCAGAAAATCCTTGAGGTCGTTTGAGGACGTCACAAAACCATCCAGCTTTAAGGACTGGAGTTTGGGTAGATAAGTGGGGCGAAGAAGGTGGCCAAGATGCTCGCATTGGTAGTCGCGATGTTGAACGTGGCAGAAGGTATGGAAGCTCATCTGGGTGGTGTTCCTCACATGAGCGAGAAAGTGTTTCAAACAGCCTACAGTCTCAGGATTGTGATATGCGCCATCGATCGTGATAGAGGTGTTGCGTATACCACAAAGCAATTTCGTCTCATCAGAGCTCAAAGGCAAGCCAGAAAACGATTCTAAGCCGTTTGCATCACAATGATGTATGTCCATGCCTGTGACGTTACAGCCAGTCTTGCTTGCTGCCCGTATCAGATATAGAAGAGCAGGTGTACAGTCAGCGTTATCATAGTCTAAGCCACGTCGTACTTCAAACAAGGGATCCATGATACTTGCATTATGGCCAATAGGCGGTGCATGTGCCTGTGCCTCTGTCTCTGCTTCTGCTTTCTCGGACACGCCGTAAATTTCAGAGACCAGGACGATAGGTGTCTGGTAAGTGGCCAAGGACTTGAAAGCGGTACTCAGAAGCTCGATGGCTTCTCCAGAAGACCGAAGTAGGGCATCTTCCTCGACGATGCTCTTGATGTCGGCGTGAACTCGTGGATTCAACCGCAAAAGATTCGGATAATAGCGCAGATGGGACGCCACTGTTTTCAGGAAGCGATTTGTGTTTCTGGCCTCTCGAACGAACTGCGGAAAAGCTTGCAGCCGAACCTTGCGGACATAGGGACCGAAAATAGGATGTTCACAGATGGAGATCAAGGTCTGCAAGCTGTAGCGGGACATCATGATGAAAGGCTCGGATAGATAGCGTTTGGCGAATTCGGGAGAGACTTGATTGCATAGTTGTTTGCAAGTGGAGCGAAGCCTTGAGAGAGGACGCTCTTTAGGGAAAGCATCGTCTGCGTGACGAGCAATCCTCTCGACCAGTTCTGTGGGCAATGGAAGCAGAAAAGACGGCTGTTCGTTCATGTCCTCGGAAGGATATCTGGTCGGCATACTCATGGTAAGAAGGGAGGGAACTTGCATGTCGTCGTTGAGTTGGAGAGGAATTGAAATCAACAGATTGCAGTTAGACGGCCTCTTTTTATAGGCGCTCATGGCCATGTTTGTCAACTTCCACCTGCAAGAGACATTTGATGGACCCAATGAAAATTCACGATCACTATCCCGGCAATTTGGTCCATTTGAGACAGCATGCTTCCATATGCTTGCGATGGTGATGAGAACAGAAATGACATGTCGAAGACAGGAAAGTTGACCGCAAGATGCACATTTGGCTTGGCGCTGTCACATGTCAAATCGAGAGTCGCTCGTCATGCGCAGCATCTCCATCTTCTCTCTTCGATCAAGTCAAGCATAAACACAACCATGTGAAATGGCCGACTGGAGCACGCGCTATCTCGCGGCTCTCGACGCCCGCGACAGACGCGAATCTACTCATAAATCTTACATCGATGCCTGTATGTCTTCACCCTCGGACCCGCCTCGATCCTCGTTCTGACGCCTCTAGTCACCCGTCTGGCCGATCGCAAAAGCGTCGCTGTCACCTCGAACATCTCCGGTACAGCTTCTGGACTATCGGATCAACGTGGCAGCGATGAGGTCAATCGCCTTCGACAAGACCTGACCACGACACAAGCCGCCCGGTCGTCCCTGCAAACCCAACTCCAGACTCTCCAAGCTTCGACAACGTCTCTGACTACGGCAAACACAACCTTGACTCAACAGCTCACCGCTACACATCGACAACTCGCCGCCCTTGAGCGGAAACTGAAAGACCGCGATGAAGAGCTGCGTGAGAAGAAGAAGCTGGTCGAAGATGTGCAGGACGAAACTGTTGCCTTGAACATGGAGTTGAATGCTATGGAAAGAGAGAAGCAGAGATTGAAGGGGGAGAACGCTGAGCTGGTCAGACGGTGGATGGAGAGGATGCATGTGGAAGTCGACAAAGCCAATAGGGAAGGTGGCTGGGAGTGATTTTCAACCTGGAACAAAAGAGCAAGGTTGTGAGGCTACTATTGGTCAGCAGGTTGTGACTATGAAAAGGCGAAAGCGAACGGCGAGCGGAGGGATTGAACACGGCCATGAAGCAAAAGAAGAGAGAAGGGGTTAGATACTGCACCCTGATGCACCGCGGAGCCGTGAAATAATGTCCTGGCACAGTATCTTACCCTGGAGAATGGCCAGCTTGTGATGTATATGTAGCCAAGATTTCATACGAGGCTTTGAGATGCTATTCACGATCAATTCAATGTCCTCGGATCTTCTCGTCACAATCCAAAGGAGATATCTACTGGTGTCATTATGGTCGAATTATGTATGCACAAAATCAACAGGGAAAAGACGATGAGATTATGGCGGCTTGCAGCGGCTCCGCAAAAAAACATCGGCGACGCTGTGGACCGTGACGTGCATGAACTTTCCGAAACTGCCAAACTGCCTTTCGCTTTCTGAGTGAGACGCTTACAAGTTGCAACACAAACACCAGTTGCATATCGACTTGATTCTGTCTAGCGACCACATCTTTTTCTCCTACCGCTCTATCACATTCTCTGTCCTCTACAGGACACCAACAACACCGCAATCATGTCGACCGAAATCGACCTCTACGAGATATTAGAAATCAGCCGCGATGCTACAAAAACCGAAGTGAAAAAGGCCTACCACAAGGCCGCTCGCGTCCACCACCCAGACAAGGTCCCCGAAGCCGACCGCGCTGCCGCAGACGACCGTTTCAAGGATATCCAACAAGCCTACGAGATCCTCAGTGATGACCAGACCAGAGAAATGTACGACATGCACGGCATGGCCGCCTTTGAAAAGGGTGGTGCAGGAGGAGGTGCTGGACCAGACTTGGACGATATCTTGGCGCAAATGTTTGGACAGGGTATGGGTGGCATGGGAGGAATGGGAGGTGGTTTCGAGGGTATGGGTGGCATGCCGGGAATGGGTGGAATGGGAGGCAGAGGGCCCAGAAAGAGCAAGAACGAGATGCAGGAATATGAGGTTTCGCTCGAGGAACTGTACAAGGGCAAAACCACACGCTTCGCTTCGACGAAAAACGTCATCTGCCAGAACTGCAGTGGCAGTGGTGGTAAAGCAAATGCTAAGCCGAAGAAGTGTGGAACTTGCGATGGAAGAGGTATGCGACGTCTCTCCAAATTCACCCTCCATCATGATACTAATCTAGGCTGCAGGTTCAAAGATCGCCCTTCGCCCCGTCGGCCCCGGCCTCGTCACCCAAGAAACCGTCGCCTGCTCCACCTGCTCAGGCCGCGGCTCCTACTTCCCCGACGACAAGAAATGCAAAAAATGCAAAGGTGTTCGCACAATCTCCCAACGCAAAATCCTCGAACTCTACATCCCTCCCGGCAGTCGTCAAGGCGATAAGATCGTTTTGGCAGGTGAAGCAGACCAAGTTCCCGATCAAGAGCCTGGAGACATTATATTCGAACTGGTCGAGACACCGCATGACGTTTTCCACCGTGCGGGTAGTGATTTGCAGGCCGAGTTGAAGGTTACACTTGCAGAGGCCTTGACGGGATTCAACAGAGTCGTTCTGAAGCACCTCGACGGCCGAGGAATTTCACTACATGTCAAGCAGCCTGCAGGTCGCATCTTGCGTCCTGGTGAGATCCTCAAGATCTCGGGCGAGGGTATGCCCATCAATCGTTCGGATGCCAAGGGCGACCTTTACCTGATCGTCGATGTGGTGTTCCCTGAGGACGGCTGGTTGAGAGACGAGGCTACCATCAACAAGATCAGAGATGTGTTGCCGAAGAGCAAGGAGGAGGAAATCACAGCCGAGGAAGTCGATGAGGTGGATTGGGAGGTCGTCAGTGATATGGAGGACTTTGGTGCCGGCTCAGGAGACCCGAGAGCGGCTGAGTGGGAAGACGACAGTGAGGAGGAAGGTGAGGGAGCTCAGTGCCAGCAGCAATAAGCTCGTGGAAGAGAGGAGGCAATGCCGCGAAGACGAAGACGCAAAAGTTACGAAGGAGGATAGACACATTGACGATCATATCAAGGAACGGCCTTCGCTGACGGAGAATTGGACAATTGGCGTACATGAGAGAGGGAAGCTCAAAATCTGCTCCTTGCTATTAGACACTTGTATATTGGAACGCTCTACTCCATCATTGCTCATCTTCTGACAAGTTTCACGGTCAATATATCGTCGGAAGGATTGAGTACTTCTCACCATGATGACACTCATCCTAACAGGAGCCTAGCTGCAATCATGTAATCAAGGTGTTTTCTTCGACGCACCTTCCTCTCGAGCATTGCCGGCTAGCTGTTGCCAATTCATGGTCACGATACCATCTTCAACCCCCTCAATCCTTCTCTTCGTTTTCTTGACACACCGTCATCATATCTCATCGCACACTTATCTTCCATATCGTATCTTTTGCTTGGTATCTATCAATTCCATCAACTGATGTCGCAACGAAGGCGGATACGGACCGCTTCCGTGTCGTCAATTGTCGTCGATTCTCGTTTTCCCGCCCAACTCCGGCTTCCGACAACGGACTTTTTACCCTTGTGCCTTGCATCAGTGTGCATGAGTGTGCATATTCCCCGCAAAGACCTTCCCAAATTGTCGATATCAGAAGTTTGTGCTTGCGAAACCGGTGCAAATGACAGCGGCGAAGCATGAAAAGTTTTGGACTCAACGGCTCCTCGTCGCCGTCTTGGTCATTTGAGGATTGATAGGAGTCATATTCGGTTCTTCTCTCATATATACAACTATCTGATCCGTCCTCTGGAGAGTCACAATTGATATATCACTGATCTGCTGCATCTGAACTTCCCGGTTTTCTTCACTCACATATCTTTTTTTTCATCTTCACTGAGGAAATTTGTTGCACTCTATCCTAGAACTTTCAGCATCTACCTACTCAACATAATCAACACTACACAACAACACAACACCGCAATCATGGGCTACACTCGCGAAGAACTGCCCGTTCATACGAAGAGCAACTCGCTCTTCAATCATCTGGAGACCATGCCTGGCGATCCCATTTTTGGATTGATGTCGCAATACGCAAAGGATCCTGCAGAGTTCAAGGCTTCTCTTACCATTGGTGTCTACAGAGATGAGGATGGCAAGCCTTGGGTTTTGCCTACGGTTAAGAAGGTGTGTTATTGAATCTCCTCTTCACCTTTCTCCTTGTTCTTCTTCACTCTGTGTTTTTCAATTCTTTGCTGCTGGTATGTTGGTGTTCGGGGGCAATTTTCGATGGTCTTGAGTAAGAGGTGGAAATGGTGGAAGGGGTATGATTCCATGACATCTTGTGGTGAATTGAGCAACACAAAAGAAAACCCTGTGATCACGCAAAGAACAGGGAAGAGGAAGCATTCACGTCATTGAAAGAAGGACAGATAATGAGACCTATGGTCCCTCATCTGTGCCTGTTGTTCTCATCGCGCAACTTCACTTATATCCGTACTTTTGAAAGATGTCTCCCTCGATGCTAACCTTCCTACCCAGGTTGAGAAGATGATCGCAGAAGATGTGGCCACAAACCACGAATATCTTCCCATGGAAGGTCTCGGTGCTTTCGTAGAGTCAGCACGCGACCTCCTCTTCGGAAACCCCTCTCCTGATCTCACTTCCCGTATCGGTTCCCTCCAAACCATCTCCGGAACCGGTGCCGTACACTTGGGCGCCCGCTTCTTGAACGACAGCCTTCAACCCAAACGCATCTGGGTATCCGACCCGACATGGGGAAACCACCACGCCATCTTCGACATCGCCGCCCCCGATGTCGAACAGAAGATGTACCCCTACTACGACGCCGCAACCTGCAGCTTGAACTTCTCGGGCATGATGTCCACACTCGAAGAACAAGCCCAACCCGGAGACCTTATCCTGCTCCACGCATGCGCCCACAACCCCACCGGAATCGACCCCACCAAAGACCAGTGGAAGCAAATCGCCGACCTGTGCGAGCGCAAACACCTCTTCCCCTTCTTCGACTCGGCATACCAAGGCTTCGCCTCCGGCGACGTCGACGAAGATGCCTGGGCCGTCCGCCACTTCGTCTCCCGCAACACCCTCGAACTCGTCGTCGCTCAATCCTTTTCCAAAAACTTCGGTCTGTACGGTCAACGTGTCGGTGCTTTCCATATCGTTACTTCTTCCCAGGAAGCAAGGGATAAAGCACTCTCCCACCTCATCTACCTCCAACGCGCCGAAATCTCCAACCCACCCGTCTACGGCGCCAGAATCGTAGCTTTCATCCTCCAAAACGCCTCCCTCAGACGAGAATGGGAGCAAGATTTACTCATCATGTCCGGCCGCATAAAAACCATGAGGGCTGCTCTTTTCGGTGAATTGCAAAACCTAAACACACCGGGTAATTGGCAACATATCGTCGATCAGAATGGAATGTTTTCGTACACGGGACTTTCGGAAAAACAGGTGCTGGCGTTGAGGAAGGAACATATCTACCTCCTTACTTCTGGTCGTGCTTCCATCTCTGGCCTCAACGGTGAGAATGTTGCTCTGGTGGCAAAGGCTATTGATAAAGTTGTCAGGGAGACTGGTGATGCGCCTGCTTCTGCTGTTTAGAGAAAGGTGGTTTCTGGAGCGGCGGTACGTGGTTGGGACAGCAATGATGATGATTGGAAATTTTGTGCATGTATATATAAAACTTTTGCGCTTTTCTTGGTCGTTTTTCGTTTTTAGACGGGATGGAAATTATAGACAAGGACTTCTTTTCTCTTTTCACTTGCGATAATGAATTGGACGAGAAGATTGTTGCACACGCGATCTGGGCATGTGTTGAATATTTTTAATACTCCTGGTTCAGGACAGTGGGTGGGTTGTGCGGGAATTGGGTGAGTTGTGCATCAGGGAAGTGGTTGAGTTGTGTAATAAGGAGGAGTCTGAGTAGAATTTCGGACACAACATGCATTCATACGTTTTATACCGATTCATCACAATTCAGATATCAGAAAAGAAGAAGAAGAAGAAGAAGAAGAAGAAAAAGAAGGAGGAGATCTCGTCATCAAACTTATCATACAGAAGATATTGTTACACAAGAAAAAAGCTTCACACCTCAAGTCTCCTCCAACACTCTTCATGCCCAAGCACAGCCATGACCTGCGAACTTCCAGGCCCCGGACGTCCAAAACAGAGTTTTTCTCTCAGGTAATGGTGCAAATGCTTACTCCATTCTTTCATCTTGGTTTTATCCACTTCGCCGTCTACAGTCGCGCGTTGTTGGATGACCTCTCCTATCACCTTGGCGTATTCGGCTATGGTGGCATCGAGTCGCGTCTTGATTTCCGTGTAGGTGGGTGCTGAGATGATAACGTCTTTCGTGACAGTTTGGTCGAAGTTTTTCAAAACGTCCATGGCTGCGGTGTGGAGGTCTGATTTGGAAATTGATGTGTCGGGTGACGGTGAGGCTGGTGGTAAGGTGGTGAAGAAATAGGCGTTGCGCTCGACATACGAGCTTGGGTTTTCATATGTTTTGGCATCGATAAACAGGATTTTGGTCATGTAGATTCGCAGATCTTGAGTCGCTAATGCTCGGGAATTGGGATAGGCAGTGCGGGCGGCTGATTCGAGTAGATCGAGTAGATTCTCGAATGACGGGTCTGCGGTCGAGGACTGCATGGCGCGCTCGATGATGATCTTGGCGTGGTTCTTTTGGAGATACCATAGTTTGTCGAACGAGACGATGGAGTTTCCCTTGGTGAATTTCAAGTCGAAGAGATCGATCAACTTGTTCATCTCCATGACATCGTCACGAGTCGGGTTTCGCCAACCGAGCAAGGCGAGGAAATTGGCCAGACTCTCGGGCAGGATGCCATGTTTTGTTTTCAAGGCGCCAATATCGGTATCAAAATTACGCTTCGAGAGTTTTGCTTGATCTTTGTCTGTCAACAGGCCAACATGAGCAAAAGCTGGCGGTGTCCATCCAAAGGCATTGTAGAGAGCAGCATGCAGCGGTGTCGAAGACATCCACTCAGTACCACGAATCACATGAGTGATCTTCATGTAGTGGTCGTCGATGACATTTGCAAGGTGATATGTCGGGGTTCCGTCGCCCTTGAGAAGAATGACACCTTCCACGGCAGCTCTTTGCGGCAGGGTCTTCTTAGACTCGAGAGAGACTTTGCCGTATACAAGGTCAGACCAGCTGGGAGCCTTGTCGGGCTTGCCGAAGCGGACGGCGTGTTTCTCATTACGTGCTCTTTCGGCTGACTCCTCCAGAGGTATACTGGCGCAATCGCTGTGGCAGCCGCCAATGGCAGATCCCACTAGTGAAGCATCCACATCGACAGGTGCCTGGGCGGTAGAGCTGCAGAAGCATCGGAAGGCGGCTTTGGATTCGACGAGTTCCTGGGCGTGTTTCTGGTAGAGGGGAGTTCTTTCAGACTGCTTGTATGGACCGTATGGGCCGCCGACTTGTGGGCCTTCATCCCATTGTATGCCAGCCCATCTCAGGTCATCGCACAGCCTTTGCTCTGCATCAGGAACCAGTCTTTTCTTCTCCCATCAGCTCTTGTATTGTGTGATCTGATTCATCAATCCTCACCTGGTCCGTGTCTTCTATCCTGAGCAGAAATTGGCCTCCGGTCCTTTTGGCGAGCAGATAATTGAAGAGAGCCGTACGTAGCGATCCAAGATGTAGGTAGCCGGTCGGCGAAGGAGCGAAACGTGTTCGTGCTGGTCCAGAGGGAAGTAATTCACGGGTCGAGTGCCCTTTGGCAGGGTTTATCGCTGTTGTGGAAAAGCTCTTGGACGAGAAAAGAAAGGCGGTGGAAATGGGAGAAGCTCTCGGGAGTGCCTTCCTGTATGCGCCGGAGGTGATTGAGAAGTGACGTGTGGCCGGAGTGCTTAGTCGACCAAGGCACGACCTGCAGACGTAGCCTCGCGACCGGCTCGGTAACTGATTCAGCAGTCGCGACATACTTGTCAAACGGTTAGAAAGGAGCGACCTTCCCAGTGTCATTGAATTGTGTCGGCGGAGGTGGATTGTCCGCAACTCCGACCCCACGCATGTGCTTGGCTTGGCGTTCGTCAATCGCATACAGCTCCGTCACCAGCTCACCCTCCCCAGTCACTTCCATACACAAGCCAACATGGACGACGCAAGAAAGACGTGGGGTGAGTCGAGAATGGTCTATTCTGCTTTGACACCTTCTGACGATCCGCAGAGCTGGAGAACGCAATCAACCTCACAGACGCCACTCGCGATCAACTATACACCTACTCGGTCGAACAGCAAAAGGACATCAACAACAAGAGACCATGGCGCGCAGACCCCAACCATTTCAAGCATGTTCGCATCTCATCTGTCGCCCTGCTTAAGATGGTCATGCACGCTCGCTCCGGTGGCAGCATCGAAGTCATGGGCCTCATGATCGGCTACGTTCTGGACGAGACCTTTATCGTCACTGACGCTCTCCGCCTGCCTGTCGAAGGAACAGAGACCAGAGTCAACGCTCAAGACGAGGCCAACGAATACATGGTCAAATACCTGGACCGCTCCCGTCAAGCCGGTCAACTCGAAAACGCCGTCGGCTGGTACCACAGTCATCCCGGCTATGGCTGCTGGCTTAGTGGCATCGATGTCTCGACTCAGTTCACTCAGCAAACCTTCTCGGATCCTTTCGTCGCCGTTGTCATTGACCCCGACCGCACTGTCAGCTCTGGCAAGGTTGAGATTGGCGCCTTCAGAACATACCCCGAGGGTCACGTCCCTGCAGGCCATGACTCTGCCGGAGAGGGCATGGCCGCTGTTCCTCTTGCCAAGGCTGCCGACTTTGGCGCCCACGCAAACAAGTACTACTCACTTGACGTCTCACACTACAAATCCTCTCTCGACAATACGCTGCTGGAAGCTCTCTGGAACAAGTACTGGGTCCAGACTCTGTCATCCTCGCCTCTGTCTACCAACCGCGAATATGGTACCAAGCAGATTGAAGACCTGGCAGGCAAGATCCACCAAGTCACTCAAAACGCAAAGCATAGGGGCTCCATGTCAATGCGTCCGGGTGGACCAAAGGGTGACGCTGCACTGGACAAGGTGGTAGCTGCTGCCGACAAGATTGCCAACGAGGAGAAGACGGGTCTTCTGGCTGCTCAGATCAAGGAGAAGGTCTTTTCGACACCCTCGCAAGCTGCAGCCAACTCGGGCGGCAACGGAATTGAGGTGAAGATGCAGGAGGCCATGGAAGAGTAGAGGAAGACCTCTTAAACGACGACGATGATACGAATTGCATGGGTTTGCTGGCGTACATATGGCTCGAGACACGCATTTACCACGGCGTTATCATGGGTTACAGACTATAATAAGGTCACGGGCAATAGAGCGTAGGAAGAACGCGAGCGTATACAATCCTAAGCTGATCTGTTCTTCGCGACAATCTTTGTTCAAGCTTGAACGCGTCGATCCAAAAGTGCCACGTATTTCGTCATCTTTCCTTGCTTTTTCCAGGAGCTCGACCAAAGCTCGAAAATTGATGTGAGTTTGGTGGTGCCTGATTCCATTTTCTTAGTGAGGCAGACGTGAAACATAGTATCCGACATGACGCAGCAACGGACTCCAGCAGTATAATGTTCACTTGACAAAGCAAAGGAGAAATATGTGGTTATCACTCTGGGCAGATGAGATTCCTCAAACATGGTTGTTGTCGACCACAATGTCGCCATCGAGGTTGGAAGCCATTGTAAATGGTATGACCCTGCCTGGATCAACCGACGTTGGCATCGTCAGCATCGGAGCTTCAGATACGTTCCCAACCATTATTTCCGGTGACCATTCTGCTAAACGAATCAACATCCTCTGCCTTCTCCTTCCATATGAGAGTACTTCTTCAGATGCACAAATACACAAGCTGCCGCCCCGTTCCGTTGTGGAAAGTAGAGCAAAATTGCCTTTCTGCTCCTCCGTCATACAAAGCTGTTTCGTTGAAAGCTTTAATGTGCACAAAACTGCAAGCTTCCGCAAGAGCCGGAGGAGTAAGAAGATGGCGTCCCTGCCAAAGCTGTCAGAATTTCTAACGACACATGCGAGTCGCTCTTTCTAGTGGACGGCTGAGTATTTTACGTTATAAGTTCTGGTATCTTGCACCTCATTGTCTTCCTATGCGTACGCGTATCACGTCTCTATTGTTGCGGACATAACGAGGGCTAGAACTCCCGAACCCCCGGCATCCCCGGATGCTCACAAATTGAGGCTCAACTGTAATATGACGTTAAGCAGCTAATCAGCGAAATTGATGGGAAGTGTTCCTTCACGCCAACCCCTCGCGCTCGCGTGAGCCGCTGCCAATCCTTTGACAATCAATCGACAATCAATCACCCATCCTGGCCATCTCTATACGACATTCATCTTCCACGCTATACAACACCGATGGGCGCGCGGTGAAGATGCCACAGTCTGCTGCAAGACTTCCGTTTCCCCTTGCGACTTTGGGCCTCGATCGCGTGCCGCGGTAGCAACATTTCTCTGGGAAAAATATATAATACTTAATCTCTAGTTCTACCAGCATGCCGCTGCCTACAGCATCCTTCGTCGGCGGTGTCCTGGTGCTGGCCTACCTCTCGACATTCGTCCTGTTCGCTCTCCTGCGTATCCTGACCGGTGTCAGTATCCAGCGCATCGGCTATTCTGGTTTCCGTCGCATCGCTTTCTCGCCCAAGGATGGAATCAAGATATACATCAGAGGCATCGGCCTGTCATTACACCGACCCACCTTTGCGCAACCCACGTGGATCAGTCTTCATCTTACCGAACCTCAAATCGTCGTCGACTTCCGCGCCCTAGGAAAATCCACCAAGAATACACAACCAGAAGAAAAAGCCCAGTCGCATGAGAATGGCGCATCACAATGGAAGAAGTTGACCGAAGTCAAGGACAAGATCAAGAAATTGCATACAAAGATAAGATACCTATGTCTGGTCGATTTGGTTGCTGTGTCCAGTACTGTGGTCATCAAAGAGGTGGGAACAATCACAGTCGAGCGCATCACTGTCGCTGTGGATACAAGAGCAAAGACGGTGGATCGTAGTCGCTTGTTCCAACACGACCAGACCAAAGCTTCATCACACACCCCTGCCGAATGGAAGAGCATCATCCGGTCAATTTTGTTCACCCCTGAAGGAAAGGACTCAACTGAGGTTCTAGACGGTCTTTCGTTGAGTGTACACGGTTTCCTACACCCACATCTTGAAGGGTTGCGCGATGCTTCGATTGCGCTGAAACTGGGTCGATTGGATATACCTTACGACGAACTTCTGGACGCCAGCGAGAAGTTACACGATATTCGTGCTTCAACAAAACAGACTGCCCAAAACTCGACTTCTATACAAGCACCCAAAATCGCCATTAACGATGTGCTGAAGGAGCCTCGGGACGCGGAAGATCGTGAGGAGAAGATTATGGAAGCCGTGGCTGAGTCGAGAGAGTTTCTTGGATCTGTACTCAAAGGCATACAGGAGTTTCAGCTGGCCATCGGCTTCTTGGGCCTTTCAAGGCGTATCAGATCTCTGCACACTTCTGGGCAGCATGTGTACTTCAATATGGCCATGAAGGAACTGGGTCTGGATCTACTGCGACTTGATTCGAGAAGTCCAGCGCATCGCATGTACTTTTCGCCGACAGATGTCGCTCATCAGGCTCTACTCACAGCCATCTCAATTTCAGCCGGTGTTGATGATGGCCATGATCATCCAGAGCGCATGCTCTATGTGCCTATGGTCACCGCTACAGTCAAAACCACACTTCCTTCGAAGACGATACAGAAGCCCGACGATTCGACCAACGTGCGGGAACGCAACAGCAACATTCTGTTTGCCAACCTTGTGTGTACTTCACCATCTATCGATCTGGATCCAAAGCACTTGCCACTCCTACTAGCCATCGCTAAGGTTCGACAAGAGTCGAAAAAGTCTTCAAGAGCGCCCTTGTTGACCAGTCGTGGTTTCCTATCGCGCCTCTTACCCAAAGCGATCATCAAAATCGCTGTTCAAGAACCAGTCGTCAGAGTTTCACTCCCTCCTTTGAGTCCATGCTTCTCTGGAGATGTCGAGTATGATTTGCTCATTTCATCAACTTCGACCATGTCCCTGGACATTGACTCGCAGCACTCTTCAACCGACTCTGCAGTCAAATACGGGTTGCACCTACATTACAGACAGACATCAAGTCAGCTATATTACCAGACAAATGCTGGCCAGAAACACGACCTTCTGCAAACAGAGACAATTGAGGTCAAGGTTGATGTCAACGTACTGCCACAACCTGAGGTCTTCGTCTATGGTAGATTCCAGACATTCTCAGTCTTCTTGGTCCGTACGGAAATCTCTGAAGGTATTCGCCAAATTGTCAAGGCCGCTCGCAGAGAAACAGACTCAGCCGACGGAACCACTGTTGTAAAGAAGCCTAGTTTCCTTCGCCAAATTCCAGATTGGCTGCAGCATGTGAGCGTACAAGGTGCTGACTTCAACATCGAGCTAGCAGGCGTAGATCAGGGTGTCTCCAAGTATGCTCGTGGATTTGCCTTGCAGCTAGAGTCATGGTCGACCGAGTACAAGGCACATCGCGAAGATGTCTATGTTCCTGTACCACGAAGAAGGTCACTTAGTAGGTCTTTCTCGCGCGAAAGGAATGATCGATCGTCAACACCAGAGGCACCGCGAAAGAAGCAGTCACTCCCGACGGACGGTCGCAGGTTAGCCTTGCACATCCAAGGTTTGGAAGGCCACATAACAGACGCTGTCGAAGATTCACCTGCCGATCCCTTCATCACCTTGCCCAAGTTTGAAGTTGCTTTCTCGACCTCCAGTGATTTGCAAGGGCCACTCTTCCACATCAATTCGCATGCTAAGAGCCTGCAATTGAAATACTCCCTTTACAAGCACTTCTCCATTGGTGTGGCAGTCTTGACATTCCGAAGAATGTTCTTGGTACCTGGAGCCCATCCCGCTGACGAGGAGCGCAAAAAGCATCAGCCCAGCTCCACTGTCAAGACTCGGGATCATTCTCAATATGATCAGATTTTGATGAGCGAAGTTACCACGATCGACTTCAAGGCAAACCTCATTCAAGTCAAAGCTGATCTGCCATCAGATCCTCCAATGATGATTCAGATCTTTGGAGCTGACTGTGGTCGCCATAGATGGGCTACGCCATTCGCTCGTCTCAAAGTGGTGCGACTGCTGGCTGGTACCCCTAACATGAAGCAAGTGTGGAGCCGTATTGTCAGTGTCAAGAATCTTCGTTTCGACCTGCGCGAGATCAAGACCAAAGTAGGCACAAAGACAGACATCGCAAAGTCTTTCGACCTTACAACAGACGTCATTCGTATTGGTGTGCCACATGGTATGGTTCTGCACTCCATCTTTGACAACATTGTCAACACTGTGAAGACTTGCGAGCAGTTACACCATCATTTCAGCACAGGAACGCTTGAGTATATCCTTGAGAAGCATCCTGAAGGCCCAAAGAAAGTCCCGAGAATCTCTCTGCGCAGTCAGTTGTTGCTCTTTGAGATTGAAGACAGTGGCTTTGAATGGAAATTAGGAACAATTTATCGAGCCGGCCTGGTCGAGCAACAGCAGCGTCTCGCGCGCGAAGAAGCTTTCAGACTCAAAGTCAAGCATACAGAATCAAATCAACGCCAAAGAAGAGGTAGTTCTCGTGTGCGAACAGCTTCTGCACAACCCCCGCCATCTCGCCGCCGCAGTATATCACGACCTGCAACATCACATCACAGAAGAAGCAAAAGTGCTCACTCGATACACACGTTGCGTGAAGAGGATGAAGAGTCTCCTGAAAAGCGCCGTGGCCGAGGTCGTGACCGCAAAATCCGCTACGACACCGAGGGCAAGGCTGATATGAGTGGCGCAAGCACCCGAACTGTCGAGAAAGCCCATGCAAAGCTGCAAGAATTCAACGCTCAGAGCTGGAAGAAGCGTATCGACCGTGCTCTGGGTTCCCAGAGTCATGCACTTAAAGAGTTGCGTGGTCTCCTATGGGGCATGAACGACTTGCCAGATGAATCTGACCAAGCTGAGAACGTAATGGCCATACCACAAAGGCCTGCTCTCATGGCTGCTATTATCAGCGATGTGGGCGTCATCATCGACAAGCCTTCCTTTGCACTCGATCAATACCCCCAATTCCTCCATGATATTGGAAAGGGCATGCCTATGGATATGAAGTATGGTCTACTACTACCCATGAATCTGAAGGTTACCCTGGGTGAAGCTAGAGTAATGCTGAGAGACTACCCATTGCCTCTCTTACACATACCAGCCATTCGCCTTGGCCAATCGCCTCGACTTGCTAGTATGTCCCTTAGCACAGACTTTGTTGTCGCAGAAGAGTTCCAAGGACCAGAGTCTGAACGTCATATCAACGTTGTCGTGGTGCCGAAGGATAAGTTCGGAAAGGACGATACTGACAAGAATTTCTCTGTCGACGTGCGTAGAACCATATCGGCAGTCAAGACTTACTCCGACATGAAGATTGATATCAACACAAGCTCGCCCACAAGAATCACCTGGGGAACTTCCTACCAGCCAGCCATTCAAGATATGATGCAAGTCATTGAGAATTTCACGAAGCCACCTATGGATCCCTCCGAAAGAGTTGGCTTCTGGGACAAGATCAGACTTAGCTTCCACTCGAGACTTGACGTCAACTGGAAAGGCGATGGCGATGTTCATCTTTGTCTCAAGGGCTCTAGAGATCCTTACGTTGTCACAGGCCTTGGAGCCGGATTTGTCATGGTCTGGAGAAACAAGGTCCGCTGGAGGATTGCACAAGATGACGATCCTCGCAAGTTTATGACTGTGGACAGTGGTGACTATGTCATGGCTATCCCTGACTACAACTACTACGCTCGGCAATCACTCGAAGTGGAGAACGAGTCGTCCAGCGGCTCCAGTAGTGTCAACAGCAGCAAGGCTACAGCCGCATTCAAGAAGGTTGTCATGAAGCTATCCGGCAATGTGCAGTGGATGGCTGGTCTGACCTTCGAACGCGAAGTTGAAGGTGACAAGAGAAGCTTCAATTTCTGTCCTCATTACAAGGTGAAGCTCAGGCATCCTGATCATGCCAAAGCACCACCAGGAGAAACCTACGACGCGTTCAAGACATTCAGAAGTCACTGGATTCATGGTTCTATCGCTATTTCCGCACCGCAAGACCGGGACTGGAACGTCGCCAACCTCCAGCCGTCAAAGAATTACAACTCAGTCCATCTCACGCCTCGCTTTTTCACGCACTTCTACGATTGGTGGTCACTTTTCTCAGGTGTCATGTCATTGCCCGTTCGCCAAGGTCCCCTATGGGGAAGCATGGAGAAGTCGAGCAAAAAGTTTGGTCGTCATCTCGGTACAATCAAGTACAACCTTCTCTTCTCACCTCTTTTCATCAGTCACATCTACAAGCACAAAGACGCTGAGGACTATCAAAACGATGTCGTCTCTGCCACTGGTCTGAAGATGAAACTTGATAGCTTCATGTTGGATCTTCATCAACGCAGAGAGACATTTGAGATCCCAGCCACATCAGAGAAGAAGGCCAAGAGAACGACCGCCATGAAGATCAACCAATGTCAGCTTGATTTCATCTCAGCTGATATTCGAGCGATATCTGCATCGATCAAGGGTACTAGTACTGCCGAACTCGACCGGGCTGACGAAGCCACTCTGGCTAGCTACCAGACAAGCAACATCACCAACGTAGACATGTCCAAGTTCACCATCCCAGACAACGACCTGACATGGATCGACATGGACGACTTTGTTGAGCTCGACTGGATCTTGCCTGCAGAGACGAACCCCGCAACGAAGATTCTCCCACTTGGATTCGCACCTCGCTTCACGTACTTCAGACAGACAGACCATGGTGACTCAGTGTCTGGAGACACAACAAGATCAAGTATCTTCGGCGACGAACCCACTCACTATTGCGTCATGTCCAAGCGAAACGACCCGCGCCGAGTACAAGCCGATCTGATTGAGTCTCGTATTCACCGTATTGAAGAACAGATGGCAAACAATGAGCGTGCGGTTGGCGAGCAAGAAGTCAAGGTTGTCAGAAACCATGATAATGACGAACATCTAAGTGAGCGATTAAGAGCTCTGAAAAACCACACAGAAGCATTGCAGAAGAAACATGAGTTCTTGTGCAAATTGTTGAACGTGCTGGTCCAGAAGCTGCAACAAGAGGATCCGTCCATGGGCGAACATATCGAAACAGACGATCTGCCCGACAGAGATCCGGAGAAAGACGGTGAATCGAAGGAAGACTCCACTCCGCTCGCAGACTATACAAGCGACTTCAATAACCGCTTCGTCGTCCACAACGCTCAGATAAAGTGGAACAACTCACTACGAAACATCATTCTCCGATACATCCATCAAGTCAGTCAAAGACGTGGATTTGTTTACTACATGTCGAGAAGAGCTGTCAAGTTCATCCTTGACATCCTTGACGAGCAAAAGAAATCAGGCCCACAAGCCCCAGAAGACCGGACGAACAGCACGGTCAGTAATGACACTTCGTTCTTGCCGATGACTCCCAACCAGGAAGATGAGATGGAAGTTCAAGATCGTATTGACCAGCTTTTGAACGACGGAAGACAATTTGTCAATGCGGACGACCCCGAGAAACAGGAATGCACAGAAACAGCTGCTAATGAGGGGGCTGGAGAGGGCATCTCGACTGAATACACGCCACAGAATACCTACCACTTCCGTCTTATCGCTCCGCAAATCCAATTGCAGAGCGAGAAGAATCCGAAATCTGTCATGCTAGTCGCCGCCAAGGGTATGCAACTCAAGGTCGTACAGATTATGGATAAGGAAAGAGTACTCGATGAGATCAGTGGTCTGGTACAAACTCGCTTCTCAGCCGCTATGGATAGCATGCAAGTCTTTGTGGCTAGTACGAAGACTTTCTCGACCGAATATCTGCACATGTACTCTGGCAACCGCTATGGTGGCAAGGTCGGAGAGTACTGGCCGCCCTGGGTGCCTCTGGAAGTCATGTTTGAATTCCAAGTCAATCCATATGGTTTCTCGAGGGTTGTCCACCGCACCTCGGCAAGTCTGCGCTACGACAAATACAACAACCTCCGATTGAAGTACAACGACGATGTCAGTGGAGGAGATGGCAACAAGACACAAAATCCAGATGCCTCCGACACTCGCATGGACCACGTCTATATCGAGTTCCCGCACTTCCGAGCAATCTGCGACTCCAACCAGTACTTCGCTATGTACATCATCGTACTGGACCTGCTCCTGTACAGCGAGCCGCTCGAAAAGACTCGTAGCGAGAGACTGGAGAAGATCATGCTGGCTTCTGACTTCAGCGATCTGACAGGCGCCCCTGAGATGGTTGAGATGCTACAATCTCGCATCCGCCAGCTAGAAGATATCAAGATGCACTTCCAAGTCAATGAAAAGTTCCTGGATCGTCAGGGATGGAAGGATAGAATCGCCCTTGATGCAGATCTTGCTTCTTGCGAGGACGAACTTTTCTTCATGATGAAAGCGATTACGACCTCTCAAAGGAGAAACGAAGATCGCGGCCAAGACGAATCGCCTGGTCTTCTAAGATGGTTGATATCATCCAAAGAAATTGCTTGGCACCTGATCCGTGGCGAGAACGAGTCTCTCCTCGAATTCCAGATCAAGGATGGTCTCTTTGATCGAACTGACAACAATGACGGCTCTAACTACAACTGCATTGAGATTGGTAGAATCAATGGTTTCAATCTGTTGCCGAACGCAGTATACCCAGAGATCATCGCGCCATACATTGATCCAGCTCGTGGATTCCACAAGCAAAAGGACATGAAGATGCTGCGTGTGCAATGGCTGATGCTTGAAGCTATTGCTGGTATCCCTGTTGTCGACTACTTTGAAGTCAACGTTATGCCTCTGCGTGTTCAACTCGAACGCGAGATTGCCAAGCGTCTTTTCGAATATCTCTTCCCTGGAGTCGGTGGGAATGCGTTTGAAGGAGGCGGCTTCTCGCCCTTCATGGTCCGTAACATGGCTGTACCCAAAGACGACGAGGAAGACTCCGATGAGAAGAAAGAAACTAAGAAGGCTTTGCCGCTTGATGAGAGCACAAGTTCGGCTATACATCAAGGTGTAGGCACAGGAGCAGGCGAACTTGAGCACAGACTCCAGCCTACGCTGAAGCTACCGGAAGGAAAGGTGCCACTCAAGGGAAAAAACAAGGGCTTGGGTATCAGCCAACAAACATCCTCCTCCCACAGTCTTCACTGGAATCCCTTTGGACATTCCGACAAGTCATCAAGCAACGTTGCCAAGAAGCAAAATGGCAATACGGCATCCAACGTCAGTCTTGTCAGTCGCACGCCTTCCCAGCGCTCCTCGGAAACAAATTCCCTCGCCGAGAGTGAACTGTCAAAGAAGAAGCCTGCCAAGAAAGGCAAGTCTGACAAGGACGACAAGCAAGCTTCAGATGATTTATCACTCATGCTTTCACGTGCGTCCAATTACATGACGCTGTCATTTTTCAAGGTCCCTTCTATGGTTCTCTGCCTGTCTTACAAGGGGCAAGGCCGTCGCAACTTGGAGGATGTACACGATCTTGTCTTCCGCATGCCCACTCTGGAGTATCGCAACAAGACATGGTCGAACCTAGATTTGGCTCTTCAGATGAAGAAAGATTTGATCAAGGCTCTCATCTCACACGCCGGCGCCATCGTCGGTAACAAATTCCACAACCACCGTCCAGCCCGCCAAGCAGCTACCAGCAAGCTTCGCGAGATCGCAAACCTCAGCACCATGCACATCCATTCCCACAACGATGAACGCGGCTCCGAAGCTTCAACTCCTTCGCACATGACAACCTCCTCTATCGTGGAAGAAGAAGATGAAGCGGAAACAGAACATGATACTCCAGCTCGACCCTCGTTCACTTCCGGTCGCCCCAGCGTATTCGAAGACCACTCCCCAGCATCACTATTCCCAACCCGCACCAAATCCATCACACCTTCTCTCGCTTTATCTCAGGAATCAGAAGGACCCATCTTCAACCGCCGCCCTCAAACCGGATACTCCAACATCTCCCGCGTCTACACGAATGGATCTTCTTCCCTCGCCCCCTCTCGCAAATCCGAAGAGAGCAGGGTCAGAAGTACTTCCATCGGCAGTTCCGACCACAAAAAGGGTGGTCTTTTCGGCAGACTCAGACCCGGAACCAGTGCATCCAATCAATCAGGGGATGCAGGCAGAAATGGCAGTTTGGGATCGGATGGGCAGGATGATGAGGGTTTCAAGAGTAGATTGTTGCTCGGAGGACAGAAATTGCTCAATAAATTGCCGCATGGTAAAGGATAGAAATCTTGAAATTTTCATCGGATGGGGGCGGGAATGGGGTGGAGAGTAGATGGGGGTTTCGCTTTGACCAATGGGTGTTTTCTTGGAGAATGACAAAAGAAAGTCTTGAGGGGGAGACTTCTCTTTTACTCTCGTAGTGGTGGCTTCTTTTGCTTTTCGAGGGGATGGATGAAAGGGTGGTTTTTGTAGATATTCTTTTCATTCTTTCTTCTTTCTTCTTCTTGGTTGATGAAAGGTTTACATTGTACAATCACATTTTTTTCAAGAAGTTGTGGGAGAGAAGCTCCCATTGAGCAAGGCTTTAATTCTCTGGTCGGCCTCGCGAGCCATTTTGACTCGAAATAACATTTGTGAATCATTCTTCTGATTTCCAAGGGGCAGTATGCGAAAGAATGGAGATCTTGTGCGGTGGAACAGTTGGTACCGTGTGGCGACGCCTACAGAGCGTCTCTCTTCGGCCCCAGGGATCCTGGTGATGACGGTATCTTGTTTGCTGAAAGTGATTTGGTACACCGGGAGTCTTGATCCGAGAATAGTGTGTTGATGCAAATGACAAGATACCTACTTTTGCAAAAAGAAAAGACGAGATTTGTCTTGCTTATGTGCTTGTCGATTTGTCTGGGCTTCTCAGCCAAAGACTTTCGTGTCTCGGGGGCGTGATGCCTTTGTGTTGTAAATCTACAGTCTCACGGGTTGTCTTGGACCCCGTCAATTTCACTTGCCTGCTTTGATTGTCGAATACTCTTTCTCTTTGCGTACTGTAGAAAGACTGATCGTTGCTACCTGTCCACTGTTCACTCATCGCCACCAGCGTACACACTTCTATCAACTCTGTAAGTCTCTTCTCACTGCGGGAGAAACTCCTATCTCTGACACACTATTTCGCAGAATGATGGCGACCAGCAAAGCTCGCCTCACCTCGCTGCCGACCGAGATCTTGAGCATCATCTTCTCTGATGAAAGCGTAGGATCTTCCCGGGGTCCAACTCTGTCCTTGACCGACTTGGGCGCTGTCCGACTCAGCTGCAAGGCTCTTCAGAGTCCGGCAACCGCGATCTTCGCTCAACGCTACTTCCAAAACCCCTACGTCATGATCTGGAAGGAAAGTCTCGAGGCACTTCTGGATATCTGCAGACACCCTGTGTTTGGTCCTTGTGTGAGGAAGATTGAATTTCTGGAAGGAGACTACAGGTCCGATCCTGCACTTGGCTCAGCAGATTCAGTTTACGACCAAGACACCGCGACTGAGCTGGGTGTCGCGGCAACGCGATTTCGAGAAAGCTGGCGCACACGTAAAACTCCTGGCCGAAACGTTCAAAGCACTCGAGGTTCATGGAATCCCCCTGGAAGTCTGTGTGCACGATCACTTCCGACCAAGCAAAGAACCAATCAACATGGAACGAATTGTAACACGCCATCACCTTGAATGTTACGATATGGAAGATCGCCACGAAGGAGCCAGTGTCATCAAACTCGTACTCAAAGCTTCAGCACGCAGTGGATGTAAAATCAACCGACTGACTGCAGACATCATAAGCTTCCCGCATTTGACTCCGACCAGAGTTGCAATGCCAGGCAGTGCTGAATCAGGGGAGTTTGAAGTTTTTGAAGAGCTCGAGGAAATCACAATCAATGCGATTGCCTCCCGGGTTCTGATAACCGAGAAGAATTTGTTCGATTATCTGGTGCTCATTCTGGCAATTCCCAAGCATTTGAGAAGACTGGAACTGTCGCAAAGCTCCAGATTTTCTAGAAGGTCCCATGATCACCTCGATCCGGGAAGGCGGGCTAGATGGTTGAGTGTGGCCCGCTGTATTGCGACTCATCTCTCACTCGAAAAACTTGTCTGGTATGATGCGTTTGTCTGTGTCGATTTTATCGGCAAAGAGAAGGTTCGCATTGGTCTGGAAAGACTCATCGCTGAGCAAAGCGGAAAGAGAGAGCAGTAGGAAGAGCAAGTGAAGACAGTCCTGAAGGTCGAACATAAGAGATGGTGATTATGGCATAGACGATGGCTCTTTTTGGAACGTCAGGCTCAGGCATGGGTTTGTTACAGATCTCAGAACAGCAGTTGAGGTTCCGCCTTGGTGATCGTAGTGACAGGAGATCATAGGCAGCGTGTACGAGCGTGCATGCCCAGGAAGCCAAGCAAACAGATCCAATCGTTCGATATCGGCTCAAGAAACGATTTTCCTAGAGCAGATACACAGTGTCATTAGAACCAAAGATCCAACTCACCCATTAATGTACCTAAAGTGAGGTCAGCCGCCAAGTAAAAGGAGGCTTGACAAGACATGACTTTCCAGACACCAAGGCGCACGTTTCTCTTCCCGCTGCCCGCACTCGCCCGCGAACGCCGCAATAAATCTTGCTTTGATGCAAGAGGTGGCCACCAAAGCTTGCCGTGACTACATCCTTAATACTCTGGTATCGTGCTGACAGTGTGTTATAGCAACAACGGAAGTGATGATTGGGCGTTTTTCGGAAGTGGGAATCGAACTGCCGATGAGGAGAAGAGGTGGAAACAAAGTTGAGGCTTGCAATGCAGTAACCATGTGATGTGTGTCGTGGCCGGTGTTCTCGCCGGATGAGGTTCGTACCCCACACCGGGGTATCGCGGCGGGTTCGGCGTGGTAGACCGAGAGTCTCGCGTGCTTGTGGACGCGAACGTTTTAGAAAATCAACTTGGCTTTTCGGTCGACCTTCCTTCCTTTGTCCTGACTCTGCAATCGAGGAGTTTGCAACCACGGTGGCCCTCAGAGCGTTGACATGTGTGGTATTGGTAGATAGCGTCCATTGGCGTCCTGAAACCTCACCCGGCCAGTCCAAATCTCGGGTGTCAGATAGCCAGTGAGAACGAAAAGATAGCAAGACGGGCGACAGTCACCCCTTCCGAAAAGAACAAGTTCAAAGAAGGCGCATGTCACGCTAGATCCTCGTGCCCCGGTCGTGTAACCCCGCGATACTTTATCCCCAGATCTGCCTAGTGAAAAAGTGCGGGGATCCAGCATGCAACGTCTGGAGCTAGTGGCTTGGGTCCAGGTCTGGGCGGAAAGCCATGGCCACGTTGAGCCTGTATATATAACCGCTGGGGATATTCCTGTTATCGCTTTGCTGACCAGTGTGGTTATCCCTCTCCAATTTTATACCATCTTTGCAAATATGGCGGTACATTCCGATATTCTGGACGAGAAAGCTTACAGCAAGCATGAGGAGTTTGCAGATGGCATGCCTCATGAGGCGAATGTGCTGACTCCTGAGGAGTTGGTGACCGAGAAGAAGTTGCGTCGAAAGATCGATCTTTTGATCATGCCTCTGGTTGTTCTGGTGTATCTCATGAACTACATTGATCGGTAAGCAGAGAGTTCTCTTATCGCTTTAGTTGCTGGCAACTTACGTTGAACAGTAACAACTATGCTGCTGCTCGTCTACAAGGGCTAGAAGAGGACCTAGGCCTTATCGGCGACCAATACCAGATCGGACTCTCACTGTTCTTTGTTTCTTACATCGTCGCCCAGCTTCCGAGCAACCTCGCCCTCAATTATTTTGGTCGTCCGTCGTGGTATCTAGGCTTCTTCATCATGGCTTGGGGGCTTGTATCGGCCGTTACCAGTCAAGTCCACAACTTCGCTGGTATCCTTGTCTGTAGAGTCATTCTTGGCTTTACAGAGGCTCCGTTCTTTCCCGGTATTCTGTTCTATCTTTCAAAGTGGTATACAAAGAAGGAATTGAACCTGAGGATGTCGTTGTTCTATGCTGGATCCTTACTCAGTGGTGCTTTCGGCAGCTTGATCGCTGCTGGTATCTTGAGAGGACTTGACGGCCACCATGGGTTGGGTGCTTGGCAGTGGTGAGTGGGTTCAGATCGCAAGAAAAAGACTGAAGCTGACTAGATCCTTAGGCTCTACATCATCGAAGGTGTTATCACCATCGGTGTTGGCATGATCGTCGTTGTTGTGCTTCCCGACTTTCCTGAAACCTGGAAAGCTTTGTCTCCCGAGATGAGGCACGTCGCTACTAAACGTCTCGCGCTTGATGCTGCGGAAGCCGACAAGGATGAGGAGGGCGCTATGTCGCAGTTGAAGGGATTGAAGCTGGCCGTCACTGATCCCAAGACATACCTGCTTGCTTTGATGTACTTCTGCATCACTGGTGCGGCCGGTTTCCAGAACTTCTTCCCTTCGCTCACAGCCACATTGGGATACAACCATTTCATCTCGTTGCTTTTGGTCGCACCACCATACATATTCATGGTGTTCTGGTCGCTTTTCCATTCCTGGATGTCGGACAAAATATCGAACCGTTTCTGGTTCTTCATATACCCGATCCCGCTGGCGATCACTGGCATGATTATTTTCATGACCACTAACAGCTTCGGTCCTCGCTACTTCTCTTTCTTCCTGATGATGTTCGTTTTCACCATCAACGGAACCCAATTTGCTTGGATCTCGAGCTCAATTCCTAGGCCTCCTGCTAAGCGCGCCGCTGCTCTAGCAATCATGAACGCGCTCGGAAACTCAACTTCCATCTGGACATCATTCACCTACCGTCCTGGTGACAAGCCTCATTACCGTCCCGGTCTTGGCATTGCGGCTGGCTTGTTGGTCGGCGCCTTTGTGCTCGCCAACATCCTGCGTTGGTACCTGCAGAGACAGAACAAGGCTCTAGAAGAGTTGGAAAATGAGTATTCAACTATGTCCCCGGAGCGTCTCGCAACGTTGATGAAGAGAGCTGAGGTTGAGGACGTGTCCAGAATGCAGAAAGGTTTCCGCTACCTGGTGTGAAGAGGCGGATTGTTTGATGACCATAATGAACTTTCACAACTGGCAAAGTGCCATGTATCAAACGTTACTCCCTCCAAATCTCATGTCCGGATGGTTGATGAACTGGGTTTTGTGATGTAGTTGCCAGAAAACAATGCGGTGTTGACAGGCTTCAGCCATCGAGCTTACGTCTTCGGCACGAGATGCGCCGAAAGTGCCGAGGAAGTCCCGTCCCGCTCCCCACCCTCTTCATCAAAACCAATGTTCGTTCGCATACATCGTCCTGTTGTGCTATCCTTTGTCACCTCGACATCTCTGCTGCAGCAACAGGCAGTAATGCACCCCTGGATAACCTCGATACGTCTAGTTCCAAGCACGTCGTCCGGAAAAAGCGACTACATGACCACCTCTCTGCGGACCTAGTTCTTCCCGAAGAACATCGTGTAGCTCGACAGCTGCATGCACGACGAGTCCCAGCACATGAAAGTGATACATGCAGAATCAACTTTCCAAGCAGCATGCAAAACGTCGTACCAAGATTGAGGGTCTCGAGGCCCTTAGTTGAACATCACCACAACGGCGCTGGTCAATCACATATCTTTACTGGAAATGACGAACCCCGACTATCATGGGCTTTTGAGACGTACGGTCCGATTCAAGGCTGGCATCAAACCAGTTACGAAATCAAGATTTCCGGGTGGGGTCAACCACACGACAACCACAGGGTTGAGAGCTCTGATTCGGTACTGGTTCCCTGGCCTGGCAAGCCATTGTCATCAGTTGCCAGCTGCAAAGTCAAAGTACGCGTTACGGGAACAGACGCATCAGGAAATGCAGTAAATTCGATATGGTCTCCTGAAACCAGTGTTGAGTTTCTGCCAAAGCGGAACGAGCTTGTAGCAAATTTCATTGGCTCTTCGCTTGCTCAGACTGACGGACCACTTCGACCTCTTCGATTTCGCAAAACATTCTGGCTAGATGAATTTGAGGGGTTGGCAGACAGTGCGAGGTTACACATCACTGCTTACGGTGTGTACGAAGTATTCATCAATGGTAAGCGTGTAGGAGACGAAGTGATGGCACCTGGATGGACTAGCTATAGCCATCGTCACACATACCAGAGCCATGATGTCAGGAACCTTCTTAAACCTGGTGGCAATGTGATTGGGGTAGAAGTGGCTGAAGGATGGTATGCAGGCCGGCTAGGCTGGGCGCAGCAGCGACATATCTACGGAAACCAGCTTGGAGTATTCGCTCAACTCGATGTCATCACCACTGAGAGCAATGGCGCTGTCAAAATCATATCCGACGAGACTTGGAAGTATGGCTATGGCCCTCTTATCAGCAGTGAGCTATACGACGGTGAGCACTATGATCAAAGGGAAGACCAACACGGCTGGAATCAAGACTTTGAATCTGCCGAATCTTGCTGGAGTCCAACGACAATTCTGCCATTCACAAAAGCGGAGTTAGTTCCGTCTGAAGCTCCTCCCGTCAGAGTCGTCGAGCAGGTCAGACCTATAAAGCTACTCGTCAGTAAATCCGGCCAAACGATCATCGATTTCGGGCAGAACATGGTCGGCAAACTCTTTGTCAGGTGCCTGCAGAGACCCGCAGGCCACAAGATTGTCTTTCGACATGCCGAGGTTATGGAAGACGGCGAGCTCGGAGTGCGTCCTCTGCGAAGCGCTGCGGCTACGGATAGCATAATATTCAACGGGAATATGCTTAAGGACTGGTCGCCACGGCATACTTTCCACGGATTTCGTTATGTCGAAGTAAAGGGCTGGTCTCCCTCGGATGCCGAAGGTCCTTTGACTCTGGACAGCATTGAAGCGTGTGTCATGCACACGGACATGAAACGTACTGGATGGTTCTCTTGCTCAGACGAAATGATCAACAAGCTACACGAGAACACTGTGTGGAGTATGCGTGGAAATTTCTTGTCAATCCCAACAGATTGCCCACAGCGCGACGAACGTCTGGGATGGACTGGCGACATACAAGTTTTTGGCCCGTCAGCGAATTTCCTATACGATACTTGTGGTATGCTTAGCTCCTGGCTGCAAGACGCGGCCTCTGAGCAAGCAACACACGACGGTATACCGCCGTTCGTCGTGCCCAACATCCTTGCTTCAGATGAGGGAGATGGCTCATGGGGCAATTTCCCTCAAGCAGTCTGGGATGATGTGGTTGTCCTACTACCATGGTCTCTATATTGTGCATTTGGCGACGTGCAGATATTGAAGCGCCAGTACCCAAGTATGCAGATGTGGCTTGACAAAGGCATAAGACGAGGCGAGGATGGTCTCTGGGATCCTTCGTTCCATCAGCTCGGTGACTGGTTAGATCCGAGTGCGCCGCCTGACAGACCCGGGGAATCAAGAACTGATGGCACTTTCGTTGCGGATGCGTACCTCTTGCATGTCACTGATATCATGAGTCAGATCAGCAAAGTCCTCGGCAATATGGGCGAAGCTGCTAAATACGCGCTTGACTACAAGATTGCCAAGAAAGCTTTCAGTAGGAAGTACATCACCATCGATGGTCTCCTTGTCGCAGACACACAGACAGGATTGGCATTGGCGATCGTATTCAACCTCTTCAAGACCCCTGATCAAGCGAAGGTGGCAGCGGCTCGCTTAGAGAGAGCCGTGAAACTGGCAGACTTCAAAGTCGCGACTGGCTTTGCAGGAACACCGATTATTACACACGCATTGACCTCCGTCGGCCTGCAAAACCTGGCTTACCGCATGCTATTTGAGCAGGAGTGCCCCTCATGGCTATATCCTATCACACAAGGAGCCACTACTATATGGGAGCGCTGGAACAGTATGTTACCGGATGGAAGCATAAACCCAGGCGAGATGACCAGCTTCAATCACTACGCTCTCGGCTCAATCGTCAACTGGCTGCACGAGGTCGTTGGTGGTATTAGCCCACTAGAACCAGGCTGGAAGAAGTCGCTAATACGCCCTGTACCTGGTGGCTCACTTACTAGTGCGAAAGTTGAGCATGATACTCCTTATGGTACCCTAAGCTGCTCATGGTCTGTTGAAGCCGGCAAATTCAAATTGACCCTTACGATACCTCCAAATACTAGCGCAAGCGTAGTCATGCCTAACAAACAAGCCAGCAAGATCTTAGGGCACGCAGAAGAGGGTCTCGAGGTTGGGTCTGGTACGTACAGTTTCGAGTGCGATCATATACCCGAGAGGCTCAGGCCAAAGGCCATTCCTATCCCGTTCTATACAAAGATCAAGGAGGAGACTTGGTTTGACTAGAGCGAGGATGTCGAGCTCTCGGCAAACTTCCTATGGTTCTCAATTAGTTGTCGTCGACCTCGAACATCACATGCAAGTCTAAGACTCACCATCATATGCCAAGTTATATGATCTCGTATTGATTGTGACATAATCTTGGAGTTCATACTGTAGTTCGAGTCGTCAATCGCAGAATTTGAATATTCAACCCTCTAAATCAGTCCAGTTTTTGGCTCTTGACGGCCATGGTACCGGCAAGAAAAGCTGGGAAGATATGCTGTAAGACTGTTAGGGTTGTCTCGCAATCGCGCAAAGATCTATCACATAAAAGCGCTTGTCTATCCCGTCAAGAAGATGACCAGGCCCGTAAATCCCCGTGGGCCGTCTCTATCTTATCACACTGATCACTTCGATCCTGCAGTCATCGAACCTCGCGCAGTGAGAGACCGATGTTGAGGATGTATCACAGACCTGGTCGCATGTGTCCATAGCTCTCTCTTAACTCTATCTTAGTCCCTAGTGACAAGATCTAAGCGCGACATTTAAAGCTCCGACATCAAGAAGCTACAAGAACATATGGCAGCAGGTACGTTGGTGTGTTATGGAAAGGATGTCGGGCAGTTTTTCCTTGTATACAGTACTCGACTCTCACTTCATTTACCAGAAGATGTACATTGTCAATAATGCACGGTTGTCTATAGGTGAAATGGAGTAGAGTAGCGGTCAGATCGGACAGACTCCACTCCGCTCCACTCCATCCATAGATGGTTCTGCGACAGTGCAACAGAAGCAAGACTCGATACATATCTTGACATGTTATCCTAACCTTGCACCACTCTGTCAATATTAGTCTTCTCAAAGATCTCAACACATGCTGGCAGTATATCAACATCACCATTGCGTACAGCTCCAGAAGACAAATCTCATGAAGATCAACATGGTGCGTCCGGCCTCCGAGTCACTTATGCTTTCACTAAAAAGTGTTTGGCGTATCTCATGCGAACCTCGTAGATTCTTAGACTCGGTGTATCGCTTTTCCAAATTGCTCGTGAGAAGGAAACGGCGAGGATGTTTCATAGACCTGATGCCTTGCCATATTCCATCGTCCCAGAGCAAGCCATGAAGCCATGAGAAAAGCTCGATCCAGTTATGCGACGTTCCACTGTGAGACTTTGTGAGAGGATATCCGACTTGGAGTATCTAGAGGGGAAGGTCAGCTCCTGTATCCAAGGTTTCGCTGTCTATGTATCTCCAGTTCAAGCAGATTTGGTATCGCATACTTGTCTCGGCTGCAACCTGCAAACTTGTGTTCTTCGTACTTTCCATTCCACATTGTGCGCGTTATTTGCGTTGTTCGGGGTTTGTTGACTCGATAGCGATTAGCGAATTCAGGTCAACTTTCTTCAACTCTTGCTTACCCTAGCAACCAAAACTTGGTAGGGCCAAACCTTCATGAGTTATATATATCGCCTTCGAGTGACCAGATTTGTGAATCGGTCACATAATGGTTTATAAGCAAGTCTTCCGATCAACATTGGTTCTATGGTACACAAGCTGTTGCATCGCTAAAGTGGAGGATGAGATAATTATGTTGAAGATGGTTCACGAACCTGAGCATTTGATCTCCCTATCCTTTTCCCAACCCACCCAAGTCATCAATAAACAGATCCACGCGCAACACAATGAAGCGGCGGGGGGGTTCTTCAACCGTCTACGGCGGAAGGCAAGTAAGAACAAAAAAGAGAATCCATACGAAGAGTTGAGACCCGCCTTTTGTGCATACTCCCCTTGCCCTCCTCCATCTAAACTACAACCCCAAAGGATTTCCCCCATTCTGTTCCTTCCCGCCAAACTTCTCATAACCACCATCTCCCCTATTTTCCTTCCCTTCTTGATCCCGTGTCGTACACGCCGCCATCCCATTCCCGATTCCTCCTATCAGATTACCCAGTGGCGAGAGGACGTTCTGAAGGCCTTGGCCTATCGGGTCCAGTAGTGGAGAAAGCAATCCTATTTTATGAGGCGTCAGTAAAATAGAACCGGAAAAAGGGGTATATGTGTGAAGAAGGAGGACAAAACCTTTTTGATCTTCACTTCCCAATTCCACATTGTTGATTTTATCCGGCAAGGTGTCTGTTGGAGTTGTGTTGTTGGGGGCTTGATCGTGTTCTTCGTTGTCGTTGTGGGCTTTGATGTTTTCGGTCATGATTTGATGACAAAAAAAGCGTTTCTCGTAAAAATGTCTTTCTATACAAGTACTGTATGTTGGGCTTAAGATGCTTGTAGAGGAGGTTGTATAGTAATAAATAGTATGTATAAGGTGTTCAGATGTGTTTCAGGAGTAAATAGTCGGCAAAGACGAAGAAAAATACAGCCTCATATCTGCATGTTAGGAAGGGACTGACGAGAGAAACGTCATGCACGAGACCCCGCCCTCACCCCGTCACTGCCTCCACCTTTGATGTGATGATCACTTGGCTGCAGACTTGCATTGACTCGAGATACATACATATGCAGTATCGGAGTCAGAACCGCGCTGATGCACGTTATTCCCAGGACATGCGACGACGACGACGACGACGACGATGATGATGATGATGTGTTTGGCACTCAAGCCGGGACGCAGCAGTGACCGCGAGGAAGCTTTGCGGGACGATCGCTCCTGCCAAGTACGACTGCACTCACGCACTACTCGGTAATGAGCATACAAAGGGTGGACAATAGGATAGATAATACGCGCATTGGAAATGTAGCAGATGCTTTCCTACTGTTGTTTGGTCGCAAAAGTCTCGACTGGAGAAGCACACGGTTTGTACCGACAAGGATCGACAAACAACATAACATCTCTACTCGTACAATGTCTGTCATGCCAATATGGAACCTCAGAAAGAAAAGTAAACAGTGAGAAATTCCCAACATCATATTTCGCTTTGCCTATGCCATTCCAAACACCTTTTACCCCCCCGAAACTACAAACACTGTTTTACTGTCCAGGCTTTAATGCACCATTTTCCCTCGCGACCTCCACAATCATCGCCAGAACCTCCTTCTCTCCCTCCGTAAACTCAAACGCATGCGTACTTTTCAACACAGCCATATTATGACTTCCAATCTTCCACTCTGGCGCTTCGTTTGTCTCTTTGACTTCCGAGAGGAAGACATCCCACGTGGAGACGTTGACGTGTTTGGCTTCTTCGTACTTGTCGTCGAGGATCCAGCCGTTGAACCAGAGGGGTCGGTTGTTGAGGTCGAGATGAAGGAGTTGGGGGGAGGAGACTGTGTAGAGGGAGTGGACGTCTGAGGAAGAACGTTTTTCGTGGTCGTCTGCCATTTCTTGCTTGTGTTCTTTTTCTTGCTTGTGTTCTTCACTGTCCTCCTTTTTGCTTTCTTCTTTGTGCTCGGATTTGGGCTTGGTGTCGTGTTCGTGGGAAGATTGGGAGATCGGAGGGTGGTAATCAGGAAGGAATTCCGCATGACCCTCAATCAGTTTGTAGTATTGGTGCTCGGACACAACACCCATGTTGCCAACAGCGCCTTCGTTGAACCAGTAGTCGGTATCGCCAGCAAGCTCCCAACCAAGCCAGAAAGTCTCCTTGTCACCGTAGAAAAGAGAATAGACACCCTTGGCACCAGTCTTGGAGTTGTCATCACGATCGGGACCGTTCATGCGAGTAACAGTCAACATTGCGACAAAGTGACGCCACTTGTCGACAACAAGACAGCCAGACTCTTGCTGCTCACGAGACTCTCCAGTCCAGTAGCGAGATGTCTGTGCTTTCTTGGAAATGGGCTTGGGAAGCATATCCTTGAGCCACTGCTTGCGGGATGAAGGGGCATATACTCTGTCACGGAAAAAGAGAGCACCCGTCTCGACATAGCCAGGATCTTGGAAGAGATCCTCAGGGTTGACAAAGAACAAGGCATCGGCATCCAAGTAGATGACTTCGCGGAAACTGGACATGAGCAGAGCGAAAGCCTTAGAAGCCCAACCCTTGAGCTCCCAACCATCATCAGAGACCATCTGACTCAAGTCGCGAGTGACAACACCTGGAATAGACTCGAGCTTCATCCTCCAGTCATCATTGAGATCGTTCTCGCCAAGGTACATGATTTCGACGGGGAGGTTACATCCAAGCTTGCGGAAAGACATGATTGAGGTGAGGAAGAAGGGTGCCTGCTTGTCGTTGCCAGAAAGCACGATACCACGACCACCATTGCGGAAATGGGCGTGAAGAGTGAGATGGTCGGCAAAGTAAGGAGAAGTGTAGGGGAAGAGGATGTGCGACAGCTGAGCCAGGAAAGCTCTGTATCTCTCATAAGCTCTGACGATATCTCCACGCTCCAGGTTCGAAACTTCGGCGAGTTCCTTCTCAGGTGCATTCTCCAGGTAGTTGATGACATCGTCACGAACATAGGTGAGTTTTGCATCCGCCACGACGTGAAGAGCCTCCCAGACGGTGAAGAACTTGTGGAATGCTCTGACCCTGATACCCAGTTCTTTCAAACGGTCTTGACCACCTCCCTCAAGCGGGCGAAGCAAGTCGCGAGTGTAGATCTCATCAGGAATCATATGCAGAACATCTCTGAGAGCCTCGCGGAACGAGTACTTCTCACCACTGCCAATGTTGTGTGCAACAAAAGGAGTGGATTGGGTGTGGTGTGATGGCTCAACAGCAGACTCCTCATCGCTGCCGCCCTCGGGCACATAGTCAGCGCCTTCCTCCAAATGAGGCTCTTTGTTGTCTGTCTGCGAGTTCTTGACCTTCTCATACTCTGCCTCCTCGTCTCCTTCCAGACGGTCGACAGTGTGTTCCATCTCTTCATCCTTGTGCGTGTTATCGTCGTTGTGCTCTTCAACAGAGTCGGACCACCTGCCACTATCTGTGTCGCCGTATCCTCGTGGTGGTGCATTTTCACCAACATGAGTTGCTGCATGGTCTCCGAAATTGAGCTTGTCTTGAACTGTCGTCGGTACCCATGTTGATGTCTCGGGACCACGGGTAGCGACGATGTAGCATAGTACGACGGCGAGGGAGATGGAGAGTATGCGAATGACATGAATTCGTCGTCTCGGTTGGCTGAAGTAATCTGTGTATTTTGAAGGCGAGCCAGGTGTCGCTGGTGTCCGGTGGCCTTTTGTGGGTGTACCACTCCGTGAGGGTATGTTGATGTACATGGCGGAATTTGTGTGCACCAATCACTGGTGGCTATGTCGGTGAGAAAGAAGCGAGTGTGGTTAGATGGCTTCAGTCAAGCCTGGTCAAGCAAACATCCAAGAACTGGGGATACGAAAGAGGACGGACAGAGAGAGGCAAGGAATTGGATATGGAAAAAGATGCAGGAGAATGCTCCTTTTTCCAAAGGCACGCAGTTGATGCGGTAGCCACGGAACGTTTTACGACGCTGGAGCTAGAGCCCAGCTGGATGATACAGACATACTGACCGTTGTGATTGCAGAATTGGTCCAGACTTTACGGCAGAGAAGAGACTGAACCCCTGTACCAACGGTGATAGTGCAAGCACCCCGGATCATTCAATGGATCATGGCTGTCGGCTCAGCTCTGCCGTTATAGGGGAAGTATCATGGCGCATGTTGCTTGTAGAAACGAGGGGTCAGCGCCGGCCCACGTTGGACAAGCTCCTTATGAGGGCGATATTCGCAGTATCGTGAGCTCTCTATATAGTTGTCCGAGTCGAAGTACGGAATCCGTGTCTATCTTTTGAGACACGGCGGGTGAACACGAGTAAGGGAGAATACCAAAGAGGTGATGACCGTTTGGAAGTCGTCGGCGCTAGAAGCCGAGAAGAAAGCAAAAGGCTCAACCCCGCCAAGAAATCCACGACTTTTCTGGAAGACAATTCGAACACCTTGATTGCATTGGGACAAGCACAACAATTGACCAGACTTGTCAGTCGACCACATAAACAGGTCAAGCGATCTTCAGATACGAATGCACAAAGATACATGAATGCCAATACTACCAACGACCATCCCTCAGCTCGGCTTCTTTCTCCTTCAAACGACAACCTCAGCGTCCACCTGGAATGAGGAGATTATCATCTGGGCATAAATACATCCCCGGTACAGGTATTAGGATGTAAGGTTTGGATAGCAACGTTGGGTTCAGCCAGTCTTGCCATCAAAGTCTTGTGTTCAACGAGCACATGCGACGCCGTTGTGTAGATGAGATGTACCGTTGGCGATTTTGGGAAGCTGGGTGGTACAGCCGAACATGTCCTGTCCTGAGTGCCGCTGAGTCTCCAGAATAGATGTTCAGAACGAGTGATCTGCTCCAGGTGGTAGGGCGTTCATGTACTTGATTTGCTCAAACAGTCGTTCGGGGTAGTCGATGGCCTGTAAGGCTTTGGGCTGATTCTCTTGGGATCAAATTAGGTCGACAGGAAGTGTTGGGTGATATCGTTCACCACCCCCAGATGTATTCGTTCCCTTCCGCATCATATCCCAGGTTGTATTTCCGATAGGTCCCCTTCAAACTGATCTCTCCCTCAGGATTTCTCGCAGCAATATTGCCATAACTGTCCTCATAGTACCCTCTTACCCCGTAACTCAACCTCGGAAGCGTCCAGCACCGATCCTCCTAATAACGATACCCGGTCTCCTGCTGTGGCGGAGGCGGATAGTACACGCCCTGAGCAGCAGCCGGTTGTCCGTATCCTTGTTGCACAACCGGAGCACGACCTTGCCTTACTGCCTCTCTGCGCCGGGTGGCGTCTTTGCCATCAGGGAAGCGCAGAATGATGTACCAGGCATGTAAGATTCCAGGGATCCAGCCGCAGATTGTGAGAATGATGTTGATGATGAAGTGGTGGTCGCAGCCAGTTCTTACCGCGCAGGCGAGAGGTGGGAGAACGATTGCCAGAAGTCCGAGACAGAAGCCGCCCTGTAAAGAGTTAGTTCGCGGTAATGATGCTAGGTACAAACAATGCGACATACGACGAGACCCATATCGAGTGTTTGAGGGAGTGAAGCAAGTGATGGGATGTTGGGAATATAGTTTGGTGTGTGAACGCAATGCCACGATTTGATCAGAGAAAGGGAGACGAGTTTGAGATGTCGATGACCACAAAGTCGCAGGGTCTTGGGATATATTTATCAGTCAGGCGCATACAAAGTTTCAGCGTGCTTTCCCTGGTCATCCGGCATGGCATGCGAACATTCGCAAGCTTATGACGATGCCAAGCGATGGTTCCTCCCCTTCGCGCCGAAAATGGTGTGAAGGAAGGAGCATGTTCAGGCAAACCGTTCGGAAGGAAGGAAGGAAGAATCTGCATCTGCAAATACTAATATTGGATCAATACGTTAGCTATACGCTATGAATACGGGCGTATAGGTACTGAAGGAAAGAGCTCCGGAGGTGGGCTTCGTCAGCCTTGTGGAAGCGCCACGGCCGAGTGATGCAACTCTTGCCGAGCGACATCTCACATCTTCTGGTCTCGGAGGAACGTCAGGTCTTGTGCGACCATATCATCATTCCATAGACTGCACTCTGGAGCGGATGGTGTCGTCAGTAGAAACACCGTCTTCCGATTCTTCCATGATGTGATCGCCAGATGCCAGAGCCAACGACAATCCAGTCAAAGAAGTCGACAACGACTGCACGGCCTGACCCAAATGCACACCACCGTGAACCCGTCCCGAAAAGTTGAAGTTGGAGGTATTGCTCGTGTCTCTTCCATCCTGCAAGGTTTCACCAACAACATCATCCTGCTTCTCCCCTGCCTTCTCGCTCTTCTTAGCCTTGCTCCGCTTAGATGTAAAGAACCTCTCCACTTTTCTACCAGAGAGTTCGGCATCTCCCTCCCAGTTCTTGATGGTGACGAATTGTTCGCCCATGATCTCGAAGTGATGGACCTTCGCATCCTTGAGTTCGATGCAGGTGCCGTCCCTTCGTGTGAGAAAGACACATGCGATCAATTTGCCTTTTTTGATAGAGGAGGATGCATCGGCATCGGGGCGATGACGAGGGATCGAAAAGTGAGATTTGGGATTGAGGTTGTGATGACGGCGACGACAGGGCCTTTCGCCGTGGTAATTGTGGTTGGTTTGTTTGGTCATCGCTGCTGAAGGGGATGGAGTCGGAATGGATTTGTTGATGTGCTTATGAGCGAGATGTAGAGAGTGGATGCTCAGATGGATGGAAGGGTAGAGTACAAACAGCACCACTGTTGAAAGCATGAGTGTGAGAGTCCGTGTTGTTCGTGTCTTGCAACACTGACCAACCCCCAACCCAAGTGTCTGAGATGTCTGATCATGACGGGAGGCAGAGGAATATGACAATTCACCACGATCGAAATGAGAACAAGGAGCAAAGGTTTTGAAAGAGTGGTTGATGTGATTTAATGCTTGTATGGTAAGTTCTAGAATTACAGCAATGCGCGATGCTGATGTTACAAATGTTTGTGGGAGCGAACATTTAAAGCAGAGATTTCTAGACCAATAGAGCCTGTTTCTATTTGACACTCAGTCTTGCCATGGCCAGGATAAGACTGCTTACACCATCATCATCATCCACGTCCATCAGACGAAGTCTGACATTGGCCGAATTCTCCGTGGATGCAGCATTCTCCATGTAGAGCCGCTGGCCTTCACTGCCTTCAGCGAGGCGGTTCCAGCAGACATTGAGTCTATAGCCTCCATTGTAGTCGGAGAGTACTCCCTCCGCGCTGTTCAGGTATTTCTCAAAGTAAACAGCTTCCATTGCTCCGTTGATCAACCGGTGGCGCTTGTTCTTGGGTCCTGTAGGGATCTCCTTGGCTCTGTTGATCATCTCGATAATAAAATCGGCATGATACGCGCGATCGTTTTGACAACACTCTAGCTTTGCGAAGAAGATATGAAGGCGTATACGGTCTTCGAGAGGGCACCTCATGTTTGCCAACCGTGTGTGGTAGGCTTTGTACAGTGTCGTAGTGTCCGTTGGCAAACGCCAATCAGTGAGGATTTCACTGAGCGGTTTGGCACCAGCACAGTAAGAAGCGAGCGTGGCGGTATAATAATTTTCGGCCTGTACTTCCGAGACTTCTTCCTCGACTGACTGCGAGGCGAGTATGTCTTTGGAGCACTGCACATCCTGCACGATGATGTGATATAGCGCGGTGCGTCTCTTCATGTAGGTAGCATGTTCTCGATGGTCTTTCTGAAGCGGCGGCGTCGTCCGACACCCGATCCTTTCGATGATTCGGACTTGATCCTTGCCCCAGGTCACATTGCGATCATGGCCGGCGTGAGGAGGAAGTAATCCCAGGCCGACATTGCTGCTGCAAACTGGCTTCAGGATGCCACGGGAGGGACTTTCTTTCCGGCGCGGCGGTTGAAGGGATGGCGGACTCGCGAGTTGTAGTGCTTGCGCAACCCCACCTTTATCTAGTATGTCGGGACGTCGAGGCGGAGGCTTTACACTCAATAGCTTGTAGTGTTGTCTCGAGGGTTTTATGCCGGGATAGATTCTTGGGCGCGTAGCTGAAAGAGCGAACAGCCGACGGGCGGGGAGTTTGGTGATAATTGTGCGACCGGGTCCGTAGAGCATGATTGTCGAACGGGGATCCTGAGCAGATCGGCGCAGCGGCTGAGGGTCAGAGTCGCTGCTTCGGCGCCGGATTGCGCAGGGATGGATCCGAGGGATGTCGCGATGAAATGCCGAGCGTGGTGTTGGAAGAAAAGGTTTTGTAGTTGCGCCGGTAACATCATAAATCATTCCTGCAGTTATTTCGCAGCTAGGTGGAACAAAGCAGCGTGGTTCTGCGTTGATGAGTCGTAGGCGGCGGGATATCGGTATTTGAGTCCCTTTGAGGTCATAGCTGACCAGCAACCCAGACTTGCAACAAAGAGTTTGCTCCATGATCAAGGTTGTTGAGGCGTGCCGATTGTGTTTTGTGACTTTCTTGTGAGCAAGTGGTGTTAGTGCCTGAGATTGCCAAGTGAATAGCCATGCTAGACTTTGCTTCACAAATTGTCGCTCGTTATCACCCGTGATATAAAGATCATGTCTGTTCAGCCGCCGCATCACAATTCGAGGGCATCCAATCTCCAAATCTCGAATTTCTGAACATCTTCACGGGATGCCACAGTGACAACGTTGCGCCATTCATAGTTCCCCTCTTCATCCATCATTTGAACAGCCGGGTCAAGCTTGAGCACAACATCAGCTATTCCGCAGTACCTAACAGTGGCGTTTAGGCATTTCCAATACAAAGGTTCGGTCCTGGTTCCATCCAGCAGGCTGGCGAGGCCCGGTTCTTCGAGTATTGCAGCAGTGTTGTGATTCGCCAAGATTCTTACTGCTTTGAGGTTGGCGAAGAATGGGGCAAGCAAAGTCATGGCCCCTCCTGCGTCTCTGTCCAGTGCAAACCCGAGCTGTTCCAGCTTGGGACATTTGCTGACTAGTTCGCCGATTTGCGTTCCTGAAAGGGGCCATTGATCGCACAATAACAACTTCGTCAAAGTTTGTCCGTGGTTGATTGTCAAGGCGCGAAGGTACGCTTTGCAAGTATTGGCTGCTTCTTTCTCCTGGAAGCTACCAGGGGTGGAACAGGAAGTGGCAGGGGTAGCACAGGCCGGGGACTGCGTATCTCCGTTCGTATCACGGGTGTAGGTGGTTGTCGCATTGCCTCCAATCATGTACAGCTCTTCTAGACCGTCACATAGTGTGAGGATTTTCGCATGTTCGAGAGCCGGCTCGCTTATTCGATTCTTCTTGAAGTTCTTGAAGTATTTCGGACCAGGGATATGCTTCCATGTCTCGTCCACCCAGATGGTAGTAGGTCGGCTGTATGTCCCTCCAAAGGTATCGATAAAATCAGTACTTTGGGTGTAGTCGGAGTCGAATATCTCCTGCAGATCGCCTGTGTTCGGACCGTAGAAGTTTTGAAGGCCAACGTGTGTGACTCGAAGTCTGTATCCTGCTTCCAAGCACTTGCCGAAGATTGTTCTCAGGTTGATACTGGGTTCGGCCTCCTGCCTCATACGAGGACTCCAATGAATGCGCAAATCGTCCAACTTTTTGGCGTTCAGAATGAGTACTGATATGTCGTCCGGATAGCATAGGGGGTCGATGTCACTGACACGTAGACTGCGAAGATTCGGCATGGGCGGGACGAGTACGATAGGACGGGGTGATCGGGTTCGAGGAAAGCGTAGGCTCAGCGACGTCAGAGTTGGGCGAAGGGCCAAGCCCTGGTATATCGACTTGGTTGGCTTCGAGTCGAGATCCCAGGTGAGGGACTTGAGATGGGTCATTCTGTCCATTGCGGCGCGAAGAGCAATTCCAAGCATGATTGTGCTGTCCGGTATCTTGCCCCTGCTGTATTCATCGATGCCCGGCTCTGACCATGCTCCTGTCACCGTAAACTCTTTCACCAATGGCGCTGAATTGCCTGAAGCCAGACCACTGAGGCCCATGGCGAATGGACTGCCGCTTCCATATCCTTCTGGCCTTCCATCAACGTAGCGAGTTTCTGGATATGAGCGTAGCGTGACTCGTTCGTAGAGGACGGGGAGGGTCATGTAGTACATCAATCGACACGTTCGCGTCATGCGCGCTATGTCGCCTACATCTTCAACCTACCATCCAGAGTCAGTCCGGTTGGGAGGGTTCTTGTCGGGCGTACGGCTTACAAAGGATATAACATGAGCGATCAAGCTGAGTGGAAGTGTTTGCTCCTTCGGGCCGCCATTGGGCGCATTCAGTGGAACTGGAGAGGCGTAGAGCACATGAGGTGGGATCTCAGTGCTCATGTCAGGCCTCCTACCAGTTGCCCTCATCTCAGCGGTCAGCAGAGTATGCGCAGGGACTGTCATGACAGAGAGGAGGCAGCTCTCGGTTTTTAGATACAATCATAAACGCCGCCAAGCACGCATCATGTTCTGGCTAATTGAAGCTTAATGATAGGGCACGATTCAAACGTTCGATTCTTTTCTTTGCGGACGAACATCGTTCCGTCCATTTGGGATCTGCTTGCGAAATGCGCTGACGGTGACTCCTTTCGTGAGTGAGAAAGGCTGTCCGGGTCCTGTTTCTCCCGGCTGCAGGGCGCTCCGGTCATATTCATGACATATCTTCTAGCGCCTCGGTGATAGATTCAAGGGTCCTGGTCCGACCGACAGCGATGTTATGAATCGCGGCTGGAACAGACGCCGACACCGAGGGACCCGCGGACAGTACAATCAACGAAATAGAGGCCTATCCGCCATGTAAAGTAGAGACAAAGACGATCTGATCTCTTGGTTGGAGCTCATATTGATCTTCGCCCTCGAGCTCCCAATCTGCATCATTGATGAGGACGAGAATACCTGGGCGACTTGGCAGAGGTGTTAGTCAATCTGCGCTGCAAGGAAAAACATGATCAAGGAAGGTTGGACATACACAGATTCATCCAGGAGAAAAAGCTCTTTCTTTTGATCAGTCATGAGATGTTCGCACAAATGCTTGATCAAAAAGGCAATGTTGGCTGGTTTTCCATCTTGGTCTTGTGCTGGAAGCGAGACTTTGTGATTTCTTTGATTTGAAAAAAGCAGTTCTAAGCCGCCACTGCCATTGATTCAGTCTTCTGCTCGAAATGAATCGATGTAGATATATCGTACGTGAATTCAACATCGATTTTGATTGTATCTGCCATGTTGATTGTCTGGTTCGGGGAGGGTTGTGATGTCGAGATGCAGACAGGGTGCTGCGAGATCAAACTGGCAGTTGGGCTTCGAAGCAAGCGAAACTTTTTTGCGACTTCCGCTGGAACAAAAAATAATGATTGCAACCATCAACAACCTCACCCACGCGGTCTTTGTTTCTACAGATTGTCCACACTTAAATTTCAGATTCACATAGTCGCTATCGCAATAACAATTTCACTGGTAAGTCGCTCCTACACTCAAGTGACCGTGTGCCCGCCGCCAAAAGATTTTGCCAGAATTCCAGCTACTATGAAAAGTTGGACTTGTTCGAATCTATGAGCTTGAGGTATTCGAATATGCGCTTTCGATTTCATTGCGCTTCGAACATGCGCTATACACTTCATTCTGCTTTTTTGCGGCAAACGCGACGTGGTCCTAGAAAGATGGAAGCTAATCTGGATGCAGGTCGGTCTTAACACAGAATATTGTCAACATGGCTTCCGCCCATCTAGAATACATCGCTGCGGGAGGCAACAGACATCCATGTGCAGCAGATTGGAGCGAAGAGTTACTAGCATACGGAAGTGGTCACAATATCGCCATCTGGAGACCGGAGAATAACAATCACAAAGGCGTTGAAACACTGCTTGCAGGCCATACCGAGATTGTGAATGCAGTCAAGCTATTCAGAGATCCGACATCAAAGAAACGAGTCTTGATTAGTGGATCTGCTGACAAGACCGTCTGTGTGTGGATCGAGCAGAACAACGCCTCGTTCGAACTTGTAAAGCGTTTGACAGAGCATACTGCCTCTATCAACGTGATTGGTCTTCTCCCGGAAGCTGGAGTCTTTGCGACTGGCGCTGCCGACGCCACATTGAAAATCTGGAAATTGCGCGTGTCTGAGAATGCAGACGTTGAGGCGGATCTCATCCAAAACATAAACCTCACTCCCAGGTACTTCCCTCTGGCAATTGCACTAACAAAACTGCAAAGTGGTCAGCTCGTCATTGCTGTCGGCGGTACCACAGCAAATATTCAAATCTATCTCCAGGACAAGGACAAGGATACATCTTCCCTCGCAGCCAAGCTTACTGGCCATGAAGCCTGGGTGCGAGCATTGGACTTTACACGCGAGAGTTCGAAGCCTGATAGCGATTTCCTCCTAGCATCTGCAAGTCAAGACAAGTACATTCGTCTATGGCGCTTCCACGCAGGTACTGAACTTCCTGAAGTTGCAGCCGCAGCAAGCGACCCTGCAATGACTGTGTTTGGCCGCTCTTTGTCAAACAAAGCCCATTGGATTGGTGAAGGAGATTCGAAGCACTCGATTACCTTTGAGGCACTGTTGATAGGACATGAAGACTGGATCTACACAGCTCGTTGGTTCACAAAGAATGTCGAGGATGCCACTCCACAGCTCCTGTCGTCATCAGCAGACAATTCACTAGCAATGTGGGAGCGCGATGCTGATGGTTTCTGGACATGTGCCACAAGACTTGGTGAAATCAGCGCACAGAAAGGTTCGACTACAGCAACAGGAAGCACGGGTGGTTTCTGGATCGGCCTGTGGTCTCCCTCCGGCCAAACAGTCGTCAGTCTTGGCCGTACAGGAAGCTGGCGCATGTGGTCCTACGATAATAAGGAGGATCGCTGGCTACGCGAACTGGGCATCTCAGGACACGTCCGCTCAGTCAAGGACGTCGCATGGTCAAACGACGGTACCCAACTCATGTCCACCAGCTCCGACCAAACAACCCGCCTCTTCTCACAATGGAAGCAAGAAACCGCGCATACCTGGCACGAAATGGCACGCCCGCAAATTCACGGCTACGACCTGAACTGCCTCTCTGCGATTGGCACAACCCAGTTCATCTCTGGCGCGGATGAAAAACTCCTCCGTGTGTTCAACAAGCCCAAAGCCATAGCTCAACTTCTCGCCAAACTCGGTGACACAGCTGAAGATGCCGAAGACGCAGACTTGCCCGATGCCGCGAACATGCCTGTATTGGGGTTGAGCAACAAAGCCATCAACGCTTTGACTGCAGAAGAGGAAGCGGCCGCCGAACCATCAGAAGAAGTCACAATCACGAAATCAACCTTGGATCTCGCACACCCACCTTTCGAAGATCATCTCGCTCGCCACACGCTCTTCCCCGAACTTGAGAAACTGTACGGTCATGGTTATGAGATTAGCTGTGTAGCTGCCTCGCATGATGGAAGCTTGGTCGCTACGGCTTGTCGTGCTAGTTCGCTCGATCATGCCGTCATCCGTCTTTATGAGACGAAAGAGTGGAGAGAGATCAGACCTGCATTGACTGCTCATTCACTAACCGTCACTTGCCTGTCCTTCTCACCGGACGACAAGTATCTGCTCAGCGTGGGACGTGATCGTCAGTGGGCCTTGTTCGCTCGCACCGAGGGCACGAACTACGAACTCGCAGCATCTAATCCCAAGGGCCACAGCAGAATGATCCTCTCCTGCTCCTGGGCACCTTCCTCTTCCTCTCACATCTTCGCAACAGCTGGCAGAGACAAGAACGTCAAGATCTGGCAAGTCGCCTCCGGAGATGGCGTCAATGCTGAATGCAACCTCACCATCCCCACCACCGCTCCCGCAACCTCGGTAGCTTTCTACACTGGCTCTCTCGCCGCCTCCAACACAATCATCCTCGCCGCAGGCACAGAAGAAGGCAATATCGCCATCTCTGCCATCTCAACCGACGATTGGACGCTTAAAGAACAATACCAAATTACCAAGCAAATGCTGCCATCCTCCGCCATAAATGCATTGAGATGGAGACCCAGCGTCAACGAAGAGGAGGAAAAGCAAGCGCAATTGGCTGTCGCCAGTGAAGATCTATCTGTCCGCATTTTCGCTTTTGAGATCTTGCCCGGCGCCTAAAAAGGGGGAAAAAAGTGTCACTTAAAATCTTTTTCCAAAACTTTCGAGATGGTAGAAGCAACAAGAAAGATATGGATCGCGGTTTTCGACCCTAGATAAAATCATATTCATGTTTGGGATGGCTACATCTATATTGTAATGCCCGTGCTGAGTTGTAATATGCCGTGAACCATTAGACATGCAGCTATAAACACCCTTTTCTCATTACGAAAAAGGGCAAACATTTAAAAAGAAAAAAAGAAAAAAAGAAAAAAAAACGCCATCGCTAAATCCCAGACCCTGCCTTTCCATCCCAGAACCCCCATGCATCCCTCTTTCTAATCCATCAAAGCTTACTTCTCACACCCTCGAGTCTAAACCTAACATCCTTCAATACCTTACTGGTAGGCCTCCACTCTTCAAACGCACCAACCAACTCCTGTACCTCCCCACCCATATCCCTCCTGACAACCTCCTCCTCAAGAATTCCTCTCAGCGCCCAAGGCAAGAAATACGGATTCGCATTCGCCCCAGACGCCGGAATTTCAAACGGCGCAAAAACAGGAGGGATACCGGGAATCGCAGAAGCGGACACACTGCCCCTGCGCAACGAGTTCGCCGCAGAAACCGATTCGGGGGGTCCGCCGCGGGAAGAGCGGCGGGATGCGGCGTCAGAGGAAACGGAAGCGGGAGTGGCGAGATCGGTGGTTTCGAGACAGAAGCGGAGGGCGAGGGTGTAGACGGCGGGGTCGTCGTAGATGCGTGAGTGGCCTTCGCCGCCGTAGAGGGAGCCGGCGAGAGGGAGGGATAATTCGCGGATGAGGCCGTGGTCCGAGACGCCTAGATTGCGCAACTTCAAGGCGAAAGCGACGAGATGGGTTAGGAAACTTGGGGCGTGGAGGCGACCATCGACGAAGACGGCACGATAGACGTATGGGTGTGTGAGTGTTGTGAAGGTCGATGACTGTTTTATGATTAGCACTGGCATTTACTAACAGGTCGGGGGAAAGGGGAGCATACTTCAAGAGAAACGAGTTGATCGTCAATACTACCGCAATAGGTTATGCGTACGCCGTGACGAAGTACACCGTCAAGAGCGGCTTTATATTCCGTGCTGACACGGCTGTCTTGCCTGCTAAACTCGAACAGCTCGGCGGCGGCACCTGCTCCTAGCCATCTGCTTTTATAGTCTGCGAAAGGCCCTAGGTTGACACCTGCCATAGCACAAATACCGATCTTGGCATGTGGAGAGAGGCAGCCGAGTTGAAGGAGTTTGTGAACTAGCATAATAGCCACAGGCACACCCTGACTGTGACAGGCGACGAGAATGAGATCTGCTTGACGGAGGTGGGAGAGCCAATTGAGCATCAATTTCCAGAGAGTCGCTACGCGGTCGGCAATGAAGCCTTCACCTTCCAGAGCGACTGTCTCGATGTCGCAAGGGGTCTCGGGCTGGTTAGCCTCTACCCAATCGCGGATTGCAGTCGAAGCGTAGTTGGCGAAGCGAATCGAAGTTCCTGTGGGTTGACCGAGGACCTTCTGTATCAATGGAGCAGGAAAGTAACCATGTACACCGATAGCGATGGCATTCTTGATCTTGGGTGGGGTAGGAGTGATCGAGACATGCTTAGGGGCAGTCGGAGCATCAATCAGGCGAAGAGTAGAGGCGACATAGGTGGTGAGGCGCTCGCGGTAGGAAGGGACATATGCAGGAGAGTAGCTTTCACCAAAGCTGGGAATGACGAGATTGGGATGAGCTTGAGGTTTAGCAGCTTTGGCGTCGGCGATACTCTTAGTAGTGTCAGGGGCTTTGGCGGCATCTTTTAGAGCAAGCTGTGGCTGACTCGGCGATGACAAGGATGTGGTGCTATTGTTGTTTGCAGACAAGGCGAGCTTGGTCGACTTTGTCTTTTGCTGGCGCTGTTCATTGAATTGTGCAGCTTCAGGGTGTGACTGCGAGGGAGTGTCTGCCACTGCGAGCTCTCCAACCTGACGTTGTGTACCATTTGGAGTTCCGCTCTCATCTTTCCCTTGGGCGCGCGACCAGAAGGCCCATCCAGACGACTTGTTCTGTGGTGTTTCTTCCCCTTGTTTGATCTCTGGCGCTGCTGGCTCTTTTGTGGGTGTCTCGGTGACCTTTGCGGGCTCTTCGGTGGTGGATAGGCGGTCGGGTGACGCATCTTTCGAAGGTGTGGTTGGTGCCTGCTGTTCTTCCTGTTGCTGGTTCTGAGCATTACTCCACAGACCAAACCAACTGCGCGAGGATGCAGTAGTGCCCACACTACGGGCTGAGTGAATCGTGTCATTGATGTTGATTGGCTCGACAGTCAAATTCGGGCCTTGAGCTGGGGTCTGTTCTGGCGTCGACGGTAGTGGCGTACTCGAGGCTTCTTTGCGGTCGTCCTGTGCTTTCACCATCTTAGAGTGGTCTGTGTAACCATCTGGACGCGACCACCATCCCCACCAGCCTGAGTTGGCATCTTGTGTAGGCTCTGGTGGTAGTGGAGCCTCTGGCGCGGCTTGCTGTGGCTCTTGCTCCGTGGCGTCGGCTGGAAGAGGCTTCAGATCTGTCGATGTTGAGCTGGTCGCGACAGCCTTGACTTGGGCATCGTCCGTCTTGACGTCCACCTCTTTAACGCTCTCCGGCTTGACCTTCTTCTTGTCGTTGATTTCCTCCTCTCCTTCCTTGATAGGGGTTTTTTTAAAGTCGACGCTTGACTTCCTGATGTTATCGGAGAAGAAAGCTGGCTTGTCGGCTTTGGCATTGCTGCCTGTCGCATTGATTGATTCGGACGAGATGGTTGGGATTGATTTCGAGCTGCGCCGCAATGAAGGGTGCACATAGCGGCCTCCAGACTTTGGACTGTCGGCTAGAGACTCGTTGGTAGATCCTCCAGTGACTGAAATGCTTTCGTGCGTGGCTTGGGCGACAGGATTGGCTTTTGATCGCCATGATCCGCCCTTGTACCAGCTGCCTCGCTTGTCTGCCGTGGATGTTGGTGTTGACGGTGCATTTGACACGCTGCCTTGTGATTTTCCATCTGTCACTGTTCTGTCGTCCTCAGATTGTCGAGGTCCGTCCTGGGAAGTGGCTACAGGTGGTATCTTATGCGGCAGGGTGTTATCAGACTGGGTGCTCTCGGGGTCATCTTGAGGGGTTGATTGCTTTGTCTTTTTTCGCCGTGGACCCATGGCTATAGGTGTGTGAAGTGTGTCAAATACGCGTAGCTACGCAAGAGAAAGCTACAGGCGAGTTCTGTCGAGACACAGCGCGCCAACTTCGCAGCCATGTCAAATGACAATGCCAACCAAGCCAGCATCTGACGATCGTCATTGGCAGAATCTCTGAGTCGCGGAGCTGGAAGAAAGGCGGTGACTTGACTCGAGGGCTGTCGGCCGCCGGGGAAGAGACACTCGGCCTTGGCAGACTTCTCCGCGCGGCGAAAGATTCCAGCCGGCGTTTGAGACTTTTTCTTATCCTGTCACTGTCTTTTTTTGTATCGCGCCTTTTGCTGATCAAATCAAGCAGCAATGGCCATTGAGAAGAAGGTGTGCATTCTTGTTTCCTCCAGTGTCATGCTGTCAGCTAACTCATTCCACAGCACGGCAAAGGCCGTTTGGACAAGTACTACTACCTCGCCAAAGAGAAGGGTTACCGTTCGCGTGCCGCCTTCAAGCTCGTCCAACTCAACAAGAAGTACGGTTTTCTGCAAAAGTCAAGATGTTTGATCGATTTGTGTGCTGCTCCCGGTGGTTGGCTTCAAGTCGCCGCAGAGACTATGCCCATCAAGTCTCTGATTGTTGGTGTTGATTTGGCCCCCATCAAGCCTGTCCCGAAAACAATCACTTTCCAGGGCGATATCACCACCGACAAGACTCGCGCTATCATTCGTGGACATCTCAAGACTTGGAAGGCTGACACTGTCATTCACGATGGTGCGCCCAACGTTGGTACCGCCTGGGTCCAGGATGCTTTCAGTCAAAACGAGCTGGTTCTGCACTCTTTGCGCCTTGCTTGCGATTTCCTCGGTCCCGGTGGAAACTTCGTCACTAAGGTTTTCCGTTCCAAGGATAGCGCAAAGCTCGAGTGGACCTTCAAGCAACTCTTCGACAAGGTCGAGCAGACCAAGCCCCCATCATCGCGTAACGTCTCCGCCGAAACCTTCTACGTCTGCCGTGGTTACAAGGCCCCCAAGAATCTCGATCCTCGTTTCCTCGACCCCCAGTACGCTTTTGCCGAAGTCAAGGATGCTGTCCCCAACAACGAGGCCAAGGTCTTCAATCCTGAAGTCAAGAAGAGAAAGAGAGAAGGTTATGACGAGGGCGATTGGACTCAATACCACGAAGTACCCGTCAGCGAGTTCATCCAAACGACCGATCCTATCGCTATCCTCGGTGGTATGAACAAGCTCACTTTCAACCAAGCCGGAAATGGCGACATCGCTCTCGCAACCATCGACAAACTCCCCGAAACCACCGAAGAAGTCCGCATCTGCTGTAACGATCTGAAGGTCCTCGGAAAGAAGGAATTCAGACTCTTGCTCAAGTGGCGTCTTCAAGTCAGAGAGCGCTTCGGCTTCGCAACAAAGTCTACCGATCACAAGAAGGCCACCGAAGCCGAGAAGAAGGAGGCCGAAGAGAAGGATGACGAGGAAGCAGCCGAAGTCGAGAGCATGGACGAGGAAATGAAGCTACAGGAAGAGTTGCAAAAGATGAAGGACATGCAGAGCAAAGACAAGAGAAAGATTCGTCGCAAGGACAACGAGAAGAAGCAAAAGGAGATTGTCCGTCTGCAGATGAACATGACTACACCCATGGAAATCGGTATGGAGCAGGCTGGTCCCAACGGAGAAGATGCCATGTTCCAGCTCAAGGCTGTTGACAAGGCTGGTCTCACTGGCAAGCTTCAGAAGGGTAAGATGCAAGTCGTACCCGTCACCGAAAAGAAGGACGACGAATTCGACCTCGAATACACCGACGACGAACTCGGCGATGGTCTCGAAGGCGAGCTGGACATGATGTACAACCAATACACAGAGAAGCGCGAAGCAAGAGACGCCAAAATCCGCGCCAAGAAGGCTAGAAAGGAGCGCAACGAGGACGGCGAGTTCGAAGGCTTCTCAAACGACGAAGAGGCAGACAGTGATGACGATGCTCCTGCGGTTGAGTACGACAGCGACTCTGACGACGACGAAGAGCCTGGTCAACTCATCACCGACCTCGACAACGCCCCTGCTCCCGCAAACGGACTTACCAAGCGCGCGGCCAACTTCTTCGACCAAGATCTGTTCAAAGACATTGACGGACTAGACGGCATGGAGGACGAGATTGAAGCACCCAAGGACCTCGACAGCGGCATCGAAATGGATTCCAGCTCCGCCTCACCACCCCTCAAGGCCGAGAAGCCCACAAAGGTCAAGGAAACAGTCAAGATTGAAAAGCCCACCAAGGAGAAGAAGGAAAAGACCAAGAAGTCCAAGATGCCCACACCAGCCGAACTCGCCGCAGAAGAAGCAGCCTACGAAACCGACTCCAGCGACGGCGGCTTCGAAACAGTAAAAAACACCCAATCCCAATGGGACAAGGACGAAGACGCCATCCCCCTCAAAAACGGCCGCCCAAACATCGACATCATCACCGCCGAAGCAATGACCCTAGCCCACCAACTCGCCACGGGCCAAAAAACAAAACACGACCTCCTCGACGACAACTTCAACAAATACTCACTCCGCGACGTAGACGGCCTGCCCGAATGGTTCCTCGACGACGAAACCAAAAACTCCAAACCCCACCGTCCCATCACAAAAGAAGCGGCCAACGCCATCAAAGAAAAAATGCGCGCCTTCAACGCCCGCCCCATCAAAAAGGTCCGCGAAGCGAAAGCGAGAAAACAATTGCACGCCGCTCAGAAATTGGAAAAACTCAAGCGTAAAAGTGCACTGCTTGCCGAATCCGAAGATGTTTCGGAAAAGGACAAGGCGAATAATATTTCGAAGATTATGGCTAGAGCTGGGAAATCGAAGAAGAGGAAGCCGGTGCAGGTTATTGTTGCCGGTAAGGGTAAGCATAGAGGACAGGGTAGACCTGGTGGTGTCAAGGGTAAGTATAAGATGGTTGATGCTAGGTTGAAGAAGGATGTACGTGCCGAGAAGAGGTTGAAGAAGAAGATGGGCAAGAAGTAGAATACTTGTTTTCGAGAAGATGGAAGGATGAAGGAGGGAGGGTTTGAGGATAGGATCTCTTTTGCATACAGTACTGGTGTTGTTCTAAGAATGGGCAATCGGAGTTTTTTGTTTCCCGTGTGCCTTTTGTCTTTCCCCTTGTGTATCCTGTGACGTGTTCAAATGGTTGTGATGATTATCTTGCCTAGTACCCATCATACTTGCTCGTATGGAAGCTGGCCGCAGATATCGAGAGATGAGTGCCTGCTGTGAACACATGTGGGCAAGAGAAGGGACGGTAGACGTCGAGTTTGGAAAAGGGCAGTTCGATCATGTCTCCATTCCTCATCGATGCTATGCTTTTATTTTCCTTCGAGTAATGACTCGTGTCCCACCTCCAGATCTTGTCTCTCTCCTCTTAGTCATAGCCATTTTCACACCTCCCATCTTTCCATCTGAAGGTTCTTGATGAATGTAAATATCATCCGAAAGTTTAATCATGTGTCCGTCCATTCTTACGCTCCCTATAGACTTCAATCAAGCCTTTTCATTCGTGTCCTCTCTGCTGCCGATGTAGTGATGTCGTGTCATGTTGAATTAGGAGCATCACTCTTTTGTGTAGAAGATTTCGTTGTAGCGGTGTGTGGCGTCTACCACGGCGTCGGCGAGTGAGAAGTCTGTCATGATGTTTGGTCAGTGTTTATTTCTTTGAATTGTGACGCTGATGCTGTAAGGCAGAAAATATAGAATTGTGAAATTTGGAACAGAACATCTCGAGATCGCAGACAGTGGATTGTGTGTCAGAAAGTAAAGAGGGTATGGCAAGGTGTGGCATCTCTGGTGGCCGTGTTTGGAAGGAACCTGAAAACGGGAGTGTGTACATACCAATGTTGTCGCCAAAGTCTGTGCTGGTGAGAACGCGGACGCTCAAGTCTTGTTGCACTTTTCCGATGATCTCGACTGCGTGATTGACTGTAAGATGTGCCTCCTGAGATTATCATTAGCACTTGTATCACCCTGACTGCTCGCTATAGAAATCGAGAAGACGGTCGAGGGCATTTTCGATGGAACAAATGATGTGAGATGCTTCCGTTGGTGAACGCAGAGAAAGATGGTGATGATACTGCGAAACCCATCTGGGGTAGTATAACAGTTGAGTCTAGGGAACGCTCAGAACTTACTCTGTTCAGGTGTACATTGATTTGACCGCCGGCATCAATAGTGGCTTCCTCGCCTCTCAGCTGTGTGACCTTGCCCAAGATGCGGACTGTGCGGTGGGTGAATTGCTCAAGGATGGAAGCGTTGACGCGAGGAGTTTGTTCGGCCATTGTGTGTGATGTTGTGTGATTGGGAAAGTCTTGAGACTGTGATTGGAGTTCTAGATGTTGAAGAGTTCTGATCTGAAAAGCGGCGATCGATATGGTGAATGGAGTGGTATAGTCCTGCTGTGAAGTGCTCTGCGGCGAAAGTGTGGCGCGAGATTTGGCAGAAGACGCGTCGTTCAGGTTGACGCGTTGAGTGGTGAATATTCCAGTCTGGATGAACATTCCAGGACGACTCAGGATAGAACTCCGAAAGACTTCACGTCATGGGCACTCTCTTTCCTATCTTAGCAAGCTGTACTTTGTTCTCCTCCGTAATCGTGCATCATAATCGTCCTGCTCATCAACCCAAAGAAACGCTAACCCTTTCTTCGAGCGCTTTTTCTGCTCTCTTTTCCGAGGCTGTCAATTTCTGTCAGCAGATGTTTCGCTACTTCCGTTCTCGACTTGCCGTTGCCAAAACGTCCTCCAGGCTTGATGGATTTGGCTAGACGTTTAACAATCCTTCGCTTCAATGGTTTGGCCATCTTGTGCTCTTCGCGTGCGACATCCCCTATGTATCGATATCGGACCGTTGGTGAGGCTCTTCTTTGACAGCTGTCGATGATTTCCTACATCCGTCAATGTAAGACAGGTGCTACAAGGCAGCTGACTTGACAATAAGATGATTTGAGTTTGGGGGTCTGGAAAGCCAATTGGTTATAGCTGATATATGACCAGCTCTTTTACATTGTTCTTTCGTCTATTTCACTTTATTGTGCACCTCATTCTTGACTTCACACGACACCAAGCATGAACAACTCACCTCTGCTCTGTCTCCCCAGGGAGATACGAGATCAAATCTATCGCCATGTCATGCTCGGCATTGGTCCAACATGTCACAAAAGCAGCAGCTGTAATCCATCTATCTACATTCGAGATTTTCGCATGAACCCCTCATCAGCGAGTCCGAAGACGAACACACCAGATGTTTGGGCTGTGACAGCCCGCGACCACCCGATACTATACACATGTCGCCAATTATGTGACGAAGCCTTTGAGAGTTTCCTGTTCACCAACGAATTTGTGCAAAACATCAGCGCACCTCCTCTCACCACCTCGGCCTGCAAATTCGTGGCGCTGTTCGTTAGAAGCCTGGGAGACAAATCACATCTAGTCAGAAAACTAGGCCTTGGCATTGAAGACCCGACCGAAGACGTACTGGAAAAGCTTCTGGATTGGATGATAATGTTCAAAAACTGCCAGAAACGCTTGAGACCCGGCGCTCTCGTCCTTCGTGTGAAGTTTACAAGGCCGACCACAACACCACCTCTCTTCTCACCTGTCGGACAAACCTGGACTATTGCTCCCAAGGACGAGAATGTTATGGCTTTGGAAATTCACCTGTGTGACGAAGGAAAGTCGTGGAGTATATTCGATCAGGCCAAAGAACTTGACCGAAAAGCTCGCCAGCGCGGCACAGAAAGAGTGCTCAAGTCGTGTCGAGACTCGGGTATGAAGGGTATAGAAGAGAGAGAGAAGGCATGGCGGGAAGAAAGAAGACTCTGGCACGAAGAGACCTGGACCGCACTGCATTACAAGTTCGAATGCTGGATGAAGATCATGGACGGTTTGCAGCCGAGGAAAAGACTCACTGAGGAAGGCTGAGAGCCAAATCGATTCCACCTGAACTCAGGTGCGAATGTACTATCCTCTGAAAGGCAACATTTTTTCCAGAACGCATCACTTGTCCTGGGGAAAGTGGCAGTTTTGAATGAGTCAGCTGTCTGAGTTAATTTGAGTTTGGGACAAATTGAGCCTTTGTTGACGACTCATTCATTGCCTCTAGACCTTTCTCTTCATTACCCATCGCAAGATACTTTTGTCTACCCATGCTTCAACAGCCATATGCAAAGTCCACCATGACCAGCATCAAGAAGAACACCAAGTCCTTACCGGCGCTCTCGAGAGCTTCTCTGGCTCTCTCAAAAGGGGTATCCTCCTTACCTCCAGAATTACGACTTATCATCTGGACCGATCTTGCCTTGCAGATGACATCCGAAGAAGCAGACGCCTTGAGGGGTCATATCACATTCTCTTATGTCACAGACATCCACAAATTCCTTGCTGAAGCCCACCCTATACTCACGACAAGGTATCGCGACGAGTACCTAGAAAACCTTTTCAGAGTCACGAGGTTCACCCCAGAGCTCTCGGAATGGTGCCTCTCCTTGAGGGAGGTACTCATGCGTGCGAACCGCCACGCAAGCCCCAGATCAAAAGAGGAAGCTCGGTGTATGGTAGCGGAGAAATGCATGATTTACAACGAAGGCCTGACAAGATGGATTAATCTCGCAAGTGTCCATAGCGTCACAAGTGCTATCGCACCCATCAGTATCAGACTGTGCATGCCCTCAGGGACAGGGACTGCTCCATGGATGGCGTCACCGAGGGATTACAAGCTTCTCATCGAAGGTTGTCTCCGCACGCTCTTCAGATTGGCCAAATATCTACCAGAAGGCAAGGTCTCTTTAGAGCTGGTCTTCAACGATTACGAGATGCGGTGGCGCACGGAGCACCATATAATCGAACTGCCTATTACGATTGGAAGACATCGCAGAAATCGCGAGACCAGCTCGGCTTCGTTGAAAGAACACCTCGAAATCTTCAACAAAGAACACCACTCCGTGAAGATAAATGTCACACAGTGGCTCAGCTGGCATGCGGCCGTCGTCCTCTTTGTCGAAGAGATCTTGGAGTACTCTGAGAGCCTATCCAGTCCTCCTCTGACCAATGCCAGTACATCCGACATCTCTGCTCTGTTTTCAGTATCAGGCTCAGCGACTGTTCCCATACCGATGATCTCCATGTCAGCAAATTGGGCTTTCCTCGAAATGACACATCGATGCTTGACCGGCTTTGTCGCCATCGCCTGTTGCTTATTGTTCTTTTTCGGCGACAGGTTTTCAATATGACGGAATTGCTGCCTTGCTTGATGCTACACGTATAATCCCATAGCCATAATATATATCACGTTGTGAATCTTGGATGATGCGAATGTTGCTCGGGGCTGTCGAAGATGGTCTCGACTTTCGCACGGTCCTGCTGTCTTGTGACGCGTCTTCTCCCCAACCACGATCTAGAGCAACCTTTGATTCTTACAAAATCAAGACATCTTTCATACAAGCTCCCTAGTTGCCGCCATGTATGTTCAATCAGACTCTGCATCTCTTCATGATAGGTTCTGACCTCCACAAAGGCGGTTGAGATCGAGGGAGATATCTGACGCGCCCGCAGAAGCCAAAAGACCGACTCCATTCAGATTTCTCGAGCTACCATTGGAAATACGTGACAGCATTTATACCTACTATTGCGCAACAACCAGAAAGCGCTCCGGTCGTGATCGATTATACAATAACACGCATCATACCGACTTATTGCGAGCCAACCGCCAGATCTATAGCGAGGCCGTGAACTACCTTTACGACCGAACATTCAGCATCTACATAGTATGCGAAAAGGGGAATGCCAGAGGCAAGCGCTCAAGTTCTCGCAATCTTTGATCGCGCTGCTCTAAGGCGTGTTAAGTCTACTACGACTCGAAAACCGGGAGGTGAAGATCGCAGCACACGCTGCCGCTGCATATCTGGCGTCTCAGCGGTTGCAATTGACTCATTCACACTCCCGAATTACGATTTGCCTCGCTGCTGCCTACAAAGCCAAAGGATTTAAACCCCAGATCTTCCACTGATACTTCAGCAATATCACTCTTCTTTCCATCTGCATATCAACAATAATTTCAGCATGGACACCCCAATCAAGACTCGCTTTTTTATCATATCGGATACCCACGGCGAGGATCTGGCAAGTCGTCTTACCGAACCAGTCGACGTCGTAATTCACTGTGGCGACCTCACGGAACACTCCAAGCTTGATGAGTTCGGACAAGCTATACGGCTACTGAAATCTATAGATGCGCCACTGAAGCTCGTTATCGCCGGCAATCACGACTGGACTCTTGACGATACATTGTATGAAGAAAAGCTGGTCGAGTCAAAATTCAAGCCACCAAAGGAGGACGACGCTGTTCGAAAAGCCTTCGGCGACTTTGGAGAGGCAAGAGCACTCTTCGAAGCCGAGAGATCTGCAGGAATTTTGTTTCTTGACGAGGGCACTCATGATTTCCAGCTTGCAAATGGCTCTTCTCTAAGAGTCTACGCGAGTGCCTTCACACCTTCAAATGAGAACCACGGGGGCTATCCATACGATCCTCTTCCAGGCCATGATTGGAATATCGGAGATGATGTCGACATTGCGATTACCCACAGTCCTCTCAAAGGAGTGCTGGATAATAGAGCTGGATGCAGGATGCTGTTCACTGCCATTGCAAGAGCACGGCCATTGATGCATTGTTTTGGCCACATCCACGAGGCTTGGGGAGCGAAGAAGGTCACCTGGCGCGGCAATGAGGCAAGCAAATACCCCGACCCTCTTACCGAGATGGATGGTCTGGCATCAGAGGTCATTCAAAGTCTTGCGAAACTACGAGGCGCAAGGGAGGATGCAAAACAAGATGGGCAGCTCAAAGCTGAGCTGAGTGACATGGATGGTAGAGGCTATTGTCAAGCGGCCCCGAAACTGCAACGAGGGAAGCAAACATTGTTTGTTAATGCTGCTATTCAAGATGCATTGAAAGAAAAACAGCAGATGCCATGGTTGGTAGAGCTTGAGCTTCCGAGAAGCAACAAGCAGTGAGTAGAGGAAGTCTCGAGTATGAGAAGACACGAAGAAGTATTGCATTCCGTACAACAAGCTTCACCTCGGTAACGTGCTACCTGATGTATTTCCATGTCTTGAACGCAACGTGCATCTTGAGAGCGATTGCGACTGCTTTAGAGATAATGATTGGACCCCGTCAGAGAAGCAGCAGCCTGGTCGCGAGTTCCATAGATCTTTCGCTTCCATCAAATGTCACCTCTGACTCGCTCGGCGATGACTCAATCGCCTCTCCTTCAACCTTCGCACCCTCTGCGTCTTCGGCTTTCTCTTTCCATCCGACCTCATCACCTTGAACTCTCATCATCATGCCGATGTTCTCCCCTTTACTCGACTTAGGCGCTTCGATCCCGATGCCTTCTGCCCCGCTACCATCACCCAAGCCATCAAACCTACACACCATGCCTTCGTCGCCTTCGACTGAGCTGGCTGCTAATGCCAACAATCCTGCTGCCATCGACTCACCCTCATCCACTTCTCCACACTCCTTGACGGTTGACCAACTCGCCCAGACTGTGAGCATCACCGGCCTTCGTTTGTCTAGTCCTGTCACTGACAAGACTTCCCAGATACCCACCACCATGGCTCCGAACAATCCTCTAGGCCTTCTCGGCAAACTACCTCGCGAACTTCGCGACATGATCTACGCTTATGCTGTCGACCCACCAACTAAGGATGACTTTGCTGGAGAAGCGGATGACTACTACCGGGATATTACACGCAGACGGCCGATCATGCAAACATGCAAGCAAGTTCGACTTGAATGTATGGAGTCATATCTGTCAGAAAACGAGATAGAATGTGACATCGGGCCGCCGTGTTGGTACGGATTCGTCACATCTCTCTCGAACATACTTGCTCGCCCTTACTTCCGGGCTCAGGGATACTCCATGTACGTCGAGTGCTTTCGTCAGGGTCCCTTCGATATGGAAATTACGCAACAACGTTGCCAGACCATGCAGACGTACTTGCGCCTTTACCGGAGCATACCTCAGATCGGTTTCTCAATCCCAACCAAGAATCTCTTCCTTCAGTTGGATTACAATCTGCCATCCTATGTATTTGATGACGTGTCCGCTCAATGGCGTGTCATCAGCCCGGATAGCAATAAGATCTCGATCAAACTCTGGGTGAATGACCGGCGAAAGTCGGTGGCTGAAATCGGGAAGGTGTGTTCTCGATTGAAAGACACAGTTCTTCGTCATTGTCAACAAAATACTTGCGGAGATCCATCTGCCGCCTCTACCTCAGAATCTGGCTCGTAGACTCATACTCGGGTTTCATCTTGGGAAGGAGAGTTACGAGAGTATGTGTTGCGCATCTCTGACATTCTTGCCTTGATCACGGGACTGGAGAAGTACAACGTGGCGGTGGTCGAAACAATGATGCATTGGTGGCAAGATGAAGACGCGAAGGACAAAAAGGCGAAGCAAGAGTTGGAGATTGAACAGAAAAAGAGGAAACAGGAGCTTGAGGACGTGATGCAGGATATCCGAACTGAGTTCAGTAAGTTAGTCGAGGCGATTAAGTCGACACCCAAAAGAAACATACAAGAGACTGAGGGCATGGATGAAACGCAAGAGCGGTCTCCAAAGAGAAGAAATTTTGATTGAGGGGGATATCAAGCTTGATTCTCGCGGCGTACCTCTATTCGTAGCGCGGCTAAGAAGGCCACTAGCTAAGAGTTGCTGCAAGACCTGTGAAAAGTCAACATAGCTCTAGGTATACTGATGCAACAAACCATAACACGAATTAATTTGCAGAAAACCTTCAAAGATGTGCACATGTGGGGATATTGTAATACTGGCTAAAGCTTCGGGCAAATTTGCTCTCGTCTTATCTTCTCCAAGGCAATAGATCAAGCCTCAAGGTCTCATCTCAATTCTTCTCCCCAAGCGCAACCTTAGCACCAGCACTCTGCGCTCTCTTCAACTGTTCTTTCACCTCCTTCCCCTCTTTCACCTCCCCTTCCCCACTCCCCAAGACCTCCTGTCCAACCTCTTTTCCCTCCTCCTCCCCTAACGTCCTATTCGCCCTCGAACTCCCCTCAAGCCCATCCAACAAAGCCTTATTCGTCCCCGGAATCCTCATCTCAAAAGTATCCTTGATGACAGCGTAATCATAATATCCCAATCTTGCTATCGGCTGGGTTTTTGAAATATCGATTTTTCCATCAGTGATGACGTTGTCGGAAATATGAATTGCCAGGACGCGTGCGATGATGATATCGACGGTACCCATGGGCGGATTTCCAGGTAATTCGATCAATTGGTGGAAAGCACATTCAAATCTCACGGGAGAATCAGCTACCAAAGAGCAAGGGATCAATCTCGCATCTTCTTTTTGGAGGTCTGCGGTGAGGAATTCATCTTGGCCGTAATCCAATTGTTGGGCTGTGATGTTTACTTTTTCGCGAAGAGGGTATGTTGCCAGATTCCAGGCGAAAACACCTATTTTTGCGCATATTAACATAAAATCAGCATTTCTTTGTGTCTTGTCTCTACTCATCTTCTTCTTCTTCTTCTTCTTCTTCTTCTTCTTCTTCTTCTTCTTCTTCTTCTTCTTCTTCTTCTTCTTCTTCTTCTTCTTCTTCTTCTTTTGTCGATATGGTATCATTACTTACCGGTACTTTCGGCATTGATGACGGTGTCTTTGCGTTTCCCTTCTGGTGTTCTGTTGCTTGAGAACATGACGTAGGGGGGGTCGAAGGTTAGGTTGTTGAATTGTGAGTAGGGGGCTAGATTATCTTTTCCTTGGGGTGAGCGGGTGGAGATCCAGCCGATTGGGCGAGGGACTACGCAGGCCTTTTTGTGTTTTTCCTTAGTATGAAGGGCTTTGTGAGATCAAAGTGGGGAGTAGGTGGCAGAGGGAGGATTCCAGGTGAGATGGGTCAGAGTTTGATAGGGAGGGCAGGTGGGGGGTGTCTTTTTTTATGCTGGTGGAAATCGTACCTTGAATGGATCATAAGGTAAACCATGATCTTTCCCCGTTTCGTAAAACATGATTGATAATTTCCGACCTCTAGGCTTCTTGAATGTGAAAGAAAAAGTATCTGCTATCTGTTCGTTTTGGGTGTTTGTGGTAGTTGTTGATTTGAATAGTTATATACACGCATCCACAAAAGTGGAGGAGCACATCAGCCGAGTTGCCGAAGCATATACCGAACGATACCGGAGTACCACAATTCATCTTGATCACCGAAATATCAGGGCAAAAAGACAACCGAAAACACCGACATTACGATCTCCGAAGACACCGAATCTGCTACATTCTCTACTCTTTTGAGCGATTTGTTCATGATACCTTGATGTTGTTCAGAGAAGGTTGATTTTGACATTGACAGTTGCGGAGAAGAAAGGGTCCACCGGAGTCGGACTCCGATGCTCCACCAGCCCTCTGATATTCATACACGTCAAAAATGCAGATTGCTTTTGAGCAATTCGAGCGAACTGCGGTTGTCTAGTGAGTGTAATAAGTATATTCCATCTCCTGGAGAAAGAACTTGGTTGTGAAAACACATCTTGCATTTCGACCGCCTACTTCATAAAAGGTGACGCATTCTCGAAATTGTATGCAGAGGTGTATGTATTACAGCATTCGTACCAGGTTCTTCTGCAATTTGCTTTGGAAGTGACTTGCCTCTTCAGAGCACACCGGAGATGAATGTCATCGACATGCACGATATTTTCAAACTCGGACAAGGTTGTCTAATAAGAGGGCTTTTAGGAAGTGTTCTTAATGGACATATCGGTGACTGTGATTACATTGTACATTTTCTATGGACTTTATGAGGAAAACAAGTGCTTGGGATAACAAGCACGGTGTGTGCAATAAGGTGGTAAGGCTACTTAAAACATCAATATACGTCTTGCTCTTTTACTCACGCGTTGCTAATGCACGGAACAGTAGACATGCGTAGAGATATTGGGATAGAGAATAGTAGTAGGAAGGGGGCGCGTGAGCAATGTGCTTAGTTCGATGCGTTGGTTTATGATTCGTTGTTGATGATTCGTGGTCGTCTATATACCCAGAGCAATCTTATGCTCATGCACTGCTAATGCTGGAGCTTGGTATAGCAGCCATGTCACCTTAGTGGCCTTGTTCTTGTTGTTGTTGTTATTGTTGTTGTCGGTCTTGTCAGATGTCCATCGCACCCGTTAGCTATACAATCAACAAGCTAGATATCAACATTCTTACGCTCTTGTGTAGCAGACACCGCAATCCACCAGCCATTTGTTGACTACCTAGGACAGATATTCGGCGTGCTAATCCCCGTCAAAGGATGACTTTATAGGCTTTCCACATATTCCAAGATCTCGTCCACGAACACAGACAAGACGGCATGCCAGGAAAGCCACATTCTCGAATCGGCACTTTTGCAAGGGTCTGCGATGAACCGCTGACGTGCCCGATGTAGGATATGCAAACAATTTGTGCGGTTTTGATCGTGACAGCCGAAGACAAGAGGTATCCTGATCCAATCTTTCATACCCTCCTTCAGCATACTAAGTCCAAAGTCCAGCTCGAGTGTAACTCTACCTCGTGGTAGATGTCGAGACAGCTCGGTCATGGAATATAGTCTCATCTGGAGAGGTATAAATCTCCGCTTAAGTAGAGTTGGGCCCCTCTTGTCCGATCGTACGCACAGCTCGATGCGGATAGGCGCAATGGCATCCTTGACACCACAACGACTGGCAAGACCGATCCAACTCTGGAGTGATTTCTCCACAGCCAAAGCTATGTCTTGCATAGGGTCCCATGCACCTTCATGGGCGATTAGGCCAGATGTCCTGAAAAGTGCTGCTCCGAAGACGATGTGTTCCAAACCATTAAATCTGGTAAGCTCAAGCACGAAAGGAACGACCCTGAAGAAGTTCTCGAGATATTCGTCGCAGAATTTGGTCGCGAGCATGGGATGGCCGAGATGGAGCCTCTTACAGGCGTCAATAGTCGTGACATTGGACAATAGCTGTGTCAAGTCAACGACTTGGCTAGAAGTCATTGCCAAAGCGAGATGGGTCCATACCATCAGTCGCAGTTCTGGAGGCAGGGCCAAGACGCCTCTCGAAAGTGCCTGTGTAGTAGAAGTGTGTTTGTTCATGTTGGGCGGCTATTGGCGTCCAGGCTCGGTTTTCGATGCAGATAGATAGAGGAATTTTGGGATGGAACTGGAGAAGCATAGTCAGAAAGGTGCGACTGTGGGAGACCGGCCTTAAGACTACAGACGAAAACTGACTCAACTTGCTGACGCATTCAGATTGATCAGATTTCGAAGAAGTCCATGAATCAGCGCTGAGTCACAGCATGAGCTTTTGATTGCGCCGGATTATCCAAGGCATTTCCGATCAATCTAAATTCTACCGCTTACTTCGGCGCAGAGTGAGGAGAAAACATGACAAGAGGAGCATGAGCAATATGAAGTCATTGTGGAAAGATCGGTTTATTCTTTCTTGGAAAAGTAAGGGAGACAAGGAGATTGCACGATACATGTAGCTCATGACGAGCCCCTGCTCTGCAATTCTTACGCAGTTCGACGGCTCGTAGATCGGTTGGATGATCTGGCAGCTGACAGCAGGTCTGTGGACTGAGCTTCCCATGCGATTTGCGCGTCTCGCGTCAGGCCATTCAATGAGGCTGTGAGGCTTATGATTGGGAGATATGCTGCGCCTGAGTGTCATCGCTCCGCTGCTCGAGGCGGTCTCCTGTGCTTTGGATTGAACTCGAGATAAGGACGGGGGCAGACAGAGTGGGTCTACATCATTTTGTCGCGACGGATGTCCAGGATCGCCCTCGGTTGTCGCTCAATGGATCGCAGCTCTTTCTTCATCTCATGACGGTTCAAACAGGCTTAGCAACCTTTCTCAACTCAGTCTTTCCACCGTGCACCTCCCTCATCTCCCTCCAAGAGACCGGCACCATCTGCTCGCCTCCCTCAGAAACGGCCAAGACAACACCAAACTCATTCTTGGCCGTGCTGGCGAAATAACTTCTCTCGTCTCCCAGCGAGATCACAACTCCCCTCACAATATCGCCGACCCTGAAACTCTCATTGACCTTTACTTTGTCAATCTCGGTGGCGCGAATGTCTTGTTGGCGGATGATTGCAGAAAAGGGTTCGCGGAGGACAAGTGTGCCGGTGGGACCCAAAGCGAGAATGTCCAAGGTGGCTTGGCGAGGGTTTGTGCGTGTGATGCGGCCGAGGATTATGTCGCCTACCGAAGGCAGGGCGGCTGTATATGAAGTTGATGTGCTGGAGGAAGATGCGACGCTAATGGCGGGTGTGGCCTTCTTTGAGGGTGCGGAGGAAGTGACTGGGCCTGCGAGACTGGCGTGGATGGTAGAGGCGAAGACGTGAGAGCCGGTGCTTGGTGTGTGTGTTGATGTTTGTGCGAGCGAGTCGCCAGGGAGTGCGAATTTGGGAACTGACATTGTGGTTGATGCGAAGATGTGATGTTGTCGTGAGAAAATGCTTGTGATTGAATGCGAGGGCTTTGGACAATTCTCAGAAAGATGCGCCGGCCTTTGTTCGGATGAGGTCATGATTGTCGAGAGACAGGGTGATGCCTTGAGCATTTCCGAAAGTTTTATTTTTGTCCTCCTACAGATCCGGCGAGACTACTCATTTATTCGGTATGCTTAATGGGACGTATAGTAGTATTTACGACTTGTTTGAGGATACTTGAAGACCACAGAGCCTCGGGTGGTTGTGATCTGCTGCATGACTGCTCGACATGTATTTATTCACCTTGAACTCAATAGAGCCAATGGCTCAAGCCCACATCTCGACATTGTTGTTACGGCATCCATTGGGGGTTGAACGTGTGTCAGGTCTCCATTTCTAGACAGTCACCCATGCTACATGATTGGTCAGCTGAACATTAGACTTACCATCTCACTACTGCTTGATCACTCTCAAAGATCAGGAGAAGTCCTGAGATGCTATTTTTGATGATTCATTGATTCCAATACCAAAAAGGAGACTACGCTATTCATTACTAGAGCTATGTGAAGAAGAAAACATGAAAAAGGAGAACCCATCCGAATGCAGTGCTCCAGGATATCATACTTTGCCGATTCCCGGCGGCGCGCGAGTGCGAGTTGGTATATCAAAAATGGACAAGGAAAGAGAATAGAAAGAGAAATCGATAGCCAATGCATCCACACGCAGAGGCTGTAATGCTGTCGTCTCGAGCGTCTGATGAATCATCTTCTGCGCTCGTTCATCGTGTCAATCAACCTTCGGACAAGGCCTTCTTGTTGCCTTCTCCGCTCGAGATTTCGAGACAGCGGCGAGCGAGACCGACAACTTCAGCTTCACCATCCTCGCTGCCGTCCTCATTGTCGCTCTCGACTTGTCTCTCGGAGATCTCTTGGACCATTTGCATGACATCCTCGGCCGAGTTAATAGTACTAACAAGACGGGTGTCGTTGCTCTCGAGCAATTGCAGCAGAGTCCAGATGGCGATGTGTTGGAAGGTTGCATCGCCTGATGCGAGGAAGCGAGACAGGTAGCCGTGAATACCACCAGAGGGAGATTGCCAGTTGGTCATGAAGATCGAGTAGTCACCCACTGAGTAACCGTCAGCAGGTGATTGAGGAGCCGAAGTTTCGGATGTCTTACCTTTGCTTGACAAGTTACCCAGAGCAGCAGCACTGTTTCCTTGCACCTCAATACTCTCACTTTCGGTCAGAGGGATCAAAACATCAAAGACACCAAGACTCAGGAGATGAGGCTTCAGCTCGTCACTCAAAGCAAGAACAGCAATAGCAGCAGTCATCTCGCTCTGGACGTTAACCGGGACTTCCAAGACAAGCTCCTTACACTTCTGTACAGCACCAGCTTCCAGGACGAGTTGCTTGTTGCGGTCTGATGAAGCAGCAAGGTTGCGAAGGGTAGAAATGGCGTGGCATTGGATTTCCTCGTTATCGGTGCTTCCAAGGAGATGGACCAGAGGCTTGAGGAAACCTGCATCGATGATGGGAGATTCGTTCATGGGGTGAATAGAGATGTTGCGGATACAGGCGACGGCGGAGAGGATAAGAGGGAGGAAGGCGGATTGGAGGAGGCGAAGAAGGGGACCGAGGCCACCGTTGCGCACAATCTCGAGCTGGTATTTCTCATCCGAGGCGAGGTTGCGCAGAGCAAGAGCAGCTTGACATTGGACCTTGGGGGCGTGGCCGTCCATAAGGTTGACCAATGACTGTACAAGACGGGGCTCGGTCTGGGCCAGGCGCTTGCGGTTTGAGGCATCAACGGCAATGTTGCTGAGGGCGGTGGTACAGTAGTACTGAACGTCTGTGTCGGGAGATGTAAGAAGGTGGACCAAGACGGGGATTGCGCCAGCGTTGACGAGTTGTTGTCGGTTGTCATCTAGCAAGGGTCAGAGGATGTTGATAAGTGGGGAGAACAGAGTAATGTACCTGAGTGGGTCATGTTCAAGAGAGCGCCGGTAGCATTCCGTTGGACGCGCATGTCTTTTGACTTTGCGAGCCTCGTCAAAGGAGCAAGAGCACCTGAACGAGCAATCTTTGCCTTGTTGTCTTCGTGAGTGGCCAGGTTGGTGATGCAGCCCACGGCGTTGCACTGAACTTCAACATTACTCGAGTTCATCTGTCTGATCAGCGGTTGGAGGCCTCCTAGCTGGACGATTAGGATCTTGTTGTGTGCTGTGTATAAGTCAGTCTCTCTGTGGTCCGTGGGTACATTGACGAGGGCGGATAGGTACCATCTACGGCGAGGTTGCCCAAGGCGGCACTAGCAGCTCTTTGAACCTCGATATCACTGCTCTCTAAAAGGAAGAGGATGGGCTCGAGGGTGTTCTTGTCAACAGCGCGCACATCTTGATCGAGTGTGGTCAGCATGCTTGTATCATCTCTTTCTCTTGCAGGTCAACACACCTCGCTCGGTGATCTCGGCAAAGGTCAGACTGGCGCTTCGTTGCAGGTCGATATTATGTGAGTAGACCAGAGTACTGAGGGCATTGAGAGGGCCGCCGGTGAAGAAGTCTGTTTCTTGTCTGTTTTCGAGGAAATTCAGCAAGTCGGTGACTGCCTCGCGCTCGCTGTCGGCCAGCACATTCTCGTAATCGACTGAGCTGCGGCCTAGTACATGTTAGTGGCATGCAGTACAGCAGGACGTGCATGGAGACTGACTAGAGCAACAGTAGAAGATGTTTGCGCAAAAGTTCTTGAGAGTTGCCATGGCCCACGGGCCTTTGTTGAGGTCGACGGCGACGAGACTGCTCGCTTGAAGGGGTCCTGATTAGGCGCGACGCTATAACATGCGGCTGGATGGAGAACAGAAGTTGGCGCGCGAGAGGTGCGATATTATAACAAGATGGACGGCGGTCGAGGATATCGAAATGGGCAGCGACCAAGACAGACAGACGGCAACAGCATCAAGAAGCAACAGCGCAACGACGTGATGCAGAGCAAGCCAGCCCTGAGCTCGGACGCCAATTATCCATTATCCATTATCCAACAGACCCTTGATTGCCCAATCTGGCCGCCTGCACATATAAACACCACTGATTAGATAAACCCGACGACGTGCTCCCTTTGTCTTCGCATGCTTTGTCCCATACCTCGACACCTTCTTTTGTCTGTTGTTTACACCACCGTTATCGAGCTACATGTCGACTCGTATTGAGGCTGATTACCCTCTTGGCTGCTCTCCACCCACTCTCACCGACTGCCGTCTCACTACCACATCTGGGACATCCCTTGTCGCCCCACCGTCCTGCTCTTCCTTCTGCCTCATCCTAACACAACCATTTTCCAACATGACCAGCCTTCTCAGACTGTTTCTCGAAGGCATCCTAGCTGCGACGCGTGCAAACCAATCAGAATGTCAGCTCTCCTCATACGTAAAAAGAACGCGGGGAAACCGTGACTCCCGCATTAGCCGTAACCTTATTGCTTGAAACCATTCCACCTTCTAGCCTTCTCTTTTCACGAAGGAGGCCGACTTCGCCGCGAAAGCCTCGTGTAAATATCTTCTGACTTCATAGCCTCCAGCGTCATTCCTCTGCCAACCATACATGCAATCGTGATTGTGTCAAAGTCGATTTAGAAGGTCAGATTTCCCGACAAGTACTGAAGCCTAGCTGCAACTTCCCCTCGTCGGCGCAAGAAAAGTGTTCAGGGTCGTTGGCTGCCTTCAACAAGGCAATGGCCACGCCTGCTCCTTCCTCACACGAATTTCGAAAACTGCGACTCGACACCAAACACAAGAATTCCTCCCAGGACTTTCCATTCGCCGCTTCCTTGAATGCCGACCATGTCGCTTCTTCACAATTTTCGTCGTCCGAGCTGCTCGACCCGGACGGCCCCGAGCGCGACGAACAACAAACGCGAACAAGAGGTTCATCTGTGAGCTTCAAAGAGTACGCCACTCTCGACGACGGTCGCAAACATTCTCTCGATCAGCCTCTCCCCAGACCACGACGTAGCAGCATCCGCGATTCCTGCATGGCGACAGATGCTTCGCAGGCCCAGTCTGCCTCTGCTCCGGCTGCGCCCGAGGACTCCCCTAGGATCAATCCATTCACTGGCGAGCCCATAAGACGACGAACGAGAAGAAGCGAAGTCGCCCCTCGCCTGGAGACGATCGATTCGAACGATACCACACACGCGCACCTGCCTTCTTTGACGTCGGCCTCCTCGGGCTCCCTGCTCAGTGAGCAATTGAGAAGCCCTGATACGCCTTCTGGTTCATACTTCAACGAAAACGCTGTCATGTCCCCCTCACCTGCTGTCAGTCCTAGCATGGGTAGCGAGCCTTGGCCAATGCTATCAAGGAACAAGACCTTGTCGCGTACCGCCAGTTTGCGCAATACCAGTCGCAGATCTAGCAGAATGTCTGGTTCTTCCATGTCGCCGGCTGCCCAGTTCCTGAATGGCTGGGGTCGCAGCTCACAAACCACTGCTGCACCAGAGCCTGATGATGAGGGACAATCAATCGGTATCAACAACGAGTATGTCATCGGTCGCAAGATTGGCTCAGGCGGCTTCAGCGTCGTCAAGGAGGTCATTGGCATGTCTGAAGACGGCACCCGCACCAAGTTGGCAGTCAAGATCGTCCGCAAGTCTGTTGCCAACACTTCTGAAGCAGAGAATGACAAGGCACAGCAAGCCGTCGAGTATGAGATCGGTGTATGGCGTTACATGAACCACCCTCACGTCATCCGACTGCACACGAGTTTCATCACAGACTTTGCCACCTTCTGCATCATGGACCTGGTCGAGAGTGGGTCTCTGTACGACCTCATCAGCGAGCTTCGCAACAACGGCCAGATGGGCTTGAAGCATGACCTCGCAAGGAAGTATGCTTTCCAGCTCGCTTCGGCCATCAGATACATCCACGAAGACGTCAGACTCATCCACCGTGATGTCAAGCTCGAAAACTGTCTTGTTCAGGTCGGTGACAACGATAGTGGCGTGCTGAAGCTCTGCGATTTCGGCCTGGCTTGCTTCGTTGACGGTGATTCTGGCATGACTGATAGCATCCGTTCGCTCGACTCCAATGACTCTGATTCCAACCAACCAGCCGGCACGCTCGAGTACCTCGCCCCTGAGCTTTTCGGCGGCTCCAACCAGAGGCACTATTCATCCGACATATGGGCCTTTGGTGTTTGCGTCTACACCATGATTACTGGCAAGCGTCCCTTCGCACACACCATCCAGTTCAAACTAGTCGAGCTCATTGAATCCGGTCAATGGAACAAGGACGCTATCGAGGCCTCTCCAGCCGGCCAGGAGAGCTTCAAAAACATCTGTGCCTTGCTGCAGGGCTGTTTGAACACTGATCCGGACGAGAGATGGACCATCAAAGATGTCATGAATTGCTCATGGTTTGCTGGCTTGCACGACGTATCACATGACGAGGACTGGGAGCATGTGAACGCCACCCAGTCATGAGATCCTTGCTCATTTACGCGCTCTCTCTGGACCCCCCCTCTGCAACGAAAAACACTCTGCATTTCTACGGGATGATTATGAGACATGATCGTATGGCTGGGATGTCTTCTTTACCTTTTAACCTTCTGCACTTGATACCCCCATTCTATACTTTTCTGTTGTTATTGCTTATACTTTTCTAATCCTTCTTCATCAACAAAAACCTTTCGAAATATGTATTATTAGGTAGCCTTTTTAGCTATGAAATTTGCTTCTTGGGATGGAGAGGAATTGTTATTGTGCTTTGAACCGTAAGGGTATGGATGCTAAAGAAAAAACACCTTTGATGATCATGCGATGCAATGCTGTTTTGTTCTAATGAGAACCCATCCCCCTCTTGTGTACGCCGTGCCCAATGTTTTCCGTCCTTGTGTGTGCATATGTATGACCCAAACTCCCAAAACTCCCAAAACTCCATAAACTCCAAATCACAAACCCGAAAAGCGAGGAATTTCCGACCCAGAAGGGATGTGTAAGATTACAGTGGTGGTGAATTGCAGAAGGGGCTGGGTATTGGAATGCAGAAGTGGCCAGAAGTGTAGAAACCGTGGGAAGTGTGGGAAGCGTGGGAAGCGTGAGAAAAAGCGAACATCAAATCTGCATCGAGGCAGATGAGTGCAGAGCCATGCCACAGTCAAGGAAATGCGACACAGGGTTTACTGCAGCGATGTTGTGATGTCGTCGAGAGACAAGGAGGATGTATTGGAGCCCTGTTGCATGGTGTATCTCCATCAATCAATCATCCAAAGAAGTCATCCTTGTACTCCTTTCCCTGCATCTTGGCAAGCTTGCGGTAGAACTCTTCGGGCGAAAGAGAAGGCGCGTGGTGGATAGGGAATGGCTCGGCATCGGCATCAGCAAGGAAGTCGCCCATCTCAGTGTCCAGAGCGAATGGGTCGAGAGCGGTGGAGGTGCTGTTGGGCTTGGAGTCGATCTCGGTATCGGCGTCGATGTCCTGGGTAGTGATGTTGATGTTGAGACGAGCGTCAGTGGAGATGCTATGAGGGGTCCAAGGAGTGGTGGGGGAGGGAGGAGGGTAGATGTGGTCCTCATTGTCCATCTCGGTGTCCACATCCATGTCCATGTCAGTGTCGAGTGGATGGGCCATGGGGGAGTCATGAGCGTGAGGCAAGTCGTGATGAGGTGAAAAGTAGTGAGAGGGGCCGCAGAATCTGGTATCATCTCCAGAAGGAGTTGAGGGGACGGTATGAGCAGGAGTGTTGGGGATAGCTTGGTAGTTGTTGAAGTCCTCTTGCTCAATGATCATGTCGACGTCTTGCTGCTGCTGCTCAGCGTAAACATCATGAACTTCGAAGCCAGCTTGTTGTTGAGTCTGTTGGGGGTGCTGGAATTGCTGCTGCTGAAGTTGCTGCTGCTGAAGGTACTCAAGGTACTCAAGGTACTGGTGATGCTCAAGTTGCTGGAGCTGATAGTGATGACCGCGGCAGACTGAGCAGTTGCACTGGTCGCCAATAGGGTCGTCGTGGAAGCTGTGGCCGTGACAAGCCAACTCGTCGGAAGTCTCGCATCGGAGGGTGCAATCGGGGCAGGCGAAATATAGACCTGCAGGGATGTTGAAGATACCGGGAGCGGGGGCAGGAGTTGGCAGAGGAGTCAGGTGGCCGTCGCCGGCGGATGAGAGCTCCCCTCCAGAGCTGGTGGGGGATGGATGACGCTGGATGTTGTCGATGTAGCGAGGAGAAGAAGAGTGACCACCTGGAGCGAATGGGGCGATGTATGGAGGCAATGGCTTCTGGGAAGCGGGTGAGACAGTGCCAATGTTCTTCGGTTCGCCAGAATTGCGAGGATTGCGAACCCTATCGATCTTCTTGACCTTGACATTATGGATGTCGTGAACGTCTTTAAGATGACGACCCAAACCCCAAGGACGATGGAACGACCTTCCACAGCCATCAACGTAACAGTGGTAGTCTTTGGGTCCATTGTGGGTGAGTTGATGTTGCTTAAGGTTGGACTCACAAGTTGCCTTGTGTTCGCACGTGTCGCATTGGATTGTCTTGCGTTCTTGGTAGTCCTTCTTTGTCTTGGACGCCTTGTTGCTTGCCGTGGGGCTGCTCTTTCTTGACGTCTTGGTGGGAGTGTGGGAGGCGGAGTGTCGAGTAGTGCTCACGCCTGATCGGGCGTTTGTTTGAGGAGGCGAAGGATATTCGATGAATGTAAGAGGTTGTGGTTGAGGAGACTCCATGGTCGGATGGTGGGGAGGTTGCTGAGGGTATTCGTACGGGTCATATCCAGCGTGTACAGGTTGGCTGTTGTAGTAGGGGCTTTGAGGATAGACATAGCCAGACCCTTGAGGAGGAGGTGGGGAAGGATAGTCGAGTCTTTGGGGGGTAGAGTTGTTCGGAAGGCCGTGGAGTCCAGTCCACTGTCCAGAAACTTGAGTGACTTGGGTGGCATAGTTGCCAGTCGACGGGTCTGATCCGTACTGGCCGAAGGAGTCATCGTCGAATTGAGTAGTGTCAGCTTGAACAGTAGCGTTGTGATTCTCGACCATCTGCTGATAGTCCTGGAAAGTCATGTTGCGGTAGTCTAGGGGAGTGTTCTCGTCGACGAAGCCTTGAGTGGCTTGGAAGGCTGCGTGGATGTCGTCGTGGTTGTTGTAAGATCCAGCGCCATACTCGACATGATTGTCATAGTTGTTAGAAGCATTGGTGTTCATCAAGGGGCGAGAGAGAGCAGTGGACAAGGAGGAATATTCGGCCGGGTGCGAAGGCGGAGTGTAAGTCCAGTCGTCCATGTCGGCCTCACTGAGGTTGAGACTGTGGCTGGTTGTTTGCGAGTTGTAGTATGGTTGGTCGCCTTGCGGATGGCGGTCTCCAGCACCTGAATCCATGGTGTGTGAGTTTTTGTGTTGTGTAGAAGGGATGGTCTAGAGAGAGAAATCCACGCGCTATGTAGAAAGAGCGTGTTGCGACGGCGCGCGTATGCCAGATGTGGAAGCATTTGCTGAAGGTGTTGTGTGTGAGATTGCATCTCGATTGGGGATCTCATCGCAACTCCATGTGCGTCGAACAAAGGCATTGTTGAGCTCGAGTAGAGGTTTCATTGTACTCGAGCCTCTATGCGAGGCTGCTTTGTTCAGAACACTTGGGCACTGGAACCTTCTGCGGCGCTCATGATGCTTGGGTGGTTGTTCGGAAGTTCGATTTGCTGTGTCCGCGAATGATTGTGGTCTTGGGTTTGTGTTCATGTAGAGGGATGTTGAGAGAGCTGGGGGTAGTATCGTGGACATGCTTGTTGATGCAATGTCTTCAGGGGGTAAGACGATGTCTCAATTGGATGACAGGAGTCCAGCGGCGCTTCCAGCACCACCGCGAGGGCCTTTGCGGCCACCAGCACCACCGCGAGGGTCTTTACGGTCACCAGCACCACCGCGAGGGTCTTTACGGCCACCAGCACCGCCTCTCTTCGACTTTGAGCCCTTGGTAGTGGCTGCTCGCACGAGGGCAGCGCCTCTGCGCCTCTGCGTTTGGCGGTAGGTGCGACGTTCTGCAGTAGTCATGTACATGACCCCGTGCGCTGTACCCGATATGTCGAGGTCCCTGTATGTGTTGTATCCCAAACGGGCTCTTTGCGCCGGGGTCATCGCAGCACGAGACTGCTGTGTTGTTGCGTGTCTGGTCGATAATGCTGCGAGAGCACTCACAGGAGCGGCTCTTGACGGCTGAGCACTAGGACCGGATGCCTCTTCATCATCCTCGTTGCCCTCCTCTCCCCCTATCTTTACGTTCTCTTCTGGGTTAACACGATCGTTGTCGTTGCTGTCGTCAGTCGGCCTCGTCCATAAAGGATCTGCCATCCGCAGTAGAATGGCAGCAGCCTCTTCAATTTCCTGTTGTTCTTCCTGAGTCCAAGACATTTTCTAAGATAGTTAGACTGGGGACCCGTGGAAGGATCGATGATTGACTTACGTTTCTCGCGATGCAGGTGCGTTGAAGGAGAAGGTGTGAAAGGTCTGCGCGCACAAGATAATACCCGGTACGAGTTTCGACATCGACGCCAAGGCCGTCGATATCGTCGAACCCAGGGTGGGATGTGGGAGGAGCCCCGTTCACTTACTGTGGTGCACCTCGCTACCTCGCTACATGCTTCCACTTACCTTCCTAGCGGTCGACCGGTTCTACTACCTTTATGAATCATAGCATAGTGGTAGTCTCTCGACGATCCCGGAACAGCGTACCTCGACCCCTTATCAGAACACCTCAACCTACCTTCGCTCCACCGCTGCTCATCTCCTGTACACGACTAGCTAACACGTTTCCGCGATGCATTGCACGGGAGCTGAGTGAGGCCTCACCTAGCTTACGGAGACTCAATTTCGAGACCCCTCATTTCATTCCCCGACGAGTAGCCTGTCTGTTGCGAAAAGTATGTTGCAATGTTATGGGTATGTGGGAAGGAGAGGACTGACGTTGGAGATGGAGAATTGTTGTTGTTGTTGCGGGACATGTAATACGATGTACCGCGTATAATGCAGCACTCACCTAGAAGCCAATCGCGACACGAATTGCTTCTTATCTCTACGTATCACAGAGACGACATTCCATCTGTCCGCGAAGGTTAGGATAAAAGGGAGGGACCTGCTGATGGGAAAATTAGGTGAACCTCGTTCTTTCCCCTTCTTACACCTTGCACAATGACTTTTGAGGCAGCTACAACACAGCCCACGTCTGCTTTCCTAGCACTCCCGGCTGAACTGCGCAATAGCATCTACACGCTTGTACTCACACCCCCTGCCCATACGCGCGACTCGCGTCGCATAGCGAGTAGAGGGCTGTGTTCTGACTATATTTTACCTCCGCTCGATCTCAGTCCGGCACTCCTACGAACATGTCGGCAAATCCACGATGAAGCGGCGAGCATCCTCTACGGTGCCAATCAATTCGCATCGCATCCGTCACTGCTCACTGCACTACCATACCTCGTGAGTCCGCGACGACCAATCACCGAGGGACCCGGCCGTTTCATGATCAAGCGATGGTATATCCATTTGCGCCTCGATGTGGATCCCAGATTCAATGCAGAACAGCTCGAGCAAGCATTCTCCGGCGCTGAAGAGCTAGAAATCGAATTCTTCCAGCCAGCGTATGGTTATGGTGATGATAGTACTCTACGACTGTTCGAAGGGATCCGAGGAGTAGGCACCGCAAGAGTCACTGGTGGTAGCGGGTGCGATGCGAAATACGCCAGAATACTCGAAGGAATGCTCATGAGTCCAAAAGGCATTGTTGCCCAATCCTGCAGGCAGAGTTCAGGAGAGGATGAGCGCTCAGAAAATGGAAATATGACAGAGAGATGAGTTTCCTGAAGCGATCCAAAACTACACCGGCCAAAAAGCGCCGTGCTTTTTTCCGCCATTGGTCGTCTGTCGCCAATAGCATGTCGCATATTATCGTCTAGACTGCGAATACGAAGCACCAAAACTCTTCACTCCACGCTGCGATGCTCAAAAGCATGAACAATGCCCTGACTCCTGAAGGAACCAAATCATGACTTCATCATCCAACGCCTCGCTTGGCAAAAGTTGCTCCTCCACAGCTGGACAGCTTCTTGAAACATCGAATTCATCCAAGTTCGGAGCCTGCAACCGCCAAAGTCCAACACACCATATCACGACAAGGCAGTATATTGGCCAAAAGAGGGCAAGCCGGCTTACGCGTCTCACAGCCTCAATGTCGATGTATACCGCAAAAGAGACTTTGGCGTACGATTCGCCCGATCCTGAGGTAGAAAGTATGTTCTATAATCCTCTGCTCAGACCAATCACGATCCAGGCCCCCCGCATCGTCACAGGGATGTTTCGATTTACCCTTTTGCGGGGTTCGTCCCGAGTTGCTAGTGCACGATGATGTGACCTTGGAAACATTTTTCTTCTCTTGGTATTCGAACCATCTACCAAGTCGGAATGCGCGGACTTGGCTTGGAACAGTTTGTGGTAGAGACAAGTCTTTCATGTTCTGGTACTTTGAAGAGTATTTCCACTGTGGAGTATCTCTTGGAGATGCATGAGCTGCTCCACTGAACGGTTTGAACCAAGAGGTCTGGAAGCTGAGAAATCACTGTGCTCAGGGTCCTTCAAGAGCTAAGCTGCTGCACCTCCCTGTTAGTAACAAAGTCAAGATCCTCTCACCTAGCAGTTCAGGCAGTTCCAAGCTTGCCACCAGTCCCGCCATGGCCTTGTCACGCGCAACGGCTGCCATACAGGTTGCATGATCCGCGGATAGCCAAGGACGAGCCAAGTTGAGCTCACGATCAAGGAAAAGCAGACATATAAGCCCCTCTTCTTCCTCGAGTAAGGTGATTGACAGCTCACACTATCCCCATTTTCTTCCACAGCTTCCATTTGCTGCCATTCTTCATCATGCGTTTCCAGAAGATTGCTCCTTTTGCTCTTGCAGCAGCTGTTGCTTCGGCACAGAATGCCACTGAAGGTGGTAACATTACCACTGGCGGAAACATCACTACTGCTACCAATGGAACTGTTCCTTTGGCCAATGATCAGCTCAACTCTTTCTGGACTCTCCTCCAACAGTTCAATTTGTTGAGCGGCTTCAGCAACATGAGAAACATCACTCTCCTTGCACCTAGCAATGCGGCTCTTGCTAGCTTGAACTCCTCCGGTGTTGCTCTCACCTCCGAGCTCGTCCAAGCATTGATCAGCTACCACACCCTTAATGGCACCATCATGGCTGCCGACATCAACAACGTCACCTCCGCATTCCCTCACACTCATTTGACCAACCCTTCTTTCTCCAACGTTACTGGAGGACAAGTCGTAGAAGCCATCCTGGTCAACGAGACCGCCTACTTCTTCAGCGGCCTCAAGAACAACGTTTCGGCCACCACAGTCGACCTCAACTTCACCGGTGGTGTCATCCACATTGTTGATGGTACCCTCACCATTCCCGGAAACCTCACTTCTACCCTTACCAATGCCAACCTGACTGCCCTCGCCGGTGCAGCTCAGGCCCTCAACCTGACTTCCACCCTCAGCAACCTCCACGATGTCACCATCTTTGCCCCCAACAACGACGCCTTCCAGGCTGTTGGTGATGCCCTCGCCAACGCCTCCACGAGCGAGCTCGTATCCGTCCTCGGCTACCACGTCGTAAACAACAGCGTCCTCTACAGCGCCGACATCACGAACGGTACCACCACCGTCCCTACCTTCCTCGGCGGTAACATCACCGTTCAGAATATCAACGGTAGCTACTACGTCAACAGCGCCGAGGTCGTCAACCCTGATATCCTCTTCTCTGGCGGTGTCATTCACGTCATTGACAGGGTGCTGAACCCCAACAACACTATCGCTCACAACGCTACTGAGACTGCTTCGTCATCATCGACTTCTCAGGCTTTCGCTGGTGTCACCACCAGAGCCTCCAACGTTCCCTTCACTTCTGGCCAGGCCGCACCCACCTCGACAAACGCTGCTGTCCAAGGATCTGCAACCACCGGAGCTGCTGCCTCCTCCACTGGCGCTGCCAATGCCTTCCAGACCGGCGCCGTCGGTGCCATGGCCTTGTTCGGTGGTATCGGTGCCATGTTCGCCAACTTCTAAGGGAAGAATCATTTTCCATTTAGACTGAGTTCTGCTGCTTCTTGTAATCATTACTCGGACCCCCCGACGAGTTACGACGTTCTTTTTCACGCCCCATTTCCTTTTGTTCTCTATTAGCTCATCTTGATACCAAAGTCTTGCTCTAATATAAAACATCTTCTACTGTCAATCTGTCTCTGTCCGTTGTGCGGTGTGTAAAGATTTGAGACACAGGGTGGGAACATCACCCGGATCGGGTTAGGTTTCGTCGTCCTTCCTCAAGGGTTCACCTCGCTTTCACAAGTCAAGATTTGACCTTCATGAGCGCGAAATCTACTTGCGTATTGCTGCTGGCGGTCGAGTTTCTGATGAGTGCATGGACAAAACGAGCACGCGTAACTGCGATGGATGTGGTGTGAGACAAGCACGTTCCTTCAGCCTAAACATTTCTGCCTCAATACTGCAACAGTACCTCTAACATCCCTTTACTCGCTGCAAACGCTAGGAGCCGAATCGACTACACTCAACAAGCAAACTGTCACCTAGAAGCATCTGATCCACGTCAACGATGTCATATCTATTGGCGACGCATCTATGAAGACCAAGCACGTCTCTGCATCCAGCATCATCTTCGCAAGGCGCTGGCATCAGTTCACAACGCGATGGGAGACGATCCGATCAAGCTCGACACCTCTACAGCCGCCACTGACCTCGATCAGGACGATCCCCACGGCATCTTCAAATCAACACGCTGATACAGACCGATCATTTCAGTGCGCCGGGACCATGCTGGCCACTACACTATCGACTCAAGCCGCCGCAAGTTTGCTTCTCTCGCACAGGCTTCTGGCTTCACCGCCCTGGAGAGTCCTCGGCATCGAGGCTCGAGCAGGCTGCTAGACCATCGAAAACTTTGAAATACCCCACGCCTCTGCCCTAGCAGCAGAACCATCATGAGGTACAGCAAGGGCATCTTTGAGAGCTGCCAGGGGGACCTGAGGTACTACTTGAATTCACGAGTGACAGAAGCCCTACTTCGTCCTCGAGGACTGGATACCCCCTGTCCAGCTTTTCTCGAGTAACGCCTTTATTGTCAAAAGTAATGTCCAACTGCTCAAGCACGCCCTCGATATCGCGTCCGCCCTAGCCGGAGAGGGTCACTTCGCATGACTGATGGGCTGGGTAAGGCTCTGGACGGACCCACCGAGGAGAAGAGGAAGAAGATGATGAGAAAGCAGAAGAAGAAGAAAAAGAGGAGCAGGGATGAGCCTTACAAGGCAAAGAAGGTCACATTGGATGTGAGCTACGAAAGCGAGTCCAGCTCTGATTCAGACTCCGAGGAAGAGCAGGGCAAGGAGAAGGCGAGTGAGGATGAGAAGGAAGACGTCGCCATACCCGACGCCCTGTTCAAGACACCTAAAACCGCGCAGCAAGAGATGCGCCCTAGACCGCGCCGAGCTCTCTGACTTGACCCCTATTCGTCCCGCCACTTGGACCTCCGGCTTGGTTGCCTAGCTCCGTGGTTCTGGCCCAGATATGGAGAGATCAGCTATGCTTGGGCTGCAGGGCCTAACTTATCCACTTCTACTCCGCAAGTGGCGCCCTCTCTCTCTCGCCCAGCTGTCCCATCATGCCCAAAAACTCCTGCCACTAACTTTAGAGACATCGAGGCTGTGGGAATGTAAGATACTTCTATGATCGGTCCAGTCATTCGTTGAGGCAAATTCTGCTGACGTGCTCTTACTGAATGCGACCCTGGTGCAGAAAGCATCTTGCATTTCTACAGAGGCATGAGCGTGAGATACTTTGGCAAATGCAGAGTCAGGTCTAGTGTCGATTCTGATACCAGCAGCTACGACCAACCCATAACTTTCCCGTACGGTGGCGAAGTTCCACTATTGGTCGATCTGTGCACGATCGTGTGCGTACTCCGAATACTGGCATTCTCTTCGACTAATCCTTTTTGACTGTCCGAGTCACTTTTGCAAACGTCTTTGAGCTCGATCGCTGGATCTGGCCCCGTGACGTGAGTCTTGTAGCCTTTTGGTGTCTGTCTCACTGATCTCGCACTCGGAAGCTGAGCTCTGACGAAAGGCACGCAGCTCGTCGCGATACCGAACTTGAACTCGAGAGTGCCGTACATCACAACATCGCTGTTGTCTCCCTTTGTACTGACGACGGGAAAGTATGTGATGCGAATGATTGAAAAGACAGTCGTCAGCAGCCCGAGTGCGAAGCTGATGTAAAGTGTTGCTTTTCGGCGCTGTTCGAGCTGGAGATTGCGGAAAAGTAGATAAGGCAGCATGGCGAAGATAAGTATGTCGAACAAAATTGTGATCGAGGCCATAGGATAGTTGACTGCTGCAAACGGTAGGCAACGTCCGGGATGGGAGCTGTGGAAGTTTTTCTGCAGCTGTTCATCAAGTCAGCGTTCAGATCCGCCAGATCCTTGTGGTAAAGTGGCTTACTGGTATGCAGAAGAAGAGGACGATCAAGGTGAAAGCGAAGTGACAAATAGTTGATGAGATCGCAATCCCTGTGGTAAAAATCCTGAAGCTTACCAGCCCGGTGTACTTAGTAAGTCGCAGGAATGTCAAGCAAAGCGACAACTTGAACCCTGCGATACCAAATTGGTAGAAGGGCTTGCCAACGTAGCTGAGCTAAAGTCAAGGACGGTCAGAACTGATGTATGAGGAGCAAAGCTAGCAAGACTCACCTTCGTGAGCATGGCTTTATCCTCCAGAGGTCGGAGATTGGGAGGTAGGCCAAGTCCATATCGTGTTTCTGCCACGGTCAATTGAAAGTTCGAACTTCGCTTCAGCCTCACAGGAGGTCAAAATGGCGTCGGTACATCAGTACTTACGTAGCACACACAAGATCTTGTAGATAACACTAAAAACCTAGACGTCGCAATTAGCAAGTGCATGTCAGACAAAGCTGTGCTGGGATTTACCAGAGTAGTTGAGATAATCCACTCCTCAGCTTTCATAGACCACCTTCGCGGCCACACCCTGCCAACCACCATAGCGAACGCAATTACAGTTGTGGCCATGCTGACAGCGACTATCGTTCGCCACCGCGACTCTTGATCGACCTGATCCGAAGCATGTTTGACCCATACCATGTTGAACCTCAAGGGAAGTCGAAGATGAAACGCGAAATCTCGAGCATCCACCTACGCTTCAAATACTTTATACGAAAGGCTTGAGCATGCATCATGGCTTCTGCTGTCAGTAATCAGGAGATTAATCCTCTCCTTCTCGTAAGCTCTATCTTCCACCCCTGGTCAGCTAGGCTCCTATGGGTTCGTCCATCAAAACTTGTTTGTGAAATGAGACGAAGCAATATTCTTATTGACGAAATCTAAACGAAATCCCTGAAGTACATGCACCACGAGAACGCTCGGTTGGATCTACCAGTGTCTGGCATAGAAGTCTCATCTATCTTGTCACCTTTTCGGAGTGGCAAGACCTTGATTGCAGTACAGAAATCTCTTGGTGTGATCATCTGATCGCTCATAGCAGAGCGGAAAATCGAGACAGCCGTTGTAGACGGCTGAGGAGGAGGAGGAGATGACCAGATGGCCGAGGGTGATGGATGCGCAGGATATTGACCAGAGCTGTAAGTACCCCCAGCAATGGCTGAGATAGATCTGGCAATACTCCTTGTTTATTCGCATCTCAACTTGGTCAAGCCAGCAGCTTCTCAATCAGACTGCTTCATTACAATCCTGTTGACCACACTGTACTCAGCAAGATACACAACTTCCAGATGACCATCAACATGATTATGTCAAACCCTGGCATGGCTGGCATTCTATGCCACAGTCGCGACCGCAGATTTCCCTTGGTTGAGTCCGGTCTACGATCAAATCTTCCAGGTTGCATTGCCCATTCCTAGTATCAAGGTGCCAAAAAGGTGAGTCTTGTTGCTGAGGGTCCTTAGCTCGCAGTCACTAATCAGTTGTGCAGAACTCACACCAGTCCAGCGACCGGACTGCCCATGGATTATTATGAAGTCGACATCAAACCTCTAGAAGTTCAAGTCTATCCCAATCTGGGCAAAACGAGGCTTGTCGGATATGATGGTCAGAACCCTGGACCAACATTCATGATGACCAAGGGTCGGGAAGCAGTTGTACGATTCATTAACCACGCCGACCGTGCCAACTCAGTCCATTTGCATGGTTCTTACAGTAGGTAGTCCTTCTATGTTGATGATCAACCTCACAGACCACTAATTTGATACGCATAGCTCGAGCTCCATTTGACGGTTGGGCCGATGATACTACCGAATCGGGACAATACAAAGACTATTACTACCCAAATGGTCAGAGCGCAAGGACGCTTTGGTATCATGATCATGCAATCGACCACACTGCCGTGAGTCTCAAGCCTTTAACTCCCCCAAAGATCCATCATTGACTTGCTGGGCTGCAGGAAAACGCATACTAGGGTCAAGCGGGATTCTATATCCTACATGATCCCGATGAGTTGAAGATACCTGGACTACCTCAAGGAGATTTTGACGTACCGCTGGCACTTGCCGCTAAAAGGTACAACCCTGATGGAAGTCTTTGGGACCCGGAAGCAAACAACGAAGAGACCAGTGTTTTCGTAAGTAAAGTCCATGTGTTGATGGGCCATGCAAAGTGTGCTGACTTTGTCCTCTAGGGAGATGTTTTCCATGTGTAAGCAAGGTCAAATGTTATTCAGCAGTTCTTGATTAACATCGCTCGTCACAGCAACGCACTACCGTAGCCATTCTTGAACGTAGAGCCGCGCAAGTATCGATTCCGTGTTCTTAACACTGGTATCAGCCGGTCATATCAGCTATACTTTGAGCCTGACAAGACGCCTGGCACAAGATCCGCGATGACTGTGGTAGGATCTGATGCAGGGTTGACGGCAAAACCTGTTCAAACCACTCAGCTTGACATCCAACAACAGGACCACGAGATGATGGCAGCCTTCAACGTCACTGTTCTGGCAGACCTAGGTTATAACGACACAACTCGATTCCTTGATCCCATGGAGCCTCGATATCGAGCCGTTGACTACCCAGCTAGCGACTTTACATCCCATACAGGCGTCTTCTCAGACTCCACGATTGACCAGAAATTAGACTTCTTTGCAAATCTTGATGCATACGCTCACGAGGCCGACGCAGATGCAGCACTGGTCTCGTATTGGAAGACACACGTTGCAGGTGCACCTAACACACTCTCTAGAAGCACAAAGAGTAGCACTACAGCCACTAGCTCAAAGTCGAGCATAACAAGCACAGTCAAAACGACCAAATCATCGAGCTCGACTAGCACCAAGTCAACGGCGTCTAGTTCGGCAGTGTAGTGAGAAGATATTGATAGCAGCGATAGCATTATGCAGATAGAGTAGGCCTTAGTTGCTATGATGCGATGGAGGAATGGAGACAGAGATGTGCTTGAGTTTTGCTGAAACGTGCTTTGGTTTGTAAGGCCTGCTATGGTATCGAATTATTGTGTCTCTCTCTTGCTGCCCTGCTTTTCTTCCCCTGACTGTGTGATCTTCTGATAAGCAACGAGATTCCTCTCAATCATTCTCTCTCCCCATGCCCATATATGTTTCTTCATCCGTAATTGATATGTCCCATAATTCACACAATTTATGCTGCCGCAGGAAGACCGTCCGTGAACGATCTATGTGTTCCAATCAGCACTAGATTATGATCTTTACCAGAGATCAATATATTCAGTAAAACGTCCCAGTCAAATTCTTGGCTGCATAGCTGTGAGCCTGCAAGCCATGGTCTACAGTACCGTGATGTTGATCCCGTAGATTTGCGCACATTTCTTTGTCAAATTCCTATCCTTTGACCCTTTACACAACAACCAGTCCTTTGACTCGACTTCATGCGTCTTTCACCAATCCTCGCGTTCCTTTCATCACTGCCATTGCTCTTTGAGCTTCCTAGCTGGCTGAACAATCTCCTTGTCCTCGTGAACAAAGCAACTACATCGACAGCATTTCGATAAATAGACCTTCCTAACAATCTTTTCTCCTCTTCTCTAATCACATCCCAGTACAACACAGACACAACACAACCACAACCACAACCACAACACAAACAGCAAGATGTGCAACTCCACCACCACCCCCTGCTCGAGCGCCCCCTCCTCCACCTCTACTGCCTCTAGCACTTGCATCATCTCTCGTCAACCCACAACTCCTGTTTGCCCTAGTTGTTATCGTACTATGTCTTGGAATGCCTATGCTGCCTGCTTTTACTGCAGCCGCTGCCGCTTTTACGCTTAAGTGGTCTACCATCTGACTTTAACAACTCTAACAACTCTTCTACCGGCAACTCTACTCGGACAATGGTATACTACAATTAGGTGCGCTATCTGAACTAACAGGTGGGTCTTCTCAATAGGCGTTATGGTTGCGCTTTCGATTCTTACCTCTAGGTTTTTGTGTTTTATCTTTGGGATGTGACTATAACCAAATCAAATCAAATCAAATCAAATGTTTCTCTTTCCTAATAATCTTTCTGTTTCAATGTGCAACATGTTTCGTGAGTTGTCGTTACTTCTTACTACCTTCTAGGGAGTGATAGCGTTTCCTAGCAGCTTGCCGATCTCCTCGGCGATGGCCATTGTCTTCTCTTCTGTGAGTCTGCGTCCAACAATCTGTACTGCAACAGGTGCGCCGTGATAGGCTTCGGCATCATCTGTGATCTTGTCAGTTGCTGTCCGACTTCGAGGACATCCACTAAACTTACACTCTTCTTGCACCTGCTTATCCATATCGTTCATTGGCTTGAAACTCTCATCCTTCTTGTCCAGATTCTTGTCTGCAAACGTGACAGGCACAACCACACTCGTAAAGTCGAGCAAGTTGATCGCGCTAGCATATCCGTAGTACTTGAATTGATTGTGGCGAATAGCAGCAGTAGGCGTGATAGGCATGATAAATGCATCCATCTCCTTGCCCAACTTCTCCTCAAGCTTATTCCATTCCTCGATATACTCCATCTGGAACTTCCATTTCTGCAGCTGTACATCCCAGAGTTTGGTAATGTCTGCGCCGGAGATGGAAGGATCGACTAGATCGTTGATGTTAGGGATTGCAGGTTCGCCTGATGCTGAGAGGACGGTATGAATGTCTTTTCCTGCGTCAGAGGCGTAGATGCCTTGGATCAGGTCCACGGCGTAGTCGTGTTTATAGGGTTTCCAGTCGATGACTTCGTGGCCATTTTCGCGCAGTGTTGAGACTACTTTGTCGACTCCGCGGAGGATTGGCGGGTGAGGCATCACCACATCATCGTTGTTGAAGAAGCCAAGAGTTAGTTTGTCGGAAGTGATCTTCTTGACTGCAGCGTCGTGCTCGGATTGTCTCCATGGCATGGGGATGACTTTGGAGTCGTGTTTCCAGGGCTCCTGCTCCAAGACTGACTGTACAAACAGTCTCATGTCTGGGACTGAATGCGTGATAGGTCCTACAACACTGTGTACAGTCTCTTGGCCTTCCATGCTGTTCGCCATCTTTCCGTATGGCAGTCTTCCGTGACTAGGTCTCAGTCCGTACAAGAAGTTGAAAGCCGAAGGTACGCGGATGGACCCTCCAATATCAGTACCAACACCAATGATACCACCTCTAATACCAACATTAGCACCCTCTCCACCCGAAGAGCCACCAGGAGACAAATGCTTGTTGCGAGGGTTGACACTACGACCAGTAATGTTGTTGACAGTCTCGCAAACCATCAAACTCTGCGGTACAGAAGTCTTGACGTAGAAGACAGCTCCCGCTTTTCTCAACATTGCAGTAAGCACGGAGTCTTCAGTGTCGTACTTGTCAATCCAGGCCACATAGCCCATAGTCGTCTCCAACCCCTTGATGCGCAGTTGATCCTTGAGAGAAATAGGCAAACCATGCAAAGGTCCAACCGTCCTTCCATTCTTCTCATAAAAATCATCCAATTCTTTCGCCTGCTTCAGCGCCATTTCGGGGAAAATTTCCAAGGCGCAATTGGTGACTTGATGGGATATAGCTGCGCGCTTGCAGAATGCGGTTGTCACGTCGACAGCTTTGAGTTTTCCCGCTGCTAGTTTTGCTACCAAGTCTGTCGCGGAGGAGTTTGTGATATCGAGCTCGGTTCTGCTGAGGATACCGCTGGTTGCTGGGATATCCATGACGTTGTCAGGCAAAGACGAAGTGTCGATGCGCCACTCTTTCGGTATGCTGTCATTGATGCGTTGATTCTTCGCCGCAGCGATTTCTTTCCAATCTTTGCCCATTGTGTATGTCGCAGAGTTTCGTATGTCTTTCCCAGATTGTTTGATTTCTGCGGATGTCTTGACAGTCGCAGTTGGTGATTATAGATAACATGGTGAATGGTGGTATGCGGGTCGGTATGTCGGTTATCTGTTGGGGTAGATTGATCGCCTATCTGCGGGGTCGATGATGTAGCATGATTATGTGATCCGTCCACCCTATCAATTGATAAGATGGAGAAATCGTACATTCAAAAATGGGAACATGAACATTTGAGAGAAGAAGAAGTCGATGTCCAGACAGGTTCGGCGGTCTCGAAATCTTGATGCATTCAGACTACGAATTGCTGGCTGGGGCCGGAATACACATTTTCCGGGCCGACTTGAGCTGCACAGATATTGACTTCTGCCAAAGCGACCCAGGTCGGACGCCGGAATCATCACACATCCGGGATGAACAAAGAGCTTGGAGAGACCCAAGCTCGGGTTGACTTCTTCTTGTATACAGCTACGACCGACGTCAAACATGGAGCGGACCATCATGAATCGACACCCGGCGATTCCATGTGGTAAGCAATTCCGGAATTCCGGGTGCTCGAGCCTGTTGTTTCCATATTCCAAGCACAGGAAAGCAACTGAGCCAGAATTGGAGCTTGACTACTTGGACTTCTTGAAATAAGAAAGGTCAAAGGCATCGCGTACAATCCTAGAATGATTCAACAGTACCACACCGGCATGGCTCGTTACTTCCTGACCCTGGCCTCTCTGGCTGCCTTTGCTGCTGCAAGTTACAACTTCGAGCCAGAGCATGTTCAAGTAATTGAAGATGTACGTACCTTGGTTCACGTTTCTTGCCCGTCTTCAGTAGGACTGACATTAAATGACAGCCTAGCCTTCCTGTGCAATACTCCTTGCAAGACTCTCAGCTCATCTCTCCGTTATCGACCGCACTCAACTCGTACTGGTACGCAACTTTTTTGACAAGCACGGATGACAAGCAATACGCGGTTCTCTCGCAAACCATTGCAGCCGCAAATGGCCTGGCGGTATTGCGCACGTCGGTACTGGACCTCAAAAACACCGAAAACTACTGGCAGCAGATCCTAAGTGATCCCTACCACGACAACTCCACTTTGCATAATGGACGCCTCCACATTGATGCCTCGACGCACGGCATTGTGGGTCTATCCAACGACAGTATTTCGACAATGGGCATTTGGGCCTCGGCAAATGACTTTGCTTACAACTTCACCATCAAAGCCACTTCTCCAGTCCTGTTGAATGGTGGAGCGGGTGTATTTTCTTGGGCTGATGGGGAAACAAGGCAATGGTCGTTACCCAGCTGTGAAACCAGCGGCGAATTGACAATTGGCAATCACACTCTGGAAGTCAACACGACCAACTCAATCACCTGGTATGACCGCCAACATGGAGTCGCTGGTGTTAATGGTCAATTCACCTGATTCGGTATGCAGTTCCCCGGGTCTGACATCAAGGCTAGCATGTGGTACACCGACAACACAGGTCTGTACGAGCAGCACCTCAAATTCATTACCGTGCGCAAACACTCTGGCGTTGAGATCGTCGGCTACAATATCACCGAAGAAGGCGCAACTTGGACCTCTCCACGCAGCAATCTCACCTATCCCCTGGCATGGTCAATCTGGTTCGACAACGGCGATTTCCTACGTGTTGAAAGCGTCAGAGATGACCAAGAAATTTATGCACCCGGTCAATTGACAGCCATCTCTGCATTCGCTTCGGTCAAGGGAAGATTCTTCGGTCAAGAAATGGGTTACGCTTTGGTAGACAATGTACCCGGTAAGGGGGCAACTTAGGAGGTTCTGTCGGTGTTTATGATTTGCCATCTCAAGATCTCGGAGTCGGTTAGTGGAGATGTTTCTAATCGACTAAAGTATTGATAATCATGTAAACCTTGGAAGAATAACAAAGAACACTATCCCCTGCTGAAACAATGTATACTTCAACCACAAGCCATTTCTCCTTAGTAAAGCTCCAGCACCAGTTTCTGCCCTGACACCTTGCCACTCTTCAAAAGCTCCAATCCTTCCTCTATCTTGTCGAATCCTGTACCTCTCAGCTGAATTGGAGGAGATCTTAATTTCTGCTCCTCTACCAATTTCGGCAACATGGCGTAAAATCTTGCCAAACCTGCTCTGTCTTCAAGTTTGATAGGGAACTTGGGTCCGATGGGTGGCACAAGCTGGAAAGCACGACCAAATACAGTGTACATGATCATCGTCTCCAACTCGACACCCTTGACAGCGCTCTTTGCCTGAGGATCCAGCGTAACGACTTTGCCATTCTTATTAGCGACGACATTACAGCAGAACTCATTGCTCCCCGCGCCACCGAAGCCATCGAATGCAAGAGCGAGATCCGGATGCGCGGTCTTGATTTTCTGCAGACTTGATTTATCTTTGTAGTTGTAGACTTCATCAGCACCATACGATTTGACAAGGTCGTTCGAGTGAGGTGAGCAAGTGGTTATGACACGCAATCCAGCCATTTTGGCAATCTGAATGGCGAATAGACTTGCAGAAGTACTGCCGCCGTAGATGAAGAGTTCTTTGCCTGCTTCTACGGGCTTCTCGTCTGGCCATGGGAGACCGAGAACGAGGTTCAAAGCTTGCATGGCGGAAACAGCAGAGACGCCGTAAATAGCTGCTGTGGTGAATGGGACAGATTCAGGGATTTTCCAAGCTAAGTCGCCGTCGATGGTCAGGTATTCGGCGTAAGACCCGCGATTGTTGTAGATACCGCCATGAGTGACACCTGCAATACGATCGCCGACTTTCCAATTTCCCTTTGCTGATGCCCCGACAGACTCGACTGTACCTGCATAATCGCAACCAAGAATACTATTAGGGCGACCAAGGAGATCGATGTGTTTATAGTCCGTGGGCTGTAAAAACGTCAGGTTTGGATATTCAATGGAGTTCAAGAAGGTACAAACATTTTGTGCGACAGCTTTGACTTTGACTAGGACTTCAGTCGCACTCGGTGTAGGCGTAGGAAATTGTCTAACCGACACATCATGCGCGATGCTGAATCTCGTTGCAAGTTTCCAAGCCGTACCGCCAATTCCTCGATTGGTCGTCGCGAATGCGCGCATTGTTGTGGGTGCCATGGTTGTAACAGATGATCGTCTATATAAAAAGAGGTGTGAGTAAGGTCGTTGATGATTCGCAAAATCACCCGGGTCGTGAGGTTCCTTTTGTTCTGTCGCGATGTTGACTCATCATGAAGCTTGACGGATGGTTATACAGCCTTGTTGTTGCAACGGCCCTTTTTGCAGTCGGGGTAACTCACGGACCGACGGTGTGATCCCGTCCGCAGCAATCTTGACAATGATTGATCATCAATTGGATCTTGCCACCACGAGGGATGCTCTAGGACATGGTATCGAGGCAAGAACTGGATACGACTCTCGTTAGATCAGCAGTCTAACACAGGCTGGTGTTACTTGGCACTCTTAGCAGGACATCCGACATCGTAAGTGGGAAAATCAATAACATTCTATAGTCGTAAGCGTGTATTTTGTTGCAGTCAATCAAATTCGCCGTCAACCCTCAAGCAACACTCGAGTCGCTGTCAGTGCGTCTAGACACCCAGCTTCTCACCGAGAATCCCTTCTTCTCATCCTTGTAATAGTAACGACCCTTTCTCTCGTCATTAGCGACGAGGATGTCTTCGCCAGTCACTTCATGGTCCATTCTACTTTCATGCTCAGGAGCAAAGCGCATCAAGGCCCAATAACACAAGCCGGCAGCCACGAAGGAGTACATGTAGCCGATCGCGAAACTAGAAATCATGTCAGTGTCTGATGGGAAGTTGTTCGAGATGCAAGAGCGACTTACATGTGCTGGCCTTCAAGCGAAACGCCGAGCTTGCCTTGGTCGATACTGTTGGCAAAGCCTGGAAGAGGGGGCAAGAAGCCAACGACGAGTGCGACAACGGCACGCCAATTGGTGCCGAATTTGGGAGAGTAACGATAGATGCCGTCAAATCTGTACATGTCTGGTACGGACACATTGCCGCGGCGGGTGATGTAGTAGCTGAGGAGCATGAGTCAGAATATTGTGCTTCAGCTAAGGTGTACAATTGTACTCACTCTACCATGATGATGGCAGTCATAGGACCAAGGAAGATGGTGTAACCACTAAGGAAAGAAAGGAACTTTTGAGCAGAAGCAAGGATTTTCCACTGCATAGAGTTAGTCATATAGAACAGAGGAGATAGATGTAGAGTCATTCATACCGGAACACAAGCCCAAGCACCGATCAAGGCGGCGAGCAACTGGCCACGACGAATGTTGATGTACTTGGGGAAGAAAGAGACCAAATCGTTGGCGGCACTGATTGAGTTGGCCGAGATGTTGATACCAAGAGTAACGATGATGAGTCCGATGGCTCCGAAGGCAGATGCAGCACGGCCAGCAGACGAGCCAGATGCACTCCACAGTCCGACGATAGTAACAGGGTTCCAGAGAGGAGTTCCTGCCTTGGCAACTTCCTCAGGATATGCGACAGATGAGGCTGCTGCGGTGAAAATACCGAGGAGACCGACAATGGTAAAGATGAAGGGAATGACAAAGGCTTGACAATTCTGAGCGCTTCTCTTGTTGGCATATCTTGCGAAATCGGCAATGTTGAGACCGAGAGTGGAGTAGTTACCCAAGACCGAGTTGAGGTTGGAGAAGAATGCCCAGACCAGGATCGAGCCCTTTACTGTAGGCCCTTCGGTAATGACTGGACTGGCACTGACTGTACCGCCAGCCTTGTGCAGGGTGTGACCGAAGACAGCCAGGAAAATGATGGGTGCGATGATTGATTTGAATCCAAAGAAGTATTGTACCTTGGTGTAAGGAATGCAGAGGAAGGGGAGTTGGAGCAGGAAATAGAGTACGAAAGCACACATTCCCTTGGTGTCGATACCCTGACCAGCGGCGATGTGGTTGGGGATGTTTGCATAACTCGGCCAAATCGCAGTAAGCAAGACTTCCATACATTGACCTCCAGTGACTGTCTGCACTCCGAGCCAGATGATGGCGAGAGCGCAGCGAGATACGACGACAAAGTAACTGAAGTAGTAGCCGAATGACACACGGGCGATGATTGGAAATGGGACGTGGAGGTGGGCACCAATTCTACCGTTCATCGTGATGACAGCGCCCATGATGAAGTTGCCGAGAACACAAGCACCGATTGCCATTCTCCAGCTGAGACCACCAGCAATCATGGATGATGCGACTTCCCAGTTGGAAACAGCCCATGCATCGGCCATCCAGTATGCGACGTAAGCTTTCCATGTCCAGGTGCGGTTTGATGGCGGAATAGGGTCGAAATCGGCATTAGATGCGTTTGGGTTTGTTGCAAAACTGCTGGGTTCTTGATCAACAGCTAGCTTGAATCCGGTGAAGCGGCGCTTGTAGGCAGAAGAGTCGCCCATCTGGACGGGCTCAACAGTGTGTGAGACCTCGCCAGAGGCATCGCCTTTGACGTCGCTGTAAACCATGATGGAAAAGAAATGATACTGCAAGCGACTTTGGAAATGCGCGTTTGTGGATGAGGAAGGACAAGAAGAGCATGCGCTGTGACAGGTCACTCATATATTGCGCGATAGTGCGATGCAGCTGGTGTAAAAAAGATGCCTTATCGCAAAGCCGCCTACCTGGGTCAAAAACAAATGGGCTAGATTCTGGCAATTCGCATGGAGCTGAAAAGCTTGCGCACGCCACTGTACATATCGCCTTCATTGTTGTTTCTCCGATACTTGCTTATGTCGAGGAACTATGCAAATGATTGGATGCGATATGATGATAGGACAAGCGCGGGTAAAAATCCGTAGATAGCAAGGGTCGTACACGTAGACGCGTTGGAAGTATAGATAAGGGTTCACTCACCTCGTCGGCGTCGCCCTACAGGAAGAACACATGCGAGTACAGTACCCCAGATTGTTTGGAAGTCCCGACGATCGATTCTGATGCTTGAATGAAATCCATCAAGGTCGAGATGTTGCTTCCTTCAAAGTATCGCATTGGAAGGAACATTTCGGATGCGACGATCAACACTGAGAAAGGATTGCGCGCAGAAGCAAGCAGCGACGATGGCGCGTTATCTTTTCCTGAGCATCCTTCCGCCACCTCCATCGTTCGACCAGGAATCGGTTTAGGCGTTCCCCGCGATGATATGTATAAGAATACCGGGGCATCTATCGAGTAAGGCTATCGAGTAAGGATATGGAGTGCCCGGTTCATCGAGTAAGGCCATCGAGTAAGTCGACCGTTCGAGCCGGCCTCTGGAAGCTTTTTGGCTTTTTGCTGCATCTCCGCACGCGACACACGATATTCGCCGAACTTTTTCCGCAAATCGATTTTGAATTCTCATGCGACACGAGAGCCGGTCCTGCTTGTCTCATCACCATCTCTATCGGGGTCTTTTCTTCTCCATATATATTCCACATGGGCCTGCTTGTAGGTACAACTCAACTGCTCGGTGATCGGACCTGTGTAAGGATATTCACTACGCGATGGAAGCCGATACTCCATCGGGTCAACTGTTCCCCAGGATCTTGCGACATCGCGTTGTGGTAGTATAGTCCGCGATGTAAACAGTCCTATAAATGGGGCGATGGTAAGTCCATTGTTTTGCTAGTATCACATTCATTCGCATCAGAAAAGCTTGTCATTAGTAAGTTTTCGAGCCACTGGCGGAGTGAAACTCATTCGCCAGTGAATGCTAGCCTGACTTGTTCCGCAGTGTCCGAAAAGCTCGTCCCTCTTACCATCATCAAAGGCGCAAGCCAGGAGTTTATTCCTTTCCCGACGGGAGAGAATGCCACTGTTGCAGACTTTCATTCGTGAGTTTCTCTCGCTGTTCACGTCGATCCAGGCAGATCAAATTCTGCTTTCCTGGCCATCACTCCCTGACTCTCTCTGACATCCCAAAGCATCCGCACAAGTACCACCGACTCGCCGTCATACCTGACTTCAGGATTCTACAAGATCGAAAAGGGCAAGGCATACCCATTACACTACACCTGCGAAGAAACCAAATACGTCATCAGCGGGCAGATCGATGTTCTGGACGAAGCTACTGGTGTGACACATCATCTTGTTCCTGGAGATTTTGCATTCTTCTATGTTGCCAGTAAAGTGCAGTTCTCGACCAAGTCTGCCGGTTTGGCTTTCTATGCTGTTACGAGACCGGTCAAGGCGGCACACCCGAATCTCGCGGGCAGAGAGGAGGTTGTTCAGTCGAAGTCGAAGCTCTAGAAGGCTGACTTCCGTCGCAGCGCAAAATGCACAATTCGAGATCCCTCATCCTTTGAGATTATCCCAACTTCAAAAGTGACGATTTTATTATGACTGCCAATGCACTAGCGGTTCTTGGCGGTACTTGACATCACTGATTTTACACGATGATGCTTGAGAAATGAACGTCTGACTCCTGATGACAACTGGAGCTTCAACATCAACCTGACGCTTCAGCCTCCAATCCGTATCTCATCATCTTTGAACTCAGTTACAATTGCAACATCGCAGTATGGTGTCCACCAAGCAGTTAGAAGACACGCTGCCACTGCAGGATCCCCGTCACGGTCAATTTGCCGACACTCTAGGCAAGCAATGGCCAATCTACACTTTGGTCGCATTCGATGATCTGGAACTTCAACAACTCGAAAGCGACATCAACAAGGTCGAAGACAGTACTGGTCAATCTGTGCTCATAACTACACCCAACTTCTCCAATCTCACTCTTCGCGATATCTATGAATACCACATTCAACTTCGCGAGAAAGACGATAAGATCCACCCGACTCTCTTCATCGTGGCAGATCAAAGAGACTATCAGACAAAAGGCGTCCTTGTGATCGATCTCCAAGTCATGACAGACACTTCTCAAAATGTCATTGGCGTCTTGCGATGCGGATACGACGATGCAGATCTGTACTGTGCTAATCTTGAAATTGGGAATGTGGATTTTATCGATTACAAGGAAGAGGAGCAAAGCCTTTGGGGTGGCGATAACCCTTACGAAAACCAGCGATACTTTAGCAAAGATCCGTCTTTGCCGGCTGCGTCTGATGATTAATAGCATCAGGATGTTTGCAGTCATGATGGCTGTAGATGAGAGGATCAGGGCTGTCGATGCTCTTGAGGGTTGAATACATTGGCGACAACTCCAACACCTTTGTTCTTGTATCATAGCCATTCTTGAGGCGCGTGTCTACATTTCTCGACTGTCAGTTACAGTTTCCAGTGTCAAATCATCGCTCGGAACATGATACGATTACAGCGACGGATCATGATTCATAAAAGCTACATACATACAAAGGCATCAATGAGCATGAGCACCAGTCTTTTCGACAAGATCCCAATAGCTCTGCGCAGTCTTTAGCCTCAGTGGCTTGCCAACATAAATCATCACAACACCCACACTCCACACAATCTCTCCCAAACACGCAATGACAACAAAGGTATAACGAACACCAAGATTGTTGATCATAGGCACAACAGCGTAACCAAAAGCAAAACCTACAAGAGTCAGTAATTGCAAAGACGATTGAGGAGAATCAAACTTACCCATTGTGTTTCGGACCAGAATAGCTGCAACCATACCATCACCTTGCATTTCACGATAACTATCCATGATATACGTGTACGCCAACGTAGATCCCATGGGCAAGGTAACACAAATCAAGCCCAATCCAAAAACAACACCGAACCAATGGATATGGTACGAAGCCCCAACGCCATAAAGCAAACATCCAGCAGGATGAAGCACAAGCGCAACGAGACAAATCCAAAGTCGTTGTTCAGGCTCCATAATACCATGATTGCGACGAGACAAGAAGACGGCGAGTTTATCTGAAAAGTGGCCGGAGATTACACAACCAATGGAGACGCCGATGAGAGAGGCGAGATAGGTGAGACCGATTGTGTTGGCGCTGAAGTTGTAGGGTGCGTTACCGAAGATGAGCGCTTGAGAGCCGCCGACGACGTTGTACCAGGAGAGGATGCCTCCGACGAGGAGGCCGCTGAAGAACATGCCGGGAAACTTGAGGAGCAGTTGGAATGGCATGATGATCATTTGGAAGGAGATCTTCTGGCTCGGGTTGTGGTAGCCCCAGAGTTTGAGTTTCTCGGTGTAGGTTCTGGTAGGGCTGGTCGACATTGGAGGCGAGTACTCGGTGACGGGCGAGGCTGATCTTTCTTGAGTGATGTAGTTCTTTTCTGAGTCACTGGAGGCCATCATTTCTGGTGTTTTTGTCATGTCCGCAGCTGTCGATGTAGCAATACCGGTCTGCTGAGCGTGGACGAGGAACTTTTCGTGATCGCGCTGGAACATGGTTTCTTCGAAGAAGAAGTAACTTCCGATAGCAAGAGTAGCACCAACAATGGTCAGGATGTACTGAATCCACTGCCAACCAAGTTCTTGAGCGACGTAACCTGATGCCACAGGACACAAGAAGGCGCCGGCGAATAGAGACCAAGCATAGAGGCCGAGATAGAAGCCTCTGTCATGCGTAAAGTATAGATCTCCAACAACAATCTCGATGAGTGTCTCTTGTGGCGAGGTGAATGTTCCAAGTAAGAAGCGATTGGCAAAGAATTCTCCCCTTGTCTTGACAAAGGCAGTCCAGATGGTCATGGCAGTGACCAAGACAGCACATCCGACGAGAGTCAATCGACGACCATAAGTAAGAGCAAATCGTTGTGTCAGAAGAGTTCCCCAGCCCATCATGAGATACATCAGACCATTGCCAGTGCTCAGATCAGCGACCGAAATGCCAGTATCTTCCTCAATGAGGATGTATGCAGGTGATAGCCCAGAGATCATGGCACCGATGAAGAAGCACCACGCAAGGGCAGTGACCAAACTCGTCATCTTTCTGGACTTTCCCCAGCGAAGAGGGTCGTTCGGGTCATCCGTAGGTTGAGGGACCAAGACAATCTCCTTGTGTCCTGCGCCATGCTCGACATGTAGGATGCCAGCCGTGTCGATGAGCTGGACGGTTCCAGGGATCGGGATGTCAGTGTTCATTACGAAGGTGTTGATAAGCTCAGTGAGTCGTAAGCCTGTCAAATGTCGATAACAAAACAAGTTGATGGTGGATGGTCTCAGGAGATCGTCGCAGCTCTTGTATTCCGAATAACCACTCCTTCCAGGGTCCTACAATCAGCATACCCCAACATCTAACAAATCTCGTGTGATTGCCATATCTTGAGGAGATACGCGGATGCCTGCCAAGTGGCTAGACTCTGTTATCTTTGGGGTAATGCAGGGATATGAGTGCGGGGTACGCACACCAACAGAGTCATGGTATCAACGACGTCTGTTACCAGATATAGGCATAAGTATCCTTGTTCTTGGGGTCAGATCAAGATATGGAAGAGGAGACAATGGCTGAGTCTATCATAGTTTGGCTGGACTGCTTCGAGAAACATTAGCAACTTGGGCTTTTAAGGAAGCCGGCACTCTGTTTCACCTAGGTCAGGATTTTGTACGTTTATATCGTGGAAAGAGCCGTTTGATCCAGTGTGCTATTTAGACGTCTTTGCTCCTTCAGGTGGGCTACTCTTCTTCTTAAATTCATCGCACATCTGCTCCATCGTCACCCATTCCACACCCTCATGCTTGTTGATGTACTCAATCAGCCTGAGAAGTCAGTATCGATCTTTTCTTATAGTTTCCTGACAACATACCTCTCGTGCATGAGGAGCACATGGGGTCTCCCTGACACATCGGGGTGAACAGTAAGTGGGAATACGCAGATCTCGTTCGGGTCATCAGCCATCTCTCTGTAGAAGTAGTCAAAGTGATCTCTCCACAGATCTTCAACATCGCGTGCGTTGACATAGCCGTGACTGTTAGGAGCGTCTTTGATGAACAGCATGGGGGGTAGACTATTGAGATGCATGTCAGTAAGTGCGACTCTCAAACAAGTTCAGTCATAATTGCCGCAGAAATACTCACTGTGAGATGTCAGTCATGTTCACCTATACAAGGAGGCCCCTTCATTGAACTTACCTCGTCCAAATACCAGTTCGCCGGAATCTCCACAAGATTGGTCTCTCTGCCATAAACCAACGGCTTCATCCAAGTCTCGGCTTTTTGCTTGTAGTCAATCTTGGTCCAGCTATCTCCAGTTCGCAGCCAGTACATGTGGCAGTCATCATGAGACATGGAGTGATCGTATTCAATACCATAACTTAGCAACAAGTCGGCGCCTTCTTTGCTGGTCTCCCACCAAGGAGCGACACTACCGCGAGGAGGTTTGCCACAGAAATCCGTCAACATCTTGTGAGTCTTCTCCAGGACATCACGCTGTTGCTCCATTGTCATGTCCGTAGGGTTCTCATGTGAGTATCCTGTGACATGTTAGCGATAGAAGGTCATCAAAACACTGCTTCCATTACCGTGAAGGCCAATCTCATGACCTGCATCTCGGACCATCGCGCATTCTTCGGGAAACGTTTCGAGTGTGTGGCCGGGAATGAACCATGTTGCTTTGATATTGTACTTATCAAACAGCTTCAGCATTCGGCGAGTTCCATGCGTTCCTGCAAACAAGCCACGGGAAATATCATTGGGAGAGTCTTGTCCGCCGTATGAACCAAGCCAGCCAGAGACGGCGTCAATGTCGACACCGTAGGAGCAGAGAATACGTTTAGGCATGGTGAGATTGAGATCCGAAAGTGATGAATTGGCGCTTCAAGTTGGCTTTCCAGAACCTAACTGGAGACTCTCATATACTTGGTACTGACTGAGTCGTGGTGTGACGGTCAGGAGGGTCCGATTGTCGGGGTGTGGGGTAGTCGAGATAGGCGAGATTAGACTTTTCGAAACAACCCCACGACTCCAAATCCGGAGCATGACCCCATGAAATGTGCAATTGAATTGGTCGAAGTTCGTAACAAGATCATCAAAGTATTGGGAGAACACACAACATTGCTCAATATCATTGCAAAGGTACAACATGGCTTCTCAGCACGAACTACCTACTCGTATGAGAGCTGCGTACATTGCAGAAGTAAGTGAGACGAGACAAGGCCCGATGCATGACAGACACTGATTGGAAACAGTACAACAAACCATACGCTCTTGGCGAACGACTGTTACCTATCATCAGAGACAACGAATTGCTCGTGCGAGTCCACGCCGCTGGTTTCTGTCACTCAGACTTGCAAGCTTTGCTTGGAGAATTTACAAAGCCTGCACCCATAGGCCTCATCCCTTCGCATGAGATAGCCGGCACCATTGCAAGTGTTGGGCCAGACTACCATGGTCATCTTCAAGTTGGAGACAGAGTTGGAGTGTTGAACTTCAAGAATTCGTGCGGCTCTTGCGTTGGCTGCAACCTGAGCAAGCGGACCGGCAATAATCTCGACCCGCGATTCTGTGATGCCAGAGAAACAGCTGGGTTTCTGCATGATGGAGGATTCGCTGACTATGTCGCTGCTGATCCTGAGACGACAGTCAAGCTTCCGGACTCTGTTTCTTTCGCTCAAGCTGCGCCTCTGATGTGTGCTGGAGCGACAGTCTGGGGGTCTCTCGAGCAAGCGACTGTGGGAGTAGCTCCAGGAGAATTTGTCGCCATCATTGGTATTGGCGGTCTCGGACATCTCGGACTTCAGTATGCCAAGGCGCTAGGATACCGGACTATCGCTGTGGATACTCGCGAAGCAGGGAGGAAATTGGCGGAAAACATGAAGAATGAAGATCTTGAGCCAGATCTTGTGGTAGACCCTTCTGACCAAGAAGCGGCATCCAAGACGATCTATGAGCTCACCAGGGGAGAAGGTGTTGCTGCAGCGATCGTGTGCACTGCGTCAATCGAGGCCAATCGTTGGGCACTTTCTCTACTGCGGATCAGAGGCACATTGGGCCTGCTCGGTCTCCCGCAAACACCCTGGCAGTTCGATGCTGCGCCCATCGTGTTCCGAGAGCTTTCAATCAAGGGCAGCTACGTTTGTGGTAGAGAAGCAGCTGAAAGAATGATGAAAGTGGTGGAGAAGCATGGAGTCATCTCGCACCTTACAATCATCCCTTTCGAACGGATACCGGAGATTGTTAAGATCTATGAGAACTCGAGCTTCCAAGGCCGCATAGTAGTCAAGATGTCTGATTAGTATTCGATTCTATTCATGATCTCAAGAGTCTCCTTCAGTACGGCCTGTGTTGTCAATTCTGACTGCCAAGCCTGTCGGGGTGTAGCTTGCAAGTGATCGGCAGTGAGTGGAGTCGAACAAAACTACCCCAACAAGGAGATACGACCCAATGACTCTTTGGAGTCGACTTGGAGCTCAAAGATGTCTGTTGCTCTGCTTACTAGCTTTCTGTATCACATCCGGAGTCTTCAACGTATCGGTAGAGTCGGTGTATCCTTGACACAACCGAAAGCATGTCCGTCTTCTTCAAAAATATTCAACCGTGAGTATAGCGCTTGAGATCACTTTGTCGCACGTTGTTAACAACAGATCCAGTGGCAATCCAGTGAAGGCAGGCGATGTTGAATCTCTGCTTGAACCACTCGGTCTCGGTGTTCGTCCTGAAGAAGCTGCCGAATATCAACTTCTCCTTGCTGCAGCTCACGACTGTGCCGAAAGGATCAATAAACTTCCAGATTATCAGCCTGTTCCAGATGAAGGGCGTTTTCCACGTCGGGATATCCGTGTGCCGGGTGAGAATGAGCAAAGCTTCGGCCATGCATGGGCACATCGCTTCATCATCGAGGGAGATCAGTCTTCGACGTCAGCGATCACGGGCAAGACTGTCTGTGTGAAGGACTGCATTGCTGTAGCGAAAGTGCCACAGTTCTTCGGAAGCGATGCCTTCCCGGCTTGGACTCCCAGTACTGATGCGACGGTCGTCACAAGAGTTCTGGAAGCTGGAGTTAATGTTGTTGGGACTGCCACCTGCGAGAACTTCTGCAATTCGACATCTTCATTTACAAGTGCTCAAGGTATTGTCCACAATCCACATCAGACTGGCTATTCCGCGGGTGGTAGCACTTCCGGAGGTGCTGCTCTTGTGGCTGGTGGAGTGGTAGACATGGCAATTGGTACCGATCAAGGAGGCAGTATTCGTGTCCCTGCTTCACTTTGTGGTTGTGTTGGTTTCAAGCCAACTCATGGTCTTGTGCCTTACACTGGAATCACGAGTGGTGATCAGATTGATGATCATGCTGGACCCCTTGCAAATTCAGTCAACGATGTCGCGGCTTGTCTGGACGCTATTGCTGGATATGACGGTATTGACGACCGGTCTCTCGGAGCAGCTCAGCATGGATCATTCGGTTTCCAGAAGTCACTGAAAGGAGGTCGACTGGAAGGCATCCGTATTGGTGTGCTGCGTGAAGGTTATGACAATGACTTGGTTCAGGCTGATGTGAAGAAAGTCTTCTTTGAGGCTGTCGCAAGACTCAAGGCGCTTGGTGCGACAGTAGAAGAAGTCTCCATTCCTTTGCATAACGAAGGACCCTCAATCTGGACGATTCAACAACGCATCTCTGGCTCGGCAGGTATCCTTGGTCAAGCCAATGGTCGCAGAGGACTGTACCTGACTGAATTCGAGCATGCACGCCTGCCATGGACGGCGAACAACTTCGAAAAGCTGTTCCCTTCCACCAAGAACACGGTCATCAACGGACTGTACTTACAAAAGCAGTTCCCTGGTTTGTACGCGAAGACGATGAATGTTGGTAGACAGATTCGCGACGCGTATGAAGCAGAATTGGAAAAGTATGATGTCATCATTATGCCCACGACGCCATATGTTGCGCCAAAGAACGGATCAAGAGAATCCGTGTTGAAGTCTTTTGAGCCGAGTATCGGATTGACCAGCAATACAGCCATCTTCAATGTGACTGGACATCCAGCATTGTCCCTTCCGGTTGGATGGTCGGCAGCTGCGGGTGATGAGTCGGTGTTGCTGCCTGTCGGTTTGCAAATAGTAGGCGGTCTCTGGCAGGAGAAAAAGATCTTGCATGTCGCAGAGGCATTAGAAGATAGCTTTGATTGGAGATCTCAGAAAGTGGCATAGATGTACGACTCCGAGTCGAAAGTAGTGCGACTGGAGATCCACCAAAGACATCATAATTGCTTCGTTTTATTCCAATTAAGCCCGGCATTATCGCGTACGTCATAGATTTCCCCTTCGAACGTTTCCACGTCTGGACATGGTGTTTGGACTGCCGCTGTCCTATACCATCGTGGCTGAGAAGGAGAATCCGAAACACAAATCCACTCCTTGTACCACCATGACCATACGAAATACGCCAAGTCCAGCTCGAACACTTCAAAGATTATTGAAGTGACCGAGAGTGAGTCTCAGAAGCATGTAGAGTAGCAGATGGTGGTGTTGTTGTCGATTTCATGCTCTACATGCTTGTTGAGGGCATCACCCTGTTTCGGCGGAGTTGGGGTAGAGACACAACGCCGTTGGGGTCAGAGCGGGGCTTGCTATCAGCGTTATCTTTGCCAAGCGCTTTGACCCGAGCTTGGGGAGATTGCATAGTGCCTGCCCCAACAATCTGCTCTCCTTGTCTCCAACACCACTCCAACGCTACGAATGATAGCACGAAATGCCTAGCGCTTCAGGGCCACAGGCCTCCACAAACAAGCGGCGAAAACTTGATGGTCCTGCTCGAGGTGGTAATGCGCGACTTTGCCCACATTGCGGGCGCACTTTCAAACGAACGGAGCATCTGGCGCGGCATGTGCGGACGCGTGAGTCTGTCTAATCATCATCAAACAACATCCTGTATTCATAGTCCATCGAAATAGACACCAAGGAAAAGCCTTTTCCATGCGAATGTGGAGCTGCTTTTGGACGACGTGACTTGCTCACGCGACATCGAAGAGTGAATCACCATGAGGACAGTAATGGAGCACCGAATGCCACATCAACGCAACCAGAGTCTGCAGGAGCATTACAGAGCGAGCCTGGTGATGATGTTGACTCGACCGATATTACCGCTGCTGAAGTGAACCCAGACGAGGGTCCATGGTTCGAGCAACAGCCTCAGACAAACACATCGTATCATCAGCCAACAATTGCATTGAATGATGGCCATCATCAGGGTCTGCTCCCAACTGGACAACATGATCCTGTACTCCTGTCGCCTCGAATGCCGGACAACGGCGACCTTATGCAGATGGGCGAGGGCTTACCATCATTGACACCATCTGGCGTTGATGTCGACATGCATTTCCGAGACTTTGCCAGCTTCCTTGACGGTGTCGGCTTGTGTGTTGAATGGAGTCCAATCTTCAATAATGTGGAGAGACCAGAGGACTTTGGTAACCTTGGTCTGACTGAAGGAACTGATCAACCGGTACCTGCTGAGGCAGATGTTCGAGCAAGAGCAGGCTCACCGTTCAGTACGTGGCTGCCGTCCGCTCCTACGAAAGACCGAAACTCCAGCAATGTCTGTGATCTTGCCAGTAAGTTTTGCCGCTCTTCGAACAATGCCAAGATCACTCACAAGTCCAAGATCCTCGTGTCGCTGATCCCGAGATTCGTCGTTTCGACGTGACGGAGGAGCAGCGTGTCAAGCTTGATCAGATTATCCGCTCCTCTTCCCATATCTTGGACCCTGCATTCCATCTGCCTTCACGCCACGCTCTCACTCGGTACATCAAGTCTTTCTTTGGCGGTTTCCACCTGCACATGCCCTTCATACACGTTCCTACCTGGCATCTGTACGATCATCCTGTAGAAGTCATCTTTGGGATTGCGGCTATCGGTGCTCAATACTGCTTTGAGAAGAGAGCGGCAGAACAACTCTTCTTTGCTGGGAAAGCTTTTGTTATGGACAGACTCGCAAGACCGCCCGAAACGCTTGCATCTCCTTCTCTCCTCGTTATGGATTCGGTGACTCCATCGGTGGATCAGCATCAGCCAACAACCCAAAACACCGAAGGCGAGTCTATTGAGACAATCAGAGCTTTGCTCACCCTCATGGGATACGCAACCTGGGATCCGCAACCATCAACAGTCCGTCAGTCTTTTGCATTGCAAGAACTACTTACGCAGATCTTGAGGAATGAAGGCTTGGAAGATGTCAAGGAGTCGCTGTTACCCTCAGAGCTGGGACGGAATTCTGGTCACCTCTTGGAGCAAGACTGGCGTTCGTGGGTTGAGAAAGAGTCTACTCGACGTACAAAGCTGGTTGCATTCTCTTTCATCCACACCCACAGTATCGCATACGACGTCTACCCTCCACTGCGCAGTAATGAGATTGGCCTTCGATTGCCCTGCTCGACCCTGGAGTGGAATGCTCCAAATGCTCTGTCCTGGCATGCTGCCCGAAAAGCGACCCCAAAGCCACAACTATTCTTCAAAGAAGCGCTTTCTTTCCTCTTGGACCACAAGCACGAACCTGCAAGATTAGACCCCATCCCGACACCTCTGGGGAACTATGTCTTGCTTCACGGGTTGATTCAAAGGATACACATTGTCAGAGATCTGAGTTTGCCCATCATGAGCGACATGGCAGCTTTACCGCCAGAGGAAGTCGAGAAGCTTGAGTAAGACTTTACACACATGACTTGATTAACTTCGGACTAACTGATCAGACGCGGTCTTCGATGCTGGACGTCAGGCTGGCAACAAGCTCCAGAGTCGTCGCTTGATCCGAACAACGAGAACGGTCCCATACCTTTTACTTCCAGTTCTCTGCTCGCCCTCGCCTATGCACGCATCTATCTCAACCTCGGACCGTATCGTCAGCTTCAGACGCGGGAGCCTCAGCGTATCGCCCGTGCTTTGACGAGATGTCCTGAGATTGAACGTAGCGAAGGAGTGATTGCGGCGCTGCTCTATGCGACTCACATGCTTGGTATTCCAGTCAAACTCGGCGTTGATCGAGTAGCAAAAAGTCAAGCCTTCTTTTGGAGTGTGAGGCATTCCTTGGCTAGTCTGGATTGTGCAATCTTGCTGAGTAAATGGCTCACGATTGTGGCGAGCACTTCGGCTACGAGCCCACTGACTGGTGAGTGTTCTATCACACAAGGGAAAGCTGAGTACTGACAATTAAGTAGATAGCGAAGAGAGAATCCTGTACTGGGTCAAATGTATCGTTGAAGAGGCTTACGCGGTGGTTGACTTTGACGACACACCAGCCGAGGACATCGACTTCCAGAACTCCGCAGATCTCGCCCTGGCTGTTCTTAGGATCTGGGCACACTTCTTCAAGAGCAATTCACAGTGGCCATTCATCAACATCATCGGCCATGGTCTGGAAGCATATCGGAATACGCTCGTTCATGCAAAAGTCTGATTCATGATATCGTCAACTGGTTCACTCTATCTCTACGCCAGCGCTACCTTTGCTCCATACTTGTTGACGCATGTCACTCCAATCTCTTCGGTCCAAGGACGATTATCCCTCGCCTCGATCGACTCAAATTCCTGGAGCAAGCGCACAGTAACATAGCTTGCTTCCATCAATGCCAATTGCTGCCCCAAGCAAATTCGAGGCCCAGCATTGAATGGCATGTATGAAAAGCCTGGCCTGATTCCCTTCCCTTCATCGGTGTCAAGCCATCTTTCTGGATGAAACTCCTCTGCATCGTCACCGAACACGTTCTTATCTCGCTGCATAGCATATGACGAGTAGATCACCGGCTGCCCCTTTGCTACAAAGACTGGCTGTGTACCATCGGGTCCTCCACCTTTGGGCAATGTCGTCGGAACTGTAGCCTCGCGAGTGTTGAGTGGAATTACAGGATGGAGTCGCAGAGACTCTTTGAAGACCGCAGAGAGATATGTCAAATTCTTCAACTCCTCGAAAGTCGGACGTTTCTGAGGAGGAAGATCTGAGGCGATTTCCTTTCGCAGACGTGCGACAATGTCGGGTCTGTGGGAGAGAACGTGCCAGGTATTGGTCAGCAGACTCGCAGTTGTGTCCCGACCTGCAATCAGAATATTCAACAGCTCCGTTCGAATTCTGACGACGTCGTTTGTTTGCCGTGAAAGCTCGTGCAAGAAGGTATGGCGCGACGGAAACTTTGCTCCATCCTTGGCGTCTTCCAGTGTCCGCCTAACATAGCGATCGATGAAGTTGTATAGATATCTTCTCTCTGCTTGGAACTTGGTGCGACCGAAGAACAGACCAAGACGACCAACTCTCGAGAGCTTTCCAATATACTTCAGACCTCCACTGAATGCTTCACAAAACCCATCTTCCACGCCTCTCTCCAGTGACTCTGTCGGTTCACCGAAAAGATACTCCGTGGCAAAGTCGGTGGTCATGCGAAAGAACAGGTCACCGAGATCGACAGAATTCTGATCTTGCTGCAGTCGGATGGCTTTGATCAAACTCTCAGAGTGTCGTTCCAACATCTCCACATTACCAATCTCGCCGCGGGTGAAACTGGGCTTCAGCATTGCCCTAGAATGCTTCCAAGCATCCCCGTCGGTCGTGAAGATACCATGTCCGAGTAAACGAGTGTATGCTGTCTTCCTCAATGCGGACAATTCCCAAGAGTCGAATTGTGTGACCAACATCGCTCTGACATTCTCAGGATCAATGGTGTAAATCACGGACTGTCCGTTTGTCATCATCGAGAAGGTCTTGGTCTGCATCTTTTGGAAGCGTGAGAAGTTTGCTTCCAGGAGTCTGCTAGCTTTGCTGATTTTGACGACTTTGAGAATGGTTCCCAGGCCGAAGAGGGAGCCTTCGCGGACTGGCATGGCACCGCAATGTTGACTGCGAGCATAATTGCGGTTCTGGATGGAGATGACGATGAAGTTGAGAATATGGTATAAGAGAGTTATGCCACCAAGCGCGACAATGATTTGTACCGGCGACAGCTCGGTGTTGAGGACAATCATATTTGCGAGATTATTCTGGAATGAAACGAGTCTGGCAATGACCGAGGACCTTGCTGGTTTTATTGAAATTCAAGCTATGGAATCTTTTCCAAGCATCTGCCAACGTCATATTTTGATGCTCATGAGTATCTTCAGACCATGATATGCCATGTGGAGACCGTAGATTGGAGGTGAAAGCCAAAGTTGTGGAGCCCCAGATTCAGGGATATCTTCTCTGTGCTTTGCTTTGTTTCAACAGATGATGCGACAACCGCAACAGGCACGGATCAGCTCATGTGCTGTATTACGCCTCTGATAAGATCGAATACGGAGTGTTGAAGCAGGATACCCTTTTGGCCCATGCGTCAGCCTCACGGTCTCATGAGGTATGACGACGTTGAGAGAATGTCAAGTTGTCAACTATCAAAAGAGGCGTATGCATCTCTGGATCAGTACAGTACATGCACTCGGATGCTGGCATTCGCCATTGTCGATAGTAGCACTGTGTTTTCATCGCAAGGTCGAGAATAAGCCACGTCCGTCACCGACATCTACCTTCGAAATTGATGAGACCTGCTTTAGAACTCCGCACAATTCAGCCTCTTGGTGAGCAACTTGTGAGGTAGCATCTAGTGCACGGGGAATGGGTAGAACAAAGCGATGGAAGGCCCTGACGAGCTGGGTGTTCCTCATAGCCTGCTTCGAGTAAAAGTGATTGACATGCCCTGTGTTGTTGATGAAAGTCCGATTGTAGATCTATGCATGGGATCTTACCAGCATGGTGGGTTGAGTGATGATCGAAAAACGGCCGACGGAAGGGTCCAAACTTTGGAGATTCGTTGACTCGCGGTCATTGCTCCGTTAGCCGCATCTTGTCTATTCACCTCACACATCATCCGGTGAGAACTGTTTGAGTGTTCTTCCTGTCAATTGTGATAACACGACGCTGGCGAAGATTGTGCAAGACGCGAGTCGCAAGATGTTGAGGCGGATTTACTTTGTCATGGTTGAACTTCGGCTTCCTCAACTCACGGACCAAAAGGACCCTGCGCGCACAGCCTTCTCTTTTTGCTTGATCCATTTCGGGCGAATGCACACTCCATACCGTTTCTTCCATATGATGGCATGCTGAATTTCTGGAGTCGTTGAATCTGGGGACAACATTACGCGTTGTCTTGATCTTTCACATGTGAATCTCAACAATTGCGCGACTCGACCACGTGCGTCATTCTTGGTCCCTTCGGCCTCAATCCCGAAGCTCGAAATAATCGTTGGCTGAACGTCTCATCATGTCGTCGCTGTTTGATCGTGTCTTGTACACAACAGTAGGGCTTGCCTCGCTGGCTGTTCGGACTGTATTGGGATACTTCGAGGACGACGCCGAGCATCGATGGGATGGAGAACGTAAGTTTTGAGTGGCTTGGGTCCTCCAACATGATCAAACACGACCTGACGTCCAGTCAAGCAGACAGAGATGACAATGAAGTCGAAAGCTGCTTTCTTGAATTGGAGAATGGTGTTCGCATACACTATCGTCGCCCTCGCAAAGATGTTTCCGTGCCCAAGCTAGTCATATTCGTTCATGGCTTCCCCGATTCATGCCATCTCTGGACGAGATACCTCAACTCTGACTTGAACTCACAAGCACAACTGGTCGCTCTCGACTTGCCTGGATTCGGAGAAAGCGACAATCTGCCTGCATATGGACCGGACGATGTGTTGACCACGATTCACCTGACCATCCTCGCGCTCAAGAAGAAGTACGGCTCGACGCATTGCACTGTTGTTGCCCATGACTGGGGTGGTATCATCACATCTCGCATTGCTGCTCAAACCGAAGGCCTTATCGATCACTTGGTATTGGTCAACTCGCTCTTCGTAAGTCATCAGGACTGCAAGGTGCCTCTGCCCAAATTCGCTGATTACATCGCGAAGGTACCACATTTCGGACACATGATCAACCAGCGGATTGAGAGAGCTGGTCAACTCATTTCCGCAGGTCCTAAAGCTGGCTTTTACAAGTCATGGCTCGCATCAATCAAGAAAGAAGCCGGCCCTGTAGCTTCACAGCTGTACCGTTCGCATTACGTACGGGATCACGACTACTATTGACAAGCAAAGACTGACATTGCCAGATCTTCATGTTTCAACTTCCGTTCTTCTCGGCGAACCGCTTCCCTTCAGCGATGAGGTCTCTTCTTGGGGCGTGTCGTAGGTGGGCAGAAGCAGAGAAGAGACATGATCTCTCTCAGCACGACGGTGTCTTTGGTCTTGCTGGACGTCAATGGAAGATGACAGCAGATTCATGGCATGGTCGAGTGGCTCTGTACCGGGAGAGTCTCATGTCTGGACCTTGGACTTCTGCACCGCCAACGTCGAATGGCGGTATTTTGGACGACAAAACCATCAAGTGCACCACAACAGTCATTTTCGGGCTCGGAGACCAGGCTCTGGATAGCAGGATCGCTGTTGAAGGTATCGAATCATTCATTCAGCCACCCGAAGGTCATGCGAAAGGTCACGCATATATGCTGGAAGGTGTTGGCCATTGGTCACCACTCAATGCTCCATGCCATGAAGTCGTTCGGAAGGTGCTCGAAACGGATCTCTCGGGCAGACTGACGGGAGCCGGATCTCCTCCAGCCATGGGAACGCTTTGCGACTTCCCTGGATTGACGGAGAAGAAGCTCATACAGATTCAATCTTCGCTCACCTCCGTTTCCTCTTCAATCGAAGACGCGTGGTATGAGTCAACATCAAGGAGCCATTACAGCGACGACGGGGACATTCAACATGTAGAGACGCCCTTTCAGAGCCGGGAGCCATGCATACTCGCCTCCAAAAAGTACTTCCGTCTTGAATCTGGCCAATCCAGCTTGCTACTCCAGGTCAGCAGCGGTGAGTGCGATGAGTTCATGTTCACCTCCCTCTTCGAGTATAGCTTCTTCAATTGGACCTTCCCAATTCATCACGTTGTTACCTTGGCTTTAATTCGTCCTCCAACAGGTTATTCGTCGCAGAGGTCAAGGAGACAACTAATGCGCGACCGTTTCCATCACGGTACCTCGCTGCGGAGATACTGCTCATTTTGCCAATGGTATGCAGACGTGCCGAGGTAAACAGCAATGACCACCGAATAAATTAATATGACTTGAAGCCTAATATACAGATTGCGGGGTAGTCGTTTCAGCACGATCGCGTGCTCTGTCACCAAGCAATCGAACAATCTCGAAGGTCCAATCGCATGAGGGGTGTTGTATAGTGAAAGTTTGTAAGCGAAGGACTTACGTGCGAAGGTCTTTTCAACTTCTGGACTTGTCGTCGATTTGCTCGCTCACGCATCAAACTATTGATTTCGGTTCTGACAAGGCCAACGTGACCAGACCGACCGATCTTTGAAGACTGTGCTGAAAGCTAGGTCCTCGCTTGATTCGCCTTATGAGGTATTGATGAGACATCTGGCAGGGGTTGATGAATGAATATATAAGATGTCTTGCTCTGTTGCAATGAAGGTTGGCAGCAGCATTTCCACTTCTCTTCCGTTTCTCCAGCTCCTCCATCTCTGGACTATTCTCTCTGAACATGTCTTCAATTCTCGCTTGGACAAAGGCTGCTTGCCTTCTTCTTCTTGCATCTGAAGCTTTTGCTAGCCCAATTGAGCTTGAGAAGAGAGCGGTATGCACAGCTTACAGTATGTTTGTGCTTGAGCATGTCGGTGACCAAAGAGGATTCTGACATCAAAACAGCTTTGATTGAGACCCGTGGTACTGGCGAACCTCAGGGACCATCGAACAGCTTCAAGACGATGGATGCAGCAATCATTGCCCAACTCGCTGGCGGTACCGAGGTTTGTGCTCTCTAACGCCTGCGAAATACACGAAACTGATTTGATCTCAGTACAACACTGTTTACCCTGCAAGCATTGACCAAAACTCGGCCAAGGGTACTGCTGATGTGAGTCAAACAGCAACCACTTCACACCGTTCGTCACTGACATTTACAGATCATCAACCAAATCACCACTGGTTTGAAGTCCAACCCCAACAGATGTTTCATCCTCGAAGGATACTCTCAAGGCGCTGCTGCAACTGTCGATGCCATGTCAAAGATCACCGGCGCCAATTTTGATGCAGTCAAGGGTGTCTTCCTCATCGGCAACCCTCACCACAAGTCGGGCCTTGCATGCAATGTCGACTCCAACGGCGGCACGACTACTAAGAATGTCAATGGACTTACTGTCCTTGTTGGCAGCATCCCTGCAAACTGGGTTGGCAAGACTTTGGACGTCTGCGCATATGTGAGTGGTGACTGCTGTTAGAAGAAGGAACTTGATGTGCTGACTTGATACAGGGTGATGGCGTTTGCGACACTGCTCATGGCTTTGGAATTACTGCTCAACATTTGTCTTACAAGTCTGATGCCAACGTTCAGAACCAGGGCATCAAGTTTGTTCTTGGAAAGCTTCGCGGTACTTAGACACATGCATTGCACGATGAAGGATTGAGTGTAGTGAAAAGGTGAAATTGAAAACTGTGAGCTAGCATATATTCATTCGAAATCACAAATTTCCCTTTTCCATCGCGTTTGCTTCATCATCGAAGGTTACCGCTGTCACGAATTCGAGTTCAGTCTCCCAAGGTGGAGGAATGCTACTGATTGAAGTATCGCTGTACATTCCTGAGGCGCTGATGTCTGATTTCGGTTCGGTGCCTTCAGAGTGTGAGTCGCGCTTCTCTGCATTAATGCTGATCTTATTGACCCCTTGCTCGGCCTCGACTACACCACGTCCGCTGATGCATGCTTGCATAGTCTTGTCGAGCAGTGGACGAAGGGTGGCGATGTTCGCAGCAAGTATCCCAACGCCTGGTTCAATAATACTCCAGATCAAGAAATTGGTAGTACCTATCCAATAACTGGTCGCTTTATCGAGCCTCGTGTAGCTGGCGACTCTTGGGATAGCAGTACACGACCCAACCACCGCTATTGCCATGACAGCTACTGCTGAGATCTTCGTCGCACGAGGGAGTCGACTTCTGAGCAAGATCATCACCGGGATAAGAGCAAAGAACCAATCTGTCAGAACGTTTGAGACGCCCCATGTAACACCCAGTATAAGCGTCGTCCGTGGTGAAATGCATTTTCCACCTTTCATGGTCTTCTTCAGGATATCATCTGGCAAGCCGCAGAAGAAGAGACTGAACAGGAAAACACCAGATGTCCAGAAAAGAAGAAAGATAGTAATGCCCCAGATGCTACGCCTGGCCCAGCGATCGATGACGAAGCGAAGGAAGAAGAGTGCCAGGGATAATTTGAGCAATAGATTTGTGACGAGATATGTCGCGGTGCTGATGACGAGTAAATCATATGACTGTCGATTTGTTAGTGTGGGCATTGTGATAGAAGGTTCACTTTTGGATACCTTCACATATGGTTTGAGGCCTTTTTGGGGAGTCAGAGCTGTCTCAATTGCTGCCCACTTGAACAGTAGCCCACAAGTGATTACGTAGCATGCCTTTTGAAGTTGTCAGTAAGTGGTTGTAGTATGCCATGCAAAGTGTTGAAGCTCACCTGTGTCACAAGCATAGCCCAGTCATCTTTACCCCAGCAAGCTACAATTTTGGTCCGAACCCAAATCCGCAAGATCAATGAGACTGCGGTCAAGGTGATGAAGACAGCGCCAAGACTGATTAGAAGGGTAGCACTGCGGTGGATGGCCGCTTCAGCCGGAGGAGCGAAAAATGTAGACATGGTATGATCGGATCCAAGATGAACACACGAGTGCAAAGAACCTTGCGGCTCGAATACGCAGTAAGTCGACTTATATCCACCTGGTGATCATAGTTCAACGGTATAGCCACCGACGATTCTGCCCGGGATACCAATACATGGTGACTTATCCTAAGACATAAGAAATACCCTGAAGCCCTGGAGTATAACACCAAACAAGAAGGTATATAATAGATTATATAGCTGGATCTAATGAGCTTTCGGACTTTGCGCCCGCAACGTTGGAGAATGTAATTCGAATGCGGGAAGCCGATTGCATTGACCGTTGACGAGAGATTTCATGGAGATCTCAACGGTCGGATCTTGAGCTGCCTCCTCCAACCAGTTTGCAAGTTGAGCCGCGGAGTACCGAAGCCGTCAACGTTGTCTATAAGCCGTTGCAGTAAGGAGAGACATTCTGGAATGAATTGAATGTCACTGTCAAACTTATACAGCTGCCTCGCCGCTTCTAGTTGCATTTCTGATTGATTTCGAATACATTGTCACAGGCATAGTTTGGAAAGCTGATAGGCAGAGACATTGCCGAGTGTCGCAATATGTATTTCCTGTCAGACAATAGCCGAGACCATGACGCTGTCAACTGTAAAGTCCACTCCTCTCAAACACGCAGGCCAGAAATGACAGAACCGAGTGCCGCTGGCTCATTGCGACTCCCAGGGATTGAAGAGATGAGATTGATTGCAGCTGATGCAGGTGTCGCGTTCAAGGCTGCATCCGTCGTCTCAACACTCTGGACTCTGAAATTAGGCGCGACAAGCCTCGAACGTATCTTTTCTCCATTGATCATGTCGTTTGTATCGGCTCGGAGGATTGCCCGAGACATGTCAGCCTCGATGCCAGCTTGTACATGTCTCTTGGCTATTCTTGCCCTGGCCAATGAAGGCTCAACGTCGATGAACCACGTGTCGTCGCATAGGGCTGGTATGACGTTCCATGGTTCCTGATCAAGCAAAAGCCAGCTTCCTTCAAGAATGACAAGGGAGGTGTTTGGCCCGATTCTGATTGCGTCCGTCTTTGGATCCTTCATAGCATGATCAAACCCGGGTGCCAGTATCTCAGCTTTCGAGTCCATCTTTGAGCATCGCAGATGTTGTAGGAAGTTGATAAGTTTCGGCGCGTCGAATGTCCAGTCAGCACCTCGCCGAGCATATGCTTCTGCTTTGTTTGGCATCATATCAAGAGTACTTTGAGAGTAGTGGAAGCCATCCATTGGCAAGACCTGAGCCCATGGTTGATAATGATGCTTGTTCAGGCGATCGACGACTTCTTGCGCAGCAGTAGATTTTCCACTTCCTGGAGGTCCAGCAAAGGCAATGATGATTCGTTTGCAGGGATCCTTGTTGCGCTCAGCAGCGTGGATGTTGTGAGCTCGCATGGCAAGAAGACCGTAAGTATGTTCCATGCCGAGTGTCATTGGGAGTGGGATCTGCGACGAACAAGGAGCTGCAGTGAACAACTCACATCTTGAGATGAAGGCTTTGATTGTCTCACTTCTCTACTTTGTTATTTCCAGGAGATGTGCGTGAAAGGAGAGAGTTTGTGGTCTCGGCAAGCGTGTGGGCGCATCGGGGCACAGTGCTCCGACACCAAGCGACGCACCTTGTCACATCCCCCGCTTCGGACCACAGGCAGTTGACGACTCTCCGACAAAGTAGTCAGAACCACCGAAGGAGCTTTCAGACTTCTGAACGCTCTAGGCTACCATTACAGCATCGGACACGTTCTTTCGCGTCGCGGGGTTGCAGCATTTCTCAAAGTCAATATAAACAGCAGTGTTCCCTTCCAAGAACAATCTCCATACACAATCAATACTCTCCACTCGTCGAATCTCTCACGACACAACCTGCAAGATGTCCATGACCCTCGAAGATGCTGCCGTTGTTCGCCAACCCAAGCCCGTACCAAACACGCCAGAAAATGTTCTCGAACAATTCAGCATGAAGGGAAAAGTCGTCGCCATTACTGGAGCATCAGACGGAATTGGTTGGGCAGTTGCAGAGGCTATCGCAGAAGCTGGCGGTGATCTTGCTCTGTGGTACAACACGAACGATGCAGCAATCTCGAAAAGTGAACGAATTGCAAAGAAGCATGGCATTCGCGCCAAAGCATACCAAGTAGAGGTCTCAGATCATGAAGCCGTCAGACTTGGAGTCGATGAGGTTGTAAAAGACTTTGGAAGACTGGATGTTTTCGTCGCGAATGCTGGTATGGCCATCTCAAAAGCCATTACTGAGCAGACGATCGAGGAGTACAGAAAGCAAATGTCTGTGAACGGTGAGTACTTACGCTGTGTATGGTTTGAGGAAATCTTGCTGACATTTTCGCAGTCGACGGTGTTGTGTTCTGTGCGAAGTACGCTGGAGCAGTATTCAAGAGCCAAGGGTTCGGTAATCTAATCATCACATCGAGTATCTCAGCTCACATCGCCAACGTGCCTGTTGATCAACCGGTATGCTATCTTTCCCTCCCATTGTCTTACATGTACTAACACCCTCAGATCTACAACACAACCAAAGCTGCCGTGAACCATCTGGGAAAGAGTTTGGCAAGGGAATGGCGCGACTTTGCAAGAGTCAACATTGTATCACCAGGCTTCTTCGACACCAAGATGGGTGCTTCACCTCTGTGCATCAACGAGGCATACCGTATGACACCACTTGGACGCATGGGAAATGTCAAGGAGATCAAGGGCTTGTTTTTGTACCTTGCTAGCGATGCATCGTCATACCAGACCGGGAGCGACACTATCATCGATGGTGGATATGTCCTTGTGTAGATGGAGAATGAACCATAAGCTTTGATGAATGACCTCTTCTGCCTCCACTTCGTGCTTGAGAGAAGTAGGACGGGAGCATGTAGTTTGTATGATTGATGAGGCATTCAAGAGATTAACAGAAGTACTCAATCAGACGGCAGCTATTCTGTGATCTGGAAAGGATGACCAACGTCGTTCATGCCGTCGAAAAGTGCTTGTAGTGACGGATCTGCAGCAAGACTCCATTCATTGAGCACAAGTTCAGCGATGCCGTAAGAATCGAATGGTTGGTAAGAGCCGACGTTCGAAGGACTTGGTTGGAAGACGCCATCCTGGAATCCCTGTGCCATCTGCAAAGAAAGCTCATGTCGATGATCTAGCTCTCCTGCCTGCCCGCCTGGTACTGCATGCTGCTCGTTCTGAGCACCGAAATGATCGGTTTCTGTGCCTCCAGTTTGAGCACCTGCAGCCTGTCTGAGCATCTCTCGCAGTCGCAGTACAATCTGAAGAGAACGCGCTGCTGCACTGCTTGTGCTGATCAAGCTTTGGAGACATTGACAAGCTTGACCAATGATAGTTTCGTGATCCTGATATTCCTCTTGCGTGTGAATAGACAAGCGACGTTTGAAGATGTATTGTGCGCTGTACGAAAGTGTTGCTTGCAAAGTAAAATACACAGCATACCAGCTTAATCCACAATGGAGAATTTGAGCATACGTCTGGCAGAATGAAGCGATGCCAGAAATCACATTCGCTGACACAGACTGACACCTTGCTCCGAGTGACAGCTTCTCGTGCTCGTCTTTGTGATGCCGTTGACTCGATAAGAGTAGCAGTATCAGGAGATTCGACTCTTTCCACAGCACGATCTGTCGCGGACCCAGGAACCAAGAAGGGACGTTAGAGTCGAAAAAGTATGGCGGCAATGAAGTATGCCAGGTATGAATCATGTGCTCCATGACGGAGGTCTGGTGATCAATATCTGAAGATGGACTGACGCACATGAATTGGGTAAATACTCGGTTGGCGATCTTCGTAAGTCTTGCCAGAGCGATCACAGTCGACGAAGTGGTCGGATATGAAACCTCCCCAACAACAGTCGACGCGGAATCAAGCCCTGACTCGTCCACGTTTGACGGAACACGAATATCGACAAAGGAGTCTGGAATGAGAGTTGGTCTACCAGTTGTGATGTTGAACCAGCAGTCGAAACAGCAAAGTATCCAGAAGAGAATTCGCCTGCGGTGAGAATCGAACGGCTTGACGCCTGCGCTTGGAGGTAGTTCGAGGTGTAGTGCCAGGCCAAGCGCCATCCTCAGCGCTATTCCAATGTAGTTGTATCCTGTGTTTGGTCTGTCACGCTTCTGCAGGTAGTTGCCCAGTAGCAGAAACGCTTGGACATTGTTTAGCGAGCCAGACTCCAAGACCTCCGGACTGATTCTCGATCGTGCAGCCTCGTAGTATATCGAATTCTCCTCACTGCTGTAGCCTGACACCCACTCACCGACGGCAAGCACCATGTAGTACGTGATGTGCCACGTTGACCTGGGAGACATTTGCTTCCGTGCTGCGTACTGTTTTCGAAATGTGCCTTCGTGCAGGATAGGATAGTAGGCATTGTACCCCAGAAAGTAGGCTGTGATCAATTGCTCCTGGATGGAAGATGTGGCCAGAGATTGATTGCTCATGCTTGCAAAGATGCCGGGATTCGCAGCAGTTGGTGAGACTCCAGCGTCGAATCCAGTACTACGAGTTGTCGCATTGACCCCGGATGGAAGAAGCGATGAAACCGATTGCAAGATCTCAAAGCCAGAGCTTTTGCCTGTCGTCAATGGTCAGCTGGTCGCGCAAAGAAGCATCTTCGGAGTTTCCCACCTAGATAACCAGCCCCGTGGCCTTGACGAGTAAGTGATGCCATTCCATCGCGGGAGTATTCACCATCTGGCGATGGATCGTTTGTCCCAGCATCCAAACCTTCGTTCCATTCGTATGGTCCAGATGGAGGATCCTCGGCATTGAGTTGTCGGCGTGGTTCGACGCGAATCTCTTGGCTTGGTTCTGCTTCTGTCTGTTCGGCACCAGAGTTGGCATTTCCTTGTAGTTCTTCCAACAGCATCTCTAGTTGCCTGCAATGCGCTTCGGCCGCATCAAGATTGCGCCGCGTCAAGGGAGTTCGCTCATGTGGGCCATCGAAGGCACATGTTTTACCTGTCTTTTGACAGTATGCGCATGCGTCACCTTCTGCCGCTGCAACACATCTAGTTTTCCTCTTCTGACACTCCAAGCAGGCTCTTTCGGATGCCGCCTTCCGAGATGTTCGATTCGGCGGCATCGATATCGATGATCGGTTGAGGGAAAGTCATGTCGGAGAACAGATGGCGATGGACGAAAGAGGGGCAAAGAGGGGTCTTCCTTGGCGAGCCGTTGCTTTGGAAAGCCTCACAAATCCTTCGGCCAACATCACTCCGATGGTATGGAAGTATGGTTTGTGCAGCGGCGAGTCATTCGGATTACGACAGATGCAATCAATCATATATGTTGAGAGTCGAGCAATGGGAGGGAAGATCACCAACACTTCATCGCTCTACCAGATCCTTGATCGATTCATCCACAATCCCGGATATCCCCGAACATGACCATTTCACTGTTCACCGATGATGCCACTGCACGAGACGAACTTAGCAAGAGAGCCATCCCTCATATGGTTCTAAGCGAAGGATGTGACCAATCCTTGACCGCACCACCAACTTTCGAATTTGGTGCAAACGCCACTGACTGTGCGCTCGGAAGATTCAGAGTCAATGGCAATGCGATAGTCACTGGTGGTCCAGGCACTCCCGGCCTTACAGCTTGTACTGCCCTATTGGAGCATGGTATCTCTGATCTTGCCATCTTCGACGTCAATGCAGCTCAGAGTGAACGCCAGCTTGTGTCACTCAAGAAGCGCTTCCCGTCACGAATCATTGTCTGCTTTCAGGTAGATTTGACCGATGAGACAGCTGTTCAACAAGCCGTCGACAATGCGGCAAAAACACTTAGACCACTCAATCATCTTCTGTGTTTTAGTGGCATCGTCGGTTGTGTGAATGCAATGGACATGTCAGCAGCACAATGGTGTCGCATCATGGATGTCAACACGACTGGATCATTCTTGTGTACTCGGGCAGTAGCACGAAAAATGGCAAAACAGGGAACATGAGGATCGATCATACTCACTGCCTCAATCTCCGCTCATTGCGTTACGTACCATGTCACCCTCACTTATTTTGTGCCTCTCTTAGCGCTCGCACCGAGCAACTTGACCTCGATATCTATCCATATCAGCTGTCGACAAATTTGAAGGAATGACTGGCCTCCATTTATTATCGCCGTGTCGACCCTAATCCGGTGCTCGCTGTTGCTTAGCTTCCTTCTCTACAGTGTAGAATATATCTTCAGAATCGCTCTCGAGCCACCGGATGAAGTTGTGAAGGACTGTCAGGGCATAGACAACTTGGACCTGGATTTCAATAGTATATGGTCACCCACAATCAAACCACCGAACCCGCTGCTTCAGAACATCAAAAGGACGCTCAACAACGCTCCGCGAGCTCGAATGGCGTTTGTCAAATAGCTCTTCCTTATTGTCAGGTCCCAAATTGGCAAGAGCCTGCTCACGAAGGTGATATCTCGTCCCTCGATATGAAGCCAGATATAGGTCCGAATTCGGGTTCCCAGCGTTTGCAAGCCATTTCTTCCCTTCTGGGGCCCTAAATCCCCGAACCTCAGCATCTTTCATGACCCTTTCATCGTACGCACTACCTTCCCATCCTACTAAAACGTGGTAAAATTGCACATCAAATGTTACTACAGCAAGCACATTCTGCGTCAGGGCGCTCTTCCGATTCCGATATGACGATGCTTCCTCCGCTAACACATGCGCGAGAACATGGATTCCATCGAGAGCTCCAATACAATTATCGAAGTAGGAGCGATACTCAGAATCCAAGGCAATCCTCCCATATATCGAACTAGTTGACAGAGTGATTCGCCCGCAGAAGTCAAGATTCGGTCATGATCGAGGCTGTAGGCATACTGGTTGGCGCGTAGAAGGTTGCAAATAGACAAAAGAAAATGGGGCCATAGAGGGTGATTCTCCATGAGAATAGCGCTAGTTGGGCGACGGAATCTGACACGAGTGGTCGGCAGGACCTTCAGAGGTCTTGGGAGCCGCTTCGATTTCTACGACGTTTTTGCGGGCAAATCCGGAGACACAAATTTGTCAAATTTCGACTACATTTGCCAGAAAGTGGTAGTTTGGCTAGATGCAAATTCCGATCAAATTTGTGACAGATTCCATTGCCAAACGACGCCAAATAGTGGGTTATAGGGGTAAATCCTTCGACCAGCATGGTCATGTGATCCCAGGTAGCCAATCAAAACACGGTCCAGTTTCTCTCTCACTGCGCTCGCTTTGGTCTTACGTAAGCGGCTTCGCACTTATGTCAAAATCTTGTAAGAAGCACTATACGCTATCGGCGTGACTCATTGCACTCTTTTGACATGCTGTTAACCCCTTAGTGCAATGCTGAGTACTTGAGCACTTGGTTGATTTTCCCCTCATAGCCTACACATCTGGAATCACCACACATCTATAAATTTCAAAAGCCGAACTTTGCTTTAAGCTTTTCGATCAGACTTTCGCCTGAGTAGTGTCTTTTCGGTACACGAATCACAATTCGTTCACCTTACAAGCATGTCAACCGATACTCTTGACGAGATGTCACTCAAAGTCCAGGAATGGCTTCATGATGGACCCTACGCCTGCACATCTCTTAACAAACTCTCCGGCGGCACCGCCAATTTCGTGTATCGAGGTACTCTAGCTGCTCCTCTGCAAGACGGGTCTAAGACGGTGGTTATCAAACATACAGAAGGCTACGTAGCTCAAAGTCCCAATTTCAAGCTAACCACAACCCGATGCGTAAGCTGTTACACGTTTCAAACATTACACGCATACCAAAAAACTAACATGCATCGAGGATTACGAACAAACAGTCCTTGTAGCACTACTCAGCCTCTCACCATCCACCCACTCAAACATCACCGTCCAAACACCTACCCTACATATCTTCTTACCAGCAACCAACACACAAATCTACAGCGACCTTCCCTCTTCCCTAGACTTGAAAGCTTATGTACTCAAACACGCCTCTTCCATTACTCATTCACAATGTCTCCGTCTAGGTCACGCTCTCGGTCTCTGGACTAGGAGATTCCATGATTGGGCACAGGCGAAAGAGCAGGAGGAACTGGTGGAGAGTATGCGAGGTAATGTGGCGATGCGAGATCTGAAGTTCATGATCAATTATGAGAGGTTGGTGCAGAGCATTGATACCTACCCTAGGATCTTAGAAGGTAGTAGGAGTTTGTTTGAGGCTGTTAGGGAGGGTGTAAGGAAGGACTTGGACGACGGAGCGGTGTTGATTCATGGGGATCTTTGGAGTGGGAAGTATGTTTTTGATCCTTCAAGGAGATGAATCTGCGTTTTGTATTGACTCTTGAAACAGTATTCTCCTACCCGATGGCCCAATTTCTGATCAGGACGATCAGCTGAAAGTCTTCGTCATCGATTGGGAACTTAGCCAAGTCTCTTCCCAAGCCTTTGATCTCGGTCAGGTATTCGCAGAGCTCTTTGAGCTGAAGCATTTTAAGGATATTGATGCGGGAACGTGGCTCATCGAAGCTTTCATGCGGGGCTATGGAGAGATTGATGAGGAGTTAGCGTTCAAGACTGCGGTTCATGTTGGTGTGCATTTGATTTGCTGGGGTTCGAGGGTCCAGGGCTGGGGAAGTGAGGAGCAGATTCAAAGGATTGTGGAGGTGGGAAAGGATTTTGTGGTTGAAGGCTGGGAGAAGAATAAGGCATTCTTTACGGAGGGGCCGTTGAAGTGTCTTTTCGATTGATATGAGAATCGATACCGGACACGAGGGAGCTGCTTCAAAGTGTTGCTTCAATTTCAACGAATGCAAAACATATTTACCGAATGGGCCAGGCTCTGCTGTCAACAGGCTGGACGCGAACAACGATCCGACGCATCGCATAATAACGAGATGCGGACCTTCGAGATCATTATCTACATAGATCATCGAGGTATCATTCATACCAGCTCATCTTTATGAATGAGTCTAGGTGCGATGGCAGGGCTGGATATCGGCGTTAGGGTTAAGATTCGAAGGATTTATCTGCATGGCCAATCTCTCTACATCATCCCCCTCCAGTCTTCAAGTTCGAGTGATTTATCGGCCGACAGGTTTTGGAGTCAAGAGTCGGAAATACGCTGCATCTCTGCGAGTCTCAACGCTTTCCCAATTCAGTAGAGATATAGGGCTGTGTAGCAGAACGTCGTCAGCGTAGCAACGGCGCATGACATCAAAGACAGACGAGGTCTGTTTAAGGTAGTCAAAGCCGCACGCCGATTGTACGAGTCCTCTTGCGCAAAACGTTCGGCACTTGATCTGCCGTCAATTGAATATCTGTCTTTAGTTCAGTTCTGGAATTCCAGCGCGACGAGTGTCTATGTTTTCGGCACCAGGCTTTGTGCCGCGGACCTAGCTCCAATCATTCTTCTCATTCCCCATCTTAGCTGAACGCGCAAAACCGTCAACGGGCCGTTCCACTCTGCCGAAGTATGCTGTATAAGGCAAGTCACTTTCCGGACGGGCTGTCGCTGTACAGAGCTTCCCCCCCGACGGATTCATCCCTACATGACTCCATGTCGAATGTGCGCATTGATATTCGTACACACAACGACTAAACTTCTAGATCGCAGTCTGGTTAGATTAAGCTTACAAGACAATTCAACATGAAGCATCTTTTCTAAATCTCGGTATCACCTACTGTAGTGACACGATCACCAAAATGGAGTAAGATAGTGTCCGAAACGCATGGAAAGGGCAATTGCGCCTTTTAGTGTACCAGCCACTGCAATCTACTTACACTTATCAGAACAACGTTCGTTCATACCCAATACGTACAGTCTATACAGCCTTACCTGAATGTACGACAAACGAAGGGTCGGACGTTGGAGGATAAGTTTTATTCAGGGTCAGAACCGACTAGAGCTAACGATAAGCAAACAGTGACAGTCCGGATGCCTTCCGTGTGCGTTCGGCATAAGACCAATATGGACCACGGCCGAGTTGGTACGCTCCCGGAGTCTCAGCGAACCGCCAGCTCCTATTCATTCTTTCGAGCGATAATGACCAACAAAACTAGCTGGCAAGAGACCATCCGTACTTGTGAAAGGTCTCCAATCATCCTGCTTGATGTTTCTAATATCTCTCCAGGCAATCGCGCCAGAAGCTGTTGTATCTGTCAAACTTCCTACGAGCACAGTGTCAGATACCACTGCTTCGGCCCTTTCTTCGGACGAGATGCGCGATATATGAAACGCACGTATCGCCAATCTAGTCTTCGATGATGTCGCTACGTTGATTGCAAGTAGACCGTTAAGTAAGGGGATATTCGGAAACCATATCAACCGAGACATCGGGATTTGACAGCATGATCCAGATTACGAAGGAAGCCACGTGAAGCTGTCGAATGTCATGACCACTCAGGATTCACTCGTCACGAATTAGGTTCTCGAGGATGATCATATTATAAAAGGACTGTTTCAGAACTTGTAAGGTATAATTGAGCGAAGTCTTCCAACACCAAATCCTCCATCCTCCATCCATTCTTCTCGCTATCTAGATCTCACATCCTCATGCCCACCCGGACGAAAACAAGAACGATGCCTTTCCATCAAAGAGGTCCCTGGACACAATACGAAGATCTTACCTTACTCAACCTTGTCGCTATGCTTGGAACCCTCAATTGGATCGAAGTATCCGAGATGATGGAGAATAGAAGCCCAAAGCAATGCGCCGAGCGATATCACCAGAAACTCAGACCGGGTCTCGATGACAGCCCGTTGACGGAACAAGAACGCCACTTGATCGCGCATCTTGTTCTCACTAAGGGAACTTGCTGGGCCCATATTGCCAGGCAGCTGGTCAACCGCAGTGAGAACAAGGTCAAGAATTGGTGGTACAGTGTACAAGCCAAGTTACAACGGCACGAAAGGCGAGCTCGTGATCGTGCTGCACAGTCTTCACGTCTGGCGCGTCAGCAAGCTAAACATATCCACTCCGATGAGCCCTCGACGCTCTATGCTACATCTGCCGTGGCCCCTTTTGTTTGGATCTCCTGGACGCCAGAAGATTTTGATTTCCAAACGTTCATCAACTCGTCGCAGAACGATTACATCAACGGAGCGATGCAACCACAAATGACACAACCTTCAAGTGTGGCCTCATCAGATCAGCCAAAAAGTCTCAATACACATTTCTATCCATCCACAGGTGGGCTTTTGGGTCACAATATCGAGGCCAGATACCAATCAGTGCGAGAGTCTCGACAGGATTCACTCCAGCCCGACTGGTCTCTTTACAGCTCCCGCCTGAACGAGCATCACAACGCACAGAGAAAGCCCAGCATGGCATCCCAGAGTATGCCAGACCTCTCTTGGCCTCCTTTGGGCTTGAAGTTTTGAGATGAAGACTGAGATCGTAGAAGCTGGTCTCTTTCATGCGCCGTGTTCGTTACTGAGTTAGCATTTCAAGTAGCATACATAGATAAAGCATAGAGAATATCGCGCAATAAGCACAAACTTGATACAAACATATATTCAACGTGATCAGGGTAAACCCCGTCAATATTCTGCACTCAACCACTTCTTTCCATCTTCCTCAGGAAGTCAATCTCCTCAGATCGTTCTTCTGGCTTGTTGAGAGATTAGATGACAGTCTTCGCTTCCTGCTTGGCACGCTCGGACATGAGAGCAGCATTCTTGTGGCCACTCTGATCAGACAGGGTGGGAGTGTTCTTGAACTTCCAAGCAGGGATCTTCCGCTCGTAAAGCTCGTCAAGCTCCCAGTAGGTGCGGCCGTAAGTCTGGTGATCATCAGTACGCTGATCTCCAGGAGCAGGAAAGAGCATAAAAGACTCACCTCAGGGTAGTAAAGCCAGAGGAGGATGGTAAAGGGAACGAGCAGACCAGCCCAGACATAGACAGCCTTGATACCAAGATTGGCAGCATCGGGACTGATCATGTACGAAACGGTCCATTGGAAAACAACGCTGAGGGAATATTAGCGAAGAGCTTAAATGCAAGAAATGAACGACTCACAATCCGAGGCCGTAGCATCCGAGGTTGAATGAGGTTGTCTGTGCTCCTAGACGAGGGGTTGAGGTTTCTCCGGCAGCGACAAAACCGATGGGACCTGCAGAAGCGCCGTAGCAGATGACCCAGAGCAACAAGAACCCAAGAGCTGCCTTTGGCGCGCCAGCTGTCTTGAAGAAGGAGGTGGAAGCGAGACAGATGTTGAAAATGCACATCATGAAGCATCCGCTGTTGATCGATGTCAGTATGTGCTCCTCTGATCAAAATCAAGATGACTCACCCCACAAGAAGAGGTCTGCGGCCAATGTGCTCACAAGCAACCAGAGAGGACGAAATTGAGATGATGAGAAGGACGAATCTGTCGCATGTTAAAGAAGCACAAGAAGATGTTGAAAGGCAAGACGAACGTGATGATTGTGACCAGGAATGGATCTGCGAGTCCTGCGACTTTGAAGAAGTACTGGATATGTGTCAGTACCAATTTTGAACATCGAGGTGGGTCTGCTTACGGTTGAGTAGGAAAAAACGATTGGTGCACCAGCAGCCCATTGACTGCAGATACCAAGACATCCAGCTAGCGTTCTGCGCCAGTTCTGCTTGTTGAAGATTTCGAAGAAGGATGAGCTGCGAGATGCAGAGGCCAATTCCAGTTCGGCGTCGATGCCGTGTTGGATAACGCGATATTCGTGTTCCTGGAGCATATTGTGTAAGCGGAGGAGTATTACCGACAGAATCGGGAACACATACCACATCATACCCAGCGATATTGCCGTATAACTTGAGCATTGAGCGTTTTGCTTGTTCGTGTTGACCTTTGCGAGAATGGTAAATGTGAGATTCTGGTACGAACCAGATGAAGATGATGAGAATCTGTCAGGAATAGTCAGTATCGAATGTCTGGAACAACGTATTGCAAGAGGATGCTCACAGCAGTGAAGGCGAACTCTGTCGCAATCAGAGGTTTCCATTTGTTGGGCTGATGAGTGTCGACCAGCTGGGTAGCGACAGCAGCGATGAGTTGGCCGAAGCCGAGACAAAGCTGGTAGGCACCAATCATGAAACCACGAATTTGGAAGGGCGCAATCTCGGAGATGTATGTGATGAGGATAGACTGAGCAAGGCCGACACCGAGACGAACCAAGACTGCAGCACCCAACCAGCTTTGCCAGCTGAAGGCAGTGATTTCAGCGATGGATCCACCGAGGAGAATGACGATGGCGCCAATCATGGCTTTCCTGGATTAACCAGTCAGCGAATGAAGTGAATGCAACGATGAAGTCGCCACTCACTTGCGGCCGAAGCGATCAGCAAACCATCCTCCAGCGAACATTCCAACTGTTTTGGACATCTCTGCGAATCCTTGCCAGTATGAGACAACTTTGGCACTGACTGCAGGTTTGCCATCAATTCTTGTGTCATACATTTGGTTGATGAAAGCTTGCATGGGGATGACATTGCCGGGGACTTGTTGTTGGAACTGTGGAGCCTATTAGTCGTAGTTTGGTATCTCTCTTGTCCACGATACTGACTCCGTCGTTGAGGGCTGCCCAATTGAGAACCAGGCAGAAGAGCATCGCCTTCCAGAACGTCTTGACTGTGAGCCATCTTCCGAGTCCTTCCAAGTCAGTATGAAGCTCATAGTAGTAGTGTCGCTCCTGACTAACCCGCATATCTCGTCTCTAGGACTTCTCCGCGGGAATCATCGGCGTTCTCAAAGTACTGAGTTACCGTCTCGTCTTTGGCATCGGCCTGCTTGAAGTCGATTGCAGTCATCTTGATATTGGTGTAGTCTTGAAAAGCGCCTTTGAACGATGTCCACCGAGGATGATCATGTACAGACAGGGAATCATCTATCTCTTATAGATCGTGGAGAACCCTGTCGGCTCGTCAAGACGGAAGGTAGTTGATGCGGAGAAGGGCTTTATGGGGTAGCTTCCGTTTCCCCATGGGCAGGAAGGTTCAGTCGTTGCGCATGTAGTTGGTCTTGGGGTCTTGAAGCCACTCGGACTAGAGTGCTCCGACGAGGAACTCCTCAGCTCGGCCTGTCAAACTTCGGCACAAAGTCTGTTCCCTGAACAGCATCGGTCACGTTCACAGCATCACGAATACAGTTGAAGCTTGCTTCTGCGGCATCTGATGAATGGATGTCTTGATGCCGCTTGGTGGCTGTCGGAGATGTATGGAATCATGGCGGAGCTTTCCTGATTCGGTATGTGGCGCCATTGGCGACCCATTGCATGAGGAACGCAGTTTTCTTGCCATCGGCGCATACATTCCGTGAGTCGACTCGAAGCAGACAAGCATGGCAGGCGTGAAAATCTGATGAACTCCTGGTCATGCGCAAGGATTGACAGCAGCATTGCTTCTCAAATTCATCCTTGCGCGATGAGGCCGGATGCCAATGATTCTGAAGAAGTCACCGCTGGTATAGTGACCACACAAAATTGACATTCTTGTCCCTCTTTGGACGCGTGTATCGCTTGGAGCATTAGACGAGTATTATTCATATCTTGTGTTGCAGTAATGGGGAGCCAAAGACGTGCGGTGCTCGTTGAATTTTGACAGGGTTGGCCTGCTAACAAGTGCACTCGTGAATGCAAAGGTTGGCTGACGAAATTCACGAATGTGCACGGTTGGTCCCTCATGCGACTTGCAGACTGTTGTGCATGGTCAGATCCACTTGTCTGCCGTCAACAAGGTCCTCTCCCACACCTTTGCAAGCACGAGTCGTCCCAAAGCCGTGCAAGGGGTGGTTCGTGTCCCGAAACTGCCGATCTGTCAGGATTCACCCGACTGTGCCGCGCTTTCATGATTGTGACGATGGTGCCCTGGAGAAAAAGCCCAAGGAGCGAGCAGAAGTTTTCCATCCAAAGGAAGAGTTCAGAACAACACGAAAATGTCTCTGGTAGAGAGGTCCTTTCTGAAACAATTCCGATGACGGTGTGTTCCGAAACAGCGTATCTCGCGGCCCGTTCGGAGCAGATAAGCTTTGCAGCGACACGAAACTGTCGATCTTAATTTAGCTCTCCATCCTTCTCCCCAACTGATTTTGTTCTCCGTGCTTCTTCTACACTTCTGCAAACATCAGATAAGTCCTGGAATCGATATCGCATGTTTTGTGTGCCCATCACGTTGGCCAAGACTGGCTTGCGACGAGAACAAGAATGGCTGCATCGTACTCGTGTAGATCGTCTGCATCATTTCGCTACTGGCCGCCGCACTGCCGCCTGATGTAGGTCTGTGGGTCTTGCTCTGCACGCGAGTAGGGCTACGGGCTTGGTAGAGTTGTTACGTCGTCGCCTTTTCATCCCACATCAACACGTTGAAACCCCACGAGGGAAAACGGTCATCGACATATCAACGCCGGGTATGACTGCAGGGTTTTCAGATCGAAGCACAACTGTTCTGCATGCGCAAGTCCAAGCGGAAGCTCAAGCACTGCAGACGTGGATGTACCAAGATGCGACCCATTCCCCTTGCAGTAGATCAACTGCATGCATGATCAATCAAAATCCGAACGGGGCGACGCAGCCGCCGACCGTCTATATATGGAAAAACCCAACCGCGACTCGAGTCGCTCGATCATTTAAGAAGCTTGCGAATATCCTCAAGCTCGAGCATCCTTGACTCTCGTCTTGTTTCATATCCTTACACATCACTTTTCTGGAAAGTTCAAGATGCGGTCGTCTATTCTCTCATTGGCGCTTTGTGCAGTGTCCACCACTGTCGCTGTTCAAATTGATACGGAAGGCCTTCCCGATACTGGATTGGATACTTCAAGCTGGCAGACTGGAGTCGCTCCTCCGATTGATGATCTTGTCGATGCCAACGACTTTCAGATTGCCGCCAAGAATGCGCTGTCTGACAGACACTATGCGTATTACAGAACAGCAGCTCTGGATGAAATTACATACAATGCCAACATGCAAGACTGGGCAAAGATCAGATTGAATGGTTTCAGCTTTACCGACGTCTCAAATGTCGACACCACGACGAGTATCCTTGGACACAAATTCGATGCACCATTCTTCATTGCTCCTGCAGCAAAGGCTGGATATGCAAGTGATGGCGCCGAAACGAACCTTGCCAAAGCTGCTGGTAAAGCAGGACTTCTCTACGTCCCGTCCATTTCGTCATCTCAGTCGATTGAAGAGATTGGTGCAGCAGCTGTCGATGGGCAAGTCATGTTCCACCAGGAATACGTTTGGTCAGACAAGGCAAAGCTTCAGGATGAATTGAAGAGGATGGAAGCTGCAGGATTCAAGGCAATCTTTTTGACTGTTGACAACACGGTATGGTGATTGATTACGATTTGATAAGAATATATCTGACAGCGAATAGGGAGTCAATGGAATCAGAGATCGTTATCTTCGTTTCTCTGCAGGTGGAGATGCTGGTCACAGTGCAACATTCACAATCGAGTCGCTGAAACAGTTGCGCAACATGACATCTCTCCCGATTGTACCCAAGGGTGTCAAGACTGCTCATGATGTCAAGCTTTGCGCTGATCTTGGATTCCCTGCCGTCTACATTTCAAACCATGGAGGTCGCGTTGTTGATATGGCACCCACTGCTGTTGAGGTGCTTCTTGATGTTCGCCGTCTCTATCCTGAAGTCTTTGATCAGATTGAGATTTATGCTGATGGTGGTGTACGTCGTGCATCCCACATCATCACTTTGTTGGCTCTTGGAGTTCGTGCTGTTGGTCTTGGTCGTTCACCAATGTATGCCAATGTCTATGGTGAGGAGGGTGTCTCGAAGTTGTTGAACATCATCAAGAAGGAGCTGACCACTGAATTGGCCCTGATTGGAGAGGCCAATTCGAACAATGTCAGAGGAAACGCTTCCTTCGTCAACACCCGACGAGTGGAATTGGAGTTCTTTGGAGCACCTCTTTCTTGAGTTTGGAGTCGCTCATATCATGATGCAGATATTCTTATCCACTTTAGACCACACGTAATGTCAAATGTTCAATGCCCAATATCCGTGCATAATTGTGCGACTTCCGAAACCGTGCCGCCGCCATTCGTTCGTGGAAGCGCCGCACAAAGCCTTCCGGAATTTCCCCGAATGTTTTTCCCCGCTCTCGAGTCTCGACGCCGCCCTGAAGCCTGCTGCGAGGACCTCCATCAGTGTCCTGGACCACTCGTTTGTCGAATTCTCCAACTTCACTCTGAGCGCATCTGCCTCGTCCATGTGGTCTTCTGACTCCTTTTGTACCTCTTCAAGCTTGTTCTGAAGCTCTTGCTCCCATTTCTGTTGCATCTCTTCCTTGTCCTTTACCAGCTGGTCCTTTTCAGCTTGCAGAACACCAACGGCCTCATCTGACTCAGCCTTCTCCTTCTCCGCCGCAGCCTTCTCCTCCTTCAGCTCGGTGATCTCTTCTTCAGACCTGTTGAGTTGTTGCTTGGCCTCGGTCAGCTCCTGAGTAGTCCCGTTTGAGATGGACTCCAATAGGATGAACTTCTCCTCGGCTATCCTTTTCGCTTCCTTTTGGACTTCCAGTTCCTCTTCCAGGGCCCAGGCTCTCCTTGTGCTTTCGAGCCTCCGAAAGGTCGTCCTGTCTCTTTCCAAGGTTGGTCTTTTGAGCCTTTGCAAGTGCGTTGCGCTCCAGCTCGAGGGTATGGTAGTCTTGCTGAAGGGCGGCATTGGCGTTCGAGGTTTCGTCGACTGTGGACTCCAACGCTTTCTTCTCCTTGGTCAAGGTTCCGATCGTATCCCGCTGATGCTCTACCTCTTCCTTGGCTTTGCGTAGCTCCTTGGTCAGGTCCTCGATGTCCTGTTCGTGTGCAAGATTGGCACCTCCGGAAGTGGTAGATTTATCGAGATATTCATGCATTCTGCCCATTGACTCATTTGCGCCATGATTATCTTGTAGCAATTGGCACAGGCACAGGAAAGACTATAAGATGCGCTCAAAATCAGAAGCCAGATTATTCCGACAACAACCGATCGCGACAAGGCGAGTAAGTAAGAGACGAGTAAGTAAGAGGCGAACGTGTAAGAGACGAGTAAGTAAGAGGCGAACGTGTAAGAGACGAGTAAGTAAGAGGCGAACGTGTCGGGTGTAGATAAGTAAGGTATAGTCTATAGATAAGTAAGAAGAAGACAAGTAAGAAGAAGATAAGTAATTAGAAGACAAGTAAGAAGAAGACGAGTAAGAAGAAGATAAGTAAGAAGAAGACGAGTAAGAAGCACCGATAAGGCGAGTAAGTAAGGATAAGTCTAGTCTAGTCTCGGTCTCGGCCATTTAGTAGTCGTTCTTACCATTTGCTTTAGCAGCTAGCGTTTCTGCGTCGACAAACTTCTAATTAGAGTAGACTATGGATGGATTAGATTAGATTAACCCCTAAATCCAATCTAGTCCAGTCGGTCTTAGCATCTAATCTAATCTACTAGACTCCATCTATGGACTCTAATGGATCTAGTGTAGGGTGCTAAGAAGTAGTATAGCTAGCCGGAGGTGTTATAACTTAGACGACCATGGTTCGATCCTCTTCCGTACCCTCTAGATGCGTGTTCCACACCTTTGTAATTTTGTATTATGTCTGTTCTAGGGCCTTTAGGAGCAGTAACAAACAGGAGAATTGACACAAGGCTATCATATAGCAACGAACTAGAGCTAAACACCCTATTATAGATTAGCCGATAATCCACTAGATTACTAGATTAGATCAACCCTCGAATCCAATCTAATCCGAGACCCCTTTAATCCAATCCAGTCCAATCCAGTACTGGATTATCCAGTGGATTGGATTTTGAATCCATCCATAGTCTACTCTGCTTCTGATTCTCTGGCAACAACAACAACAACCAGCGCTGCTTTCTTCTCAGTCGCTAGCCTCTTGGTAGCAACGCGGTCTGCCTATTAGCAGCAGCCTGCTCGTCTTTCTCTGCGCCTTGCCAACACTTCCAGCTCTCCAACAGGTGCCTGCGCAACGCTTCTTTCAGTCAGTCAATCCGCCCATCTGCTCTGCTCTTTGCACTGTTAGCTTCACAATCCATTTAGCTCTAAGATATCAACCCGTTATCATCTCCCAACATCCTTGTTCCTGAGCTCCGAGGCTTCCAGGCTATCAAGCCCCGAGGTCCTAAGCTTCTAAGCTCTCGATCTCACACGCTCTCGAGCTTCCAGGCACAAGCCCTGCATCTCCCAGGCTCCCAATTTCTCAAGCTCAGCTCCCCATCTACCAAGCTCTCAAGTTCTCAAGCTCCGAAGTCCTACGCTCTCAACCTCCCACGTTCTCAAGCTCCGAAGCTCCAAACCAGCATCAACCCTTCTCGAGCTGCGCCCTCGCTCCCTGCTTTTCTACAACGACACTGCCGTGAGTGAAAGTTCTTTACATGTCAAAGCTCTAGGAAAATCATAATCCATCGACATTCAATCATCATGGCCGATGCCGACGAGATCACTACGCCTGCCGAGGCCAAGCATACTCTTGTTAAACTTGTCCAAGAGCTTCATCGGGTGCTGAGCGCGCTTCGAAGAATGGACGCTCCCGTGCACGACTTCACACTCGACGCAATGCAAGAAACAATCGGTGACAGAGTGGTCAAGGACCTCAAGAACTTCACTGCAAGTTACAACCGACAGATCGCGAAACGTGATGAGCTGACTGTTCTCATCAATGCACTCACGGTACGTTGTTCTCCACTCCTCTCCCCGACTCCTACACCATTCTTCTCCTCTCGGTCTTCTACACCATTCCGCCAAGAGTACCCAAATCGCGGTATTGCAGACGCAGCTCGACGCAGCGATCAACGCCCTCACAGCCGAGCAAGACCGACACATCGCGACAACCCAGGCATCTCAAGTCAAGGATCAACTTCTCCTTCGAGAGCGAATTGCACTGGGACCTGTTGGGCGCAGCAACAGTATCAGTGGTCTGCTTGTGACGGATGCTCTCACTCGTCCTCGTGTCACTGAAGACTCGGTCACCGACGATCAGACTGATCATGCCACCACTACTCAAGACCCTGCCGTCGAGCGCACAGCACGAGGAGATCCTCGTGCCGGCGACAAGAGGCCTCAAGACTCTCGAGAATCTCGATTGTCTTCTCCCGAACAATCACGCTCTGCCTCGCGCACCATCTTTGACCACGCCACGACGGAGAACGACGCTGTCACTACTTCTGGTTACGTCTCACCTAATGACCCATCACTACGAAAGGGTTACGTGGTCATCAAAGTCAGCACATATGCTCTCTTGCATGCTTCAATCGTCCAAGACCTCTCTGAAAGACGAGATCAACATGGAGTCCGAGTTTGAATGGCCGGGGAATGTTAGACCAGCTATGCACGCGGCGTGGTCGTTCAAGATGAACATGCATGCTTGCGCTAGACGTGAAACCGGTTTAGAAGGCCAGATTGGCGAACAATGAGAATCCCAGCAAAGTGACATGTCCAAGATGCTACGACAAGCAACATGGAACGTCGTCCCGGTCCATTGACGGAATGGACATGGGTCGAGCAGACTTCAACACGCCATGCCAGGCGTGTCCGCAGCCAGAGCGGCCGGGTGTTGAATATCTCGTCCGTCAATATCTTAACATCGCAGACGTGAACACGTTGTGCTTGTTGAACCCTCAACCTGGCGATCACGACAGACAGGCAGCATATGACCGTGCGAATCAGCAGCGCTAGCCCTCGACACAGAGGCCGAACTGTACAATGACTCCATACTCATGCTCCTCGAAACACTTAAGCTCTTGATAACGTCCGCGACAGTCGATGCAGCAGTTCCTTTGGCGGTGAGGGGTGTGGCGCTGCCGGCTCTGCAGGTAGTGATGTCGAAGCCGACGCTGATGCCAGTGCGGCCGTCATCTTGACAGCAGGTGAGGTCGTTGAGAGCGGAGGCCTCAGAGCTGCTTGGGTTGCCGACGATGGAGCCATTGCAGCAGTATGAGGTATCGCCGCCATTATCGTTTTCGGCGTAACAGCAGGCTTGTTCTTGAACGAGGTCGCAGTCTTGGGCATAGACCAGATGGGATACGCTCACAAGCAGAGCGTGGATGATTATGGAAGCGAAGGTACGCATGATAGCTGACTGCTGAGTGGTATTGTTCTTTGAAGTCGCTACAAGAGCAAATTTGATTATAACCGACTTGTAGTGAGGAAAGGGTATAGCATGACTATATACCTCCGAATGTGCTCTTCGTTCCCAGTGTCGTTGTGGCAGAACGGTAGTGCTGTATTCACCGTTCAGCTGAATATTCGTCGATCCTAATACCAAGCGATCCTCCAGCAATATATCGTTTCGCATTTGTACCATACCGCACCTCGCGTGGTACTTCAACGATAGCATTGATTGGTGCATCGCTGGAGATCTGTAAAGCTCCTATGCCATTCTCCTGCATCGCTAATGCTGCGCCTCACAGCCTGATTTACTGTTCTTGAAACCTTCATGATCCCGCTGCCTGAGCACTCGCGAAAAGAAGCGATACAGAGCTATTGACAGTGTTGATCATGTTCAATGTGGCTTCGCTACCATGTCGATCACACGTCAAGCGAAGAATGATGGGTGAAATATGTGCTTGACATGGCTTATTGGTATACCCAAGGCGACTTGGCATAATCCTGCGACAAAGCGTCACAAGACTAAGATCTGCACAAGCCAGCGAGCAAAAAGAATGGACAAAAGCAGCGAGCAGTAGAAGAAACAAACGCTCAAGGCTTCGTTGTCTGTTTAATCCTTGTTCCTCTCGACAAGACCTTTGCGTAGCTCTGCCTCAATGTTGTCTTCTAGAACCGTGTGAGCGACAAAGGTGCAAAGCAGAAAGATGAGGTATGCGAAGCCGAACATGATGCTTCCCGTGATTGCCAACGGTTGGAAGGGGTCGCTATCTGCAATCACGGCCATTGTGATCAAGCTGCTCTCCACAGCAGACATAATAAACAGAGCGATATCTATCCACAATCAGCTTTTCGATCGCACATCAACAAAAAGACAAGCACACATACATTTACCGCCTTTAGGCGCCTTCTCTGCCTTTTCTTGCTCGATGAACAATTTGGCCTCTTTGTACACCATCCATGCATCCTCCATACCGAAGATTTCGGCGTACAAGAGAGGTGGATAGCTACTCAACTCGCGACCGGTGCCGAGCGTCCATTTCGAAGCAACGCGTCTGGCATGATCTTCATGTAACCCTCTATTCTTGATCAAAAGTCGAACCAAGAAATCGCGGACTTCATCAGGTGTGGCTTTCGGGTCTGGCGCGACGAGCTCGCCAGTTTGAGCAACGGAGATGTCAGAGTACAGCGGAAGACCCTCTCCACCCTCGGCGTCAAAGGACGATCTAGTGCTTGCGCTTTCTTCCGAGATTCTGCCCATGTTGAGTTGGAAATAGGTGATGGGTGTGTCGATGTAGCGATATAGGAGAAGTAGGTGGCAGGTTATGTAGCAGTTATCAAGAGTAGAGGTGAGGCTTAGCTAGAGGGGATAAGCCGGGAATGCGGCGGAGTCGGCACAGCCTTCCCGGAAGCACCGCGGAAGGATTTGCCCATGACATATCTACAATAACCTTGATGTTTTGCCAGATTTATCCACAACATCAACAACATCATCATCGCATCTCGACAGCCACCACTGGTATGTCGAGACTTATTTTGCGGTACTTACCTGCCTCATAACTCTTTACACCTTGCCTTGACGAGATCTATCTACCATAAAGTCGTCCTTTATTCTACTCGACTATTCTTTCCACATGACAGATTTTTCTTCACACATGTCCTCCTCTGCCACATCGCATACCATGTCAAGAAATTTACTGCCTACGAGAGAGATTGACTACTCCGATGGCTTGATGTGATTCCACATCTACATGGGAGAATTCAACTTTGACGAGGACCTCCGAGGATTGCTGGACGCCTGGCATTTGGATACGAGAGAGCAGAGGACGGTATTGATAGTTCTCTACATCCAATTGCAGCATTCATAGATGCAATATCTGTAATGTCAGAAGTGTGAATATTTTGCTATTTAGATGTTTTGCGTAACGTGTCAGGAAAGGAAAGGAAATGAAATTGAAATATAGAATAGGAGGGTTTGATTGCTCTTTCTGTTTCGCGCATTCGTAAGCCCTTTTTTTATGGCTTTGAGTGGCTGTGCTGTGCTGTCTTTGTTGAAGGCTTTTGGTTTCCTGCTTGGAGCCTGGCCTCTTGTTCCTTATCTTGCCGCAGATGTATATCCGGGAAGTGGAGGTGCTTCGGTGGGTGTATCGGCGACCGACGAGGGTACTTTCCACTCAGGCCAGTGATGTTGGCTTGGGACATTCGGCTAAGCTTGGGCTGAGCTGGGCTGAGCTGGACGGTATAGTGTCTCTTGCTCGTAGCAGGTCGATCTGCCGGAAAAGGTGTGAACAGCCAGACGGAATTGATGGCGTCACTTCAAGGCCAGCATGGGCAGCAGCGTGTGTATGCCATAAGCCTCCAGTCCTGGGTCAGCGACGGTGTCTCAAACCCATCAGTCGGTGTCGATGGCGATGTCAAACGGTTTAGACGGTATGGTTGTTTCGTGCAACCATCATGTCTTCTTTCCATCATCCCTCACTGCCCAAAAGTTTCCTCACCCTCTCAATCCTCCCCAAGGCGCCCTCCACCATCTCCAACCTCTTTCTCGACAGCATATCCCTCTCCTCCAAAACCTTGATCCTCTCTTCCAATCTCGCCTTTTCCTTTCTCTCTTTTGCCACCATTTCGTTCGCCTGCTCGAACAATGTCGCGCTTAGATCTTCAAGCTCTTGTTCCAATTCATGGTATTTCTTCTCCGCGGCCACACGGGCTTTTGTTTCTTTGGCGAGGGCTTGTTGGAGATCCGTGAGAGCGGCGCTGGAAGGTGAGGGTGCCATTGGTGAGGATTTTGAAGCAGCAGGGGTCTTGGGGAGGGGTTTGGAGGCGGTGGTGAGAGAGGATGTTCGAGTGAGGAAACTGAATTTGCCGCTGGTGATGGAGGAGTTTCTGCTCAAACTCTGCGCAGGTTGTTGTGTAGGTGCGACGATGCCCAAGGGTGAGTCTACGCGTGGGTTCGCTTGGGTTTTGAGATTGCGGATTTCTTCCTCGTAGTTGGCGAGTTGGTCGGCTATGTGGTGGAAAGCTTTAGTTAGCAAAAGGTGATGGAAGGGGGGAGGAAAAGGAAAGATGCAAGGAAGGGGAGATGTACATATGCACATGCAGAGGGGTGAGGAGCATAGGCAAGGATAACAGCCAAAAGACTCACCAGCTTCCACGCCTTTTTGCGTCAAGTGTGCGACTTGTTGCTCCAAACTCGCGACGCGGATGTCGCTGGACGGTCTGGAATCATGTCTCGGTGGGTAAGACGAAGGTGCTTGTGGTGGTGTGGAAGGTGCTGGAGGGTACGTGTTTGTTGTTGTTGATGATGTCGCAGATGGTGCAGGTGCAGGTGCAGGTGTTGCAACATTCTTTGTTTTCCTTGGTGGGGAGCCAAGATTCATGGCCAGCTTGTCGCGAGTCAAGGTATAGTTGAAACCTCTTTCGATTTCTGAAATCATCGTGAAAGGTCGCGTCAGATACGTGTATACACTTCTTGAAGACGTGAAGACGTGTGTGGACGTGTTGTTTTTTGTGCTCAAAAAGATATGCTGTGAAGCGATGTGTATCAAGTGAAGGAGTGGAAAAGAAAGAAGATGCGAACCGAAAGGTACCAGGGGCAATGAACCAGTTTGTGCCTGCCCGTTTTCTGTGGTTCGCTTCCCTTCCACCGTCGACCCCCTGAGATGGGTTTTCTCTTGCTGCCCGCGTGCGCTGCTCTCCTGGTTTCACGAAGACTGTTGTATAACGGCTGTTCAGGGGGCACAACGGTCTTGTTCGCAGCGCCGAAAGGCGGTCAGCGCCCCGCCGAATGTGGGGGCTGCCACCGAGGACTTTGTTTCCGCAAGACATGACATTCTGATTTCCTGCATGTCTTGGATGGTATTGTGGTACTCTAGATGGCTCGGTAATGGTCTGTAGGAGTGTATTGTAAGCGTCACGTTGGAACGAAGTGCGGAAACATCATGTGTAGTCGCAAGCTATCCGTTCCGACCAAGAGCAAAATACGTGTCGGTCAACAGCATCATGACGTGACATTGAACTTTGTTCGTATTACTCCTATAACGGAATCGATTCCTTGCTATAGGTGTCACGGGTATATGTGTCTACCAAGGTACAACTCCATCGTCTGATACCATAACAGCGTGGACATCCTTCTTCTCTCCCACAACACTCTTCACCAACTCCTTGGCACCATCTCTGGGATCCTTGAATCCACTGTTACCATTCAAGTTGGTAGCGCAATATCCAGGATCCGCTGCTGAAACTACGAAACCTTCGCTCTCAAGACTCAATGCATAGTGCAGCATAATCATGTTCAGAGCAGTCTTGGTAGAGCGGTAGATGGGGTAGTTGTTGGCTGAGTACAAGGTGTTGGGCTTGGCTGCCAGCTCTAGAGATGCGAGACCAGAAGATGTGAATGCCAGACGTTTGGCAGAGCCCTTGCGGAGAAGAGGCAGAAAGGCGTCGGTCACCACTGCGGCGCCGAAGACATTGGTCTCGTAGTGTGAGCGGTAAATATCTCTCAATGAAGGACCGCTACTGTCGGCGGCGGCTTCTTGCTGTTGTGCGATTCCGGCATTGTTGAGGAGGATGTCCAATTTGCCATAGGTTTGCTCCACGTGCTTGGCTGCTGCGGCGATGGAAGAGTCTGAATTGACGTCGATCTCCAGAGGTGTCAAGTCAGAGGCAGAGACCTTGACAGAGTCGTCGGCTGCAAGAGTCTCAATGGCCTTCTTAGCCTTGTTGACGTCGCGGCTACCAATGAGGACGTGATGATTGCCAGTAGCGGCGAGTTGTTGAGCGGCGTAGTAGCCGAGACCTTGGTTTGCGCCGGTGACGAGGATGAGAGTTTTGGAAGACATGGCTGTGAATCGAGACGGATTTCTGGTTGGCTGAAGGAAGAGGGCTTTTGAACTGAAACTCTGTGGATTTTATATGGATAGTGGATGGCGAAGATATGGTATGATGAAATGCCGCGGCGTTTGTTTTCTGTCGCTATCTCCGCCAAACTCCGACGATTGTTCATCAAGGTCATTATTTGCTTTCAAAGCTCACTCTCCTCATCAAGCCTCGTGCCTTCTCTGAGTGACTTCATGACCCAGCCTGTTGTGACAACGCGTGGTGGATATCGGCGGCGGGCCGTCTGTATCCTCAATTCTCTTGCTTCCGCTTCTGATCCGGCCACAACATGTGTAATTTTCTCGTCGTCCATTGAGTCCGCCAGACGTGCTCCGGCAAATAGAACAACACGCTTCGCAGCCTCGATGTGTGTACCTTGGCCAGAAACTTGTATGCGTAGACCTCTGAACATACATCCTGGTCCATCCAGAACATCGTCATCGAATAACTCATCCATAATCTCATCAACATCGTAGTCGTCATCTTCGAACTTGGGCATATCAGCAAGTAACTTTTCCAATTCTTCAACATCAACATCTCGGGCGAAGCTGTCGCCATATTCGTCAGTATTGCCGTTGAAGCTGTCCTCGTCTTCCTCCTTCTTGAATAAGACGTGGCGTGGTTCGAAGGGGAGAAGGACGTTGGGTCTTCCGACATCTGTTTCAGCCTGCTTGACGCATTCCAACAACCAGTGTGGCTTGAAGATGTTTCGAGTACCAGCTTTCTTGATTGAAGCTATGCGAATGGGATTGCCTTCTCCAATGCATATGGTGTCGGCATTACTATGAGTGGCGACGATGTTACCTCCATTCGCCTTGACCAGTTGCTCCAATTCTGCTTTGGTCTTGTTCATTGGCTTTGCAGCGCCAGTGATGATGTAGAAATTCATGCCGTTGAAAAGAGCAGATTCAGGACCTGCATATGGCGTTTTGACCTGTTCGTCTGCGCCGATGATGGTTAGAACCTTCTTACGAGCACGTTTGGCACGCTTCTTGCGAGCATCGTCAACTTTGAACTCCTTTTCCTTTCTCTCATGCTCGGCGCGAGCTTTGAGAGTTCTAAAGGATTCCCAAGTAAGGGCTGATTTCCAATCCTTATCTTTGCGGAGCGCAGTAAATCGTGGGAAGCGCAGCGTGCATTTGGTGCGATATCTCTTCTCCTGCTCGATGACTGACGCGGCCTTGATTTGAAGGACCACAGACTCACTGGGCTTGATCCAGACATCAGGCATCTCGTATTGCAGATTTTCCTCATGACCACCGAGTTCAATCCACTCCAATGGAGGATTCTTCTTATCCCATGGCGTCCATTTGCCGTCAGTCAAGTGTCGTATCTCGGCATAGTCATGAGCTGTCATTCCACCGCCGACTTTGCAGAACGAAAACATGAATTCCGGATTGGAAGTTGCGAGATGACTGGGCGGAGCCAGACCGCAAAGGAAACTGGAAAGGTTGCCTCCTCGATGACCACTGCCGTAATAGCCTCCGATCACAACGCAATCGAGCTGTTCGCCAAATTCGGTCATGTATTCGGGCTTAACTTTCATCCAGTCACTGTTGCGGGAATTAAGGAGATAGACAGAGCGAGGGTTCTTCATGACAAGACCCTCGGAAGATTCTGCTACCACCTTGCGCAACTCGGGCTCCACATCTGCAGCTGTCGTGGCTTCAACGTATTCGTGAATCTCGAACCGACGGTGGACATTGTTCACAGCTGAAACAAGAGCTTTTCTTCGATCGCGGAGTGAGTAGTTTGTCAAGACTTCGTCGTTCAGGTATAAGCAGTCGAAGATACGAAACAGCGGACGTGCATGTGGCGAGTTTATGTCTTCTCGGTGCGCTTTGGCGTGTGTTTTGAGATGGCCAAAGCCAACGATTCTGTCATCCTTCATGTCCCAAGAGATCATCTCACCATCGAGTATGATGCTTCGTACATTCTCGTTGAAGGCGGTTTTAAGGTGACGGGTGAGCGCAGACTGTTCTTCTTCAAAGCCTTTGCCATACAGATCGGTATAGTCTTTCGCCTTTCGTGACCAGTAATTGAAGCGAAACCCTCCAGGAGTCGATTCGTCGTAAATCATGTGAAGCTGCATTCTCTCACCATCCAGCTTCTCCTCGATCCAGAAGATGGGATCCTCTTCGGTACATTGCATCTGGGTGACCATCTTTTCAACAGTATGCATCTGAAACTGTGCAAGCTGAGGTTGGAAACATTGCATGATCTTTATACCGGTATCGTTACCATCAAGCCTGATCTCGGGGTCGACCAGTTCCCAGCAGACTCGTCTCAAACTTGACGAGACGTTGAACAGTTTCTCGGCGTCTTTATGCCATGCATCAAACAAGGTCTTTTCAGTAGCGCCTACCTTCATCTGACGCAGGATGATACGGATCAACCACATCATTTCCTCACGATCCATGTTATTGTAGAACTCTCGAAAGATGGGTAGTTGTTCTGCCTCCTTCTGCTTCTTGGACAGCTCGTCAAGCATCTCGTTGACTTGTTCGATGGTGAGGTTGCCAGGACCTGAACGACCTTCACGTCCGGACATTGTCTCGTAACACCTTCCAGCAAAGTCACCAGCCATCTGGCTTGTAGACTTGACTCCTGGCAATTTCCAATGAAGCAAGTTGTAGCCGGGTTCGCTATTCTTGTCGATTTGCAGAGTCTTGAGCATCAATTTGGCAATGGTAGCTTCTTTTAGACCGTACATGGGTCTTTCGCGATCCTTTTCGGGCACGATCAGACGAAAGACAGGAAAGATGTCGTTGCCAACCTCGGTACGCCATCGGTTGATGAACTTTTCGATGATTGATCTACGAGTCTCGTTGACATTCTTCTGGTGACTGACGCCACGTCTTCTTACCAAGGCGGGACCGCCACGGCGTCTCTTGTTCTCATTGAGTGGATTGAAAAGGGTGAGAAACAGGTCGCTGAAGGGAAAGGTCTTGGAGTGGTTGTGAGGACGGTTGGGATACTTCTCATCGAGTTGTTCCTCGGTCATGATGGAAGGACGTTGTGTTTCTTGATAGACAACGGTATCATCGTCGTCGTCGTCAAAGTCAATGACCTCGCGCATGTCGACGTCTGAGGTAGGCATTTTGCGATATTGATGGAGAGTCAGTTGGTACGCAGCAAGTTGAGTGCTCCGCTGGGGATATCAGTAAAAAGAGTAAACTGCATCAAGGCAGCAGTAGGTAGGTCAGTGTCGAGAAGCGAAAGATGCAGGGTGACGCGTTGTGATGGACGCGCAGTCATGTGTCGTTAAATTGATTGCAAAGGAGCGTGATGTGCCGTATCGAGCGTGTCCGTGTCAGGCGCCCATCAACCGGGTCAGCACAGCCCCGGTTGACGACGACGGAGAGAAGTTGACAACGGCCAAACAAAGAAAAGCATGCATCAATCAGCAAACCCCTAAAATCAATGATAGCCATCCTAGAGACACTGATTTGCATGGCCAATGGGGAGCCCTAGGCAACCTCTGCGTACGAGCCCGAATGGTGCACAACGACAACCTTCGACTTCCGCCGCCTCGCGCGACGCCGCCTTTACCGGCGCCAACCTAGCCTTCATCAAGTCCCTGCCACCACATGAGGCTCTGAAGTATCTCAACAAGCGATCACCGCCGCCGCCGCCTCCTGCATCCGTCAAGCAAGAACACAATGCGCGACCAGCACGAAGTCCCATCACCGGCCGCGACGGTCCCGCCAGCAGCCGAACCTCGCCGGATCTCCTGAGACTGCCCAAGCGACCACCGCACAAGCCGAGCCCTTCGGCATCCAGCTTGACAGCGACCATCGCCGCCGCCCGCGCAGCCCCTGCCATAAACAATGCTACCGTCCGTCTACCGGCTCAAGCTCCAGCGCGCACCGTCAGGAATGTTTCTCCTCCAAACGCTGCTCCGGGCCCCAAGAGGAAGTCGCCCGACAAGCTGGACCTGACACCCATACCGCCGACTACCTCGCTGGTCGAGATGTTCGAGCGCAAGGGCACACCACCACTGCCTCCCGCCATCAAGTCTCCGAAACCTTTGCGCAAGACTGCTCTTCTACGCAACCAAACGCTGGAGCCCATCACAACCCGACTAGAGCAGAATCACTACGAGAGTTCGGGCGATGAGGCCTATGAGTCCGCGAGAGATCACCTATCACCAGACCAACCCTCCAAGCCGAGTCTGCCGCCAGCTCGTCGCTCCATGCAGCGCGCCGACAGCAAGGTCCAGGAGCTTGTTGAACCTACAATCCGTATTGAACCGCCTTCACGCTCCATCTCGGTCAGAAAGACAACCCGTTCACCACCACAGCCATCGCCTTCTCCCGATCCTTTGCACCTTTCGACGTCCACTTCTACCAAGCCCATTCCTATCGCTCGTAATTATAGTCCTAATCACCTGACTCAACCTGGTCATCCTTCAATCACCGCCGCTTATCACCAACTACATCCTCGTCGTATGACCCCTCTCAAATCCGGTGACTCTCTCGCCAACGCCATCGTCGCATCAAGTCTCGCCTCCTCACGAGCAGCTTCGCCCACAAAACTCCCACCCTCTGTACCGTCTACAAGCCGGCGCACTTCCCATTCCAGCTTTCTACACCGCACGCCATCTCCCCCAAAGAAAGGAATGCGCCACACGATGCGGAAACCTTCTTCTGACTCTGACAGCGAAGAGGACGAGGACCCGTACTCAAAGCACAAAAAGAAACGATTTGTACGGAAACATCCAAACAAGCATCACGAGGGTGATCGCAAACGATGGCGAGATGCTGTCACACAAACGGAACGGAAACGCTACGAAGGTGTTTGGGCTGCTAATAAAGGCATTTGTGTCGAGTATACTTCCGAGGAACTGGACCTTCTCACCACACATCCCGAGTCCAAAGAGGCCGAGAAGATCAGAGTCAGTGTTGGCGATCAAGTCGCTGATATTGTGGCGAGGGACATCTGGCTACGGAGTCGATTGCCTGTGCATGAGCTCGAACAAGTTTGGGACTTGGTCGACAATCAACAACGTGGTCGTCTTTGCAGAGATGAGTTTGTTGTCGGATTATGGTTGATTGATCAAAGACTCAAGGGCAGAAAAATTCCTGTCAAGGTCACCGACAGTGTTTGGAATAGTGTGAGGTTATTGTCAGGCATCAAGGTGAGGAAGGGCTGAGTCTTTCCTCCCTTTACGCTTCTGTATATACCTTGGTTTGGTGTTTTGGACGGACGGATATTGGTTTTTGATCATCTTTGACTAGCGAAAGCGCAGATACCCTGATGTCGTTTATTGTATTCTGTTCATCACTCATTCATCCTTCGTTTCTTCGTCTAGCGTCTATAGTTCGCTCTACTCAGCGACCTCGCCGAGATCGGCAAAGGCCAAACTCCGGCTTCCCGGCTAAACTTGTCCGACAGGGTGATACCATTTACAAGCAATTGAAAGAACGAAAGGTTTATAATACCTTCACCACAAGGACATTACTGATTACTGGGCCTTATGTAGGAGCTTGTGTCTTCTTATCAGGGTTTTACATATTCACACTTGCTGATAGATGCTCGTGTCGGGTGTGAACGTAGAAAAACCAGATATAGCTTGTGCTTTCCGAGAATTCACTGACAAACACATACGGTGTGACAATGACAAATGAACGACAAAGCAACATGTTTCAAGCATCGTGCATATTGTATCAAGTCTACTACTACGATACCATTTCACTACATGTATCCCATTCACCCACTTTCGAATCGCTGTGAGAGTTGGGTTGGACGAAGGGAGTGGCGATAATCTGAAGCTTCGAGGCGGCCAAAAGTCGTGGTTTCCCGCTCAACTGTCAGAAACGCCAAAGCTTTCTAGATTCTCGCACTTTCGTGCACGCCTTCTCCCTCATTTTTAATGGAGCAGTTGCATTCCTTCGTGTCATCTTCAGTCGCGTATCATCATGGAAGCAGCTATCTGAGCACGAATGTCTAGTGTCTTCTGCTACACACTCGCACGCTTCTCCCTCACATCTCGATCACCATGTAACGTTAACACGCAGCCATCACTTGTTCTATAATACGACACGTCCGCCATACAGTCACTGTGCTGTTCTCTTGACATACACGCTTATCTCTAGCAAAGTTCAAACCAAGACGTCAACCCCACTGGCCTCGTGGTTCGGAGACTCTGCATCTACAGCCAGACCTCCACCAAGGGTCTACTCAGTAGCGTATGCTCGACTCCTGCGTCAATCTTACGTGCTGCCGAAAGCTTCGAGAGACATCCTTGATCTCTGTGAACACTTGCAGGGTTCATGGATTCTTCAACGTGCTGCACATATCTTGCCGCATCCGCTGGCCATGTGGAACTGTCCGCTCATCCCTAGCAACATCAGATAGCTAGTGGACGATGCTCCCGTACGACATCCAACTACGTAGCTATTCGACAGTTGTGCCCTTGCATGCGGGTCATACCTTCCACGCGTGCTCTCATGAGCCTCCACTCTGTTCATCGTGGCAGTGATCACATGGCCAGAATCCCGAGCGGGCATAAACCCGATATCTCAACAGCAAACTTCTGTCAAGCAGCTACATGCTGCAGATTCTCAACGTCTCCAGCAGCTAATGGCGTTCGCTTGTGAAGATTCATGGCCATCTCATGACCCACCATCTTTGAACAGCGTATGAACCTGTCTCCCGGCATGTCAAAAACGACACAACAGCTTCAAGCAAATAACACAAAAGTGTATGACAACATCCAGGAATATCACTTGCGCTAAGATTCTGCTCAGAGGACGAACTCGGAGCAGACACAAAATGTGCGCGTCTGGTGTGCTCAATCGGTCAACCAAAGAATCGCGTTATTATGTCATGCTTGTATGTGGTCTCGCAATCATGGCTTTCATGTCGAGTCGTACTATCGACGTGCGTTGGAAAATTCACACCCTGTTCTCAACATCCACGGACCACTGCCGAATCGAACTACAGATCAACAGATCAATAAGTTTGGGTCGGAAACTCGTCCGAGATGACATAGTTCCTACGGGACTCACAAAGAGAACAATATAACCTCCGCCATGTCGATCGCTCTTATAGACGATCGTCACTATTCACTCCACAAGTTTTCGACGCATCGGGGTGTTGGACGGAGTAGGAGTACGCCCTGGCAAAGACGTGCTTACGGCCGAGTCGAACGGAAGAATAGATCGATTCTGAGTCCGCGGCATTTTGCTCATATCAACTGCATACGACTGTACCGCAATTGTGATCTTTCGATTGACCTCACGCCTGCATGACTTGAGAAAACCTTTCACAAGTGTCCAATTACCCCTCAAGTATACGACAGGGATATGAAAATACAATCCCACTCGAGTGGGTGAATGCCTATGGAACCATCCGAGCCAGAGGGGTGGGATGACGAAGGATGAAGGACCATTGATCTACGTTTTGAACCCGGTTGTCTTCCCGCCCAGGATTTATGCTTATCCCACGATGATCGAGCCGAACAATTATCTCTCTGGAAGCGAACGGCGACCAGACGTGTTCACCCAAATTCGAAGCCATCTAACCCGTTTGACATTGACATGCGATGATCAAGCTACAAATTGATCGAGCTCGCGTCTGAATCCGCTGAAATTCGCACGTACGAACGTTCGGCGTTGAGCAAGACGTCCAGGAACGGAGCATGCATGCATGCAGCGCACAGCACGCAAATCGAGACGTTGCGAGATGGCGACCACGCTATTGCGCAGCTACTTGCTGGGTACCTGCAACTTGATGTCAACAGGTGGATCCGCCAGCTTGCTTTTGATCAGCGCTAAACAATATCGGGCTGGTCCGCGCGGGCCGATCTACCAAAGATTCATGCACGTTACCCCACACTTAACCCAAAGAGGCTCTTGCTGGTATGCACGTTCGACAAGACACCCCGCAGTCTCAATGTGGATATCTCGAATACGTGGACGTTCGACCAAGCGTAGGACGCATGCATGAAGTATGGAGAAGTGCGTACCCGACACAGCTTCTCGGTAACCTGCTAGAGTACCGTGGCAATGGATGACACCTCTTGAATCACCAGCTGGAATCTGAACAGCATCAAGCATAGAGATTGTGGCTACCAATGCAGCGAAGATACTGCAACAAAGGATGGAGGTGGAGCTCAGCTCCGTGCCTAACCTCAGCAGGATTGAGGTATTCTGGAGCAAGGAAGTCAGCTTCGACTGATGTCACTATGTCACGTTCGGGACTTTCGTACGAGAACAACAGCATCTCACCATCCGTTGTCAACATTCGGGACTTCAACGGTGGTCAACACACACTGCAGAAAGACGAGATCTGCGTGTTAACTCCCACGCTTACCCTTTAGGATTGGCATTGCAGGTAAGACCCACCGAAGATCTGATCTTGTCGTTGCTCGCTGAATTTGTCAAGTACCTGGATGATGCTAGGCATGACCCTGAGAAACGACGTCAGAAAAAGCTTGCGATGAACACATTGATGTATCTGCCTCACGGAGCTCTAGCTATATAAACAGGACACTGCTTGTGTTACTTCCGTTCCATATCCCCTAAACTTTCCAAACATCACACAACTCATCATGGCATCCCCACAAGTCGAACAAAAGCAGGACTCTCCCATTGACAGTAGCTTCAGCATGGACAAGCTCCGCGCTGCTCTTCCTGTCGATGCCGTCCTCAGCAGATCCCAGTCCATGTACTCCAACGTTGGAGGTGGTTATTCCGGAGAGCATTCATCATCCAGATCTGGATCGTCTATGGCACACCGCTCCGTGCGCCGCTCCACATCGAGCGCATCTCGTCGCCGAGGCTCCGTTGCATCTTCTTTCCGCAACTCATTGGCCATTGAGAACACTGGTCATGCCGAGGCCAAGTTCTTCGCCTTCCTCGACATGGTTGCCAATGCCTCTAGAGAAGCTTCATCATTGAAGGAGCTCTGGTCGCAGATGGCTGCTGAGCGCCGCAACTTCGCTGCCGAGCGTGAGGAGCTGCGTGAGCAGATTGAGGAAGTTTCATACGAGCTTGAGACCAGACAGAACGACAACCACAGACATGATGGCGAGCTTGTTGAGCACAAGGAGAAGGTCCGATCCATTTCCATTGAGCTCACCACTGCCATCAACAGACTCGCAGCCGAGAAGAACAAGCTCAACGAACGCGACCAGCACATTGACCGCCTCCGCAACGAACTTATTGGACAGCAAGAGCTTCAGTCTACTTTCCGCTCTCAAATCGACCGCCTCAAGGCCGAGTATCAGTCTCATGAGACTTTGTTCAAGGCCATGCAAGATGACCGTGATGGTGCAAGAGAAGATGCAGACAGATACCAGCGTAGTCTCCAGAGAGTCACTCAAGAGCGTACTGAGATCACCAGCAGACTCGAGGAGGTCCAGACCGCCCTTGACACTCTTCGCAAGGAGGCTCTTATCTCCGCAGAACGTCTGAGAAAGTATGAGCTCGACCAGGACGAGAAGATCCATGAGATCAACCGCCTTAAGGAAGAGCTCCGCAAGTCTCGCAGCAGAGAGGAGGAGTCCGGTTCTGAACTTCTTATCATTTCTGAGAAGTACAGCCAGTCCAACCGCGACATCAGCAAGCTCAAGGACACTCTCCGCACTGTTGAGGGCGAACGCGATGAGCTCACCCACATCGTCGATGTCAAGAACCGCGAGATCAAGTCCACCATCGCCCGCCACGACGAGGTCCAGACTCTTCTTCTCGAGAAGACCACTCTCCTTGACAGCCTCCGCCGCGAGTTGTCTCTCTTCGAAGACCGTCTCCGCAGTGCCGAGCTCGAGAGAGATGAGAAGCACGAAGCCCTCGAGCACTCCCGCGAGCAGCACAAACTCGTCATCATCACCCGCGACGAACTCTCCAACGAACTCATCACCGCCCAAGGCAAGGTCGACGCCTCCAAGCGCCAAATCGCCCTCCTCACCGACACCGCTCAGAAGACCGAACAGGTCATCATCGACACCCGCGCCGAAGTCACTCAACTCAACGGTACCATCAAGGGTCTCGAGCGCGAACGCCTCGACTGGCAAAAGAAGAACACCACCCTCACCGACCAGCTCGTCGAACTCAAGGGTCGCATCGTCATCCTGCAAACTGAGATCCACGAAGCCGGCGGCGAGCGCGAAGGTCTCCGTGACGAGCTCCGCCGTTCCCGCGAAGAGCTCGAGGAGGTCACAGAGACCATCACTCAAGACGAATCCGCCGAGTTCGAATTCGAACTCGAGAACATGCGCGCCATGCTCCGTGAGGCCCGCGAGCAAAAGGAACAAGCTATTGCTGCACGCGCCTCTGCTGACCGCGAGCGCGATGAGGTTTACTCCAAATACGAGAGCAAGTGCCGTGAGCTTGAGCGCTTTGAGGAGGAGGCTTCTGCCCGCATGCACGCTGCTGCTTCGTCTTCTGGCGGTTCCAAGTCCTCGACTACCACCACTACCAGAAAGAGCAGAGTCTCCGGTGGTAGCTCGATGCAGCAGAGCAGTGAGCAGCAATCGTGATTTGCTTTGGGGGTCAAAGCCAGAATCAGCGCAATTGAAATGATTTAATGCCGATGTATCAGTAGCATGAAGTAGTAGTAGTAATTTGACGATGTATCTTTCTTATCCTATGCGGGTCTTGATCTTTATCTTTCTTGACTCGTTCTCCCTTGAATCACTTTGACCGAAAGTCTTGGTCGTGAGAAAGCCAAATACCTAGAAGTTTGCTTTATTATTGATGTCATTGTGATCATGATGACCGTGATCACGATGAAAATGACATTTTCCAGATCGAGCATCATGATGACGGTCGCCATCATCGTCACACACCATCATGATCATCATCGTAGCTGGCATCACGATAGTCGTGAGCTCAGTAATCATGATCCTGATCCTACCGATCCTTTTTTGCTCTCCCATATCCTTTTGCCTACTGACTTCTATCTCCATGTATTGCCATTTACCGTAATAATCTTGTTGGAGTCATTTCAGCATACGCGGTAGCGAGAAACAAATAATCATTCCATTCATCATTCCATACAGATAAGACTCAAAAGACAGTGCGATCTCAAAAAAACGCCCTGCTCTTTCTTGGCCTTCTCTTTTACCCTCTCATCCTCCAAACAAAATACAAAGCAATAACCACAGCAGCAACATCAAGCCCGATGCCAAAATACCAAGCACCACGATACCCCCCAAGCACATCTTGCCCACCTTTATTAACATTTCTGTCCACCGTTCCCGCAATCCCCAACGCAATAGAAATACTGTAATTCACTACTGTATTGACCAAACTCGCCGCAACACCTTGATGTTCCTTTGCCGTGGAATTGGACAGAATAATCGTGCCAGAGGGGAAACTCATGTCCATTCCCCAGGGCATGATGATGATGGAGACGAAGGTTTGGGCCCAGTAGATTTGGGTAGGGGGAGCGGTGGCGATGAGGATTTGGCCGATGAGGAAGAAGAGAGTGGCGAGGAGGAGGACGTTGCTGACTTTCGTCTTGGAAAGGAGAAAGCCGGTTGCGACGGAAGCCAGGAGGCCGGATATGGCGACGGGGGCATTTTGGGCACAGGCTGCTAGGGCGGAGTAGCCTCTCAAAACCTCGAGGAAGTTCCACAAATAATAGCTATTAGAAGGTTAGAAGCAATGATGACGGAGCGGAAAAGTGGTACTTACACCCAGATACCGAAAGAGCCCCATCCGGCTGCAATGACTGCTAGAGCAAGGATGGATTCACCACTAAGAGCCTTGATGGGCACAAGAGGTTGGCCAGCAACCTTCAACTCAATCCAGACAAAGGCGACCAGGAACAAGATACCAACAATGAGTAGGACATAGTTGTAAACCATTGGCCAGCCAACGTTGGCAGCCTGGTTCCAAGAGAAGTTGAACAGAACCAACCCAGTGACTCCAGTAATGCAGCCCAAGTAATCGAATTGGACATCTTGAGCGTCAGATCCAAGTTCGTCGGCGGGAATGATGAGTTGAGCAGCCACGGCAGTGACAACACATGCGATAGCCAAAGCCCAGAATGCCCAAGGCCACCAAGCCAATTGAGCAAGAATGGAAGAGAAGACAGCTCCAACCACCCAGCCCGTCGGCGCGGCAGCACCAAATAGTGCAAAGATAAGATTCTTTTTATCGCAAGGCGGGTAAGTTCTTCCAACAATAGCGAGAGCGTTCGGCACCATAATCGCAGGTCCGATACCCTGAAAGCCTCTAGAAACACTGAACAGTATGTCTCCAGAGTAGACAGACAATCCCGCTACCATGGACCAAACCGCATACCAACCCAAACCCATAAGATAGAGTTTCTTATGTCCATACATGTCTCCCAATCTACCAGCCGGCAAGATGAAGGTACCGACTGTCAGACTGAAAGCTGCAGGATACCATGATAGCTTTCCGGGATTGGTGTCAGTGCCGAAGCTACGGCCGATTATGTGTAGTGGTGCTATGGATTGAGCGAGTCCGGAAAGGGCGAGAAATTGCGAGAGGCAGATTATGAAGATAAAGGCAACTTCATGGGTCGTAGAGAAGGACGGTTGTGTGTCGACAGGTTCGCCTTTGTCATTTTGGGTTTCTTTTTCGAGATCTTGGCCATTGTTGGGTGAAGTCCGCTCACTTTCGCCAGACATTTTTGGGACAATAGATGTGAGGTCACGGAACTGGATCGGCGGATAGTCGAGGAGTCCAGAAAATGGCCGAAGTGGTCAGAGTCTCAAAGCGAGAAGGTCAACAGTCGAAGATAGGAGGTAGAGGTTGGCAAGACTACGTTGTTACTGACAATAAGGGCTTCAATTCGACGTATGACGTGGATCGATCATCCGATGTCGAAAACAGTTGCTTCTTGAGCAATCTCCTGGTCTTTCTTTGCGAGGCATCATCCGTCCTACCGACCGACTTTCAGTCCCTGAAACCTGACGTCGTGCGAAAACCCTTTCTGGAGATGGGCATGAATATGATGCACGGTGGATTCGGGGTGGACAATCGCAGATCCTAGTGTACCATACCTTCAAGCTCGGTGCTTATCACCTGTTTGGGTCGAACCTGGACTCGCCGCGTGTAAAAGATCACGAACACAAGGTAGCTTTGTCGTTGAGGTTGAGTTAGGAATCGCCGATCTTAACTTAGAAAAGTTTGAGCACACAAACCGATGATGTGAGGCTCCGATGGCACGTGCGTCTATCCGCCTAAGTTGACATCACCTTCAGCATTCATTTATTGCGTTGTTAAGTCTTTTCAGTCCAGATGTTGATCATCTTTTTCGTATCGAATTACAGAATGACTTGGATAGTGCGGATCAAGCAGGCCTTGAAGAAAGGAATTCCAGGAAAGTGCTCACCGGGCGGCCATCTGGCGGTGAAACGCCTTGATTGCTCAAGATCTTCCTTATTCAGCTCCAGATTTCGTTCGAGTGGACGAAAAACCCCAGGAACGGCCCACATGGACTAGCTCTACCCACTATGTTTGGCTGTTCAATGCTTGTTGAAGTCTGGGAAGCTTCAACGGCTGACCATCACTATCAAATCAAGAACAGCAGGTCCAAGTTACTAGACTAAGTACAGTGACGTGGCGTCAATCGCCTGTAGGATTTTCTTCTCTCAAGGAGCACTCGTCATTGGAGTACGGGTCCAATCCCAAGCATGATAAACTTACAAGGCCGGCCTGCTGCTGAGTTCCAGGGGCCCGACATTCTGACCTTGACTTACAGCAACCACTTTGCAGCCCTGACCAATCCGAAAGCTGGAATAGATTCACAATGAGCATTGGACAGAGACTTATACCCCAAGTCATCGACGACCTGGCAGGATCGTATCCCGACGATGTTTGGGCAGCATATCCTTCTTCGATGGAAGCCCTGGCCCAAGGTGACCTGACATATATCACCTGGAAGACGTTGTCAAACTCCATAAACCGACTGGCATGGTGGTTGACTGATCGCTTGGGAGAGGGTGGGAAGCTAGACACACTTTGCTATGTTGGCCCTTCGGACATTCGCTACTTCATGTTTGCCACGGCAGCTTGCAAAGCTGGCTATAAGGTTGTACTCACATCTCGAATGGCTAGAATGCTAGCTAACAAGCGACCAAGGCCCTTTTCTCGTCACCACGCAACCAAATTGCCGCGCACATATCGCTCATAGAAAAAACCCAGTGCAGCACGCTAGTCGGAGTCAAGAACCCCGTTGTCGAGAACATTTTAGACAACTCGGTGGTGAAATTCTTAGAAATTCCAACACTTGATGAGCTTCTCCACTCAGAAAAGGCCAGACCGTTCTTGTATCAACAAAGCTACGAAGAGGCTGCTGAACAGCCGTTCCTTGTTCTGCACACCTCGGGATCCACCGGTTTACCGAAGCCGGTGACGATCACACATGGCCTCATGGCCTGTATCGACGCCCAGAAACTACTACCACCTGTTGGCGGAAGACATGTCACATCACGGAACTACAGAGGCAATCATGTATACACGGCTCTGCCTCCGTTCCACGTAAGTCAACATCCGGCATTTCTGCCACCCTGTCTTTACTGACAATTCACAGTCAGCGGGTGTCAACTTCTTCGGATTCTCTGTCTTCCAAGGCACGAGACTTGTACTAGGTCCGCCGGAAAAGATTCCATCGCTCAAAGTTGTTCAGCACATGCTTGAGCAGAAGCTCGCGAAGGCTGGCGTGATGGCGCCCACGATTCTCGAAGAGGTAGCTGAATCACCAGACACACTCCAAAGACTGTCTGACTGGACCAGTGTCTCATTTGGAGGCGGCCCACTATCTCTGAAGGCAGGAAACACGCTATCAAAATACACGACTGTTTTCAACATCCTTGGATCCACCGAGACAAAGAATTTGCCCGAGATCACTCCGGCTTCGCCTGAAGATTGGCAATACCACGAATTTCATCCTGCTCTCGGCATCGACTTCCGACACCATTCGGGAGAGTTGCATGAGTTGGTGTTCCAGCGCCAGCCCGAGAATGGCCTGTACTTTGCACCGTTCCGCACATTCCCCGACCTGCAAGAATATCCCATGAAAGACTTATACTCACCACATCCGACAAAGTCAGGTCTTTGGCTCTACCAAGGAAGAGCAGATGACATTATTGTACTGGCCAACGGAGAAAAGTTCAACCCCATCGAAGCCGAGCAGATCATCTCATCCCACCCAAACATCAAAGCAGCGATCGTTGTTGGTACATCCAAAGAGCAGCCCGCCGTGCTTATAGAGCCCGCGGAGAAATTGGCCGAAATGAGCGACCAAGACCGAACAGATTCTGTGTGGAATCTTGTGTCACAAGCTAATGAAGTTTTGCCCGGCCATGCGAAGGTCGACCAAGCACATACAAAAGTTCTGGAAGATACGGAAGCTTTCCTGCGAAGTACCAAAGGTGCTGTCCAAAGAAGACCGACAACACAGAAGCTAGAAGATGCAATTGAGAAGGTGTACCAAGATGCTGAGGCAAGCCCACTTACACATGATCTCGACTTCACAGACATGGATGCCTTATGCGTGGGAATCACTGCAGCTCTATCTGGAGTTGGTCTTCGCAACGCCGCGCAGTTGCAAAAAGATGAGAATCTTTTCTCCTATGGCCTTGACTCACTTCAGACACTCAGACTTTCGAAGGCTTTTAAAACAAGTCTAAAGCATCATACTACCAGTTCTTCTCTGAAGACCATGATTTACAGCAGTCCGACCATCAAGAAGATTGCCTGCGCGCTGATGAAGTTGCAGAATGGAGAAGGCGTAGAAGTCCAAGACTCTCAGCAAGCTGGAGCTGAGATGGAGAGGATTCTTGATGATTGCCTTGGCTCTCTCGAGGAAGCGAACCTGATTGCTGTTGAGAATGCTTCCCCCTCTCGGACTGGAAATCATGTCTTGTTGACAGGCTCAACTGGCGGCTTCGGCAGTTATATCCTGGATGTACTGATGTCGAAGCCAGAGATTAGCGTGACTTGTCTCAACCGTGCAGGCTCTGGCTCTGAGAAGCAGACGAACGTCAACGTTGAGAGGGGCCTGCGAGTTGACTTTTCACGCGTCGAGTTCCTCGAAATTGATCTCAACAAAGACTACTTTGGTCTACCGCAGGAGAAGTTTAAGAGATTGCAACAGCGAGCCACGCACATCGTCCATAACGCATGGCCTGTCAATTTCAACCTCCCTGTCACGGCTTTTGAGGACCAGGTCTGGATTTGCCGCAACCTCATCGCTTTCTCCATGCAAAGTCCCCGCAGACCTCATATTCATTTCGTCTCTAGCGTCGGAGCAGCAAATCGATGGCACGATGAACATATGGACTCAGTACCAGAGCAGCTATTGGAAAACTTCTCCTTCTCCGAAAATATGGGCTACACACAATCAAAACAAATCTCCGAATCACTCTTCGACCACGCAAGCACCAGATACAACATCCCATCAACAATCTGCCGCGTTGGCCAGATCGCGGGACCAGTGGAAAATCGTCAAGGTCGCTGGAATGAAGCAGAGTGGTTTCCCAGCCTCATCCGAAGTTCGATATACCTTGGCAAACTCCCATCCAGTCTCAGTGCCATGGGACGAATGGATTGGATCCCCGTGGACATCCTGGCAAAAGCTTTAGTGGAGACGCTGCTCGAAAATGATGAATCAACACGTTCCGATTCACCTGCCTCTCAAGATGCAGGCGAAGCCAAATCTGCACGATTCATCCATCTGCTTAACCCACAACAAGCGGATTGGCAACACATCATCCCGCATATCCAAGCAGTGCTGAGCAAAAGCTTGGAAATTGTGTCTTATAAAGAATGGCTGGGTGAATTGCGAACTTCCGCAGAGCAAGAACATGATGAAGCAAATCCTGCAGTGAAGCTCATCGACTTCTTCGGGGAAAATGGAAAAGAGCTAAAGCCGAAGTTTTCATCGGCTAGAGCGCAGGAATTGAGTAAGACGTTGGCGACCTTGGGACCTGTTAATGGACAGTGGATGGAATTGTGGATGAAGCAGTGGGGGTTGGATAGCATTCGAGCGAATTTGTAGAGTGATTGGACTCGTAGGAGTAGAGAGGTTTCCAAAGGAAGCCGGGCTTCAGCCAACACTTTTTCCTCTCCCTTCCAATATCACGACTTTTGCGAGGAGAAGAAGATCTTGCTCAAACGGGTGGTGGACAGAGTGTTTAACCGTGAGGTTCCGGCTGAGGCGTTTGGGGATCTGTTTTCGAGTGCTCACATTGGGAAGGCTGTTACAAAGATCTGGAGCAGGAATGATTATGGTAAGGCTGGATAGTTTGAGCAAAGTGCATAGTGAATTCATGATACGTTTCTTATTTCTCAAGCCATCGTCTCGAAGAAGCTTGGATCATAACCCAGAGCTAACGACACATGACGCCATGCTCGTCAAACTCATCGTGGTGGTTGATGAGAGCCTCGTCCAAGCCAATGTGCCAGATGCCAACAGTGAATTTAATGGCATTGACAGCATCCAATCTGACCTCCATCCACACGGGCCTGACATCGCTCATCTCCTCCGAAAGCCAACTGTCCAGCTGAGCCTTTACTTTCTCGACATCACCGAGCTCGGGGTCAACAACCAAGCTACCATTCTCGTTCTTGAGCTCTTGGGCAAGTTTGCGAACGTCCTCACCAGATGGCATCTCGTTTGAGTCGACCCCGGCGTACTTGAGAAGCAGCTTGTCCATTGTGGTGTCTGTAAATCTTGTTAGCATCCGATGGCGCTATACAATGGAAAACTCACTGACCTTTTCCCCATGCCTTGCGAACCTCTGCTTGACGGATGATATCCACGTACTGCTGAACGTAGAACAAGATCGAGTTGTCGCGAGCGGTGCGCTCATCAACCACAGCGAAAGCGTCATCGGCGATCCAATCAGATCTGCCGTTCGAAGCAAGTCCGTGTTCGCCAAATTTGGACGCGACAAACACCTCGAGAGATTCCGCGGAGGCGTTGACGAAGCCGCTGGTGAAGGAGTGCACGGGTGGCTTTGTGGGTGTAGAGAATGTAGACTGTTCAGGATCCTGGACAAGGACCCATCTGTTTGGGAAGAGATCGTCCGGATCGTTGCGCTGTTGTGCCTCGCCGTGTTCGAGAATCTTGTTCACAAGCTGTGCAGGTCGTTAGCATGAGTCCGAAGGTTGAAATTTGGATAGTACCTCTACTGGGACTTTGGCCGTGACAAAGAGGGGAACCCAGGTTGCGTCACTCATTTTGATGAGAAAGAGAGACGTTGATGATGGCCGGGGAGAGAGAGAAAATGGGCAAGCCCTATCAGCAGCATTCAATACTGATGCCGAATGACGCGTGATCTGTTGTTTGCGCATAATCCAAGTCTCAGCAAACAATAGGCCACGTACTTGACGCTTGCACTATCACATGTCACAAACACAAGCAGCCTACAAGACACATTTGGCTAGGCGAGCGACTTGAAGGCCACGATTACCCGACCAGAAGCAAGAAGTAATGGTCCGAAGCTCTTCAGTGATTGTAAATATCGTGAGAGATTATTTGATTACTTTTAATCTGAGGAAACATGTATATCTGTATATGAAAGAAGGTTAACAAAAGAAAAAAGACGTCTGGAGTATTGTTCGAGATCCCATCTACTAGCCATAAATACAACGGGCTCCGTCATTCAATTGCGAACCGGGACCGGTGCTCTGAAGGACGGGTACTGCTGGGTTCGCCAAATCAATGCGCCAGATCTTGCCATCGCCATTATTACTGACCCACATGGATCCATTGTTGGAGCCATACGCAGCGCCGAACTGGCCTGTCAACTGAGTGTATGGACTGCCGATCGTCGTCCATGTGTGATCTGTCATACTCCATCTGGCGAGCTGATTCGTGTAAGGTGTGGCGGGATTCCTAAGAAGGGCATACAAATACTGGCCTTGACTGGGTACGTAGACCCAATCGACATTGTACGTGCCACTCGCGCCAGGGAACGTCGATGTGCCGGAACTGAGGGTTTGAAGATAGGTCGAAGAATCAGGTCTCATGTCAATCTGCTGCCATTGACCGGCTGTGTTGATCAACCAATAGTAACCGTCGGAGTCAATATCCGCAGAGTTGTATGTCTGAGCAAAAGTGCCAGTGAGTTGCTTGACAACCGTCGCCTTGGTGGTATTAAGACGAACGATCTGTCCCTGTTTACTGTATGCATACAAGTAATTATCCAACACGTTGAAACCCATTCCGTTGATTGGATTGTTCGAATTATATGCAGTAAGATCGGGGCTGAGTTGAGTATTTGTTCCTGCAGTGATATTGACGCTGTAGAGTCGCGTCACGCCGCTCGTGTCTTGTTGTACAAGATAGCCACGGGCATCGCACGCAAACGAACCTGCAGGAGCGGCACTGGGAGTTGCAACTATGACGGTGCCGCGGGTGGTTCCTTGCGCGGAGACTGTACTGGTATATGGAGAGGCTGCTGGCGCGATGGTTGTTGTAACGGTGGTGTAGGACTGGGGGTATCCGACTTGAACTGTTCCTGCTGTAGAACCTGATGGGGGAACCGTGCTTGTATAGCCTGAAGCGCCTGGACTCAAATAGGATGTCGTTGTGGTGTAGCTCTGGGGGACTCCTACTTGGACAGTCCCGGCGTTGGAGCCGGATGGGGCAACCGTGCTTGTGTAGCCCGAGCTTCCTGGGCTTAAGTAAGACGTCGTCGTGGTATAGCTCTGAGGCACTCCCACTTGGACTGTTCCTGCGTTTGACCCAGATGGAGCGACCGTACTGGTGTAGCCCGAGCTTCCTGGGCTTAAGTACGACGTCGTGGTGGTATAGCTCTGAGGGACACCAACTTGAACCGTACCGGCGTTGGAACCAGAGGGGACGACTGTGCTTGTATAACCTGAAGCTCCTGGACTCAAGTATGACGTTGTCGTGGTATAGCTCTGAGGAACACCTACCTGGACTGTGCTGGATCTTGTTCCAGATGGAGGAACTGTGCTCGAGTATCCCGACGCTCCTGGGCTCAGGTATGATGTCGTAGTCACGTACCCAGTAGCATCTGGAGTTGACTGACTTGTCTGGGCAGCTCCAATCACGACAGTGCCAGGCGTCGTGCCTGATGGAGGAATTGTGCTCGTGTATCCGGAAGATCCCGCGCCCAAGGACGTTGTGGTCGTTGTGAAACTTTGAGCGTAACCTACTTCGACAGTGCCTGGAGTCGTTTCACTTGGCGAATTGATAGTACTCGTGTAGACTGAAGCCCCGGGACTGAGATAGGACGTAGTGGTCACATAATTCTGAGCGTAGCCCACTTCTACAGTTCCTGGGGTCGACCCGCTTGGGGAATTGATGGTGCTTGTATAGGCCGAAGCTCCTGGGCTGAGGTACGATGTTGTAGTCGCATAATTTTGAGCATAACCTACTTCCACTGTTCCTGGAGTCGTCTCACTGGGCGAGTTGATAGTGCTCGTATAGGCTGTCGCTCCAGGACTGAGGTAGCTAGTACTGGTCGTATAGCTTTGAGGGTACCCGATTTCAACAGTTCCTGGGGTCGTTTCGCTGGGTGTATTCAAAGTGCTCGTGTAACCTGTGGCTTCTGGGCTCAGATAGCTTGTTCTGGTAATGACACTTTCAGGATATCCAACTTGAACTGTTCCGGGAGTTGTGCCGCTGGGAGAGTTCAAAGTACTTGTATAACCTGAAGCTCCGGGGCTGAGGTAGCTCGTTGTAGTCGAATAGCCTTCAGGATATCCGACCTCGACAGTACCAGGTGTTGCTTCATTTGGTGGCGTCGTGCTCGTGTAAGCAGAAGCTCCGGGGCTCAGATAAACTGTTGTAGTAGAATAGCTTTGAGGATATCCAACTTCGACCGTACCTGGTGTGGTTTCACTGGGGTCATTCAAGGTCGTAGTATAACCTGAAGCTCCAGGACTCAGATAACTGGTAGTAGTAGTCAAAGACTCAGGGTATCCGATTTGAACAGTACCAGGAATTGTTCCATTGGGTTGCCTGGTGCTTGTGTAACCTGACGCGCCTGGGCTGAGGAAGCTAGTCGTCGTAGTCACAGTTTGCGCATATCCGATCTGAACGGTCCCAGGCATTGTTCCATTTGGTGGAGTCGAGCTAGTATAGCCCATTCCGCCCGGACTGACATATCGAGTGGTTGTTGTTACTGTTTGGGGATACCCAATTTCGACAGTCCCAGGAATTGTCCCGTTTGGCGGTGTCGTAGATGAATAAGCGGTCGCGCCAGGCGAAAGATACTGAGTCGTTGTTGTCATTTGCTGAGCGAATCCGATCTGGACTGTACCATACGTTGTTCCATTGGGTTGTATGGTGCTGGTATAGCCCGTCCCACCAGGAGGAATGTACTCGGTAGTAGTGGTTATCTGCTCGACATATCCGACCTGAACTGTACCAGCGCGAGTGCCGTTTGGAGGCGTTGAGCTAGTGTAACCAGTTGCACCGGGGCTCAAATATTCAGTTGTCGTGGTTATAGACTGAGGGTAACCGACCTCGACTGTACCTACTGTTGTACCTTGAGGAGGTGTGGTACTAGTATATCCACTTGCCTCAGGACTGAGGAATTGAGTTGTTGTCGTAAGAGACTGGGGATAGCCAATCTCAACAGTGCCTGCTGTTGTTCCGTCGGGCGCCGTAGAACTAGTATATGCACTGGCTCCAGGACTCAAATAAGAGGTCACGGTACTCACGGACTGGGGATATCCAATCTCGACGGTTCCGGATGTTGTTTCCACTGCTGGTGTCGTACTGGTGTATCCAGACGCGTCAGAACTTAGGAAAGACGTGATGGTGGTGTAAGAATATGGGTATCCGACGACGACTGTTCCTGGAGTAGTGCCGCTCGCGGGTTCTGTAGAGGTATACGCGGTCTCGTTTGATGCCAAGAAAGATGTTCTACTTGTAAAAGTGGGTGGATAACCAACAATCACGGTTCCAGGTACGGTCTGATTTGCTGGAGAAGTGCTCGTGTACCCAGAGGCACCCGGAGATAGGAAGGAAGTCTCGGTTGTATAAACAGGTGCATATCCAACAATGACAGTACCTGCAGTGGTTCCCTGCGGAGGTATGGTGCTAGTGTAACCTGTCTGATCGTCTTGCAAATAGGTCGTCGAGGTCTCAACGGTTTGCGGATAACCATATATCAGCGTCCCGTCCGTGGTACCATCCGGAGCGATGCTGCTAGTGTAGGCAGTCGCACCCGGCGAGAGGAAGCTAGTCGTGGTCTGAATACTCTGAGGATAACCTTCGATGACAGTCCCTGGAGTAGTGCCTTGCGCAGTGACTGTGGTAGTGTACGCGCTCTGTCCCGGTTCAAGGAAGGAAGTAGTATGGTCATATTTTTGATCATATCCGACGATCACCGTTCCGGGGACTGTTCCGGACGCGGGTATCGTGCTTTGGTATTCAGATGCTCCGGGAGTAAGGAAGGTGGTGGTAGTGACTGTTGATTGCGGATAACCAACGATACGAGTGCCTGGAACGGACCCAATTGGAGGCACTGTGCTAGTGTACCCTTCACCGGCTGAGAAGAAGGTTGTTGAGTCGGTGTAGGTTTGAGGGACGCCAAAAATCACCGTTCCGGGAGTTGTACCAGAAGGTGCAACACTGCTTGTGTATGCCGATGCTTCAGGATCAATGTAGCTAGTCGTGGTCACTGTAGCCTGCGAGTAACCGACAATTCTCGTGCCTGGAACGGATCCGCTGGGCTGAACTGTGCTAGTGAAGCCTTCTTCACCAGCTGAGAGGAAGATCGTAGAGTCTGTGTAAGTCTCAGGAGACCCGACAATGACAGTTCCAGGGGTAGTCCCAGTCGGTGCCACTGTCGTGGTAAATGCCATATCGCCCGGCGCGAGATAAGTGGTTGAGGTGACCGTTGATTGCGGGTAGCCCACAACTATTGTCTCTGGCCCTGTACTGTCTGACGGGAGAGTACTTGTATAGCCAATTTCTCCGGCAGAAAGATAGCTGGTGCTGAGTCCTCGAGGTTCGCCGATGATGACTGTCCCAGGAGTATCATCATTCGAAGGAATTGATGAGGTGTACGCAGTAGCATTCGGATCAAGCATCGAGGTTGTGGTCACAAAACGACGGGGGCTTCCGATAACGACCGTGCCTGGCGAGCTCCCGGATGGACTGACAGTGCTTGTGTATGCTGCAGCGTCGTCTGAGAGAACAGATGTAATTGTTGTGTAATCGGTGCGAGGCGCGGAGGTAATGGTTGGCAAAGTACTTGGTACTGTCTCTGACAATCCAGTGCTCGAACTGCTGGTTTCGGGAGTCGAAACTGGTTCGCTGGTTCTAGAAGGGAAAGACGAAGAAGAAGAACTTGTTGGCACTGCCGCAGATGAGGAGGAACTGCTAGGAGGATCGCTGGTTTCAAGAGTCGAGCTTGTCTTGGCAATGATCGAGCTAGAAGACGAGGAAGAGGAAGCGCGTGTTGGTGATGAGGAAGGAATCAAGGTCGAGCTGCTAGTGGGGGAACTGCGGGATGACGAATAAGAAGACCTCGCGGGTACTCCAACGACAATATATCCCGAGTTTGTGCCAGACGCAGGAATCGTCGACGTAAAGCCAGTGGCACCTGCTGTCATCTGCGTGGTTCTTGTTGCATATCTTTGAGCTTGACCGACAATAACGTAGCCGGGCGTGCTTCCAACTGGAGGCATTGTAGAAGTGTAGCCAGAGGCACCTGGCGGCAATGTGCTAGTGGTAGACACAAATGAGGTCTGAACTTGGCCAACAACGACATAGCCGGAAGCAGTACCTTCAGCCGGAATGGTTGAGGTATATCCAGAAGCACCAGCTGGCAACAGCTGAGTTCTCGATGCGAACCTTTGAACTTGTCCCACCATGACATAGCCTGGGGTGGTGCCACTCGGAGGAACTGTGGAGGTATAGGCAGAAGCACCAGGGGGTAACATGCTAGTTCGCGAGGAGTATGCGGCTTGAGGAGTAGCAATGATCACATATGCAGGAATAGTTCCTTCAGCAGGTACCGTAGAAGTATAGCCAGAGGCACCAGGGGGCAATAGCTGAGTTCTTGATGCGAACCTTTGAACTTGACCAAACATAACGTATCCCGGAGTTGTTCCACTAGGAGGAACAGTAGAAGTATAAGCAGAGGCACCTGGAGGTAACAGGCTAGTTCTGGAGGAGTATGCTGCCTGCGGAGTAGCAATAACAACGTAGCCAGGCGTAGCCCCAGATGCAGGAACAGTGGAGGTGTAAGCACTAGCACCAGGTGGTAAGAGCATGCTTGCTGTCTCGAAATCTCCAGCCTGGCCGACTACAACATATCCGGGAGTAGTTCCGACTGCAGGTATGGTTGAAGTAAAGCCACTGGCGCCAGCAGGCAACTTCGAAACTGATGTGGCATAGCTTTGAGGTTCTCCAACAATCAGATATCCTGGGATAGTGCCAGAGGGAGCGACTGTAGACGTGAACCCACTTGCGCCAGGAGGCAGTAATCTGGTCGAGGTCGATGAGATGGATTGGGGCTGTCCAACTATAAGAGTACCAGGTGTAGTTCCAACAGGAGCAATCGTAGATGTAAATGCACTCGCACCAGGAGGTAGAGCTTGGACCGATGTCGACGAGAATGGGCGAGGTACACCGACTTGAACATAACCTGAACTTGTACCGACGGCGGGGACAGTAGAGGTGAAAGGACTAGCTCCGGCTGGCATCAGCGAGAACTGTGTCGCGAATCGCTGTTGAGGTCGACCAATGACAAGATATCCAGGAGTGGTACCAACTGGGGCGACGGTGGAAGTGTACGGCGCAGCACCTGGAGGTAGAACAACTGATGAAACCGAAGTGGGACGTTGGAATTGACCGACAACGACCGTCTCGGGCTGATTGCCCGAAGCGGATATCGTTCTGGTAAATCCGGGCGCTCCAGGAGCAAGAAGAGACGTTGAGGTTCTTTGCTTTGGCTGATCTTGACCAATGACTACGGTGCCTGGTTGCGTGCCTGAGGCTGGAATGATGCTGGTGTAGCCAGATGCGCCAGGAGGAAGCAACACAGTACTGGTTAATGCCGCTGAGGTGGCTGAAGCAGGGACGGCAACGATGACAGTGCCGGGAGACGTGCCTGATCCTGCAATTGTCACAGTGTATGGGGTTGCACCAGGAGCTAATGTTGACACGCTAGTCACAAAGCGCTGAAGTTGGCCAATGACAACATATCCAGGACTGTTTCCGGACGGCGGAACTGTCCTAGTATATGGAGTCGCTCCCGGCGGCAGTTGTGAGGTACTCGTAGCCATGGCAGATGGGAAAGGAGACCCAATAATTACTGAACCTGCAAAGGTTCCAGATGGTGCGATGGTACTTGTGAAACCACTTTGACCAGGCGCCAATCTTGTTATGACTGTCGATTGGGCACCAGCGGGACTTCCGACAATGACTGTTCCAGGAGATGAGCCTGACGGAGCTACCGTGCTCGTGAAACCACTCTCCCCAGATGATAACAGCAAAGTGCTGGTTGAGAGCGGAAGAGCTCCAACAATTACAGAACCTGAGAAAGTGCCAGAAGGAGGAATGGTGCTTGTATACGGTGTTGCGCCAGGAGGCAGAGTCGATGTCATAGTATCATAGCGAGCACGACCTATAACAACATAGCCTGGGTAATTTCCGGATATGGGAATAATACTCGTGTATGCAGTAGCTCCTTCTGGAAGGTAAGAAGTACTCAACTGATACCTGGAAGGCACAGGTTGACCGACAATGACCGTTCCAGGCTGATTATCCGCTGGGTAGAAAGTGCTAGTATATCCGGTGGCCTCAGCGGGGAGAAAGGTTGTGCTGATTTGGAAACCAGTAGGAGCTGCTTCACCGATAATAACCGTTCCTGGTCTATTGCCAGATGGCGACACGGTGCTGGTGTATCCAGTCGCCCCTGCAGTGAGAAGCGACGTGGTCAATTGATAGCCAGAAGAGACGTCTTGGCCGACGAGGATTGTTCGAGGTCCACCAAGAAAAGGCTGGAATGTGCTCGTGTATTCAGGAGAACCAGCCGAGAGGACAGTGGTTCTGACTTGGAATCCAGGAGGCACAGCTTGACCCACCACGATAGTTCCGGGCGAACCAGCTGAGGGTTGAACTGTACTGGTATACCCAGCTTGACCAGACTGTAGTAGTGCCGTGCTCAACTGATATCCACTAGGAACAGCCTGAGCCACGATGACAGTCCCTGGCAAACCGGCAGAAGGTTGAACAGTGCTTCTATATCCAGTCGAGCTAGCTGGGAGTAGCGACGTCGTCGTCACGAATCCTGAAGGAACAGGAGCACCAACAATGATTGTGCCAGGTACATTTCCAGACGGCTGTATTGTGCTTGTGTACGCAGTAGCGCCAGCGGACAGTGACGATCTCGTCACCACAAATCCAGAAGGAGCAGGAGAGCCAGCCACTATTGTGCCAGGCGCACTTCCGGACGGTTGAATCGTGCTCGTGAATCCGGTTGCGTCAGATGAAAGCACCGACGTCACAACCACGAAGCCAGAAGGGACAGGAGAGCCAACCAATATCGTACCAGGTCTGTTTCCAGAGGGTTTGATAGTGCTTGTATAACCTGCGGCGCTGGCTGGTAGCAGCGAGGTCGAGATCTCGAAACCCGATGAGACGGAAGTAGGCTGAGTGCCTACGATGACAGTACCAGGAATAGTTCCTGACGGACCGGCAACCACACTTGTAAAAGGCACATCTCCATCACCCAAGATCGTGGTCGATGTCGTAAAAGCATTGGGAGGCCCTGCAATGATGATCGTGCCCAGTGACACGCCTGAAGGACTGACGATTTGCGTGTAAGGACTCTCTCCAGAGGGCAGCTCCTTTATGCTGGTGACAAAGTCTACTGAATCTCTGGTCTTGTCTCCATGGCTTCCAACTGGATCTCCAGTGCCAAAATTCGAATTTCTGCTCGAATCAGTACATGTCAGACAGACGAAAAGCTTCGATCAACTCACATGGTTCGAGTCTCAATGACAGTCTCAGTAGTAGTAGTAGCTATACTGAGTTGCGTAGGTGCAGTCACTGTGACAGTGATTTGATCGTTGAAAGTCAAGACTGTGGGCGAAGCGACATATGTAGAGATCAGGACTGGACCAACGACCAGCGTTGTCGTGACTTTCAATTCTGGCCCAGGCGTACAGACATCATCTGATGGTGATGCCAAGGCCTTGCACACTGCCAGACCTATAAGGAACAACCTCGACATATCTGTTCAAGGTGGAATCGATTTCACCTTCTTCAGCCTGCTACACGCGGGAGGCGCATCTTTACTTATAAACCACATACCGAGTTTTGATGGGACCGCACGCCACCCATGGTGATACGTGATGATCACCCTAACGGCATCGACCTGGACGTTGTATGGCCTTGTCAATCCAGGCTGCACTCATCAACATAATATGCCGGGTTCATTGGGCTTGGCCGACATTTGGTACAACTGTTTCTAACAGTTGAAGAATTAGGAGGTCGATATGACTCGTTGATTGAGGCTCTCTAGAGAAGGAAGGCTCGGTGCGATTCGGACCCGGGCTCGAGAATCAGCACGGACCCACTTCGGTAGTCTTGGCATCCATTAGCCCTACTAGAATCCTCGGATCCTGCTACAAGTCCAACATCATTCTATCCGTCAACAACGTCCTCGCTATATACGGACGAAAGAAACAACCCATGAATCATGCTTCTGCTTGCAAGGGATGTGTTCCTGCATGGTCCACAACTAGTCCTTCGATGATGATTCCTGGGTACCGGTACTACCGGTAATGATGATTTGAATCAATTTGATTCTGGAATCCGTCTTGTCTCGGACGAGAAATCTTCGACCAAGGTATGCAAAATTGGCCAGAGCATTGAATTATGTGATATATATCTACAGTGCTTCGCTGTAGGCAGAAGCCCGTTACTAAACCTATATCTTGCTATCAACTCGGATACAGAAGATAGCAACATTTTTTTCTCTTTCCGCAACACGAACACGACGCTGTACACTGCCTTTGTATCAACACGTCAATCTTATCTTGGGCTCCTTCTATTGGACTCTACAATCATCTTCAGATTGATACATCTGTAAAGATGAGAAGCTCCATTGCTCTCTTCGGCCTTGTCGCAGGCGTACATGCTCTTGAACCTGCGTCCTCGCAATGTACAGAGTCATCAATCCATCATACGACAACCATATCAACAAGGACCTTTACTGCGACGTTTACGGCCATTCCATCACATATCAGTGCGGCTTCAGCACAGGAAGATGGCACCTCGTCAATAATATCTGTCACTCAAGCATTCACTTTTGCAGACTCCAGTATCACGACAAAATCAAGCTCTGAGATCACAGCCACAAGTTTCGCCACCGACAGCCCATCTTTCAGCACAGCATCAGATGGGGTCTCTTCTCAAAACTCTGCTTCAGCTTCCGGACCACAACCAAGTGATCCCAGTGCTTCAGGCGCAACTGGTCAATCGAGCATTGGAAACTCCTCTCCATCTTCCTCTTTCAGTTCTTCATCAATACTCGCCAGCGTCCCTACATCATCACAATGGAGCACCCAATCACGGTACGGCCCACCGCCAACAATGTCGACGTCAACCGCAACCACTGCAGGCAACTCGTCATCGCCGAAACATTCCGTGATCGCATTCACGGGTTCTTCGTCAACGACAACAACAACTGGCGGTGCAGCGTTGGTTGCTTTCCTTTTCACAATGCTTCTTCTGTAAAGCAGTCAAGTGCAGCATGGGCTTCGCAAACGGGCGTTTGGTTCAATTAGCGATTTAATCCGTATGAAACAGTTCTCTCATTCAATGGTTCGTCGATCAATGTGAGGATCTACAATGCAAGTGTCAATATCAGAGGTGCATGACGCCGTTGATGCTGGAACTATCAATTTGATTCCCATCACATGCGCTCCTCGACGGCTGACTTTGCAAATGTCGATGTGAGTAAGATCTTTATGCACCACGGTTTACGTTGCGATCGCCAAATAAGCTTATGTCAACGACCCAGCTTAATGAGATTTAACTACGGTTGTTTCATGCAGCTTCTTAAATGCATACAGTCAAAGATATTTCGGCTTTGCTCGCTCCAAAAGTGTCTATGCTCGAGAAACGTTGTCTTGTTTCATGTGATGCACGATACTGAGTGCGAGATGAATGGTGACGCTGAATTGCATGAGATTATGTAGGCGGTACTTATCAAATAGTGATGGTCTCCAGCAAAGACTTATGGATGGAAGACATGTACATGAAGTCAAGTCACTTTTGATCTTGCATCATGACTTTAAACTTACCTCTGTTGTCAGAAAAGAACAGCATTCTTGTCACACATTACATGTATCGCGCCAAATCTGGAAGTCGCCCATAGCAACTCTCCCAGTACTGATATTTCTTCTAATATCTTGGAGTCAAAGTCGAACAAGATTAGTGTTTCTCACGTGCTCGAGGTTGGACATGGTCGTTTGCTTACGTAAGAAGTAGGCGAACGTTTTGCCGTGATCAAGCTTGGCGACTCCCTATCTTAAGCGGCCATCTAACCTCCCCGTATGCAGAACTTTGTTACGCGCATGCTAAAGAAATGCACAATGTTTTTAAGATTAGTNAGGCAAACTAGGTATCTTATTAAAGCATTTAGATTTAACAATGTAGGAGAACTAGTCAAGCATTTTAAAGGACTTAAAGTGGAATTTAGGATTAAAACTTAAACTACAGTCCTACACACTTCTACCTAGAATGGCCTCGTCGAAAGGGAAAACTAGTAAGTAGAAAACGACATACGAGCTAATCTTAAGGGCGCTAACTTACTACCTAACTTCTAGGAAGAGGCATGCTAAGCTAGATGCTATATTAGAAATAGAATCTTAAACGGCCTAGAGGTAAATGGACACATAGTTAGCCCTTATAAGGCCCTTATAAGCAAGGTNCCTAATGTTAACTACGTAAGAGTATAGGGATATAAGGTACATTCCTATATGGACAGAGAATCCATCCCTTAGAACTTTAGAAGGGACAAACTTATAGATAAAGCTAAAGTTAGCATCTTTATAGGATATGTTGTAGATACAAGCAAGTAGTTCCTAATCTAGGCACCTAATATGAAGACCATTATTAAGACTAGTAACGTAGTCTTCTATAAGGATGAACCTAGTAGTAGCATCAATTACAACTTAGAAAGCAAGCATTAACTAAGTTATGCTACAACTAGAAATCTAAAGGGTAGGCCCGCTATAAACAAGGAAGATAGCTAAGCTACAGTTCCTCCTATACAAGCAAATCTAAAGTTAGTAGGAGCTGCTACATAACCTCCTCTATAAGAGGGAGATAAGGATAACACCTAGGAACTAACATTAGTAGGAGACAATAATCCTCCCTTAACTAATAGGGTAACTAGAAACTCTAAAACTACACCATCTTAACCTACTCCTCCTAAACTATAGAAGGAGGACCTAAACTAGAAACTAGTCTTAACTAAATTTAAGCCAAGGAAGGACGTAGAAGTCTAGATTAAGTTAAACTCTAGAAAAAGGACGAGGGATAAGAGTAGAATGAATTTTAGTAAGGATAAGCCTATAGAGAAAAGGCTCTATTAAGCCCTCTTTGCCCTAATGGCTATGTACACTACAAGTGATGACATAGGTGCAAACGAGGACTATGCTAAAATGTTAAGAGCATTAGTTAAAGAGTTTAAGGCCTACTTCTCCATAGAATTAGATAAGGAGATAGCCCTAGTAGCATAAGGCAAGATAGACATCCCTATCCCTTAAACCTATCTTAAAGCTATCTTAGACAAGATATAGGGACCTAAATAGAAGGAGGCAATTAGGCGTAAGCTCGTTNCACTAGTAGGTAATAGCACCTAGGAGATAACCTATCTTCCTAGAGGAGCTAACCTAGTAACAAGCAAATGGGTTTTTATAACTAAGTTTAACACTAATAGATTACTAGACAAGTTAAAAGCAAGACTTGTCGTAAGAGGATTCTCTTAGAAATTTGGAGTGGACTANAATAAGAGATATAGGAGCAACCAAGTACATTAGTAGCTACTAGTTTAAACCTCTTATTAAGGAAAAGACAAAGTTTATAATTAGATTACTAGTTCTTATAAGAGGAGATAACTAAGCTGCTCTTAGACTAGTAAGAGATGCTTAAATCTTAGATAGATCAAAACACATCGATGTCGCCTACCATTATTAAAGGGATCTCCTTAAGAAGGATAGGTTATAGGTTAAGTTTGTTAGAACTGTAGACATAGTTGCAGATAGAATGACTAAGCCTCTTGCAGGAGAGATATTTAAGAGGTTTATAAGACTGCTTAGGATAAGCTAATCTACTGCTACTAAGTAGGAGAGTTAAAATTGGTTCAGTTATGGTAGATAAGCTATCGGCTATCTTTGCCCTTGTTAGAGTATAGTTAAGATAGTCTATGTGTCTCTTAGTATAAGGGAAAGCTTAACTTCGTAGTCAGCTCTTAACCCCTAAGTAATTAAGTTAATTTAAGTTATAAGGAGTTGCCCATTCGTTTAGGGGGGTTCTACTATAAGCCTCTTAATTTCTATAGTATACCTTCTAGGTCTTCCGCACTTCCTATTGCTAGGGAAGAGTAGTTTATGTAGGATTGCACGAATTATTTCAACTTATAATCTATTAAGCCTCTATTTCCTAGATCTTCCGAATAAGCCGTACTCTATAAAATAAGTATTATCGATAACGAACGTCGTAAATAAGGTCGATAATACTAAGGGGCTCTCTTACTTCTTCTATATAATGGTAGCTATACTTAATATAAGTTAACTATATAGAAGTTTTATCAACCTACCTTTCGTGCTTAGGTTATGTCTTACCTATTAAAAAGAATAGCTTATAGCTTAGAACTCTTACTATCCTAGGTTTCGAGCAGAGGTAACGAACGTTACGAACGAGGTCGATAATTCTAGCTTATCTCTTCTCCTCTCGTTAAACGATAGTAGCTATAATTAACTTAAGTTAAACTATATATTACATAACTAGGTCGAGGAGATAAGTAAGAGTATTATCGACCTACTATTCGTACTCGGCGATATAACTTAGTACTTCCCCTTAGTATTAAGAACATTATTATAGCAATCATAGTAATACTCCTCGCTAGTGTATTCTATAGTTATATCTATAACTTCTTCCATTACTTTGTCTTATAGATCTATAGGCTAAAGGAGTTTATATACTACAAACTAACCTAAAAATCTAGACTAAGTTTAATTCCCTATTATGTATAGCGTCTAGAATATACTTATCTAAAGGTAGAATGTTTTTCGGACTTAAGTTATATCTAGTAAGAGCTAGACTAAGTAGACACTCCTAGTAGCTAATGTTTCTAATTAGAAAGCACTATGCCTTACGATACCCCTCGTAAGTAGATTTAATAGTAATAGGATCTTTATATCTTTCTATTAGTTTTAGTTAAAAAGAAGTATATAATCTGCGATGTAGGAAGTAATTACATACGCTATCCCGATATACGGATATAGTCTATCTCTATTACTAGTAATGTCTTCGCTTATAATAAACCTAATATATAGGGCTAGAGTTAACACTAGATAGAGTAGAGTAAAGTAACCCTCTACTCTACTCTACTCTAGTAGAGTCTTAGCTAGAGTAGACTCTAGTAGACTCTAGCTCTAGAGTCTACTAGAGTCTAGTAGTATAGGGCCTCCGTAGAGTAATAACTACCGTTCGAGTCCTAGTCGTAACGCACTTTATTCTTTTTGCACTTTGTTAAACACTATCTAAATCGTTTAAATCTTTAATAATAATACAAAATAGTATATAGTTATGTATTTGCTCTATTTATTTCTACATCTTAGCCTCTTATAGAACTAACTAAACGAGCTTAAATGTCGCACCTAGATTCGTAATAATTCTATATCTTATCTAGTTCTTAATATATTGCGCCTCTTTAATAGCCTTACTAGATAGCTTACCTCTCTACGGTATAACTATATTACCGTAGCTTAAGAAGACCCGCTCCGGCTTATTAGACATTACTAGGATAGTAAAGAGATCTTAGGCCATTTTAGATAGACGTAGATAGGTGTATTTAATGCGTACTTTCGACTAGAACTCTAGGGGGTAATAGGTATTAGGAACCCTACCTTCTACGCACTATCTAGAGTACTCGTTAGTCTCTAGGGATGTAGTATAGAGGTCCTCCTCGTCTAATGTAATGTTAGTATCTATCTATAATATTACTTAAGTAGCTCGTTCCTCCTCTTTATTATTAGTTAAGGTCTCTAGTAGAAGTTAAGAATAATGCTATATCTAGAACTAGCGAATAGCGTGCTTAGATGATTTTATCTAGTCCTATCTTAACTTCTATTTTAATCTTAACTACTTCTAGGTATATGCTAGGTATAGGACGACTACTACGACATATATAGGAGATTAATCGGTAATCTTATAGTAGTTGTTTAACTTTTTCTAGGCTAGGTTAACACCTATCGCTAGCATGCGGTATTCTAGGGTCTACTCTATTAGTATAGTTAGTTTTAGAGGAGGCGGCGTAGGAGGTAGTAGTATCGGTAAGGGAGGAGGTATAGCCTAATTCCGTCTACCTCTAGCGGTCTTAACCGCCTTACGCATTAGTCGGTAAATAGGAAGGTCGTCGTCGAGGTCGATAGTCTAGGACTACGATTAGGACTAAGACTAAGAACTTATAACTACTATACTCTAAGATGCTAGTATATAGCTTATAAGGAGAGGGACGACTAAATAGTTTTAAAGCGGTTTAATAATAACATACTACGCCTTTAGCTTTTTAAAATAAGTAAATAGACGCTCTATAGTAGGAATTACCTACTAGACTACTCTATAAGAAGCACTACTGCCGCGGCCTTTAAGG